CCCCCCTCTCCTCTTGTTAACCTACGGATAGGAAGACTGTACTCCACATTCATAGGTAGCATTCACAGTTCTCCGGAGAATGTAGGGCTCGTGGTGGGCCCGAGTCGGATCAAATGATCGTAGCGGTTTGTTATGGATTGAATTAGCTGCCAGATCCGCCTACTCCTCCAAGACTACGATTCTGCGCAATTTAAAATCTCCAATCTGATAGTGTAACTACTACCACATAAGGGTAGTAAGGCGAGGTCTAAAACCTCCCCCTCCCCTCCTCATTGAAAATGGCGAGGCGTAAGATTGAGATAGACGAGTAATAGCGCAGCCCTGTTTTCCGGTCACATCCACATGAATTCTCTCGGAAGCGGCGGTTCCAAGTTAGGGGTCATAAGAAGCCACTAGTCTGCGGACTAAGAGCGTAAAATAGGGTATGACAGGCGGTGGGCTCCAGTTTCAATTACAATGATCGACTTTAACTTTCTATAGCAGCGTTATGTGACGGCACATCCTTCACTCTCCATCTTGTCACAGTCTTTGTCTCTATCTGATCTCATTCCTTTCCATTCCCGACCGGATCTATGATGTTCATTCAATATTGGGAGGGTGGGATTCCGGATTTCCTATTTCTACTGGGTGCAGACACGAAGAGATCAAACGGAGGGGAGAAAAAATTGGTTGATGGTGCCTTGACTAGCGGCAAACGCGGCGTGATGGTTCCGATGGTACCTTAATCAACCATTAGGGCCCGATTCATTCGTAGAATCAAACCACGACATTACTAGTTGAAAGAGGGAAAAGAGAGGAGAGGGGGAAAATGATAGAGGGAAATTAACGAAGAGGAGAGAGGGAGACCTAAAATGAAAAACAGGATTTTTCCCGACCATCGTTTTCCGTCGCCAGCGTTTTCTCCTTTCTCCTAGTAGGATATGTACGCCGACGTAATTATGCAATGTCATCCACTGACCGACTTCCACTGCTATCAATATCATGGCGGTGTGTCACACTTTGCCAAATGCCTACTGGTTGTCGACCACGCCGTTGAAGTGGCTCATGTATGTACAACCCTTTCTGCCACGTTGCGAGGCCAGAGTAGTAACACCAAAAAAAAAAAAAAATAAACGGCACGTTGAGGGTTGTACACCCTGGGGTAACGAAGAGTCTGAAAATTAAACGGTCTAGACTCGGTCGATCCGTGATTTCGTTTGCAGAGTAAAAGTAAGAAAGAGATGGTCATTTACTCAGCAAAAGAATCTTGTTTTTTGTGACGGCCTGACTCCGACCAGGGATCATGTCGGCTTGTTAACCTGATCGGATGGTGATGTTGTGGTAGTGGGAATGGTTCCGGTGATAGTACACCCCCTGGTAATCGGGATAAAAAGGGAGTTTGATGCCCTAAGGAGAGCACCTGTCGCGTATTTGAAAGGGGAGGGAGTTGGGTGCCAATTACTGATAAAGGAAATTCGAAAGGAGGGATTTACTATATTATTCTATAGCCTCGTCATCGTTCCCCTTGGTATCTTCTTTTTTTTTTCAGGACGGGCTATTCATAGTTACAGAGCCCTCTAGTAGGGGACTAGGTACAGGCTGGTATCAGCTCCTGTCAATAATTGTATATCTTATCAAGATGGATGACCGAACACTGGGGCTATGCTGAGCACTCCACGGAGAAATCCATCTATTCAAGACATGTTGTTGCTTACGTCTCACCCTCAAACTGTTTGCTTATGAAACGTGAGGATCACAATCATGTCTTGCATCTGTTTGTACGTACACTGTCCAACATTTTGACAGCTGAGGGCATTCTCTGTACAGTCAGGTTTCACTTCGGGAATCAACCCACACCGAATGGAGTACTTTGAGATGCTAGGAGAAAAAGACAGAGTTAAGAACAAAATCTGTCTTTTTCTTACTTTCTTTTATTTTTTTTGATCCTTTCAATCCTATTCGTTTCCATGTACGGAGTACATAGCCTCTCGAGTCAACCGCTAAACGTTACCTTTTCGGGGTCTATCAACAACAAAGAATATATAATAATATACTACAGTACTAGGCCACCACCAACCGAGTAGCTTCTTTTAATCATTACAAATAATTCTTGGTAGGGCACAAGATATACTCTCGGGTATGTCCCCAGATAACTCAATGCTGGTCGCCGATCTAGTTTCAGGCAAGATTGGTATAGGTAGCCTTCCTTCCCCCTCTTGACTGGGACCCGAGATTCAGGTACAAAGCAACCCACGCGTAACAGATTGAAAAGCCTAGAGGCGTCCAGACCTAACTTTGGCGGTTCCATGGAACCACGAAGGGCCTAAGAAAATCCCTACTAAAATCTAAAATCAACGGAGTCAATCCTAGTTGCCTTCATTCTATTGCTTTCTTTGTCTTTCATGTCAATGAAGCATTCGTACTGTGGTGGTTGGAAGGTTAACTAGTAACGGAAACAATCCTCCGGACATTACCGCCCAGGATACACAAAAGGGGGTCACTGTCAAACAGCTGCTTTCCCCACTTTCAAAAAAAAGAAAAAAGAAAAAAAAAAGGAAAAGATTCAATCCAATGCTCCTATGCATGTTTTCTTTTTCCTCTTTTCCCGTCCTCACCCTCTTTATTCTGCATTTATGTCCAACCTGGCCGTTAACATTGGCAAATATTCCGTAAAAGGAGAAGGAAAAATAGAAAAAGAAAATAGATCAGCAGCAACATAGAAATACCTTCAACTCATTTCTGCACAATGTTTGCTTGCAATGCCGAATATTTGCTATAACCGTACTTTATCAACAACCAACTATACCATAGCAATGGTTAAGTTAGATCTACGAATTAACTCCTCCCTGACCCTTGGCTTTTCAGGCCTAGAAAATCCCATATCCCAGGAAACTGGGCCATGCACAAGCCTCTTCGTTCTTTACTGTGGACGATCATTTCGGCTCTGGGATCTTTTGTAGCATTTCATTGGCTCAGCCGTAACTGCGACTAGCCCTCGGGGCACATCGTACTGAGATCCGCCCATGATCATAGCAGACCTAAGGCAGATAGTTCTCCCCTCCGAGCCCATCGTAATTTCGTCCTCTCGTCTTCGAGCCGTTCGCAATCATAACCTAGTTAGTCGGTACTTCGGTACTCCGGCCTGAGTCGGTCCAAGCGATCTACGCCGTTTCTCTGTTGCGTATGCTCTGTTTCTATTGTTCGATTGCTTTGCTTGTTAGAGACTTTTCCACTTGTCCTACCTCCTGAAGGTTTATAACGGTCCCTGTGACACCGACGCAACCCAGAGGTGTACACTGTGTGATGGGATGGTCTTTATCATTGCCACTGTGTCATGTAGGCATATATGGAGGTATGCAGTAGTATGTACGCAGTTATGTAGCGTTCATGGATCATGTGACGGCGGCGATGACTCGGGGAGTCCGATGCCCCAACGTCGGCAATGACTCTACAGTACCTATTCCATGTACAAAGGCTGCGTCTACTCCCCTGTATATGCCTACCTTGGCATGTATCATCACTCGAGAACCCTGGGGAGAGGGTCACCCTGCATATGAAGAATTCACATTTCGCAAGAACACTACGTAACCCTGAGACCATGCACAAGCAAAGGGGGTGGTACTTTTTCCGCAGGAAGCGACGGTGTGCGTATCTACTTATGCCTGAGTAGGTAAACAGGCGCAAACTGTTCGCTTACTTGGTCCAAGCGCTGGCTGTGTGGAACGGACCTTGACGAGGTGCGGGCCTGTGCGGGATCTAGACACCTGAAAGGTGGCTGCTGGTTGTTGGAAATGCCTCTGAACTGATGGTACAACATGCCATACTTTATTAAAGGGCTTCTACATACTCTAGTTTAAAATGAGAGAGGGGATGGGGAGTATCAGATCCAATGCCTAAGGACTTGGAGAGGGGGGGGGGAAGGGTTGAAAATGTAACTCTATTACTACATCGAACACAGCGAAAGTAGATGGGTAGATAGATAGAGAATTGGGAAGATAGGGCCAAGCTATACGTTTAATTACATAGGCGGGGTTGGTGACCGAAGAGAAAAAAAAGAGGCACCCTAATCAGAGTAGTTTGGATTGCTAACTGCTTACTTAGTAGGTACGAGACGATGGGCCCAATTTCGTATAGTACAAACTTGGAATTTTTGGCTTGCTGAAGGGACTTGGTAGAATGTTCTCTTTTTTTCTAGGGAGTTAGTTATATGATGGTTGTTATTTCTCCCTATCATCTCAATCTCATACTCGGCATGTATACCGGCAAGCATTATCGACCAACGATACTAGCGCCTACGTGGGTATTCCAAAACCAAGGCTCAGATGATCCCCGAACGACCGTCAATGTGGCGGTTGTTGCTCTCAGCTCAACTAAAGCACTAGTGAAGTCAGCCTAAGTGTGATCGAGGTTAGTGTGGTGCTTTTGTCACTTTAAAGTATACTTGGTTAATTAAAGGAAGAAGAGAGAGAGGGAAAAATAATAAAATCAGATCACAAAATAATAAATGAATGACTTTATGAACATTTAGTAGGGTTTGCCAATGTGTCTGTGGAGACCAATAATGGCTACGCCACTAGACAGTTGCTCCGAACGAAGCCTCTTTGGTTGCCCAGCTGCCAGAAGCTAAAGTAGTCGATCTACAAATAGTAAAACCAGGATGTAGGAAATTAAATTTAATAAGAAGAAGAATAATCACGTTAATTATTATTTGAAAAATAAATAATAGAAAATAGTTTTTTTTTTTTTTTTTTTTAATTAGTACGTTTTCTTTTTCTCAAATTAAAAATCAAATAATAAAAAAATGCCCTACTGCATGTCCTTTAGCCAAAGCTGCAGCCGCAGTGGTGTACCGGTGCCTCTTAGTCCCTCTCTGTCGTGTTTCGCCTCTGATGGGCTCAAGGATCATCCATGATCCTGGGAAATGCCCACTTGACCCAGGTCTATGCCAATGCTAGATTGGGACAGTTCGATACCACCCGCAGAGGGGGAAGTACGACTAAAATGCCCGGGGGAGATGTAGTGTGGGTTCTTCTGTTAGATGTAATCGATCAATCATTCAAAATCTTGCAGACCTTTCCTTTTCAGATTCTCCATCTTCTTTTATAAAGTCACCCCATTCTTCCTTGCTACTTGCAGGCCATCTTGACTTGACTCCTACTTTACCCTTATCCATTGTTCTCTGAATGAGGACTTGACCTTGAGTCAAACACACCTCCGTTACACCAACCGTCTACCTCTTTTGGAGTATCCAGAAAGAATACTTCTCCCGTTCGCTCCAAGCTTGTTGCTCTTCATCCTACTACGTCTTGTGTGCCCAATACCGGTTACCAACAGCTTAGTACAGCCTGCTTCGTGCCTTTTTTGTCAACGTCCCAGTTTGCTTGTCGCCATTTTGATTGGTCTTCACCTCTTGCCCTTATTGCTGTGTGCTGTGAGTAGCTGGAACCCATGCATGCTTTCCCACTTCTCTTTCTGTTTGACGGACATTGGGGGGATCCAGGATGCTGCCAGCACTGTCGGGGAATTACACCAGATAGCAGCGGGATTGCGGACCCCACGTTGTACCGTTCCATCCGACTCTTTTGGTCATATCATATGCCTTGCTATTGCAATTCGTTGCTTGATGAACATCTGCATCTTCCCATGGCCGAGCTGGTAGCTAACCAAGGCCCGTTGGCACCATAGTTGCCACCACATCTGTAGTTTTCCAGCTCAAACGCGGCCACGTTCCGTTCGACCAAGTCACTTGAGATAGAGGGGCTCATTATTCCCTCAGGGTCGACCTGAACCATCCTATCACAGTGCATCTGTCTCTGGACCTCGATCAGATACAAATTGCCGACCTATTCGCGCTCAGTCGACATTTCCCCCTCCAGATCTTCTCTATGTTTGATATTGTCTATCGTTCTTCCTTTCTCTGACCAACATTCACTTTTCTTTTGCCTCTTGCTTCAGACAGTGGTCTGAACTCTCTGACTGCCACCTCTTTTCCTAATTCGCCAGCTGAGATTACCTAAACGTTCTGCATATCATCATGGTTGTCAGTGCATCTGCATCTGTGCCCGGGACAGGAGCCGTCAAGCGGCCGGCTTCCTCTCTGCACGATGATTACACTGGATGGGAAACGGCTCCTGTAAGTCAGACAAAGCCAAGTCCGTATGAGCTAATCACTGACTGGACAGTCTGTGGATGTGCCCTTGCGCACATCATTCAACCTCCCTTACACCCATTATGCGATGATCTACCTCGACAACCTTGGAAGACTCAAGGTTCAAGAGTCTTCATCAATCCGGGAAACAAACGGAACAGTCTTCTCTCCTGATGTACAGGACAAGTTTTTGGAGATACTTGGAGCAAAGATCGGATATCGCCGGCCAACCGTCCGCAGTACGTATAGCAGTCACATCCTGGGTATCATGTGCACTTTGACTGATCACTCCGAGTCGCAGGGTTCTCCGGCATGAGTGCGTCAGTTTATGGCTACCCACGCCCTGACGACTATTCTCATCACATGAAGCGACGCAAGACCTCCTTCCAAGAGCAAGCTCTTGAACCACCCTTCCCCGAACCAGTGGAGGAATTACCTGTCTCTACAAACATGGTAGGCATCGAAATCGGGGATACTGAGAAAATCCTCGAGTACTATGAGAACGCCTTGAAGCATTTCCAGCAGCTTAACTGCCGCCAGATCGCCAAAGCCTTCATTAAGTTCATCGAGCCCCGCAAGCAAGTAAAGCACCCTTACAATGGAGGCAAGCCCCGAGCGGGAGCCGCCTCGGGTGAGAAGGGAGACCCGGAGAAGACTAAGCCTGAGTGGTGGCCGGCGGGAGTGGTTCACAAGGAGCCCGATCACCTCAGGAAAGAACGTAAGTATATACATCACTTGATACTCATCCTTTACATACTCACAGGTGATAGAACGTATTCGACTTTTAATTCATATCGTGCGGAAACTCGGAAAGTTTGGAATCACCCCCGACAAGCTGCAAGAGGTCGCACATGACTCTAAGAGACAGCTGAGGCCAACCTCGAAAATCGAGGTCCTAGACGAGGTCTTCAAGGTGCGGAGAATGGAAGAGAGATACGAGAGAGGTGAAGTTGGTATGTCATCTATAAGCATTGTACCATGACTCGAACTAACACTCTATTAGATGCCAACAATCTGGTTTATGTTCAGAACAGGGATGCCAACGCTAAGGGTGATAAAGATTCAGACACCATTAGTGAACCGGAGCAAAAATTAGAACCCGAAGATCTAGAGGAAGCCGATGATGAGTTCTTGACACCGCCGTCATCAGCCGAGCAAGCTTCATTTACATCCACAGTAGACATGACTATGGGTGGACACGGCCGCCCCATGCATATGGGCACTGATAGGGGCCAGTTGTTCCCATTGCCTGAATCACTAAGCTTTGGAGAACAGCCTGGGCAGGAGCGTCCGTATTACGGCAACTCTGAGTACCCCGAGGACTACGCGCATCCTATTCTGAAGACCCCTGCAACACCGGCACTCGTCACGCCAAACGAACAGTCCGGCGCATTCGATTACTTACAGGCTCCATTTTCGGCTTCGACGACAGGGGAACCGATGGTTTCTCACCAGCGCCCGACTGCCTTGCCCATGCAGCCATCTGTCAGTCAGTTTGAGGCCTGGACTCCCTCATACCGACAAAACATCTTCAACCCTATGGAATATGGCTCTGCACACGGCCAGGGCATTCCTCAACATATGGCTTATCAGATGCCGCTGACGGCCAACCCCCACACGGCAGAGCTGGCCCATACTCCTCATGGTTTACCCAAAGGCAGTCCCTTCCGCACTGGATCCTTAAGTCACCCTCATATGGTACCTCACCATGCATAAATCTTTCTGTCGCAACTTGTATCGAGGCAGTAAAATTGCGACATCAGTCTAAGCTCGAATGACACGCACGATTTGTATGAACCTTCAATAGACCTCCGCTTGGCGATCTCACGCAACCCTCTTCAGACAAGTTTGTCACCCAGTATATGGTGACATTTCGCTTCTTTGATCCATATTTCAGGCTCCATATATACGTTCTGCCTTTTACGTTTTTCTAGTTGATTCTGTCCTTTGCAACTACATGTCATGCATTGAAAAGAAATGTTGGCGAAGGCGCCTTGGGATGGAATATGTGCGGTAAACTTGTTTCTTGTTTTTTTCTTTCTTTTTCTTTGTCTTTTTTGTTTGCTTCTTTATTTTGCGTTGGATTCTTTCTGACTTATGAAATATTTGGAGCGAGGGCGTCCATAATATGGCTTGATGCTTTTTGGCTTCTGAACCGGAAGTGACGGCCTGAAATGAGAATTTATTGGTTATAGAAGCGGTGGGCGTAATTGTGGCCGCGATGGCTTTTCTGGGTTTTGTGAAGCGATATTGGATTTGGTCTTTTGCTTTTCTTTTTTTATTTTGAAAAGCAAGTTGTAGTTGATAATTGTCACTCGCATTGGGTATTCTTGGTTTTTGCCGTTAATCTACGTCATTGAACATATATGATCCTGAATGAATAGAGTAAGAATAGGATAGGTTAAGTGGAGGAATTCATTGATAAGCCATGGATAATCTAGGCGCGCGTCAGTAGCGCCTAGAATAATGGCCCGTGCATTTCCCGATCATTTGAACCAGCTGACCGAGCTTCGCTGGATGACGACCAACCAATCCCCCCCTTCTGCATTCGTGACCACCAAAATTAGACGGGCCCAGTCAACGAGAAACGACTATTGTTTTACGCATTTCGAAATCGCGCCCATCGTCTATCGAGCTCGCGGTTTATTGGATCACTGCTTTGTCCGCGCGGATGTTTCTCCCCACGCTCTGAGGCCACAATCCGATCTGCGTTGCTCCGCAGCCTTTGCATCGCTGGAAAGACCTGCGCTTATAAATTTGTTTCCATCGTGAAGAAGGACGTTTCAATCATCGGAATTCGCGCCCAAAGGTATTGCGACGTCGTCATTTCCTCCTTTCTCTTTAGCTACTGGCTCTATTTATGATTGCATTATTCACTATTCCTTACTCCCTTTATTCACTCGCTCTTTCGTCCCGGTCGTGTTACCATGAATATTGTATTTTTTTCGACGCCATCCTTGGCTAACTTTTTCGTCACGCTCCTGCCAACGATTTTCGGAGGATAGCACTTTTAGGGAATCTCATTCATCGCCTTCCGCCTTTGCGCCCAACGTCTTCCAGTTCCAGTCAATGAAAAGAATATAAACGAATAAGAACAGCGACACACTCGCGAGAAGGGAAAGTCCTGATCTGTTCGGGTGGAATCCTTCTGGTTCCGTCCACTGTTCTCGCGCTGCTCGCGGCACAATGGCCGGTCCGCCGAACCCATTCGCTGGCCTGAACCAGAAAGATGGTACGACGGGAACAGCAGGTCGTGGACGTGGCGGATCACTTGGACGGTCAGCACCTTATCAAGCCAAGAATACAAATGCACCCCGGGATCCTAGGGCCCGAGGCCGCGGACGCGGAGCACCGACGGCTCCAAGAGCTACCCATGGCCATGGTCGAGGAGGTGGTACTGCAGGAAATACCTGGCGCAAACCTGAATCGAACAACGGACCAACCGGACAATCAGCGTCGCCTTTCGCTCAATTGAAACAAAATCAGTCCCCGTCGTCGCCCTTCGCTGAGAAGTCTGCCCCGCAAAAGCCTTCGTTCTCTGGGTTTGGGAAAGCGCCGTCGTTTGGGGCCCCTTCCTCTTTCGATGGGACTCGGGTCGACTCAAGTCGCGACCCCCGGAAGCGGACTTCCTTATTCAAGCAAAACGGCGTAACTTTATCCGATGTACCTGTCGAAGATATGACTGTTTTGAACAACTACAACGATCGTTATGAACAGGTCGGTTTTCATTTGCTTGCCCAAGATGGAGGTAGATCAATATGCTGATCAAATGAATAGCTCAAGCTTGATAGGGCTAAAGAGAGAGAGAAAGCGATCAAGGAAGGACAGATGGCGGATCCAAACCAACCAACCTCGTTGAACCAAGCTATCACACCTGTCGGAACATGCACCAGCATGTGCCCTGAATTTGAACGGGTTGAGCGCATTGTTCAGAAGATGGTTGACAAAAGTGAAAAGGTATTCGCGACCCTCAATAACAGCATTTGGCCTACGCTTACAACCCGGAACTAGTTTCTTCATCCCTCAACCAACTCATTACAAAACCTGGAAACAAAGATGCTCAAACGTTTCCGAAGGTCGGCCGCTGGGTACGATGAACAACTTCCATCGGATATCCGAACACCCAAGACGCTTCTTCAGACTATGAACTACTTAATACGTCATGTACTCGGTGGACCCGAACCCCTGGGCCTGATTCATAAATTTGTATGGGATCGAACTCGATCGATCCGCAATGACTTCTCAGTTCAACAAGTCACTCAGGAAGACCATGTGAAGATCGCAGTTACTTGCCTCGAAAGGATTGCCCGTTTCCACATTGCATCACTCCATTTGCTCTCTAGTCCTGCTAATGACGAGCCCTTTGATCGTCACCAGGAACGTGAACAACTGAATAATACAATGTTGTCGCTGATGTACTACTACGATGATAATCGGGGTCGCATCTCATTTCCAAACGAAGACGAATTCCGCGCGTACTATATCATCTTTTCTATCCTCGATCAACGACCCGATCTAGAAGCGCGTGTTCAGAAATGGCCGGCCGAGCTACGCAATTCTCCTCGGGTTCAGTTGGCGCTGGAACTTCTAGCCGCTGCTGGTAATGCGTGGGAATATCAGGGAACTCTAGACGCTAGAAGAGCAAATGCAATTGCACAGGGCTTTTATGAGCGCTTTTTCAGCCTGGTGGACTCTCCAGCAGTTTCCTATTTGATGGCATGTGTTGCAGAGATATACTTTAATCATGTCCGCCAGACCGCTATCCGCTCGATTTGGAAGGGTTATTGCCGCTACCCGTTGTCTCAACAGCATAAGAACGAAGAATGGACTGTCGCTGAGTTAACAAGGGCGCTGTATTTTGACAACACTGACCAGACTATCAAATTTTGCGAAGAACAAGACTTGGAATTTGCAGAGAATGCAAATGGCGACCTATATTTGAATTGGGGAAGTCGCCCAATTGACTCAGTCGGTATGTGTAACTCTCGGCCACGAAATCGCTTGATCTCCCCTCTCAATTGAAACGGCATTCGCTCTTACCGGCAAGACGGGAGGATGTTATCTTGGACTTTGTCCAATTCGCTGCATTTCTTCGACTGACCCTTTCAATAACAGAATTCCGCAGATCTTCGGACCATACATTTTCAGAGAAGTATGTCGAGTCAAAGCGTGCAGGCCGAACATTGGTCGCGATTATTCTCGGATTGAATGTCAAGCAAGCGGCACAGTTAGGAATGATCGACAGCTCACTTCTGCAAGAGCGCCCTCTTGCTTTGCCTGCGCCAAACACAGAGGCTTCTGCGGAAGATGAGTCGCTTTTCGTCAGCGATGATGATAACGAGATACCGCGCTCCACTAGTCAAACAAGCGGGAGTTTTGCGCAGGATGGAGTAGACCGCGACTCGCCGATATCTACAGATAGCCTTGGCGGAGCCTTCGAGGAAACGTCGCAAACATCGACTATTACCGAGCCAAAGCCAGCGGGAGGCATGTTCTCCCAGTCGTCAAATACATTTCAGCCCTCATCATTTTCACCTTCATTTGCAACTGGTGGCTCACCTGGCGCTTTTACAGCGTCGGCGCCATCTAACCCATTTGCAGGTCTATCTTCTCTCACATCTTCAAAGACTCCGGAAACAACTAATGGCAGTTCCCCCTTTTTTGTTGGGTCAAGCGCCCCACAGTCAACATCTGTTTTCACCACAGAATCAAGTCCGTTCGCCTCGCAGAAAGACGAAACTAGCACTTCTAATACTACCATCCCGGCCTTCCCCTTTAAATCCCCCAGTCTCTTCCAGCCCAGTACTGCATCAGCCACTCCGCCCTTTAGCTTTCCGACAACTTCAACCGATATCAAGTCTGACCAAACTGCTGGGCTGACTGCTGGCCAGTCTGCCAGTATATTTGATACAATCAAAGCACCTGTTCCCTCAGGGTCGCCTAGTGCCATATTCAATATCTCTGATCAAAGCACAAACCCTAGCAATGCAGGAAGTCAACTTCAGATGGGTTCTCCGAAAGTCCCACAGCAGCCTTTTGCGCGGCCTTCAGCGAACTTTCCGTCCCCATTTGCCACAAATAACAACGGTATAGTTCTCGCGACATGCAATGCATCACTGGCAGGTTCTGACGATTTTCTAGAAACGCCTAAATCCTACGTGCCGGAGTCAACTATTGGACAACCAAGTCCCATTGTTGAGAAGCCCCGAGATAGCGATATAGGGCAAGAACGCCCTGGGGTGACAATGCAGAAACCTTTTCCAGAGGGCGTAACTGAGCGCGATACTCCGGACGACCTTAATTCTTTACGCAGTAATGATGTCTCTCATCAGGAGCAAGAGGCATTTCCCTCATTGCTAGAGAAGACCAATCCCACAGAACTCACAGCTCCCGCGTCTACCGAGCCGAATATTCCGAGTACCTCGTCTCATTTGCCTACAGAGCTTTCGGAGCCATCTGTGGATGAAGTTGTTTCCATTGGTAAGTTTCTTAACAACGTTATAGCAAGCCTACATCTTATTAACATTATGTTTCAGCCCCTGATGTGAATGAACGACGTATGGCGTGGATAGAAACTTTAAGAGAAGCAGCCAATAAACGACGGAGGACTTCTTCGACAAGTCGCAAAAGAGCTCATGAGGACCAAGAAGGAGGAGCAGCGATAGTAAGCGGGTCTAAGGCACCAAAAGTATCAAAACCAGAGAACCCCGTCCCTCGCAAAAAGTCCATGGCGCTTTCATCTATCAAACCTCTACCGAAGCTTCCTATCTTGGAACAAATCGAGGCAATGACGCGGAAGCCGACCGCCGAACCAAAACCCCAGCCTTCGAAGCTGAGTCAAGTTGACGAGGACGAGCTTCTTCTTTCTGCTGCACGTATCGCCGCCGAGTCCCTTAGGAGCGGCCCAAAGCTCACCGGCAGTTGGTCTAATGGGTCATCTGAACCTCGACGCTCCTCTTTCAGCCCTCGGAGTAGTTTCGCGTCGTCGTTATCCTTTTCCCGTAGCCAGTCGCCCCAATCTTCTTTTGCGAACGGGTACGACCTTGCGCTTGCCCCTGATACCGACCTTGGACTAGGCCGTACATTGTCTCGGACTGAACAAAGGCTTCGCCTTACAGGTGGCAAAGGACTGGCGTATAAGCCGCTAGACTTTACCCCTAAGAAGAAGCGAAAATCCAAATAGAGACAACTTGGCGATCAGTAAAACCATTACACGTTCATAGAGATCTCGATCTCATACGGTTGCATGATATCGATTAATTTCGGCTCTTTCAATAGAGCCTTCCGAGGTACATATCATCTGTTTACTGGAATGTATTATCTGCATAGTGTGATGGCGTTAAAGCGAATACTGTGTCTTTTTCTGATTTTCAAGGGTTGTTGCATACTTTGGTCTCAAGCATGGCGCAGGAAAGATCATATACCTCGATTTATTCTGGATCTTAGCGAGTGGAACGCAAATGTTCCCACCTTCAGTCTAGGTAGTTTTGCTGTATTCTACTCAATGCATTGAATGCATCTTTTACCGGGACCTTACTGCAGAATTGCAGGGCCCAAAAACTCTCCGATGTTTGTTTCTACACTACGAAGTACTCCGCTTTTCAGAACGCAATGCTCTTGCTACGATTTGCGTAAATTGGATCTTATAGAGCGCCCATCTTCACGTTTATGTCCGAAGGTGGTATTGTATTGTAGGGATCTTGAATCTTATGAAGAAATGGCCCACCGCCCCAACCCCACTGATTCAGTTTAGTCACCAACAATATCACCTAAGAATCAATATCGACCATCATTCAACATGCGCTGTCTAATACTTCTTCTACAAAAATAAAAAAAAAACACCTGCAAGAAAACCAGTCACAATTGCTACTCTAAAGAAACCACGTCTCCTCCTTATTGGTTCGGCCCAACAGTGTCAGCCGTTTGTATCCATCCGCCCTCGCGGTATTCGTTCCAATACTTTTAGTACCCAAAGGGGGTACAGTTCAACACGCCACCACATATTTTTCCCTCTGTTACGTATCTACAAAGAGCAGCGCAGGGAAATGCGAATTGCCACATTACAGCTTGCCCCGAAACTGGGTGACGTGGAAGGCAATATCAGACGCGCTAATGAATTGCTGCAGAAGGGCAAAGTGCTCGGTGGTGTTGGGGTAGGAGTAGAGATCTTGAAACCGGAGATCCTGGTCTTACCGGAGTTGGCACTGACTGGTATGTTTTCTGTTCTTGTTTCTGGTAATTCGAATATGTTGCGTTGATGGCTGATGAGGGAAAAGGGTATAACTTTCCTTCGCTGGAGGCTATCAGGCCGTATCTGGAGCATGCTGGGAAGGGTCCGTCGGCTGCCTGGGCGCGAGAGGCTGCCAGGCGCTATCGGTGTAAAGTTTGCGTTGGGTATCCTGAGGTTGAGGAAGCTGGTTCAAGTAAACAAGAGACGTACTATAACTCTCTTCTGGTGGTTGATGAAAACGGGGAGGTTATTCACAATTATCGCAAGACGTTTCTGTACTATACAGATGAGACGTGGGCAACAGAAGGTGATGCCAAGAGGGGATTCCGTGAGCTTGCCTTTGGGAACCAGCAGGAGCAACAGTATCAGGTTGCCACTTCATTTGGAATATGCATGGATATCAACCCGTACAAGTTTGCGACGCCGTTTACGACCTGCGAGTTCGCGAACCGGGTGCTCGATTCGAAGTCCCAATTGGTCGTTCTTTCTATGGCGTGGCTGACGTCGATGGATCGCGAGGAGCTCGACTCGCTCGCTGGGAGGCCGGAAATGGATACCTTCAACTACTGGGTTCAGCGGTTTTGGCCTCTCCTCAAGAAGAGATTGCGTCATGATGTTAACTTCGATGGGGACGATGCTGAGACCGGTAAAAAGACGGTTATTGTTTTTGCGAATCGGGCGGGGGAGGAAGCTGGCCCTGAGGGAACGAACCCGGCTCTGTACGCTGGCACGAGTGCCATTGTTGCTGTTACGCAACGACCGCGGCCCCCCTCCGCTGACGGAGAAACCAGTGCCGGAGACAAAATTTCTCAAAATGGGTCCGAGGTGGATGGGCTTGGGGACAAGGATACATTGCCGTTCGACGTGAGTATACTGTGTTGGGATATGATGGCCGCGACAGCCGAAGGAATATGCTTTGCGGATACTACGATGGATCCACAGATGGTTTTCGGACTAGTTAAAGCTTCAAGTAAATAATGTGATCGGGGCTATGGAGCAGTATCCATGGGTCGGGGGATAATAATATCCTCCCGTAAGTCTGACGGTAGAAGGTATAGCATGTTTTGTGCTCATATCGCGCGATCACGGAATCCCCATTCTGTTCTTTCCATGGTCCTCAACACTACCTATAAGAGCTGGGCTATATAAATATTAATCTATATGATACAATTTACGAATAATCCCTTCTCATAATAGAGATCTTAGCCGTTGGACTAGAGAAACGCATCATTCGCCTTCTATGCAACCATGACTCTCACGAGTCAGGCTAGCATTCCGATCAACCTCTTGCCACACTTAGGAGTCATGTGAGTCACTTAACAGTCATACTGGATGCTTATCCATGTGACACTTGGTTGCTTTTCTGCCAAAAACAGGGGGAATTCTAGACCTCAAAGTCCGGAGAATAACCATTTAATACGTCCTCAGGAAGGCTTTCGCCTCAATACCTTCCTTTCCCTTTCACGCGCCCGTCTTTTTTCTTTGACATTCCACCCATCTTATGACCAGAACTGATCGGCGTCTTTCCAGAGGGTGTCGAAAATACAATCTTGACGGATGATAACAGGTTTCTTAATACAACCCTAGCAAACACCTCCCCCCCCCCAAAACAGATCATTGGCCGCAGATTGGACGCTTCGCTGATGAAGATTCTAACCGGGGAGGATCTGAGCCTCTAATATGCGCGCGGTGGGCACATGTGACCCCCAGGTCAGATGAAGTCATATTTTTGGGGCAGTGAGCTAAATATAAGGGTGGAGGGATAAAGAAAACACGCGAGCTCCAATGGGAGGTTATCTCAAGTCAGGAAGGTTCAGCGAAAGACCTGTATTGCATATGGCCAACTGAGACAATTATTAAACTGGGAAGGTGTACTTCGCGCTGGGCTATTGAACTATCGCGAGGTTTTTTCCCTTTTCTGCCAATGAGGTGGGGGGTTGACAAGGAGCCCCAGCACTTTTGAAACGTTTGATGATTCCAGAAAAGTTGGACCTGGATATGGGGGGTGTTAGGTTAGTTGATTTAATGTATCCTGTCGGCTAAGCGGACTAGGTTGATCGGCATCTAACATGATCAAAAAGCGAGAGACATGGCCTGATGCCTGTCATTCGTTGACTAAATAACTGATACTATGCGTTTTTGGACCGTGCAACCTAAGCAGGGACCAAAGGAGGGACGGGCCGGCCGGGATTAGCAGGTACTTCCTAATTGGGGGCGGTTTGTCCTCCAATGATACCGCTCTGCATGAGGAGCCAGTGGCCTTCCATTTGATCAACGCTGCAGACCTGGGGAAAATAAATCGCAGAGTTACTAAGATTTCCTGATCTTCGGCCTTGAGAACTTGGAGGGTTGCCCGCCCCCACGTGATTCCGGGTGAACCCCTCCTCCGGCAACCGGCCAAGGCGAAAACCAGTGACCAATCAGAGCGGTAAGCAGGGACCTTGGGTGAGGAGGGGGCACGGGATTGCAGCACATGACATCTGAATAAGGAAGAGGGAGGGAGGAAGAAAACCGGTTGGATTACTGTGGGAGGGAAGATTGGTTGATAATGAGCTCACTGACTCCGTGCAGAGTCCCAAGTTTCCTACCGTGGAATGATTGATTGATTGTCTGATACTCCTGATCTTCCGGATAAGCGCGATAAAGAAAGGGAAGAGGCTCGCTGTCCCGTGACCTTAGTGCACACTAGGTTGCAACCGGTCACCGCAATTCCTCCTCTTTTTGGCCAAAGGCTTGACCTCGTCTTTCGCCCTCGCCACGTGAGCAATCCCTCTCTACTCGACTCTCTCTCTACACCTCCATGTATCCCTTCTTTCCATTGTAAAAGCCGCCACTTCTTTTTGTTCGTTTTCAAATCCGGCTTGTCCGCTGTGTCGTAGCAGGACGTCTCTGTCTCGACCGTTTCTTCCTGGTACAAATTTGGTTTTCTTGCTCTTGCGATTGAATCGCGATCATCCTATCCTCTTGTTGTTGCCCGTGGCAGGTGACTTGCTGTCAGGTGATAGATAGCCCATCCCAAGGTACTGCTCCCTTTCTTCGCGCTCCTTCAACTTGCTTTCCCCTTGTTATCTATTCTGCGGACCGCAACAACCTTGAACGGCCTGCGGCTGCACTTTGATACTGCTATGGCCCTGCGCACCGCGGTGACTTCCATGCTGTCCGCCACCAAAAGGGCGCGAGGGGGGCTGATGCCTATGATGCTGTTCCCATCGCCCGGTCACTTCGGTCGCAGAACTGCCATGACGCGTTTCTAATGCGGTTACTTGCTGAGGGACACTGTTTAATGCCTATCATTCCTACATCTCCTCTACTCCTGCGGTATACATTTCAAATTGTATATGTAAAGGGGTTGCTTTGCAATTTACATCCCCTCACTAACAAATGTTATTGGTGTGGATGCGGAGAAGAGCGCGTCAACCCGGAACGCGTCTCCAACCATGCATCTTATTGTCTTCCCTGTCAATGCGACCGGTTTAAACCGGCAATATTCACACTTTTCTATTTATCATATTATTTGCTTTTGCTAGACTAAAATTGCCTACAAATTTCCCGAACACAACCGTGTCCGTCTTGTGTTGCAACTGCAATCTGCTTTCCTGATTTATTGAGATGCGATGACTGACAAAAATCCTTGGTTCACAGATCGATTTACTCAACAATAGATTGGTGGTAGTAGCTGTGCAGGAAGGTGATTTCTCGATCTAATCTCGGTTCTACCTTGTCTAGCAGGTAAGCTGGGTCCATTGTCGCCCCTTCCTACTGGTATGCTGACATTACTCGTTTGTAGGGTAGTTTACTTGTAGTTCTCGGCGTCATGTCTGACCCCTCATTGGGTGCCCCTGATGGCATAAACAACAAAAGAAAGCGCGACAGCACTGATAGCACTGGGCCTGATGCTCAGCGCTTGAACAGGTCTTCTAACGGCAGTAACGGCAGTATTCCAGGTCCAGATACCCAACCTAATTTCGGTCATAGCTCTCTTGGATCTTATGATGCTCATGGTCTCCCTGGCGCGGCGGAGCTGAACATTGACCAGCAAATCCTTCAGCATGTTGGTCCGCAGAATGGCATCTCGGACGAGAGTGCCCTAACGGCGAAAGCTGCTTTGGCCGCCCACCAACCTCAGAACAAATACCCACCTCCCCCTGATGCGACATTCGACAACAACCTTGCCCATGGGCTAACGTTCGGAGATGAAATGGGACAAGCTATAGGTGGAGCTCATGGACACAATTCTACCGCCGCTGCTGTCTATGCCGCGCGCGAGGCACAAAGCATGAACCAAAAGCCATCGGTTGGATCTCCAGAATGGCATCAAATTCGTAAGAACAACCACAAAGAAGGTCAGTTGGTTTCTGCTCTCTTTCTTCAGCCCTGGTACTGACTCGATTCAAAGTGGAACGTCGACGCCGTGAGGCAATCAATGAGGGCATCAATCAGATTGCTCGTCTTGTTCCAAATTGCGACAAGAACAAGGGTGCTATATTGCAGCGCGCGATCGAGTACATCTGTCAGCTTCATGACGAAAAGAAGGCGATGAGCGAGCGGTGGGAGCAGAATAACATGACCACAAGTCATGCCATCAACGAGATCAGTGCTCAGAACTCCAAATTAAAAGTTGAAGTCAATCGCCGTGGAGACATTGCGCTCAAGTGGTTGCAACGCTGTCGCGACGCAGGCCTTGACTTCGACGATTACGAGGAGGCCAAGGAGCTGGAGCCTCTAGAGGTTGATCAGGGCCAGGTTTGATATCCGGTTCACTTCTCTTTGCTGCGTATACATCAGTCGCGAGACTTCCCTTCTGCGATGATCTTCGTTTCATTCTAAACGTGCCACGACTTATTTCTTTCTCCTTTCGAAGGCTGGGAATCTTTACATAACTCCTCTTTCTCGACATCTCCTTTCACCATATCTCGATTCTCCTCCCTCCCCTGAACAAAGTTTTTCAGATGTGTTGTGATGTCATTTGGCACCAGCATCGTGTTTTTGTTGAATTTGCAGGTATAGTCTATGGGTTCATCTTCCACTGGGAGTGAGTACGTGACTCGTCTTTACACGCTAATTGTTTCAGCCTGGGTTCGGTTTTCTGTTTCTGTTTCTTTCTCTTTCTCTCTTTCTTGCGTTACCCCCTCTGATTTGCTTTATTTATTCGTGTACGCTATCTTCAAGGATGGGTTGGCGAAACTACGGCTGGGAGTGTGATTAATACGGATGTTGAACCCTGCGATATCGCAGCGCGTTATCGGAATGCAATTCTTCCTTTTCAATATGTAGTGTAGTTTGAGAGCATCCATATCTTGTATATGATGTTATGCAAGCGAGCCAGGCTTAATATCACGTAAGTGCGCCCAAACCCTGGACTCTTGTAATCATCATATGAATATGTACAGAGAAAGAAAGTTAAGAGAGCAGGAATAATGTATGCTCAGGTCACGAGATCATCATCAACCCCAATGTCCAAGCATCAACATAGAATAAAGACCAGAGAGAAGAGAACACTACTTAATCTCGCTCCCTCCACTCTTAAAAATCTACCACCACCATTACGTTCAAAACAGTGAACGAACGCCCCTAAACATTACCAGAAGCAGTAACGGACGCCCCCGACGAAACACCCACATTATCAACCCTCACAACCTTCCCACTCTTCCCCGTAACCCTAATATCAACCTTCTCAGTCCCGAATCCAGAAGTATTCTCGAAGAAGTTATAGTCCGACCGTTTCGTGCTCTGCCACGTACTTCCGCCGTCGGTACTAACCTCCAACGAAACAATCGCCTCATTAGCATTGACCACCTGCATCGAGAACCAGTACGCAGATGTCCCCTCCTTGTTCTTGAGGATGAGGGGCGAGTCGATATCGCACGAGACATAGGACCAGTTGATGTCGATCACGCCCTTGGAGATGTCGGCTAGCTCTACGAAGGCGTTCTGGAAGAGGTCGAGGTGATTGCTCTCGCATTCGGGGCATTTGTCGACGATCTAATGGGGTTGTTAGATTGGGTTTGCTTGGGCTTTACCAGGGGATAGGATAGAAGCTTACCATGGCCTTGATGGTTTTCCCGTTGGGTCCTGTTACGGCGACGCAGGCGCCGCATTCGGCCGCGTTGTCCCACCTAGGCGAGCCGAGGGCTGTCCCGAAGAGGCTGGAGGGAAGCGTGTAGCCGGAGAAGGAGCATGCTCCGCCGGAGATGTTGCCGCCATAGAAGGTGGCCGAGCCGGCGTTTGTGGCGCTGGATTTGTTGTTGCCGGTGGATGAGGATTTGGTAGGGACGGCTGCTGCAGCTGAGGTAGTGGTGGTTTCCTCGGGGGAGCTGCTTGTGGGATCTGCTGCTGCGGTTGTGGGTTGGGCTTCAGCTGTGGTGGATGGGGATGCAGGCTCTTTAATGGAAGCTGAGGGCTTGACGACTGCTGTTATGGGCTTGACATTGGTAGTGGAGGTTGGAACTACCACGGGCTGCTCGGTGGTAGAGGTAGTGATAGGTTTAGCGGGTGCGCTGGTCTCTACCGGGGCAGGAGACTCGGACACGGCGGGTGATGATTCCACGGGAGCGGGAGTCTCGACTGGTATTTCCGGAGTGATAACCGTGGTCTCAGTGACGGTCGACGAGGTCTCCAGAGTTGTGGTGGGCTCAAATGATAGAGTCAATGCCGGGGTGGAACTAGCAGTCACCGTCACATAGTAGACGCTTTGGGTGTACCCGAAAGGACACACCGACTGGCCCCCTCGCCGAACGAGGGGAGTTGCTGAGACAGACCCCGAAGCACTCAAGGCAGCAATGCCCATGTAAGCCAGACATTGGTACTTCATTGTGAATGTTGCGCGGATATAAGAACAAAAGCTAAGTGTATGTTTCAAACAATCGGGAAAATGATAAAATAAAGAACGGGAGTTGATATCTTGCCAGCAAAAGAATGAATGTATTGATTGTGAAGGAAAGATTGGACGTGCAATGAGCACTGAACTGACTGTAGGGAACGAACGGTCTTCTGGGTCTCAGATCCAGGACCGGTATACCTGCTATTACAGATAGAAAGACAATAAATGAGAAAGAGGGAAATGGGGAAGGGAGAGAAAAAGGGATATAACAGTGCCAGATCACGAAATCCTTGGGACAGGCATAGTAGGCAGCATTAATGATGGCTGAACGCCCACAATCTAACAAAATGACACATCCAGAAATGTAATCTTTTAGCGTCTTATCTTTAATCAATCGTAAGACTCTATGAGAACAATGTGAGGGCGGCAGCAGTTTGTCTTGAGGCCATTCGCCCGCTAGCGAAATGAGATCTTTATATGAAACGCCGAACGTGGATCGTGGCGATGGGGCCTACGATGCGAACCACACCGGAGAGGATTCACTCGCTACAGGTCACACTTATAGGCTAAATCTGATCTTGACTATAAGCGTTGGAAATTAAACTACAAAATACGGATCCACAGTGAGGATTTCACGAGCTATGGCCACGTCCTCTCTGGAATCGAGACAGCATTTTGCCGTTATACCTTCATCCTGAGAGGCTGAGACAGCCTGCTGAAGAAATCTTCTTTCACATGTGTCAATCATGTGTGATTTCTCAATATTATACTAGAAGTGGATAGTCTTTAAAGATCTTGATTAGGCTGGTTCATTTTGTAGTTCCAAGCAGAGCTGTCAAGCCTTCAAAGGGAACACTGTTACATGGTACTGTGGGTCCATAAAATTGTGCTCAAAGTCGCTCTTAAATACTTATAATCATATGTCCGTTCTCAGGGGAAAATATGTGATGACTGCCTTAGATTACAATATCACACCTTTCTATTATCATGGCTCCACTATTGGGTTGCGAAATCCATATATGCCTATCCTGATGGTCGTCACCGGGTCGGTTCCCTCGGGCGTTTAATAGAGTGGTAGGATAGATCATTATAAATGTGGCCTGTCTTTAGAAGAAGGCAGCAACGGTTTAAAATCTATCCCTCTACTTTTATAACCTACTTCTACCATGTCGTTGGCAGAACATGGGGCCAAACTCTCGCCAGAGAAGGACTGCTACGTGCTGTTCATCAGTGCGTTGTGCCCTTCTTGAGTCAACCTATACGGCCTATGAAATGCTTGAAACCATAAGTTTAATTCGTGCTCGACCCTGGGTACAAACGGCCGGTTCGGAGCCAACCCCTTGTACGGATTCAACTACACAGGCAGGGTCTCGGTACCGATGCTTTGGGATAAAGACTGAATAAGCAGTCAACAATGTGTTGAGCTGACCAAATTCACATGCTGTACACATCTTTGGACTAGATCAATATCTGAAGTAATTTTGACATCCCCGTAGGATGTATTGAGAGAAGGTAAGGGTGTTCTTTTAGCCCAGGTCATGAAGGTCCAACATAGCTGAGCAATTAGGGCACCATATCCTTTAGATTAGGGGCTCTTCCTATATATTATGTATACTCCGGCGCTTGGTCTCAGACCCTGATTTAGGTCCAACCACCCAATCCTGCTTAGATACTGGAATCCAACATGTAATGTAATGAATTCCCTTTACATGCTTTATATTATGTTTATTTTATAATACCTCCTTTGTCCGGTTGACAAAACAGTTCTCAGAGGCAAAGGCCGAGGGGTAAATATCTCGGTGATATCATATCGATGATGAGTCAGGACTCTCATAGGATTGTTGATCATTTATTAATTGGCCTGACACGGGCCAGTACAGTGTCTATCTCTTGCATAGATTCCCTGTCAATTCAGCAAGACCATCCGAAGCAGAAACGTAAGGGATGTTTCTTGTTAATCACTTGAATCTAACTAACCTAATTGAAATGGTTGCTACAACAATGAAGCAATGAGTTATCAACCACCCGAACAATGACATGGCCGGTATGTGCTTGACTGAGGTCTTCCTTCGCCAAGTCGGTGACCAGGACGTCTTGGTGCAATTCCAAGCAGTATCTCTGAATTACCACGACTATGCCATTTTTAAGGTGGGTATCCGTGAACGATTTAACAGCCTGCTTCTCGTCTAATGAGGTCTGCAGGGAAATTTCCCCTTCGCTCACAAGCATCCAATCGTAGCTAGCTCCAATAGCGCAGGTGTAGTTGTTCAGGTTGGTTCCAGTGTCAGAGAATTCAAGAACGGCCATCAGCATGGTGGCATTGATCCTTACGCTGCATCAACCGGTGTTGGTGGTATAATAGATGGCGCTCTTCGCCAATTTTGTATCTGTAACGAGACTGTGTTAGTGAAGGCGCCGAAAAGCATCAGTTCTTTAGAAGGTAGCACCCTTCCATGCGTGCCGCTCACATCCTGGAATGCATTATATGGGCTTAGACCTATGAAAGCTGGGCAGTCTGTGCTTGTGCAGGGAACTGTTTGGGGGGAGGGGATTTCTTTACATTGCAGGAATGCCGTAATACTGTTCATTAACTTCGGGTTCAGTCCTGCTGTAAAAAGAATGAAAGCTAACACAGTGCTCTATCTTACAGTTGGCAAAAGCTGCAGGTGCGGCAGTTATCACCACCACTTATTCAGAAGCAGAAGCCCTGAAATTGAAGGAACTAGGGGCCGATCATGTTATCGACTACCGGCCCGAGCCAAACTGGGGTGTAGTTGCCCACCAACTTTCTGGAATCAAGCGGATGTTGACTATATCATGGATATTGGGGGCAAGGATACACTTGAGCAGAGTCTGAAGTGTATCAAGACAGAGGGGATCATCAATTTATTTGAATTTTTGGGTGCAAGTGACAAGCCTCAACCCAGGCTTCTGGAAGCTTTGAGCCGTACTAGTCAGAGGTCTGTATGTTGGTAGTCAGGCTATGCTCAAAGACATGGTTCAAGCGTTCGAGCGAAAGATATCCGTCCCGTGCTTGATAGTAGAATCGTTAAACTTGAACAGGGCAAAGAAGCGCTTGAATATTTCGTAAGTCAAGCAGAGTTCTACATTTAAACAATGATTGAATGTTGACTTTATGCAATGCAGGCGGCCCAGAAGCATATTGGCAAAGTTGTGGTCCGGATCATGTAGGCCATACTCTGAAAGACGGCCTATGCTGAAGGGTATTAATAGTTGCATGACCTCGTCAATTCCTTTGAAAAGTTCCAAGCTTCCATATGGGGAAACATAATTCAAACGACTGAATTGGGTGAAGTTTCGTGTTGAGTTAGAAAAGTATGGTAGTCTCCTATGTAGATGTGTTTAGAGCCTTGCCCGGCATGAATGTACGTAGGACTTTTCCTAAAACAACTACAAGTACTGTTCTCCAAAGAAGATAGCAGTATTAGTCGATACTTCTAGAACGGGGAAGGAAACAATAACATCATTAGTAAATGTAGGCGGTATCTAATGATAATTATACAGGTCTGTAGCAGGCAGTCATGGGGTATATAAGGCCATCTACTAATATACCTGTCGTAGTAATTCACAGCCACAGAAACTGTAACTAAATAGTCATATTTGACTTACCAGCTCAACTTATATCGCTTTGTATGTATAGAGTATTAGACACTATTAGATCCTGGTCTCTTAATTATATCCAAGATAGCTAAGTTTCTGCGGAAATACTGTACGGTAGTTCTCACATAGGGCTTCTCTTTCGAAAGAACAAGTTCCCCAGTCAAAAAGTAAAGAGACTACTACCTAGAATCCCACATTATCTCATTCAATCTTAAGAGGGCATCTGCGCTCGCTTTCTTTGCAGCCATGAATTCTTCTCGGTTCTCGGCGCCTCTGGGCCCTTTAAGAACATCCGAGAAACATAGATCGACGAGAATCTTGAGCTCCTCATAAGAAAATGGCTCGCCATTGCCAGCAGCCAACGCTTTCTCGGGGTGCGCTGCGAAAAATTCTTTTTCATCCTTGGCATAATCAAGAGCTTTCTCGGCACCTTCCAGGAACCAATCAAGGAACTTAGCACTACGTGGGAGAGCAACGATCTCATGGTACTGCACAGATCCTCGTCTGGCGACACCTTCCTCGTCTGTAACCTCAGCCGGCTCAATAATGATGTTCTTCAGGTTTTGCTGTAGAACAAGGACGTCTAACTGAAGACGCAGCGCTCCATTCTCGTTTATCGCACCGATAAGATGCGTACAAGCAACAAATACCTGATCAATGAATCGGGCTAGCCCTGATGTGATATGCCAACGCTCGGCGGAGCCCAGATATGAAGAGATGTTTGTATCGAAGGAGATAAGATCGTTGTTTAGCTCAAGTATAGTTGGTGAAGCAGCGGTTGGCTGATTCAAAATGATATGCCACCAAGCGGTGTTTGTGTTGGGAGAAGGAGTTGTAGGCTCGGAGTTGCGATTGCTCCTAGGGTTGGGCCCAGCCATGGTCCTTGTGAGCATGTGGATAATACCGCACCGGATATCGATGTGTAAAGCAAAAAGAGCCGTTGAGGAAAGATCGCGCAGCGATTCGATGGTAGTATCGAACGCAGTTGCAGTTTCTTGATTTAAGGGGAGATATACGGGTTGGTTTACACCCTCGCGTTTTGGTACCATAGCACCGATCAAGGTCCATCTACGGTTGGGTGGCCCGCCTTCCTGTGCCTGCCGTGGCTCAGACGGCGGTTGTGTGACTTGGCGCAATTTGAGGAGATGGCTTGCGAGCCATTGCTTGAACGTTATCAGCACAAGAGCAGGGTACAGGTACAGAGTGTCGGACTAACCGTGCTGTTATATAAAAGAGAGAGAGCTGTAACGGTTTTGGGGTCCGAGATAATGTCATAGGGCTCCAGAGGCACTTCGGAAGTGCTTTTGAGAAGAAGCTTAGTTTCCTGAGAAGTAGTTAGTAACGGTTACATGGTCCACGAAAAGACAATCTCACCTTGTCTATGAGTTCTTCCTTACCCGCTTCTCCCTTCCATAGCTCCTTGACTACATCGTGGATGTCACCTGATTGAGCAAATTGCGCTGCGGCCTTGAGCCGAAATTGGCCATTGTCGCGAGGGGAAATCTTCGTCACGATGGCTTATATAACATCAGATAAGAGCTTCAAGGAGATAGGCCTCGTTTCTTACCTCTGTACCATCCACAGCATTTATCATAATAGTTCACGATTTGTGTTATCAGTAGCTGTGTGAATGCTTGGTCATGAGGGATACTCGACAGCATTTTGCTGAACTCGCGGATGATGGACATAAATTTAACCGTTCCCTAGTGCTTAAGGTCAGGGAAATATCGGCGCTTTGGGATTCAAATTGCTTACCTTGAAGACAGGGCGTGGAGAAACTGCCAACCATTTAGGATCCTCTGTAAACGAATCTGGTGCAATGTAGCTCAACATGCAGAGATCTGTAACCGTCTCGTCAAGCTGAGGGAGGAACACATTGACCATAAAGTCATCCAAGAAGGAAGTCAAAGTGCTCATAGCAATATCGGAATCCACAGGCACAATTTCCTTCAATCGTTGAATGAATGAAAGCGAGGGTGGAAGAAGAATGCTCATGTTGAATACACTTGGCTCGATGAGGATCTTATGACCTGTTCCCGAATTCCCTTGTTTAGAGTCGGAATTTTCGTTCGTATTGGATTTCTGCCTTGTCTTTGACACAAGGCCTGGAACAGAGGACTGGAGAATTTCATCCAATTCGTTTTGTTCGGCTCTCATCTCTGATGTTCCATCTGTCTCAGACAACTTAAACATTTTCTACATGCCATTAGCAATGTTCCATGGCAATCCATACACTGCTTTGCGCACCTTGCTCTTGTCTCTGTAGCCTGAGTAAAGATGACGCCTGGATTCGTCTTCGCCTCCTGGTCGGAGGGATGATTCTCCATCGGTTGCCAGATAATCATGCATGAGGGATCGAATCTGTCGCAACGGTCAGGTCAAGAAAGCTAAAATGTTATCCAAGAGCTCATCTTCAGCTACCTACCTCGCTCTGATAGAGTTTCCACAGCTCTTTGAAACCCCCTGCAAGGGCACTGCTTTTAGGAATACCCTCGCGTTCAACAATAGCTGCAATGACATCGTGGACAACGCGGTGACCTTCAGCGATAGATTCAAACTTGGCATATAACGTCCAGAGAAACTCGGATAAAACATGCCCACGCGTCTCAATAATCTCAGTTGGTAGTTTCGTCTTATTATCCTGCGGTGCAAATCCACGAGTCAAATTCGGATAACGAGCATCAACTTCCGCATTTGTCTTGTCCACCACTGCAAAAAGTTCAACTGGAAGTCGCTGCTCAATCCGGTCGACGGCGATGTCCAGGTGGCCCATTTTATTTAGCGCTTCGATAAGAAGTCGGATATAGTAAAATGTGTCAGCCTCTGGGTTGCGAGAAGCATCCTCAACCATTGGCGTAGAAGCATCCAGCTTCGCCAGGAACGCGTAAACGGGCCTCTCCCAAGATGTGCCAGCCCATCCGGATGGACTCTCACTGTTGTTCTCACCCTCCGGCGTCGGTGGCTTCCATCGATTTGAGCAGTAAGGGGATTTCAGGTATAAATGGTCATGTAGCTCTTCCACCAAGATATCTGTAAGTGATATTTCTTGGTTGGTGAAATAGGCACGAACATCAGCAAGAGCTCCAATATTGTCAAGTTCAGAGCGCCGCAAGAGGCGGAAGGCATCATGAAGCACCTCAACGGCTGCAAGGAATCGCTTATCAGATATTCGAGACTCTAGTTTCTCTGGGAGAGATTGGATCTCTTGAATTTGGCTAAACAGCTGGATGATATCGTCGTACTTCTGAGACGAGGTCGCCAGCTCTTTCAGTTCAGGCTTGGTCGAAAGTAGCCCAGACTTGGCTTGCTCCAGTGCATGTTTCAGATTACGAACTCGTCCCTGGGAGCTTTGAATACTTGACTGGATCTTGTGGTAAGTACCAATGGAGCTGTTAAAGCCCTGGTGATGTTCTAGCAAGAGTTCTCTTTAGCATTAATCCATCGCTGACAAACCACCGTGAAAACGTACCGTTTACCACAGATTTCAAAGTTTTTTGAATTCGATTATGCACATTCACAAATTCTGGCTCGCGATCTGCTTTTCCTAGGGTACTTGTGTCCATTAATTGTAAAGCTACCTGGACTGGCACGCACTCGTCTGAGGCTACGAGATCCCATTCTTGTTGGATAGACTGTAGAACCTCTGTGGTAGACATCAACACGAGTTAGCAAGTAGCGCAGATTTGTACAAGGCCGATAAAGCGGAATGAGTTAGAGAAGTTAAATACAAACCTTCAACAGCCTGTGATCCAGCTGGGTTACTGTTCATATTTCGATTCCTCTCCCTCTCCCGGCTGCTGTCAGACAGCCAGCTATTATCTCCATGAGGCCGTCCGTCTCGCGATGAACTTTGTAGCCTTCTCTGGGGGTCCCCGTCCCGACCTCGGGTGCGTGAGCGCGACGAGGAATATTCGCGGTCTCGATCCCTATCCCGTCTTTCGCGGCGTCGGTCGGGTGATTGGGACGGCGACAGTCCAGGCTGTTGCGGTGACTCAGAATAAAAACCGCCATAACCCCCCGGGCGACGATCTCGTTCACCTCCTCCGTAACCGTTTACAGCAAGGTTGTTACTGTTGCCGTAACCGGCATCAGTGCGGTCATATCGGCTGGTGTCGGGGTACCCGTATCCGTTGGCGTAGCCTTCTCTACCACTCATACCAGAAGTCTGACTTTATCGGATAATATATATGCAGGGCGGAGAATTAAAAGGAGTCGTGACGGGGCACAGAATGTAATTGAGCTTCGTGGAGTCGGGCACGGCCTTGTAGCGTATGGGCGAAAGCGCGGAGGAATTAGGCAGGAGAATAAGCGATCACGATCATCCTTGAGACATAGAACTGAGCAGATTCAATGCGAGTCACTGTGCATGTGGTAGATAAGTATGCCGCAAATCCAACAAGATGTTGGGGTTCAAGGGATTAAATCGCAACAGGCGGCAAGTCACTTACATGGGGGGCAGCTAGCTATACCTAAAGTGTCGTTGGCTCACGGGTTCTCCACATTAAAATGCTTCCCGTCCGCTCAAGCCACAGTCCGCTACCAACTAGTAATCAGTACCTACAAGTGTGCTAAGGTCTATGAATATAGTCCTATAATTTTTAATGTAATACTAGAATAGAACTACGCCAATGAGAACTCTATTAGACTGTAAGGACTCTATCTAAAAGATAAGGTTTGCCGTCCACGGCAGTTCAAGCTCGAGAGTTTATCTGGAGATAGGCTGTGTCTCCCGCTGGAGCCAGCTGCGCGTATATTCATCATTCTCGAAGAAATGGTGAGTCTTTTCCCAGATCTCCGCATGGTAGTCGTTCACCCATTTGAGCTCGGCGTCACTCAGAAGAGATGGTTCGATCAGGTTACGACCCACAGGGGTCATCGTGACATGCTCGAAGCCTAACCAAGGTCTATCACCAAACTGGTGCGTAGTTTGCACTTCACGTGCCATTATAACATCTGCCATAATACGTCAGCTTTGCACTTAGATGCTAATTCGACTTTTCCTAAAGTCTTACTCTCAATCCGAATGCCAAATTTGCCGTCCTCATAGAATCCGGGCTCTGTTGCAGTTAGTGTGTGAATTCTCATAAGACGGCGCTAACGCATCGTACCATCAGAGATTACGTTTCCAGGGGCTATCGGCACCTCGGTGTACTGAACCCTAGTGCCGACACCCATTGGTCCCTCATGTACGTTCTATAGAATGATAAGCATTATATGTTGAACTCGTGAGGGCTGGCCTGCTTACCAAGTAAGAGCCGACTCCGTGGCCGGTTCCATGCAAGTAATCAAGCCCCTCCTTCCAAAGGTGCTGTCTGGCGAGAACATCAAGTGCAAAGCCACTTGTACCCTTGGGGAACACAGCCGTGTCCAAGGCAATTACACCCTTGAGAACTAAGGTGAAGGCCTTCTTCTCGAGCTCGGTAGGCTGCCCGAAATGGAACGTTCTAGTAACATCCGTAGTTCCATCCAGGTATTGAGCACCGGAATCACAGAGGTAGATAGCATTCGGATCAATGATAGCACAGCTTCCCTTTTCCGGCTTATAGTGGATGACCGCACCGTTGGGGCCCGTGGAGGAAATAGTGTCGAAAGAAAGGCCAGCATAGAGATCATTCTTAGATCTGATCTGCTCCAGCTTGTCTGCAGCATCTACTTCGTCAAGAGTTGATTTCTTGTTGACCAGCTCGTTCTCAAGCCATGCAAAGTATTCTGTCAGTGCCGCACCATCGCGGATGTGGCATGCTCGCATGCCCGCAAGTTCCACCTCATTCTTCACTGCTTTAGCATCACCAATGGGGCTACGGACTTCTTCAACATGCTCCTGACCCCCAAGGCTAAGGCTAAGTGCCCATGAGGCCTTGTTGGACAACAGAAATTTAGAAACCGTGTCTCCTGCTTCTTGCTTTTTTGCCTCGCTGAGGGCCTTCGCGTCGGCATAGATAGCATCATATGGTTTGGTCACAACGTCTAGACCAATGTGAGCTTTCACTTCCGGAGTCAACTTGTCCGCATCGATATATAGCTCTGCTGTTGTAGGCGTGATGATGGCATAGGAAAAGAACACCGGATTGTATGGAATGCTGGAGTTCCATTATAAGCAAATCAACATATAGAAATTGCGAAATCTAGGACTCACTCGCTGCCTCTCAAGTTGAACAGCCAGGCAATTTCATCAAGCATTGCTATTAATTTTCCTTGTTAGTTGCCGGGGACTGAGGTGCAATGGTAAACAGGGACCAGTACAAACGATAAAGCCGGCCGACTTTCTAGACTCCAACTCTTTGCGGAGTTCACTAATCTTCTCCTGGAAGCTCTTTCCGGCGTACTTGTCTGGATGAACTCTCACCTTCTCCATTGGGGGAGCAGGTCGGTCCTTACCCCAAACCAGGTCAACCAGATTCTGGTGAACACCCACCAGTGTCGAGCCATTCTTCCTCAGAGTCTCTGAGAGGCTACGAGCTCCAGCTATGGAAACTTAGCTTTTTTATATCAAGGGCTAGCAGGCTCAAGGTCATTTACTCACATGCCGTGATCAAAGCTGGGTCAACTCCAACGACCTTACCACCTTCGGCCTGTTCAGTAGTCCTAAACACATACTAAGTCTCAGGGTTTTAACAATGCAAATATGCTAAATGGATCATACCATTCCTGCCAGGTTGGGAAACCTTCGACACCACGCTTCAGGAGTTGCCAATTGCTGTCAAGCTGTTTTGAAGCCTGGTTGAAGTATCGCCCATCGGTGGACAGAGCGGCCTTGCTCAAAGAAATAATGGCTGTTCCAGCAGATCCAGAAAAACCAGAAATGAATTCTGTAGTAACCAGTGTGAGCTATACGGCGACCGACGATAACCGAATAAGAGGGCCTGTGTCGAAAAAAATGAAAGGCAGGGTTCAAGGACGTAAGTCTAACCTCGGCGGCCGTCACATGGAGCAATATATTCCGACTGATGGCTATCTTCCGATGGGACAACTTTGTGAAGGGTAAGCCTTGAAGTTCAGTTCAGTTCACCAGCGATAATATGATGTCATACTGTATACATCGACCTTGTGTTCCTGCATCAACTGTCTCAGTCTCGAGAGACGTTCGGAAGTGTCTACGGTCGCCATATCGACTGAATAGCGAGGTACAGAGATAGAAAAGAACCTTGGGCGAGAGAGGGGTAGCTGGCGAGCTGAGCGGAATACTGATTTCCAGGGAGAACGAATTGGAAGGTGAGAAAAGAGCATCGACGAGCGAAGTCCGAAGAAAAGGATGCAGGTGTCCGAGTGAAAGGTATCCGAGATCACGCACAACAAATACAAGCCCTCGGAATGTTGCACGAGGCAGCAGGGTTGCAAGAGGATGCGGGTGGGGGTGAGGAGAAGGAGGGTTAATTACAATTGTAGTGGTTTAAAGAGAAAAGTCGCGTGTGCAATGCTAGAGTGGCTGGCGGAGATATGGGTGACCAACTAGATAATCAGCTTGGGTTTAGGAAACTGCAGCTGCAGTGTACACCGGTGTATCGACGTACGGCAATTACAGGGAAACCTCCTGAGAATTACCGTCATTTATCACCACATACAAGTCCGTGACCCAAAGCCCATTCCGTCATCTTCGGAAGAACACAATTCAGCTCACTTGCAGCAATGAGATAATATTATTAGTAGCCTCCACCAACCCCCCTTTGACTGATGGAATCTTCATTTAATTACTTTCTTGTGCAGTTAGGGAGTTTCTGTAGTTGAATGAAACCGGAAATGACATGCTTATCCCATGGTTGCATGCCAAAGCGACCGGACCACGCCATAAAGATCTAAATAACCCTTGTCATATGGTACTAATGTCTTCCTCTCAGATCTTCTCTTTCCCCCTCCTATACTAAACCGTCGTGGACCTCCTCCTATTGCCCAATCGAGTCAAACACCGTCGACTTCCCCTCCATCCCACTTATTCACCGCCTTACGTTTGTGTGGTAGTGTTATCAGCACGTGACGCCCCCTTTACATCTATTCGGCCAATCTATACCTATTTCTTATCCACTGCAGCAAGGCTTAAAGTGCTTCGGCCATGTCTGTGGACGTCCCAGGCCAAGCTTCTGATGTACAAGTCCTCATCAATGAGGCGAGGACGGTATGTTTACACCATGACTTCCACACCCTATAAAATGTCTAACAATGCCTAGCTTGTGTCTCAGCTTTATGATCCAGCAAATACCGGCAACCCCGCCAAGATCAAAGCTATCCAGGAGCACCTACAGATTCTCCAGAAAGGCCCCCAAGCATGGCTCATTGCTAATGATCTCCTCAGTGATGAAAGCACTGATCTAAGATTCTTTGGAGCCTTGACATTTACAGTCAAGATCAACCAGGATTGGTACGTGGCCTTGCATTCGATGATCTTGTCGCAAATGTATGTGTTATGTTAGCTTACCCGTCTCCGCTGCAGGCAACAGTTAAATGAAGATGACGCTCGAGAACTCCTCGGGCGGCTGATTGATCACTATGTTCTTCTAGTTAATGGGGGAGAGCGCCCTCTAGTGGTACGCAAGTTGGCTTCCAGCCTGGCAACTATTTTCTTGAAGCCAAATGCTCCCTGGACCCATGCGCTTTGGAACATAGCAGCTTCTTTGGCAAATGGAAAACACCTCTCTGAGGAACAGTGCCAAAATTTTGACCTGCAGGATGCCGTTCTTCCCGCCATGTCCGAAAGGCAGGTGGTCAGCTTACTATATTTCTCCAACATACTAGCAGAGGAAATCAATAGATGGGGCCCGGAGTCACGCCGGAGCGGTGACAGCAATCGTGCATCCGAGAATATCAAACATGCTTTTGTTCTAGTCGAGTTTGTCCTCCGTCATATGCTGCAGCAGGAATCTTCCGGTCAGCCTATATCTGATGGGGCCCCAGGCGTTGAGGCTATCAATTCGTACCAAGTAAGAATACCCCACCTACGCGACAAAGCTTACCTAACTTCATGGCCTCAGTCATGGGCCTTAGTTCGTAATGCGCTCCAAGTTCGCGACACGATATCTGCCACTCAGCTTGCTCCTGCCACGGACTATGTCATCCAGAGTCTGAAGGTTCCCAGTTTATCCAAGTCTGCAATGCAAGTCCTGGTTGACTTAATAGATTGGCGAGACAGTATCTTTAGCCAGGAGCATATCAACTCTGTATTGGAATATATCACCAGTGATCTTGGTACCGCCCGTATTGCTTCCATAATGGATGCCGATTTCGAAGATGACAATATGACGTTTTTGGAACTTCTATTAGCGTACGCAACGCTCAAGCAAAGGGAGCTTCTGATCCAACCCCTGGATCCTGATCATGATAAAGTTCTAGGCCTTCTCCATACACTTTTCAAGGCCCCTGGCTATGCAGCAGTCGACGATTCAGCATCACCGTTGGTCCTGGAGTGGTGGACTGAAGTTGCAGATGATCTCCAAGAGATATACCTGGATGCGGATGAGCAAACAGAGTTTGATTCTGCAAAGCGCAATTTGGCTCGCGCAGCTATGGACTGTTTTGAGAAACTCAAATACCCAAGTCCAGAAGAACTACAGGAATGGGGTGATGATGATCGCAGTGAGTTTGGTGCTTTCCGCCGCGATGTCTGTGACTTCCTTCTAGCAATATATCCAATGTTAGGAGTTGAGTTGGTCCAAGTGTTCCAAGAACGAGCAAAATCGTCTCTGATGCAGCAGGACTGGAGAACATTCGAGGCCGCAATATTCTGCATGGCTCAGCTTTCGGAAGCTGTAGACGAAAACCAGCATGCAGATGAATGCCTAAACGCAATTTTCTTTTGTGATGAATTTGCCCAATTATGTTCGAGTGAAGGAACAGTGATTCCAGACAAACCTCGTCAAACACTGGTGGACATGCTCGGAAAGTATCAGGCTTATTTTGAACGCACGCATGCCCTACTTCCTCGCGTGCTAACATTCCTTTTCGCATCACTCGACGTTGCATCGTGTGCGTCCGTAGCGTCAAAGTCTATATCACATCTTTGCAAGTCATGCCGCAACGCTTTAACTTTTGAACTTCCAGCGTTCATGGACCAGTTTGAGCGCTTTCGCTTCAAGCCTACAGCTACCGCTTCAACGATGGAAAAGGTCCTGGAGGGTATTGCCGCGATCGTACAAACATTACCTACTGATAACGAAAAAGCACAGATTTTGGAGAGAATATTAAAGTTTTTCCAGGAGCAGGCAAAGCTGGCACGGGATGAAGCCGTTCGTGGATTGGTAGAGCCTGCCCGCTGTCGCGGCCAGTTGGTTCTCCGTTGTGTTGCAAGTATTGGAAAAGGTCTCAGAACAGATGGTGAAATTGTCATAGACGCTCTTGATGGCGGAAATGGGGATCCATACCCACCAACCTTTTGGAACACGGGCAATGGAGCTGCATCACAGAATCTAATAATGCAATGCATGCAGCTTCTAATGACCGACTTTCCCTTGGATGTGACTATCATTGAAGCAGCATGCGACATACTGAAAGCCGGTTTTACCGAAAACAGTGGACCCTATGTCTTCCCGCCGATGATGACAGTCGATTTCGCGAAGAGTATACCGTTAGGGAGTGCTGGGACGGATATGGTCATGGGCACGGCCTCGGCGTTTCTGGCATCTCACAGCGCGCACCCACAACGTATTCGCAACGAGACTGTTGCCCTGATTGTCCACGTATATGAGACATTCTGTTGGATGCATGAGAAGCCAGAGTTCTACGATCCCGAGGTTGCGAATAGTGGCATTGATTTTCTTACTCGCCTGCTCCCAAAGTATTACCCCTTTCTCTTTACGCTAACTGCCATGCCTCATGAATCCGATCAGTCAGGGGTCAGTCATGTAAACGGTGCCCCTCAACGTCCACCAGTACTTCAAGCGATTCTGAACTTTACACTCCTCTCCTTGCAAGGGCCAGAGCCATTGCCCCTTCGTTCTGCCTCCCAGTTCTGGGTAGGCGTATTGAACCTTCCTAGCGAAGAAGAACATGTACAACGCGCTCTCAGAGACAGCATTCCTGCTCTTTGCCGGATCCTAGCATCACAGATTGCCGGGCGCTGTGCCCGTTCTGACCTTGAACATCTCTGTGAAGTGCTCAGAAGGCTCATTTTCAAACAGCAAGGACTCGCTCGTCCGCATCTCACTGCCACGCTAGCTGAATTGGGAAATAGCCGTACAAATCAGGATCAGAGCCCTGCTGTATCGCCTGAGGAAAGACAGCGTTTTCTTGCGTCGCTGTTAACTGCTAGAGGTGCAAAAGCACTGACCAGCCAATTGACGCGTTCCTTTTGGGTTAAATGCCGCGGAGCTGGTTTCGATTATATTGGGTAGATATGGGGGATTGACAGTTGTCGCAACCTGGACAATGCAACAAATACGAGGGAATGAAGCGGGATTTGTCAGAGTAAAAATAATTATCCAGTCCAAAGTGAGGCTCGCAGTACTGATGTAGCACAAGCACATGGCTATGTCAGCAGCAGATGTGTGAGCGCCCTATAGGGCAGTGGCCCTGGCGCATTACACCACCTTCGTGCCTATTCTCGTCATATTCGAGTCTATTAAGGCGGGCAACGCATTGTTCCAGCGCTTACAATGGCAAAGAGCCACTTGTTCTCCTTAATGAAGTGGGTCAATCATGCACGTCCACCAGCCACTGAGGCGGTGCACTTTTCAGGCATCAAATTTGACCAATCTAGAAGCACGTTGCTTCTTTGATGTTTCACTTGCCTTGCTTTCTTTAAAGAATGGGTCTTTGACTTGTTCAGGCCCACATTGATAGCTTGAGCTGGGTGTGGTTCCCTTATATAGTTATGTTTAGTTGGCACACCCCGCAAGCTTGAAACTCCTTAAAAAGTCGGATCCTCTCCACCTCAGTTCATTACACTTTTTGTTTTTCTACTCTATCTCCCTTTTTTCGCATGATCTTTCCGTCTGTCTCAACTATTTATTGGCAAGCTCGAATTTATAGCAGACATAATGCCTGTTTTCGCCAATACTCCTGAGTCTCTTGTAACTCGCACTGACTCGCTTGATCCGGCGACAACATGTAAAGGTGTCACCTCGAATGGCCGGCCATGTCGCCGTGCAGTAGCGTCTACAGGATCCTCGCCCTCAGCATCACCTGCCAAACGCACCAGGCGGCAACAGGTGGATCCATCTGAGTTATATTGCTGGCAACACAAAGATCAAGCAGTACCAGTATCGAATGGGACAAGCAACAAGCCAAACACTTCTCAATTACAGCCGAGATCCAGTATCGATACATTGATGGACCGCTTAGGGGTCTTGGATATCAATGATCCACAAGATGACCCGAAGAAGTATCGACCATTGAAAAAGAAGAAGAAAAGCAAGCGAACATTCTGCTGTTGCTTTGAAATTATAGAAGAGGATGAGCCGCTCCCTCCACGGCCAGTACGTCCGTCGGGAAGCCGTCCAGACGCCTCTTCACAGACTAGGCCCCAGTCGATGCAACAGGTACCACCCACCACAACACCGCACAATTCCTCAGCCCCGCAAAACGGAGAATGGGTCCCTTCAACACTCTCACCTGAAATAGCCTCAAACCTTACCGCCGAGCTCGCCAAACCACTTTCGGAGAAAGACGAGCCGGGCTATATTTACATCTTTTGGGTCACGCCTTCCACCTCTTCCAGGTCAGCGCCGCCACCTACTGACATCGCATCATCACTATTCTCTAAGCATGAGCGCGCGAGCCACGCCATCCAGAAAGCAAGGGATCTCCATGCTTTGTCATCGAACCCCACCGATCGCAGCCCTGGCACAATCCGCCTAAAAATTGGCCGGGCGAACAACGTACAACGTCGATTGAACGAATGGACCAGGCAGTGCTCTAACCACCTGACCTTGATCCGATACTACCCTTACACGCCATCATCGCCTGGTCCAAGCAAGGGACCCGCACTCGAACCTGGAAGGAAAGTGCCGTATGTACACCGCGTGGAACGATTGATTCATTTAGAACTAAACGACCATCGAGTCCGCGATATGGGCAAGTGTGAGGAATGTGGAAAGATGCATCAGGAATGGTTCGAAATCTCCGCCGAGAAAGAAGCCATCAGAAGGGTGGATGAATGTATCCGCAGATGGGTAAGATGGGCAGAAAGCCAGTGACGGCGTGGTGCAAACGCATTGAATGTGACATAGATACCGAACATATCCAGATAAAAAATATCCCCCATAGATAATATAATAGATTTCAATAACATCAACTCTCAATCCAAAAAAAAAGAGAGAGAAAGTAAGACGAAACCAAACCCTGAACCAAAGCCTATGCTCCCCCCCCCCCTTCCCAAAGACAAGCATTAAGATTAATCATTAGACCCGTAAAATATAATACAAAGAAATCGATCACCCCGAGCCTAAATCCCTCCCCTAAACCATCCAACAAGAAACAGACCCATAAACATCTACTCAAAATTCAAACCTCTCCCCATCCCCAGCTTTTCTAAGCAAACCCCCCAAAACCCACCTCCCAATCACAAAACCAACCCACCCCCACCCCCAAAGGCAAATCCCCAAAAAGCTCGTCCCAACAAGCACCGGCACGAGCACCAATCCCGCCACACAAGAAAACACCACCACAGCCACCGATGCAGAAACCACAGCCCCGAGTACGAATAACCCGATCGGCACGCATGAGCACACGGCCTGGGCAAGGAGGAACGTGGCCAGGATGGGGTGGGAGTGGTAGAACTCGAGGAGGTCGGCGAGCGCGGTTCTGGTCCGGGCGATGAGGAGGTCGTCGGGGAAGGTTTTCACGTCTTGGACGACATTGTCGGGGTCGATTTTGGGGGCTTCGGTTGAGGGTATGGTTTTTTGGGAGGTTTGGGGGGCGGTTTCGGCTGATTCTTCGGGGGGAGGTGTGAGGAGGGTTGTTGTTGTTTCAGGGGAGTCGGGGGGTTTGAATTGGGGGAGGGCGGGAGGCTTTTCGGTCATGGTAGATTTGTTTGGGTGTCTTATGGCGGTTGGGTTTAGGGTTTTTGTTTAGGGAGATTGGGAGGTTGTTAAGTTATTAGTTGGGCGTCATTATTATTGAAGATTTAGGGAGAGGAGAGTAATTGATACCGAGGCATTTAGGATGATATGGTATTACCGGACTGTGGGGTGAGAGTGACGATACGATACATTTCATTATGGTAAGTGAGTTTTGGAAGGTATTTTCTTGGCTTCTTCTAGTCTTCTCTCTAGAAGCTGTTTTCCCCCGAAATAGCAACTCTCGCGCTATCAGTGTGCCTGCCTCATCTGATAATCATGGATGATCTCAAAGACATGATAAATAGGTGCCTATATGGCTCAATCTCAAGCGTACCTGTGTGTAAGTTTTCTCCCATTCAGGAAGGTGATTATCTGACCGTGGACTGCCAGTCACATCTAACGAAACGCTCTCTATCATCTACTTGTAGTACTCTGGGAAGAATCCCTGGACAGTTATCTGATTGGTAGGTGCCTGATATACCCGGCGGGCCGCCCGATACTTAGGGTGTATATCTAAATGAACCTCACCAACCAGGGTAACAAGGAGTTACAGAAAGATATTAGGCAGCGATCTCACTTCTGAACCGGGGTGAACAGGTAATTTTTTATGGTCTGTAAAACCCTGTCTCCATGTCTACCTCTCATACAAAAATTCCGAAGGCGAATCTCATACAAGCGAGACATTGGTCCCATCAGGCATTTGCCTTTGCAATACTGGTGGAGGATACGTCCAGCTAGACCTTGACTCGTTTGAGATACGGGCTACACGGCGTACATACGTCTTTACCCTTAGCCCTCGGGATTCTATATATTGTTTTGCGCATGAGATTGTTTTGAATATTTCTGTAATTTTCAAGTATTTACGCTTTCTTTCACTGTTGCTTAGTGAAAAGGGGCTTGTAGGACCTTGAGGACCTTTGTATGGGTTTGCCCATATAAAGGGCCTCACCTACCCCCGAGACCTTTCTACTTTAGTATCTAAGGCAGAGCAATCTGTCTTTTCTTAGTTACAGAGCTTTTCCCACAGATTGCGAATCCCATCCCTCGAACACAACTACATGGTCAGACAATACACGCTACCGGCAAAGTTTCTTGGGCGAAGTATGGAAGGCCTAAAGGTTTTGGATGATACTGGTCTTGTAAAATGTAGATACAGCATCTTTCTTTCCACCTTACGTAAGTGATCACACTTTGATATACCCCCAGACTCCGCTCTGTTATACCACACAGTAGTCGAAGAAGTAGCCATAAATCACCGTGGATGTGGTAAGTCACTGTTCGGCAAAACCACAAAATGTGATAGCGTCAGGAATATCTCCAGATGAATCTGTGTAGAAATGTATATGGCATGCATTATTAGGCGGCGTTGCGCACTACCAGATGTAGAATAACTGTTATCATAGAATCTTGGTCAGCTACTCACCGGAGTTCTGCCACACCCTTACGTTAACGATTTTTCTCGTTAAAGTATTGTCTATACTTCTTGGTTTCAAAAGTCCTACAAGTTTTCCATTTGGTAGTACATATCTTTATACAGTTAGTGACTAATTCCTGATTACCTTGTGATATGATTGACTTACCCCAGGTATTGTATCACGTTATACTAGCCCTGGGCCGGTGGATCTGGGGGATTCAGTACAGGGCTAGTTGGCATTCAAGCCCTGTATTTGGTGATTGGCCAACTCGTCCTTGCCCCCGAGAGCCTGCATTTTAAGCCTTCGGGCCGGTTGGTTCTGGAGATTTGACTCAGGACGCGTCTAACCAGCTAGCCCTTGTCCTTGAGGTCCTGCATTTGGCCTTGTATTTGGGTGACTGAAATCTGAGACGGGGATATATGAATTTGGTCTCTGGGTTGCATATTTGGCTCCAGTAATGGCCCTGGTATGAGGCTTAGATTCCACATATTCGGCAGCTACATAGCTGAAAAGTAGTAGGAGATGAAAAACTGCAAGAGCAATTACGTTCTTCATACCGAGCTATAATAAGTAAACCATAGGTGAGAAAGATCGTTGGCCCTTCAATAGTGGGATCCAATGGAAAAGGCGTCGTTATGTTATCTTTTTGTCCGTCGGGCGCAACACGCACCCTCTAATTTCCGTCTCTGAGACTTGTGCGATATTCGTAATGAACTTGTCAGACGTCGTTTGGACCAGGGACCTGCTCCAAAGTGGATGGAGCGCATAACTTTAGTTCTTCATACCCTGTACAGGTTTGACGAGTGGTTAAGGGGACGATCACTAGGACATCGCAAAATGGACTGTCTCCCATATTCAAGCTTCAGACTCAGTCAGACTAAAAATAGTATGAAAATGATGCTTTCATATGCTCATAGCTCATAATCGACAATGTACAATACATCTTCACTCATGTTCGGACGGGTGAATCAACAGAAAGAACAGAGTCTTAAGTAGACACGATACCGACTTTTCTAACGCCTGCAAATGAATGAAACAACAAACGGGGTATATCTACCATCCCCTCTTAGCCAACTTGTCGCCCTCGGCCATGTGGGACACGTTGATTCCAACCATAGCCTCACCCAGGCCCTCGCTGACCTGGGCCAGAACCTTGGGGTCCTTGTAGTGAGTCACAGCCTGGACAATGGCCTTGGCGCGAGCCTTCGCATCGCCGGACTTGAAGATGCCCGAACCAACGAACACACCGTCACAGCCCAGCTGCATCATGAGGGCGGCATCGGCGGGGGTGGCAACACCACCAGCAGCGAAGTTCACAACAGGAAGACGACCCTTCTCGGCAGTCTCACGCAGGAGCTCGTAGGGAGCGCCAAGCTCACGAGCAAAGGCGCGGAGCTCAGGCTCGGGGTCGACGGCAGACTGAAGGATGGAGCGGGCACGGGCGATCTCAGCATTAACGGTGCGCATGTGCTTAACGGCCTCTACAACGTCGCCGGTACCGGCCTCACCCTTGGTGCGGATCATGGCAGCACCCTCGGAGATTCGGCGAAGGGCTTCGCCAAGGTTGCGGCAGCCACAGACGAAAGGAGCCTTGAAGTTGTGCTTGGTGACATGGTACACGTCATCGGCGGGAGTGAGGACTTCGGATTCGTCGATGTAGTCAATGCCAATGGCCTCGAGGATCTAAAGTAAGGAATTGTCAGCTTCTGACGGCGAAGGCAGCGTGGAGAGTAAGCACCTACCTGGCATTCAACGAAGTGTCCGATACGGGCCTTGGCCATAACGGGGATGGTAACGGCCTCCATGATCTCCTTGATCATGCTGGGGTCAGACATGCGGGCCACGCCACCCTGGGCTCTGATATCGGCGGGGACACGTTCAAGAGCCATGACTGCAGCAGCTCCGGCCTCTTCCGCAATGCGAGCCTATACAGGTATCTATTTAGTTTCATCAATTGAGTAGAACGCATTATGAATGTGCACACCTGCTCCGCATTGACAACATCCATGATAACGCCACCCTTCAACATCTGGGCCAGACCGGCCTTGACGGTGAAGTCGTTGGAGGCGGCAGCGCCGTTAGTTCCGTTCTGCTGAGAGGCCATTGCGAAGATGATTGTCCGGATTGAACAGGATCGAAGAGAGACAGAAAAAGGAAGGATGGCCTAAGAACACGGAGGGGTAGGGAAAAAAGAAAGCCGAGAGAAATATTTAAGGGAACGGACGGGGTGACTCAAAAGATGAAGGCAATCAACATAGGGCGCGACCCATGGAACCCACGGTCGTTCATCCCCTTGTTCACCCCGCCGACTTTTCCCTCAGACTGGACTGTCCGCGGAGAGACGGTCCAATGAGAAGACAACTGCCCCTCCATCAACAGTTTAGCAAACTTTCGGCCGGAAACTTTGCAAAACCTGCCAAACCCCGCCGCTCACCGGTTTCCCGCGGGCATGTTCTCAACGCAGACCCGGTTGCGGCAATTCCAAACTGTATGTTCAACTTACGCCGGAGTCTTATTCCTTCATCCGGTGAGTTCTTATTGGTGGAAACATCCACCGCCCAGATGTTTCTCAAGCATGCGCAAATTATTTGTAAAATTAAATCCTACGCATTGATAATACTATCTTTGATTGGGAGTAGTAACTCATTGAATATAATAATCTTCTTACTAGTAGGACTTGACAAGGAATAATCGGCATTGAATTCAATAGTATCTGGAAACCACCTTGGTGGTTGTGTACAGTACAGTATGGAAAATATGGAGTACCTTCCAATCAGAGGAGCCAAGGTAAGTTTCTCCTTAAAGCTGCCATTTAGGGATAAGCCCAGGCTAGTAGTACACAGCAGTTTTCGGGCCGAGTACCTTACCTGATAGTTCAAGTAAAAAAGTGTGTGCTAACTTAGTAAAGATGGATTATATAAGACTAAGTTGTAGAATGCCGTAAAGGAAGACCCTGGATTGAATTAGCTGTTTAAACTAATGATATAGAAGCAAGTATAATAATTCCCACAGTCTTGGCGAAAAATCTGTAGAAGTTTCTGAGCGGCGTAAGTCGCTTCACCTGCTTTAGATGATGCCACCAGAATCTGTATATATCTAATATAAAGCCGCAGCAGTTAGGGGTCTAGGTTTTAGAATCCGGACCCACAGCAGTTTAGGTCGGGATACAACAGGTATCTGCACGAATAAAACTCTAGGTCTCAGCCACGTCAACTGTACCTCTACCGCATTTTTAAAGCCCTAGAGAAGTTGGTAGTAGTATTATTGGAACGGTGGTACAAGAGATATCACCTATGTGCAGCTAACTTCTTGAAGCGCTGCAGCAATTGGGAGGAAATAAAAGAAAAATACCATTATCCATGAAGACCATTCTAGGGCCAGCGGTTGTGTGCACAGCTACACTTTTATCTGGCTTTAGTCACTTTACCGATAGCGCAAAGATTGTAGTATAACTCTGAGCATCCACATCGCTGGCAAAATTACCTTGTTAATAAGAGGGGATTGCCCTGGCCCTTATAGGCGAATTGTTTCCTGATGAGGAATGAGTATAAACTAGGCATACGAATAACAAGCTTCTCGCTGTTCAAGTTCGCGAGAAAGATTGTTCACTATCACCTATCTATGAGAAAACCCAGCCTTAATTTGCATAGAATGTAGTGTCAACTTCTAGAGGGTAGGGCAAACTTTCGAGCGATAGAAGCAGATACCAGAACAATGACATGGTCTTGAAAATTCCTCGACTAAGCACATCAAGATCATAGCCACGATAGTGATTCGCTCTTTATGCAAAACTAGGCTCGAAGTCTTAACACAGTTGACAGATATGCTTAGCTCAGCAAGAGGAATTCTCCTAGACAATCTAAAAGAATGGTTATTAGTCTTAAATGTGGAATAAAGGGTTGTTGTTATCACAAGCCATTACATGTATGTACCTCGCCTCACTCGTGATATAGAGTATAGACAGGCAGCGGGCTATCTCACTCTAGACAAGGAACTCATATGTATATATTCTGGGGCATTCTAGCATATGTTATAGAAGCAATAAGTGTAACTAATGAATTTATATTTGAACTCTTCTATATAGTCAAGTGAGATTAAGGTTGCCATCCAATGACGTCACCTCTTCCTCCGGATTCAATATCGTCCCCAATCCTATTCATCTCCAAACTCATGCCTGCATCTTTCCCCTCGGTCAATTGCCGCTACATTTCCCCTCCTACTAATCTAAGAGCCTTTCTCTCATTTCAGATATCTCTAATACAACCTAATCTCACCAAACCTCTCCCTCAATCCCCAAAAAAATGACCTTCCTCCTCACCCGTCCCTCCGCCGTCCTAGGCATCGGCCTCGGCCTCTCCCTCTCCCTAAGCCCCCTCTCCCCCATCCGCTCCACTCCAATGCAATGCCAATACAACGCCCCTTACTCCCGACCCGACTCGCAAGCCTCCCCGGACTCAGGCTGGACCCTCGACCGCAACGACCCCGCGCTCCTGAAACAAGGCGCCACGAAACCCACTTCCGCGAGCAGGATTCTGACGGCGTCGAATATGCGGCAGGTGAGCTTGGGGAGTGTTCTTGGATTCGTTGTGGGAGTGGGATTGAGGGCATTCTCAAGGGTTTTGGTTGTGTTGTTGGGTATGGGGGTTGTTTTTGTTGAGGTAGGTCTTGATGTGTTGTGATTTGATGTGGTTTTCAGTACCAGACTGATGTTGGTTGTTTAGTGGGCTGCTGCGAAGGGGCATAATGTGCTTCCGGTGGATCGGTTGCAGAGGTTTGTTAAGGGTGTTGATTTGCAGAAGGCTGTGTCGCAGAATAAGCCGTTTAAGATTAGTTTTGGGGCGACCATGGCGTTGGCGGCGTTTGCGCAGTTTTGAACTTGAGGTGTTTTTGGTTGGAGTTGGGGTGTGATCGAAAAGGATAGATTGGTGGGGTGATTGATAGGCGGGGATTGCACACTATGTGTATATATATGTAACTGTATACGGAGACAGTTGAGAGAGTAATGTTCCATCAATTCAAATTTGTTAGCTTTAACAGCTTCATATACTACATTGTGTTACAGGGGTATCATGTACATAAAATGGCGCCGTATAAAATACCGACCATCAACTCAACACTAGGTCTTCTAGGACCCCCTCCATTTCGTCTCGCGGCAATGGCACACTGAGGATTTCCATTCCGCTTGGATCCAACCTCGACGTGATCATTTGGTGGTCGTGGAACTCCTTCAGTAACGTCCTGAACATCATCTCCGAGGATGCGATGAATTCTTCGGTGGCCTTCTGGTACAGCATGCGGAATTCAATGCCGACTTCGTCCCTCGCGTCTCCTTCGCGTCCTACTCCGCCGCCCATCTCATCATCCGAGTTGTGTCCTTCGTCGAACATGGAGATGATTTCGGTCAGAAGCAGTCGGTACAGATTCTGTGCGTTTTCCGGAAGACTCTTCAACACAAACTCAACACCTTCTTTGCCTCCAACCCGGCGTCCCTTACGTCCGAGCAGGTTATGCACCTCTTCCACGACATCAAATTCGGTGTCGAAAGGTGCAAATGTTGTGCAATCGTGGAAAACGAAGTTGAGCTGGTCCCGGAGACTGATATCCCACATCAGCAAATGGTTCGGTGTATCCGCCGTCACGAGGAGATGGATTTTGGGCGTAGCAGCAAGACGCGCAAGGAGAGCTTGGTTTGCTGCTCGGCGAAGGGGCGGCGCATCAATGGAGTTGATTAAGACGGTGATCGGCCTTTGTGATGATCGTGACTTCAGCACAGACTGCAGCAGTTCCAGGACCTCTATCGGTTGAGAACCCATTTTGGAAGGAATGTCAGCACCAAGTACGGCGGTGACGATCGTGGCAAAGATCGACCGAATGGAAATGTTTGGTGTGTGTCCATTTACCACCACAATGGATGGAGGAGCGGAACTATTCTTCTGATAAAGCCAGTCCGCGAAATCTTGCAGTAGAGGACGCTTCGAGCCGTACCCGTACAAGCAAATATTGTATCCTTGCTCAAACTCAAAGTTCCATTGCGAGAATGACCGATGGTGTAAATCGAGCAAGAATGCCTTTTCTTTCTGACATGGGTCCACATACTTTGCCATCTTCTCGAAATACTCTTCGTGTGTCAACAAGGACACCTTATTTAAGTTGTTGTTCGACGTCCGCGGAGGACCGGCTCGGTTCTGGAAAAAGTATCGCTCATGTGCTGGGAGTTCTCCTTCGGGCGTTGGAGAACGCTTATTCTTTGCGCCTTTCGGTCTTCCTGCCCGGCGCTTCGGTGTTTGGGTGGTCTTGTTTGCTTCATCTTCTCCCTCGACCGTTTCGATTACACCTTTCTCTGCAGCAGTCACATCGTTCTCGTGCTGCAAAATTTCCTCTGCCAGGCGATCGGCTCCGTCCCAGTCTTCGTCATCGTCTTGCTCTAGAAGAAGCCGTGCGCTTTTCTTCTTCGCGGATCGGTCTGCGTTCCGCACTCTGGAAGGGGTAGAAATGGCCGTAGCTTTCGTAGGAGTCGAGAATAGAGATTTTGCTTTGGACTTATGTGTGGGCGTTTTCAGTCCGGATTCTTTCAATGCTGCGGGTGTCGCCGTGCTTGGCTTCTGAGGTGTTGACTTTATCCGCTTCGAGGCAGACGCCTCAATGAAGGGATCCTCATCCGCACGGCCATTTGCTGTGTCATCGAAAGCTATGGTCCTCTGTCTCTTGGGCGTCGAGACCGGACGCTCGTCACTCGAATCTGGTTGCTTACGCTTCATGTCAGTATGTACCAAGTACAAGCACAATTGGTAGCGAAGCAGTTAATACCATCCAGACGCAACTGGTGAATCAGAGAAAAGGAGAGGTAAACGCAAGGGTCGAGCCAGGGAGCGCTATTTGGAATGTTGATCTTTAGTCCTCTATCCCTCGTAGCTTTTCTCGGCGCGTCTAGAACACACACGGGTAACTGAACAAGGATGAAAGCTATGGGCCGACTGTTTATCCGACTCCGCGGTATCGGAGCAGTAGTCATTGAATGGCGACCGGTGTGGATTTCGAGTACTTCCAGCGCTCACCACGAAGCTGCGAATTTCCGTCTCAAGTTTAGTCAAAGTCTCGCTGTTGTGCTTTGGCCGTGGTGTATTCGTCCGCTAGCCCAAAAGCAGGCAGCATTGAGTCATTTAATCGGCAACTTTTGTTTTGAGCCATTTTCCGTCCTATCAACTATATAATCTCCCCGCAACCAATCCCGGTTCCTCCGTACGTCCTGTGTCTGCCACATATCCCTCTGAGAGAGTCTGTACACTGATAGCTGTTGCTAGTCTGTGGCTCCAATGGCCTCTCCTGCTCAACCTGCAGCCACAATGGCTGCTTTCGCCAGGATGGTCAAGGGCCAGGTGCGCAATTATTCCGCACCCGTGGACATGGCCATTCCTGCCTCCAAGCGGAAGTTCATTCCCTCGTCCGGGTCATACCCTAAAGGCTTCGTCGTCTCCGGGACACATGTTGGTGTCAAAGCCTCGAATACCAAGTTCCCCGATCTCGCTTTGATCTCATCCGAAACCCCATGCTCGGCCGCGGCTGTTTTCACCACGAACAGGTTCCAAGCTGCTCCGGTTCAAGTGAGCAAGGATATCATCAAGACCCGACAGGGTCAAGGCATCCGGTCCGTGGTGATCAACTCGGGTTGCGCCAATGCTGTCACCGGCAAAGGAGGTCTGGAGGATGCAGTGAGCATGGGCAAGAAGGTAGACGAATGCAATGGTCTCAATGAGCCCAGTACCCTCGTCATGAGTACCGGTGTCATCGGCCAGCGGTACGCCACCCAACTCAATTATCAAGTCCAACAAAAATCCTAACATGACCACCATAGCCTCCCAATTTCGAAAATCCTCGACAAGGTCCCAACAGCCCACTCAACCCTCTCCTCCACGCATGACGCCTGGCTCACCACCGCCCGCGCAATCTGCACAACAGACACCTTCCCCAAGCTCCTCTCGCGGACATTCACGCTCCCCTCCTCCCCAGGCCGCACCTACTCCCTTGCCGGCATGACCAAGGGAGCCGGCATGATCCACCCGAACATGGCCACCCTACTAGGCGTGCTCTGCACGGATGCCCCGATCGAACCACCCGCCCTCCAGTCCCTCCTCAAGTACTCCGTTTCCCGGTCATTCAACTCCATCTCCATCGACGGCGACACGAGCACAAACGACACGATCGCCCTCCTCGCCAACGGCGCCGCAGGCGGAGCCCCCATCAACTCCTCGTCGGACGACTACGCCGCAATGCAAGAAATCCTCACCACATTCGCACAGTCGCTGTCTCAGCTAGTCGTGCGCGACGGCGAAGGAGCCACGAAATTCGTTACCGTTCGTGTCCAAAACTCTCCCGATTACGAATCTGCTCGGTTGATCGCTTCGACGATTGCCCGCTCCCCGCTCGTCAAGACCGCCTTGTACGGCAAGGATGCTAACTGGGGTCGTATTCTCTGCGCGATCGGTTATACGCAGGGTGTTGCGCCCGGTACTGTTGTTCCTGAGCGGACGAGCGTGAGTTTCAAGCCTGTGGATGGTAGCCCTGTGCTGAAATTGCTGGTGAATGGTGAGCCGGAGCAGGTTGATGAGGAGCGCGCTAGTATTATTCTCCAGGAGGAAGATCTGGAGATTGTTGTTGACCTTGGTGGTGGTGAGAAAGGTGAGCAGGGTCTTGGTGGTGAGGAGGCTGTTTACTGGTTCTGTGATTTTAGCCATGAGTATGTCACTATCAACGGTGACTACAGGACTTAGATAGCGTTGTGGTGTATTTTATACCCATTTGAAAGGAAACATAGGTAGGGACGTCTGATGCGGATTTCTAATATTGGATTACGCTCGAACCTACAGATGTCTGTTTAATGATTGTCATAGCAATATTAGATATCATTTTAAGATCTTTTATAAAATATGGTTACAAACCAGGTTCATGCTATATACAACTGCAGCGTCGCCGAAAGGTTCATTACCTTCCCTAGCAAAACTAGACATACACCCAAAAGTCAGACGGTCACAGCTGCAGCAGCGTATCACCTGGGAATGAACTGAAAAAGCAAAAGCATATCGAACCTACAATCCTTCTTTCTCATGCTGCTCATCAAAAAAAAAGTTTGAAAGTCCCTGCTTAGTTACCAGGAACAAGGCCCTTGAGGCCCGAACCAATATCGCCTTCACGAGCGGCGATTTCAAAGTATCCGTAGATGATTCTGAAACTATTGTTAGCAAATAGTTCTAGAGTAGTTGACTAAGAGGTGAACTTACGTCACGGCAAGAAGAATACCAGTACCGCTGCCAAGAGCACCAAGGAGGTCAGAGGCAACAGAGAGAGCGCCGATGCAAGCACCACCGAAGGCGGCAGCAGTAGGGATGACACGCTTAAGCTCCTTGTACATGCTCTGCTCACGGTGGCCGGCCATCACGAGACCCTGGTCCTTGAGCTGCTTGGCTACATCACGGGGGGCAGAGCCAGAGACCTCAATCCAGGTCTTGGAGAACAGTGCGCAAGCAACCAGCATGAAGGTAATGTAAACAGCGGTGTGGATAGGGTCAAGGAGAGCCTCCTTGAAATTGAGGGGAGGAGACATGTAGTAAGCGATACCGGAGGAAGCATAAAGCTGGGCGGATCCTTCACGGGGCTCCCAGACTCCGAGAAGCTTGACCAGGAGGTTGTCCGAGAAGCGAGAGTACAGCATCTGACTGATGAGGAAGATGTTGGAGCACAGAGCTGACTGGAGCATGATGGGCATGTTAGAGGTGTAGAAAAGACGGACGGGGTAAGATCCACGCATTCCACGCTGGCGAGAGGATTTAACGGGGATCTCCACACGGAAACCCTGGAGATAGATCACGGCGGCGAAAACGAGGAGCGTAGCCAGCAAGTTCATGACGTTAGGAAGGTTCTGGCGATAGAAAGCTTCACGCAAAGCACGCTGCTTGTCGGACCAGGTCAACAGAAGGTGGAACAAAGCGATGATAGCACCCTCGAACTCGGGGCCACGGCCAGTGTTGATGGTAGTAGGAGAGAAAGCTTTCCAGACAATAGACTCGCAAATGTTGGTGGCAATGAAGAGGGAGATACCGCTTCCAAGACCGTATCCCTTCTGGAGCAGCTCATCCAGAAGGATGACAACAAGACCAGCAACAACCAGCTGAACAATCAGCAGGACACAGATACCAGCACCAAGATCACTTGGCTGGCCATAGAGACCAGTCAAGACATAGACACAGGCCTGGCCAAAGGAAAGAATGATCGCGAAAAGCTTCTGGGCGGTCTGGTACAGTTCACGGTCGGTCTTGAGGTCAAGGTTGACATCGATGAGGTGGGTACCAGCGAGGAGCTACTCAGAACATAGGCCAGTTAGCGGCGCTTGCGAATCAACATATCGGGTTGTAATATTTGATACGCACCTGGAAAACCATGCCGGAGGAGATGATAGGGGTGATACCCAATTCCATCAGGGTACCACGGTTACTGGCCAGCATCATACGCAGCCAGTACAGGGGATCGGAAGTATCAGAGGAGACAATGCCATAAAGAGGCATTTGGCTCATGACCAAAAAGATCAGGAGTGTCAACTAGGCCGATCTGTCAGTCTCGAAAGCTCTTTTGCGCTCGAGTAAACTAACGTACCCCAGTCCACATCAGCTTCTGGTTGAAGGGCACCTTGGTTTCCGGTGCTGCCACCTCCGGGAGGAGGGGCGTAAAAGGTTTAATTAGATCAAGAAAGCGAACTAATTGCCATTATCAGTAATTGCTGAGCCATTGAGACCAAAGATAAAGTGCTGTTGCAGGAATTGGCTGTGATCGCGTGTAGGGCACTTACGTCCACTCATTGTGACTTTCCAGCTTCCAAAACACTTTGAAAAAGTAGGGGAGGGAGAGAAAAGAAAATGAGGCCGGTGGAAGAGCCAGCCGAAGGAGCGGAAGGGAAAGACAAGAATAAAAAGAAGAAGAGAAGAAGGGAAAGCGGTCGAAGTAATAGGATGGGGAAGGGAAAGGGAGCGATGAGGTTGAGTTCAGGTGCGAAGCAATAGTCGCCTCGCTGGCCACTTTCCCAGACGCGCTAACCCGTTGAGGCCACTTGGTCGCTTTCCTCCGCAGTCTTTTGATTACTTACCACTTGGTATTACGGATCACGACAGATTTAGTTTAGGTACAGTATCATTAGGTAGGTACTTGCTGTCTCTTTTTCTAATTATGACTCAGGTTGAATGTGGACACATAGAAGTAGACACCTTGTGATTTTTTGATTCCCTAGTAATTTTTCAACTCGCTTCTAGCTTCAAGAGAAGTACATATAGTACATACATACGGTGCAGGTACACTTCCTTCCAGAGTAATACCCGCGAGACTTTCTGCGACTGAACTAGAAATATTCCAAACGTCTAGGTTCCATTATTTGATATAGACTGTTCAAGCTAATAGGTATCGTGGTATAATAACAATTCATTCCAAGCGGATTCAGAAAAGAACAAAAGAAAAGTAAAGGAAAAATATCACGCTTGTCTCTCCATCGTAGGTATGGGCCATTTCAAAGGTCACCCGTTTATATCTTGTCATCTTAAGACGCTGTATGTTTTCATGGTAAATAAGGAAGCTCATATCCCTTCGAGTACATTCCATATTTATTAGGGGCCGACCATGATCAGACAATCATCGATGACCATCTCAAGTTCGCCCAAACGCTCTTTCAAGCCTTTATTTTCTTCCTTGAGAATACCTAAGACACTCCAGGCTTCAGAAGAAGGAACGCCGTGACAAATTCCACATTTGGAGTTATTCATCCACGAGCCGGCAATACCTTTGATCACCCGGTCATACGTCGATTGTCGTGGTGTCGGTGTTTGGGGGAGAGGTTTGAGTTCTTTGTCTTTCAGAGGGGTCGAGACTGCTGCAGGTAATGTGATTTGAGAGATGCTGGGTGAAGGAGCTACTGTAGAAGAGGGTGATTCAAGACCCTCCCGCCGCGAGAATACGCTTTCTGCGAGACTTTCGTCTCCCGAATCAAAGCCCGAATCACTAGCATATGTAGCATTGCTAGCCCTTTTCAGGCTCCGCTTAGGAGTCTGAAGATCAGCACCCAGGTCGGAGATGCTCTCATCATCACTAGATCTGATGAGCCTGATGCTGCGCAAGCGCGCTTCATCTTCTCTTTGACGCAGTTGTCTCTCATGCTCCAATTCTTCTGCCATGGCATTCATGGCCTTTTCTTGTTGATTTACCTTCTCTGCCATACCATCTAACTGTATCTTCAGGCTTCCGACTCGCGTCCGGGTTTCTTCGAGCTCTTCCTGTTTCTCGCCTTTGTCGGCTAGTGCTTCGTGTAAGGCGAACGTTCTCTGCTTATATGCCGCCTGAAATCTTTTAATAACATTCTCCGCGTTGCTTCTAAGAGTGTCGAACGCTTCTTGGTCGTTGGGACTGGTAGATGCGGTCGGAAATAGAGCAGCAGCGATGTCTAGATTCAAGAGTTCATCATCTGCAGGCTCAGGGAGCTCCAATCTGGTTTCCTGGCGCTTCAACCCAAAGAAAGAGAAAGGGCTCGACGAGGTTACCTGCTTTAAGGGTGAAGGTGCCGTCATACGCTTTTGTGCCCGAGACGGCGGGAGCCTAGAGGATCCGTAAAAGTCGCGGGTGTCCATGGTCGATGTTCCGGTAGACTCTGACTGAGAAACCACCCCCAGATTGACTGGTTCGGACTTCCCCTGAAACCAGCCCGTCAATAGCTTCGCACCTTCTTCGAGTTTCCTCCGAGTGAGATTCTCCGCTGGCGGGCTTGAGGTCCCGTCCCGATTGTCGAGGTCTTCTAGTGTCTTGGACTGATCCGCAAAGAGTTGTCTGGCCGGCAGAGGCGACTGACGTCGAACAATAAACTCGGTATTTGCACGACGGTGGAAAGACTGGTTGGGCAATGACCGTTTCTCTGGCGGAACTGCATCCGAGCGCTTTGCTAGCGAAATCGCAGGAACGTCTTGGTGGGACACCGGGGGGTCATTGCAGGGCTGAAACGGTCCTTTTCGCTCGGTCGGAGAATTTATCGAGGGGGGGTTCGGAGTGTCGATGACGGACGTGGCAGTAATCGAGGGATGATCGGTGTCTTGGAGCATGGTCAAGCTCAAGTTTGACTGGGCCGGGGGTAGAAAAGGGATGGGTCAGGAATGATGTAGGAATGCGATTACTCGCACCACCTGGACAAGAGCAGGAATGCCACGTCGATAGGCAGTCCAGTCCAATGAACGGTCACCCACAGCAAACTCTTGGTTGGAAAGTCAGAAAAAGGAGAAGCGGAATGTGACCTCCTGAGACCTGGCCGGTCTCTTTGCTCGATTCTGGTTGGAAGTGGGGAGGTTTCGGACGAAGTCAATGGAGATGAGGTAGATGGGTGAATATGGACAATTTTAAACGTGTAATGACTGTGGCTCAGGAGCAACGAATTATTAAAGAGAGGAGTTGTTGTAGCAGCAAAGAACCTCGAAAATTGTAATACCAAACGCCAAGCGATAGCGATCAAGTAACTTAGTCCGCCGCACGTGCCCCTATATCACGGAAATATGTGTGAGATTCTTCTATACTCGATCTAATTCCGTAGTTCGCACTTATTTTGGGGCTTGATTGGCAGTAGTATGAAGCGCTAGAGAGGGGATTCAGATGGTTTGAGATCGTTTCACTTGATGGGACAGTTAAGCTCCTATGAAATGCGGAAATATCGAGAGGTTGGTGTATATTGTTTTGAAAAAAATTGCGGTGGCTGAACAGCTTCTTTCAGCACTCCACTACGATGAGGCAATACATTAATATGACAGGATCCTGGGCACGTTATGAGTGTTGATCTCCGGGCTAGTTTGTTTATTATTAGACTAATTTGCCTCATAGGTCAGCTATTCCGTACATGCTTAACATAATCTGCCCCATACATATTCATCACTGCACAACGTCATTTATCTGCATGACTGCACGACACCCTCGTGGTCTCTGAGACAACTCTATGGGAAGAGATACACGCAGGAGGACTCAATATTGAGTTGCATGCATGTCTGATGAAACAAGGCCCGCGTCCAGACTTTCGTATCATTGTTTCAAAGCAGTAAGATTATCTGCCCGTCGATCAGACCCTCCGATGGTAACCAGCCAATCACAAGTTTTTGAAGACTGAGATATCTGCGGCATATATAGTGGGTATTAGCTCTAATTACTGTGATACAGGGTATATTGCATGAAATTATCAAAGGTGAAATCGTTTACCCCCATGATCTATCTATCTGCAGGTTGAGATCTAATATGAGACAAAACCACGGAAATGAACCGGGACGCGGCCCGTGGGTCGCAGTTGTCATCTCCAGATGTCCAGGAACTAAGCTTGTGCTAGATATAGTTTTGTAAATTTCTTCCGTTTTATCTAGTCCTTTGCTGGCAAAACTTAGACCAGAAAAACTCGTATTCTCTCTTTCTTTCCCATGCTGAGACTGCCTTGACTTTATAGTCACGGATTAAAAGCCAATCACCAACACTAGCCAATAATTCTAGTACTAGAAGGGTTGTCCAGAGCACGGGCTTCTAGCAGATCGAGCGCGGTATGAGGGTAGCCTGCGAAGTATTATACGTATTTGAATAGAGAAATGGATACTAATCGTATCGCTAATTTGTCGGAGGTCGACCTCAGCGCGCATACTCCGCACTTGATCACAGGATTACAGTTGTCGGCGGGAAACAGCTATAGCATTCTAGCTCCTATCCAGCTTGTCAAGACGTCCATAAGTGTTGTTGATAGACCTATAGAGAGTATATACTGTATCATCCTCCTGGTCCTGGGTCTAATGAGCACGGATTAAATACGGAGTAACTAGAGGGTTCATAGCTATTCGAAATAGTAACTCTTTGTTTTTCATATTTCTATCGGTTATAGACCCCCAGGATTTCGATTTTTTGTAGTTCGCAAAGGATTCACGAATTAGGTAAAGGCGGTAAGATTGCCGCAGAGCTTCCATCAATTTTGCCGATGTCATGGTGAACAAGCCAAGCCCATGCCCATAGACCAGACATTGCCAATATCGCATGAGCGCATAGTCGCATAATTTTTGTATTATTGAGATTCGACTATCATTTAATTTTAACGGATCTCTCCAATTCTTTAACAGCCGATGGCCCGCTCATCCGCAAACGGACTGAAATACTTGTCCAACGCCCTTGCGACACCAGAACAACTATCTAATTCATCCTCATCTATTGATGGCGTTGCTCCGGAATTAGAGACATCTATTCGATTTGCCGGCGCTCAGCTCACCCAAGCTGCTGGGGTGTTGCTCCGGTTGTCGCAAGATATCATCGCACAAGCTGTTGTGACATTTACCCGGTTCTGGATAGGCGCTGAAGGCGGGAGCCTTCGAATCTACTCTGTCAAGGTTCGGATCCGCGATATTGTCTTATAATCTCAGGTTGTAGATTGCTGACATGGTGACTTGCGCAGGATGTTTCTGCCGCAGCCTTATATATGACTGCCAAGCTATCTTTTCAACCGACCTCCCCTCGATCGGTACTGAATGTCTACACCTTCCTACTATCTAAAGATGCCTCGCCTCTTTGGTTTATAAACCCGAAAGGAGTCTCAGAGAAGCCCACCCCTGAGACATACTGTCTATCCGAAGGGGGCTACCAGAGCCAGCGAACGGTGCTCCTACGAATCGAATCGATTATTTTGCGAACATTAGGCTTTAACACCCACGTTGCCCTGCCCCATACAATTGCATTAACCTACCTCCAAACCCTTGGCGTATCATCTTCCGCTGTTGCACGTAGAGTCTTTGAGCATCTTAACGCGGCTCTTCTGTCACCACAGCTGCTATATACGACGCACCAACCAAACGCCCTCGCCGTTTCTTCTATATACTTGGCAGCACGAGAAATTGGGGTAAAGCTGGTTGACGGCGAGTGGTGGGAAGTCTTTGATGTGGATCGGGAAGAGCTTGGATTTCTAGTGGTAGGCTTGAGAAGTATGGAGGGCTTTGCACTAGCAGAAGTTGAGAAGTGGAGGGGCCGTGCGGTACCTATGATTGTGGATGAAGTGGAAGCAGAGATAGAGAGAAGGAGGAGGATGGCAGAAGGCGAGTGATGATAGAGAACTTCATTCGCATCACCATCCTCGCATCTTTGACTCAAAAATTACTTAAAGGGCTCCTAGGGGCGACCCTTCCATCATGCTTTGACGATACGTCAGAGTCAAAGGATAGGGGATGGGGTCGAGTGTCGATCCCGAGTATCGCTTGGCCCTGTTTGGAGATGCCACAATCCTTTTCCCGGTACAATATTGTGTCCGAAAGGCTCCTGGCATCACTTCGAGTTCGTTGGCAGGAATACAACTCGATAAGTGTGGCCTTGGCCTCAGCTCGTGAGTCCAAACAGAAGTACCATGAACGGGGTAAGTGTATATAAAAACAATGATTGGCTATACTTTTGGACCTAGTCCAATGAAATGTAAAATCAAGATAGTACGTTTGGTCAGAATGTACTGTTGCATGACTCGAAGCGTTGCCTAAGCCTCACTGTCATGGTCGATGACATCCATTGCCTCAGCCACATGATATACCCCGCGTGCCGCCGAAACCCATAGACCGCCACACTGCTGATAAGATGCACTAAACAACTAAAGCTTCTCCCTTTCTTTCTCAAAACCTCCATTATACCGCAGCTCGTTATATTGGCCCAGCACAACTCATAAAAGATATAGTTGTAACTATGAATATTCTTCATTCCACTCTCTCCACTTGGAGAGACCGCCTAGCCCCAGTATCTCGCACCTCCACCTTCCGCAACACCGGCCAGATCACCCCCGAGGAATTCGTCCTCGCAGGCGACTACCTTGTCTACAAATTTCCATCGTGGTCATGGGCCGATGCCTCTACCCCCGCAAAGCGTATCTCCTACCTGCCACCTGGTAAACAGTTTCTCGTCACCCGAGGCGTGCCCTGTCACCGTCGCCTGAACGACAACTTTGCTGGCGATGCGGGCCACGATGACGAGATTGTTAGGGATATGCTGTCCGGAGGGACAGGTGGTGATGACGACGATGGATGGCTACGAACTGGTGGAGGCCAGGATTCTGCAGACCGACAAGAGAATAGGATAAAAGATGTGCGAACGGTGGATGAGTCGGGGAACATGGGAGAACGAGAGGAGGAAGAGGATGAAATTCCCGATATGGAGGATGAAGATGACGATGAAGAAGCTATAATCAGAGAACCGGTCGGCGGATCTAGGACTACGCAGTATGTTCCTGCCAGCTTTAAAACCACCTCGGACGCCTACAGTCAGCTTTCTAACATTGTACATACAGGCCTACTCGCACATACAACCTGTACATCACATATGCCAATTTCTATCGCACACCGCGTCTCTACCTGTCCGGTTACCTCTCGCCATCAGAACCTCTTCCACCACCCCTGATGATGGAAGATATTGTGGGCGACTACAAGGACAAAACCGTTACCCTTGAAGACTTCCCCTGGTACGATGGCAACGTCAAGATGGCCACAGTACACCCATGCCGGCACGCCTCGGTGATGAAGACTCTCCTCGATCGTGCAGATGCAGCGCTTAAACTTCGCCGCGAAAAGTTAAAGCTGGCCCAGTCAGACCCATCCAAAGTTCCCTCGGCCGGCGAAAGCGGTTTGGAGGGCTTAGTCGATGACATCAAGGCACTCTCACTGAGTGACCAACAACAAGGTAGTGACAAGAGTGGCGGAGATGAGTGGGAGGTTTTACAGCACGATGAGGAAGACCAGGTTGCCATCAGGGTGGACCAGTATTTGGTTGTTTTCCTCAAGTTTATTGCCAGCGTGACACCAGGGATTGAGCATGATTTCACCATGGGAGTATGATTCAATGTATTTCGCGTTTACGATCTCTTATTATATGGTTGTCGAGTCATTTCTGGTTGCGTTCTTTTTTTTCTGGCGTGAGGGGTATAGTCACGACGGGTCACGACGGCGTGGGTTTACAGAACAACAATTCGGAGTATTGCAACTGAATTCCGACAGGTTAGTTTCTAGAGGTTAATCAAATCTTTCTTCCTTGCCTTTGTTCTCTATGTTATATTTGACCCCCTAAGTGTAAGCTCTCCGGTCTATATATAATCGCTCACAATATATATGCTACGAGAGAATCCTATCTAGAAGCAAAGTAAATCGATGGAATTCCCTTTTTCGCCTTTCCTTCTCTTTACCTTTAGGTGTACCTCAAAAGCCTAAAATCCTAGTTTCTCATTTTCCTCTCCCACTCTTGTGTTTGACATTCTATAAAATATATATTATACGTTATCGTTTTCAGCTTCATTTGAACATCATAACAGCTCTGTGCAACTGTTCCAGAGCTAGAGGAAAGGAGATAACTTTTTGTCTTTACTGATCCCTGTCTAATTACCTCCATAATCATCTCACCGTAGAGTTGAGACTACTCGACAGGCAGTACATGACCTAGAGGCCCAAGTCTGGTCAACATGTATATATACATCCTTATCACAACGACACAACAAACCAGAGTCGATCGTAACGAGTTACTCAATCCCTATAACCGTAAATCTTAGTCTAAGTTATCAAACGTTTATACTGATCCTTATCGGAATTATCAAGCTAGTCACCAGCAATCTAATCTATCAAAATAAGATCACATTGCAAATAATAAACCCAACAGCAAGAATAACATATAGAGACGAATACACCCGAAAATAAAAAAAATATATAGGGTCAACTGCCGCGGACTCCTCGGAACGTAGAGATTAGAGGCAATCAACAGGTCAATTTTCACATAAAGAAAGGTAAGGGAGTGTGTTGGAAGGGTGTTTCAGGTTTGGTATCAGCCCTTTGACAATAGAAAATACGCGGTGCAACAAACAGAATTTAGGCTGCGCATTTGCAGGTGGAGGCTGGCTCTGCTGGAGATGCAGAGTGGGGGATGGTGGGCTCTAGAACGGCCACCGGCTCCGGTGCAGGCTGACGCTGAGGCTGACGCTCTGGCTCGGGGGCTGGGCATGCTTCAACTGGTTGTTCGGGACCCTCAACTGGTGGGGCAGGAGCAGGTGCAGGAGGGGATGGAGCAGGAGGGGATGGAGCAGGAGGAGATGGTGCGGGAGGAGCAGGAGCAGGAGCTGTGGTTAGGGGAGGGGTAGGTACAAAGGGGGTTGGGGACGGAGGCAGAATGGGCTGGACCGGAACTTTAGTAGGTGGAGGGGAAGGCTCTGGTGCTTTTGGTGTAGGAGTGGGAGTCGGGAAAGTCTCGGGCACTGGCTCAGTCTCTTCATAGCTGTAGTGTGCGAAGTTGCCCATCTTAACGCTAGGACCGTCCGGAATAGCGATGGTTGTGTCATCGCTGGCATCAGCTCCGGATGAGAAGCTGGAGCCGCCGTTTTTGCCAGGGTTTTCATGGTAGGAGGAGGATCCGTAAGCGCCGCTGGTGTATGACGGCCCGTCGGGGATTGAAATATCCCAGTTAGATCCTGCCTCAGCCTCGCTGTTGATCTGTCTTGAAACAATGCCGTAGTCCTTGTTCCTATCAGCGTACTGCACATAACTTATAAATAGAAGCCATATAGTCACTGGCCCAAATACAAGCAGCGTCTTACCTTGGCAACAGGCACGGACAGAACAGAAGCAGGTCCGGCAGTCAAGAACAGGCATAGGAGGGCCGAAAGCCTCTTCGAGTCGTACATTGTTGCGAGAGTCGAATCTTTTTGTAAAGATAGTAGATCGTAGAGCTCGGGTAGATCAAAGAGGAATATCCAATGATCAAGGAGAGACAAAAAACAGTGGTCCAATGAGTGGATTAAGTCAGTGAATGGTAATCGAGATTGAAATGAAAGAATGTGTTGATGAGAAGCAAGAATGAAGGAACCCAGATGGGTTTTTATAACCCTTCTGGAGAATCATGTTGCAAAGGAGACAGGGTCACTTCCTGAGAGCTCTACCCTTTCTAAGGATGTCGGATTACCTAGTTTTCAAGGTCAAGGGGCTTCAACACACAGGGTTGCAAGCCAAACCAAAAAAAAGAAATCTATTTAGAACGACAGGGCTATGCAGGTAACCGTAGAGAGCTGCTGCTAAGACTCAAGCTTAATCAAGGTGCATAGATGACATACTACTAGGAAACAGTCGTGGTTGAGGGAAAGAAGGAGATAAGATAGGGATCTAGATCTGAGATTTGACGCAGGTCTATGCAAGGAGACACAAACCTATTGGCGTTACCTAGTCAATATGAACAAGGTGAACTATCCCATCGGAAAAGGTGTTTCATTCAGTAAGGGTACACATGTTAGTAGTGTCAAATGTATATGGTACCAAAAGAGAAAAGCAAAGGTAATACATTGTTCCAAATCGTCACTCGTAACCCCCCCCAGAAATAAAGCAAAAAGGGCGCCTATCCCATATATGAAAGGTATGCCACAATTCAGTGTATGTTAAATATCATGCCGCTGTGTAGAGTATCCAACTAGACCCCAGCAAGATTCGACATCCCAAATGCAGTTCCGAAGTTTGTGGTGTTTTTGAATTTCAGCTCTGGCTCCTGGCTAGCGCGGCTTGCGGCCTCGGCCTCGGCCTCCTGAGGCTCTAACTCTCCATGGTATCCAAGGGCGTGCTTTGCCTGATCAAGGAGTTTCTGGTCTAGTTCCTTGAGAAAGCCACTATCGTGCTCTTCGTCGTTGAGTAGGGATAGAGGCCCTTTCAAAGCTGGATCGTCTGGTAGATCGCAGAAGTACGAATCGGAGCTTTCTGCAGGTTGCCGAGCTACTGCCGGAGCAAGGGGTTCGCCCTTCGACAACCCTTCGCTAGGAGAAGGTTGCTCCGTATCCTCATCAGCCTCGATAAGAACCATTGGGGTGTGCCCGGCATCCCTGGTTAGCCTTCTGTCCAATGAACCCAACTCCGAAAGTCTTAGTTTCAAACTGTTACGACGCTCTAGGGACCTTTCGGGTACTGAGGCTGGAGATGTCTCTTGGGGTGAGGGCGATGGAGGCGTCATTACGCGGGCGACAATTTCAGGGTGCAAGGCAGATGATTTGAGTGTAATGCCATCTAGTTTGCTGTCCAGCTTCTCAATTGGCACTGATACACTGGTGATAGTGGAATCGGCTGCATGGGCTTTAGGCGACAAAGCAGCATCGAGTGAAGGCGCTGAAATTGACAAAACTCCCCCTTGCTCCGAATGTTGACTGTGACTATCTGACTTCTCTATTTCGGGGAATACTCTTGTGGGCCGACTCCCGGGGCTAGAACCCTCCCACACTTGAGCGCCACAACTCTGGTAGTTCTGTTCGGGCTGTGGGCCGAACGGGTGTTTAAATAATAAACTTGGTTTCGATGAAGAGCGGGCGGAAGACTCTGTGGAGATAATAGCATTTCCATTCCTTTCTAACAGCGCCTCGAGTTTGGCGATCCTCAGTTTGAGTAATTCACGCTCTTTTGCCCATAACTGTCTTTCTTCAGCAAAGAGCAATCTTTCATTCTCAAAGCTGGCCCGTTGACGAACGAGGAGCGAGTGAGCTTGTTCGATGTAACTTGCACTTAAAGTCGAAGAGTCTCCCTTGGTGGGAATTGTCTCTGGGTAGTAGACAGCGTGGGTGTTTGGTACCGACTGTGTACGGCGGATGGGTGTTGCTGTGGGTGAAAAGCGCACCTCCTTGTAAACGCTGCCGTGGCCATTTGGGACCTTCGTAGCAATTGACGATTTCATGATGGTGGCGGTGGTGGTAGCCAAAACTGTCGAGTGAGACAGTTCAATGGAATGATTTGGTTTCCTATCCTGAAGTGGCTGATCTCCCTTCATAAAGGGATGACTTTGGGAGGAAATTTAGGGCAAAGGAAAACGGTGCTGGATCGAGAAAAAATTGGGTACTCAAGGACCATTAGCTACATTGATCATCAATTGACAGTCATGAAACAGTAACAAATGTTTGTTCGGTGGAGAATGCCCCCCAGACTGCGACGAATCGAACCAGGGAACCCACCAGGGGACCACATACAGGAGTGGCGAAAAGCAAACGACCCGTGCTAGTTGTTTCCAATGGCGGAAAAACAGATCAGTCACCGACTAATGACGCCTGAAGTAGCGCTGCAAGAGGCGCATGGGGGGAAATTATTGGGAGTGGTAAATGTAAAGCGGTGGATGCAGTTGAGACCAGGCGACCATACGCAAAGGAACAAGTGGACGGATGCGCCTGACTGACTGGGTTCACAGCATGCTACCTGGTGTTGTTACCTGAGCCTGAGATGTTAAATGAGAGGGTCTAACTGAAATTTAAGGCCCGTTAAGGCAAGTGCCAACCCAACCAAGTAGGCGTTCATGATTGGCCCACATGCGGGGGGAACTTACTTGAACTGTCACTATATCCTGTGGCTGGTTATGTTGTATGCATGTACGTACATACAGTAAGAGTAGGTAGAAATCCTCAGAAACATTAACAACGAAGTTCGGGGGTACTTTGTGTCTAATACCGATGTAAGTATATATATGTACTGCTAATTTACACTAAAGTAAAAATGACGTTGCGCGAATAAACGGAGTTGGAGTTGGATTTATCATGATGAGGGCCTGAGGCTGATCACGAGGGGAAGCAATGACGTTATTTTACCACTGTTACCCCCCCCCATTTTTGTTCCCTCCACATTATCAGATGTCAAACTTGACCCTCTAAGCGGGTGCCACCGGAAAATCCAATCAGTCTCTTGATATCCCATTCCTCTACTCCGATTGGTGATTGTAGAAAACCATCTAAGTCTTTAGTTCCCACCAAGTGGTGGACATCATGCAGAGTTACCGATACAGCAACTCCGTAATCTTGTGACGGCGAGTAGGAGGGCGGCTTGGCTGCTATCGTCCGCCGTAGCAGCAGTTCACCCTCCTTCCACCTTTACACCTTTACCACCCCCAACACCTGTACAGCCAATCAGCATGGTATGAATTCTCACACATGCTAACTAAATAATGTCAACTTTAATCACTCGACCGTACCAATCACTCCTGGTAATCTTTGTCTCTTGGAAAGCCCTTCTACTTCTCTTTGCAGTCTTCACCCCCGGCTCTGCGTACGACACCTCGACCACTTTACTCGAGGTGAACCGTAATGCATCCAATCTAGACCGCAATGGACCGTTGATGATAATATTGAGTCTAATTACCACCAAGCTAACACGATGGGATGCCATCTATTTCACTGAGGCTGCTCGCCGAGGCTATACATTCGAGCAAGAATGGGCATTTAGCTATAGCTTCTCGGGTCTCATCAGAACCTTTACTAATGGTGAGAGTGCCCCTGAAACGTTTCGGATGTACGGCTAATAACAATGTCAGCTCTCCGACGCACCGCCGACATAGACTATCCGTTACTGGAGAGTAGCGTTGGTATCGCTATAGCTCATGTCGCTCATTGCATATCGGTATTTGTGCTCTATAGTCTAGCACGCGCTGTGTTTCCTAAAAAGCAGGATCGCAAGCTTGCATTCCTCGCAGCATGCTTACATATCTTCTCGCCCGCCGGACTGTTTATGTCGGCTCCTTATGCCGAGAGTACACACGCGCTTTTCAGCTTCGTCGGATCACTCTTATTTGTACTAAGCTTTAGCCAATCGGGAGCTTCCAGCGGTCTCCAAGATGCGTCGATCCCGCTATCAGGTGTGATGTACGGGTTAGCGACTATTGTCCGGAGCAATGGCATTCTAAATGGCATACTTTTCTTTGAAGAAGCAGTAAGGCTCTTGTATTCGATGACTAAGAGCGTTACTTTCGCCAAAACTCGTCGCCTGCTCGCTGTTGGCATAGCTGGGGTCTGCACAGCTCTTGGCTTTGTGATACCACAATATATTGCTTATGGACAGTTCTGCATGAATAACAAGGACCCCAGGATATGGTGTCTTAGATCTATCCCTAGTATCTATAGCTTCGTTCAGGACCATTACTGGTACGTATACCACGTATGCCTTTCGGTAATTAGAATGTCCAATCTAACACGACTAGGGATAACGGTTTTCTTCGCTATTGGACGTTGTCAAACGTCCCGTTATTTGCCTTAGCCGGTCCAATGTTAGCAATCATGACATACTCTGCTTATTGGACCCTAAGCGTGAATTCGAACAGACAAAAAAAGGGAATTGCGCAAGCTCACCCGGAGTTGCGACTAACAGGCCGTCTGCTGCGTAGTCTGGCGGCTCCTCAAATGACCCTAGCTATTCTGACTTTTTTGAAGCACCACGTCCAAATAATCACACGTATGTCCTCGGGATATCCAGTGTGGTACCTCTGGCTAGCATATATTCTCATAGAGGGGTCCTCTCTAGCGTCTTCAGGAAAAGTGGGTGTACGCTTGGACAAGAAAGCGGCAAGTATCTTGAATCAGTACCGGTACGCACGCATGACTGTGGCCTATATGATTATTTATGCCGCTGTGCAAGGGGTACTTTTCGCCTCTTTCTTACCGCCGGCCTGAGCAACATACCGAAAATAAGCAATTAATACTACTACTTTCTATATACACTTCAACACGCATAATGGTACTTTGCCGTTTCTGGTTAGCTTAAATAACTGTTGTGGAGTCACTACTGCCAGTAGTAAGTCATAGTACAAGATGTATAAGCTACTAAGCTAATCTTGTTACAAGCTCTTCTCACTGCCATGGATTGCAATGCACTTGAAAATCTGAGATAGGTGCTGCCTAGGGCACCGGTCACAGGTATGATTTGCACGGTTGTTCTGATAGTCACGCATTATGGTCACTTGAATAATGCAAGTCTATTATTATGCCTAAGTCTATAACATATGCTATATATATAACCCCTTTAGGTCAACCCTTGCGCCCGAAAATCACACTTTCCATGTTAATCTCATATGACCTGATAACTCCCCGCTAATGATGCTGACCGATGAAGGGGTTCTCCAAACAAATTATTAATGCGGGTCGAGAATGATAAACAGTGATTAAGCCTCCGCATCAGTCTCCAAAGAACGTCATTGCGCATAGCCCAAGGGGACTTTTTCTTCCCCACCTAGAGAGAAAGTCCTCTAAAGCGGGGAGGACGACCAGGTATAATGCGCCCGAAAACCTGATGATGAATCCCATCGCAAAAAAAAAAAAAAAAACAAATGAAAATCACAAGCTAAAGAAACGACCACTCTTGCGACCCCCTCCTCCCCATCTGACATTTCCTCTTTGCCTCATCCATAACATGCCGATGAATAGACGGGAGCGCAAAAAACTGCATCTCCTTCTTCATGGCTCCGAACTTAGTCGCCAGATACCAGACCCCCCTGGCCGACAACTCCCTTCCGCCAACAGCCGCAGAAGGGAAATAGAACCTCGGATCAAGGTAAAACACCACACTACTCCAATTCGGTAACTTCTCACTCAGGATCCGCCCGGCACGCTCATACTCCTTCAACGTGCGCTTCGGCACCCCTGTCTGCGAATGCACGAAGAAAAAGATCTCAAAGCCGACGCTCCGGATGCGCCGGCGCGCCGTCTCACTAAGCGTGTCTAGGAAAGCCCCCAGCCGTTCCAGGTTAAAGGCATTCAGGAAGAAAAGCGTATTATGCGAATAGAGATAGTCTTCGACTTCGTCATGAATTTGCCAATTCACGTTGAGCAGGCTGCGGACTTTGCCGTTCTCGCCGACCCAGCTCGGACACATTGATAGAGCGCGGTAGCGGCCTCGCGCTGTGAAAGCGTTGCCCCGATCATTGACCACGATTAACGGTCGGTCCATGTATTCGTTCGGCACGTCTAGCGCGTATTCGTAGATCATTAGGCGAATTTCAAGCGGTAGACGGAGGAGCGGAGATTGAGTGGTTTGTGCCATGGTGATTGTTCTTACGCGGAGCTCCTGGCTCTAGCTTGTAGTCTGTTGTATGTCGAGTAGAATAGAATAGATATAGTCGTTTGAGTATATATAGCAGATTATTGCTTCGGAAGAACCGGATAATTCAGCATGTGAGGCAGTATATAAGCTCCCAACTCCGTGCAGTCATCGTCGACTGATATGTAACACCTTGTCGCATTAAGCCATAGCTCCCGGTATAGTAATAGTGTATATAAGGAAAGAAGATGGGATTGCAAAGGAGTCAGCCGAGCAAACCTTAGCGTCAGGATCAGCTCATGCCAAGTAAAACAATGTGTTGTTCATAACAGACACGTCTTAAGATGGAATTCCTTCTTATAAAATAGAAAGAGCCCAAAAAATTCAAAATCGTACCACTTTATCGGTCAGCTAACTATGGAACCCATTGCATTGTCCCGATCCGAGAAAAGGACCTTTTCCACGACGAATTTCGGTCCGAACCAACCGGCGTCAGGGGATGATGAAAGTTTATTTGCTGGGCCAAAAAAAATCTTTTTTTTCTTCGAGAAAAAGTTAATCGCCACCTATATTTGAGGTTTAATGGTTCCGGTGGATAATGGTTGAAGAAGAGATAATGATTTATTTGGTCGAGAACGAGAGTTCTCTATAAAGGATGCTATATAGATAGATAGACGGAGTGCGCTAGGGGAGTCGAAACCCTTCTACTATATGACGTGTTTTAGAGTATCTTGAAGTTATTATATATACGTCACAGAGCCTTTCTATTTAATGCAACTTGGTTCTTTATCTCTTTCCTAAGTTGTTACAGCTCTAGGGCCCGAGTTAGCACCGAGTTTGCCACTTAATAAACCGGTATATAGTATAGGAATCCAACAATAACAGGGTTAAGAAAAGTCTTATGACATGATAGAAACAGGAAATGCCGAAATCAGTAAAAGCTGAAGCAAAACAATCATTTGTCTTCCATTTACTCCTTCTAAATTGGGAAGCTCACGTCCGTCTATAAACGCCTAGTGACCATGCAGCTCGGAGGACTGCCAGTCCCCAGGCCATTCCGATACTGTCGCGCAGCACATTCAACTTGCTTCCAGTCACTTCCCGCCAACCAACTGGAACTTCTGCAACGGGAATTCTTGAAAACTCAGCAAGCATAAGCATTTCCACGTCGAAAATCCACCCTTCGGAGTGCATATACGGGATGATATAGGGTAGCGACGTCCGGGAAAACAACTTAAAACCGCATTGGGTATCTTTGATAGTGGCCGTCTTGGAAGGCGTCAAAAGCCATAAGATCAAGTGGAAGGAGTGCATAAGGAAATTGCGTAATTTCGACCGCTGTGTAAATATCAATGTTAGCCCCTGACGTCGCGACAGAAGTGGATATGCGGAAATGAACACGTAACCTGGGAGTTAAGACCTTACCTTGACCACAGCTTCGCTCCCAACCATATGCGCCCGCGAGCCCACCGCTACCCCACGTCCCTCAGCATCCTCGATCTCCTGACAAGCAGCAACAAGCTTCCCCAGATCCTGGAAATCACTAGCGCCGTCGGCATCGGCAAAGACCACGTATTGACCCCGGACGTGCCTCATGCCATGGGTGACTGCGCCTCCTTTACCCCGGTTTTGAGCTAGCGTCACGACTCGGATTGTCCCAGGGGGTATGTGAACTCCCTCCAGGGCGCTCGGAGTCCAAGGACCGGCATAACCTTTGGGATGTAACGAGAGTTGGTGGTCTCGCGCAAAAGTAAACGCCGTATCTTCTGTCTTATCCGTGGACCCGTCGGATACAATGATTATCTCCCAGCCTTTCTCATGCGCACGACCATTCGCTTCATGACCGTTTGTGGAACCATTGGTAGGTTTTCGCTGTCGAGCTGTCGTTACCTCCTTGGGAATACCGTCCTCATTGCGTAGCGTTCCGTACGCCCGCTCTAGGTAGTTGACCGCTTCTTCCAGCATGCCTCCAAGTCGTTTCTCTTCGTTGTAGGCCGGTATCACTACGGACATGTAAAGTTCGGCCTTTTCCAGAGCTGGGCGTTCGGGCGACTGGCGAGCGCCTTTGGACAGGGTGTCTTGCCAGCAAGGTAGTTGCTGAGGTTCTGTGATCGATCCATCCTCCGCTAGTGTTCGGTATTTCTTCTCTTCTGGTAAGGGTTCACGAGGGACAGGGGCGACGACAAAGAGGGCAATGTAAGCCTGTAAACGAGTAATCCCGATTAGCCAATGTTAATTGATCGCCATAGAGAAAGGGAGGGATTGAGAAAAGAGCACGTCTTTAAGAAAGTAAGGAGATCGGATAGATGGCACTTACGAGTACGAAAGCCCCGAAGAGAGTTGCGACAAGCGCGGTAAGAAGGATGGATGGAGGAACACTAGAAAGTAGCTCTGCGCAATGAGCGCAAACCTCAGACCACGGTTCTTGTAGCATGATAGCGTCGATCGATCGGAGAAGCTGAGGAAAATGTAGTATGGTGGGAATATGAGCCTAAGCGCTCAACAGAACAGGGACAACCCGGACTTGGCCAGCCATGCGACACGGAGCCTGTCTTGTAGAAACAAATATCATGGAGATTGATCGAGAAAGGGCATCATGTGTTGAGATGGGATGTGAGGATGATGTGAGGGGGGGAAATGCTGCGGACATATCTCCGACATGTTCCTGTCGCCAGCTTGTCCTTTTGGTGTTAGTGGATTCTGCTGCGCGCGTAGTCATTGGGGGACGGGGGGACCTTTGGCGGCGGATGTTCGTAAGGCACCCCACAGTTTAGCGTACCACCATCTAGATATCAAACGTAAGCCTGTCTCTGAAGATAACGTCTCGTCTGCCGATATTTAACCTAATTGGGGATGCCCCTGCTCATTAATATCTGCACCAGCTACCGTAGTCTGGAAGAGGGCGCTTCTGATTGATACTCTTCAATGGACTAGAGTTACAAATTCAGTCTAGCATGCTGAGCTCTTTCAACATGCCATAACTCAGTCATTGATTGACGCACAAAGGAGAAGGGGAAGTTTTTGAGGGTCCGCGATTGCCTACCCATAATTGACTGAAGCTTATACACTGACGTTAGGTTTAGTAGGGGCAACCGTGGGCTACCTAATAGTTGTCGACTGACCGAACCGTTCCCATTTGATCTTGAAAACGAAGAAATCAAAATATGGATCTTGTTCGATCAGTTGGGCCTAGCTGATGAAAGCATATTAGAATATTCTTTCTGTATCCCTATAGCTTCATTGGTTGGGTAGAAAGCTGAGGAGGATGTATTTTACATAATGACGCTCTGTTGGCATACAACAGGAATGAAAGAGTAAAAAGAGCGATAGGTGGAAGATTTCCATACGCACAAGCTACGAAGATTGCTGTATACACTCCCCTCTCTGATCGATGGAGTATCGCAAATAGAATGGGCGAGCCTCAGATAATGTGTCCATAGACTCCTGGGGGAGAACCGTTGAGAATATGGCAACCAGACATGAAGTCCGCTTCGTATTGACAAGGCTCCGAGCCTCATCAGGGCTGACAACTAGATGGTGTCCTCGTTCATCCACTGGAGCTGGCAGCCTTCTTCTACAAACCTAGATTTTGCTGTCTTAATCAAGGCAAGTCGTTCGCCGACTAAGGCTATACTGGGCAGACATTTTATTGGCGTAGTATGCAATAGCAATACACTCCGCTCATGAACGGTGAGTTGCGCATATTCTTGCTGGCTCTGATAACGATGGCGTGTTCTGCTTCAAAGATGGTGGCGATTCCGATCAAGGCTAGGGGTACACGAACTTATGAGAGAGGGTCGAAGGAGCGGTGTCCACGCAAGGGAAGGCAACTGTTCAGATTTCATTCTTTGCGGCAGTATTTGATACTGATACCCGATGACGTCCAACAGTTCGGGAGAGGAACACGATGCCCAGAGTGAGGTTCTGTTTGGCTTGGCGCAGGTAAGTCGGAGATCGACGAGGCTCGGTTGATTATTTGGCAATGACCCATCTATTTGACATTTAACGGTCGTATTTGTTGGCATCTGAGCACAGCGAAGGTGACCACTAAGACATACGAGTAAGCTGACAATATTGGTTAGACCCAGAGACCCCGGACAGGGGGTTGCTTTGTTCGAGACAACGTGGCGGGTTAGGCGTTACTTGCAACCTTTATACTTAGCTGGGATTGCAAGGCATCTGGCAGAATTGACTCATAAAGGGAACTACTTAGGCCTACTGCGTCTTCGAGTACCCACCCGAGGCTCACGCGCGTTGATTGTTTGCTGGAGCCAGGGATGCAAGTAGATGCAGAAGGGTGCTTGGGGTTAGCCAATCAACGGTCCCGTGACCCTCGGCAGGCGATATTTAGGCCGTCAGGCAACTCTTTCAATCAAATCTGGACTTATTCCGTACTTATGGGTAACTTTTCCAGGGCACAGCCTTCATGACATTTCAACTATTAATAGTAGTATTGGATCGCAAATGGTTGGTGGATCTTTAACCATGTAAAATGTACAATAATTACGGACGGATATCTACTACTATTTCCCTGTGTAACAAAAAGTACTCCGATGGTCATTCTCAGATTCAGTTTTAAGATCGATCGGTAAGTGCGTCATAGAGGAGCGCGCCCCAGAAATGTGGCTTTGTCACTTTTAGCGGTTCTGTTCGGTTCTATCAGCTCCTGGATTATCGATATAAACCTCGTAGATTAGAATTGATCTTCAATGCAGAAGCCGAATTGGTGCTTTATACATTGGCCAGATTCTTGGAATTTAACTTTTTATTTATTTTTTCTTTTTTTGTTCCACGGGGGAGTGGAGGATGGGGGAAGAATTTCTCCAGGGATCAACCGGGAAAAGAACAAACACAATTGTCTGAAGGCAACTGAAAGGCGGGCTGACTATCCGGATGTGGGCTCTGCATGGTTTGCTTTGACTTAAAATACCTAGTATCAGGCATTATTAAGTAAAGTATAACCCAGCCATTTTTCTCTCGGACCATTTTCCTGCTGCCCCTCTCCGCCTTCAATCAACTTACATCTCTCTCCAAACCAACAACACCATGTTGGCCGACTTTTCCTCCATATCTTAGTGTTCTTCTTTGTCGTTCGCTGAGTCACTTCGTGATCTCTCCCTAGTTGTGGGTTTTCCTCGTGCGTCAATGCACCGCGTCCAGCTCTAATTTGTTCGTTTTATCTACTAGGCAGATGGATGGAAGATGAAGCTAGTTGCCTAACCCATACTTATTACCTTCCTCTTCCTTCATAAGTAACCTCATCATTCCAGGTAAGCATCAGACTACATTTTTTTTGTACCATAATTAGACCCGCTTTTTGGTTACATTCCTTTGCTGCATCGTACCCGGACGATGTCATTGCGCATGTTGACATGTTAGAGCTTTAAGAAAACATTTCAGCTCTTTCTAACTTTTTCCTGTCTTCGCCCTTATATTAAACAAATTCCATTTGTTCTTGCGCACATAATATATCCCCTTACAGGCTTGGTAAATGAGAACGGCGCCGTTTCGCGTCCGATTTTCTTGGAGAATCTAGAGATCAGACGCTAACGGAAATAGATGACGTATTGTCAATGCTTCGATCAACTACAATGAGTGACGATAATATTGATCAGGAAACTTTTCCTTTACGAATCCGGAATTCAATAAAAGAGGAGCATTTGGGTTCCCTTGAGGTTGGAAACGAGCCAGACTTCCCCAAGTGAGTAATCACCCAGACCGCGGTAGCGTCTGCTATCTGCCATGTCTTTGTACAAGGATCCCACCGGCTCTTTATCGGCTGTTGTAGCAGTCTTCTAATCGCTTGTGTAGGAAGTCGGCTGTACCAGTGGTATCGGATGATGGGTCTCCAGCTGGGTCATCAACGACCAACCAGGCGCGCCACTCCGCCAGTTCTTCCCTTCTAAAGAGACTCGAGTCTAGTGGTGATGTTCCAAACGGTTATCTTGCAGATGGCCTGAGTGACCCCGGTAGTGAATGGGCATCTCCGAACAAGAGACGTTGCCAGTCACGGAAAGACCGACGCGAACCGTCCAGTACCTCCCCTAACCGTCCAATTAGCAGAACAATAACTGAAAGTCCAATACCAACAACTCGATTTCACGCAAACGATACCCACTTTCATAGTGCTTCTACTTATTCACCTGGCGACCTGGGTAGGAGTGGCGAACCGTCGCAATCGCACCATCGTGGAAACAGCTCCAATCAAGGTTTAACAGAAAGCTCACCTAAACCGAATGCGAGCCTTACACGGAGCGCTATGGCTTCCGTGTCTGCACCACCCGAATCAAGAGAGGGCTTGAGCCATGGACAGAAGATTGTTGGAGGGCACTCTGCGGTAGCTGGAGGTATAGAATCAACTGGGATCACCTTACAGCCAGAAACTCATCCTATAACAGAAGATCAATTAGCCAATGAGGTACGAGGAATATACGCCGGGCTTGTCATGGTGGAAAAGAAGTGTATCGATATCGTCAAGCAACAATTTGTCCAGGAAAGCGAGTTATCCCATCAGCAATGGCAAGCCTTGATCGCCTTACATCGAACCTTACTACAGGAGCATCACGACTTTTTCATGGCTTCGCAACATCCGTCAGCTAACCTAGCTCTAAGGAAATCGTCGGAAAAGTACAATGTCCCGGCTCGCATGTGGCGCTACGGAATCCAGACGTTTTTAGAATTGTTGCACCGTCGACTTCCCGATTCTCTCGAACACATGCTGACGTTCATTTATCTGGCTTATTCAATGTTGACACTACTGCTAGAAACTGTTCCGGCATTCGAAGAAACCTGGATCGAGTGCCTTGGGGACTTGTCAAGATATGGGGTGGTTATTGAAGAACGCGGTTTACTGGATCATGAGATCTGGGTCGGAATCGCAAGATATTGGTACAATAAGGCGGTAGACAAGAATCCTGATGTCGGCAGGATTCAACACCATCTTGGGGTTTTAGCACGGCCCGATATCGTTCAGCAGCTCTTCTACTACACCAAATCCCTGGTCAGTGTGCGCCCATTCCCACGCACCAGGGTAAGTATTCTTCGCTTCTTTAGCCCTCTCTTGCAAGGCCCAAGGGGGACTAGCTACCCTCACGTCACTACTGCTTTCGTGTCCGCTCACGGCTATCTCTTTACCCAAGCTACTGCAGTTCATTTTATTCAATCAGCAGATGAGTTCCTGTCCTCCCTGGACAAGCATATTCCCCGAGTGGGAGTGAGCTTCAGAGTACAGGGAGTTTACCTCGCTTCCTCTAATATTGCGGCCATGCTAGAATACAGTAACACCGATGCTCTCCTATGCGCTGAGTTCCACCAAGTGGCTGCTCAACAATCACAGCCTTGTGAAGCCCTCTCTCCTGAGGAAAGGGACCCCATCGCTGACGCCCACGAGGCCATGGCTGATTTTCTTGCTCTTGGGGCTCAAAAAGGGTCTTCTCAGCTGGCTTACGGGTCTTGTCTTGCTTTCGAGACATTTTCCGTTTTACTCGAGTATATTGGCAACATGAATCTATTTCCCGCACTCCATGTCTCCCTGGCATTCCTTTGGTGCCTGTCGTCTTCTGCAACCAGTATGAAGAGTGTCGAAGCTGTAGTTCCTTGGAGCAGAATTGTCATCTTCCTCAACACGATCATCCAACAAAGCTTTCTGCAAAGAATGGTTCAGGGTTGGTCGATCACATTGGACGATATGGATTTCAACTTGATTGAAGGAGCCGAGTTTCCTTTCTCTGATGAGACGAGATGGATTCCAGAAGACTTCCTCATTCGCGGCCAAATCTGGAGCCAAAACTACTATCCTCGGTCGTTCTTTGAGAAATGCCCCACCGACGAAGACGGGCGAAATGTCGAACGAGAGTCCTTGAGTATTTCCAGAATATACCGGTGTCTTTGGCTGGGTGTGAGGTTGGCGAAGGTATGTACTCGAAGACAGTCGAAACTAGAGTTGTTGACGCTGATGATATTTAGTTTAATCGCTGGATAGTATATGATTCTGTTTCGCGAGAATTTACAGCGACGCCCTTTGCTCGGGAACTTGAGACAGCTCTTAAACTCGAGACGGTTTCTGAACTCGAGAAGACGGTGGAAACCAAACCTGATAGTGCTCTATACCTGCTGAGGCATAGATTCCGGTTACCTGGTTTACAGGACGGTGTGCCGTGCCCTCCGTCTGTAGATTAGAATCCTTAATACAATCTAAACATGGTCTATACATGATTCATATAATTACCTACCAGACACCGCCTGAGCCATCATGTATTGGGTGGCCGCATAGGCACCTCAATGACTGTTAGATGTATACTGACGAAGCCAGATCCCGAGATCCCGAAGGCATCAGATGAGCGAAAAGGTGCTCAGTACTCAGGTCATACTTCGGTGATTGGCAATCCCGCTCCATTCTGGCGTGATACAACTTACTTCCACACTTTGAACCTTTCGAACGAACCGTTGGGCGTGCATCATCCGGCATTCCATATAATGGGACTTCCTAAAGGAGGAAAAATGCGGCCTGGGTGGGGATGAAGGAGGTGATGGTAATCTGGGCAGACTGCCATCGTGCAATCTAGACCGAAGAATGAATGGAAGTAAATAGTCATGTAAAAGATCGTCTATTGCAACATCCTGATTTCAGCTCCTTGAACCGCCTTCAATAAATTTCACAATTGTATTCCATCAACTGGTGATATATAACCAACCATGTCTGTTGCGAAAGTATTCGAAGCAGCGCCAATGCTGCATCCGCCGCGTCCTTCAGCAAAGGTGACCTGCCGCTTCCTCCTAAACGGTAAGTACATCCCAGTCGGCGACCTACATATAGAATGAATGCCTGATAGAGCTAACACGATGTCACAGAAAGGTCATCATCGTGGCATGTATGGACGCCCGATTAGGTGAGCACCGACTATCCATCCATATTCTTATATAAACTGACAGAGAAGGTGATCCTGCCCGCGCCCTCGGTCTAGAAGAGGGCGATGCCCATGTCACCCGGAACGCCGGTGGTCGCGTAACAGATGCCCTGCGTACTATCATCATCTCCCAGCAGTTATTGGGTACACGGGAGACTGTTGTTGTGTATCATCTATGTTGAAGCAAATGGCACTTGCGACGAAGGGTCCATATCATTGCTGATAAAGTTAAGCATATGCTGTTTGTGATTTCTACTGACTGTGGGATGACAACTTTCACTGATGAGGTGCAACGGAACAAGGTCAGATCGGACCTTCGTCAGAGCGCGGATCATATTGCTTTCTTGCCGTTTGGGGATCCGAAGCAGAGCGACCTTGATGATATCAAGGTGTTGGGAGAGAGTCCTTTGGCTTGGATGTGCCTATCTCGGGTTTTCTGTATGAGGTTGAGACTGGAAGGATTATTAGGGTTGAGGGAAATTGGTGGGTTGGGATGGACAATATGTACTTTGCTCATCTGTGGGTCTGTAGGTAATTTCTACATACTCCTAGGTTATACTACTCTGTGGGTATCGCACTATCATTCCAAATTTGAGCTAACTTAATCGCTTCACCTATGTATGTATATTCTCACTTAATATTGGCATGGATTGTAGGGGTCTGGACACATGTCCTGGTTGGGAAAAGACTCCATATTCTTCCGATACAATCCCTAACCACTCGTGTACTCGAGATATTAATCCGCAAACGATTGTCCAATTTGGTGATTATTTAATGCCCAGTAAATTAATACTGCTCGAGAATGATAATGCTGATTTAAATAATCTAAATCAGTTTAAAAATTTGAGGAGGACAGGCGGATACACGGAAACTTTCACTATACAGTAAAACTACCAATGATGATCGGGAGCTGAGCTTAGGACCTTCCAACCCCGTTAGCTCAGGCGAAAACTGACGAGGCTCCGATCCTACTTCGTCTCCGGATTGTCTCCGCGAAGAGACTGCCTTACCCCGTGGAAATCTCACCCTCTTCCCTTCTCCAACATTTACTGCAGCCCCCAATGGTATGGTAAGGATTAGGTTGGTCAAGATGCCTCGCGCCCAGCGAGCTACAATGAACCCTTTTCATGCATTGATACCTCTCTTCCCTCTCTTGGCCCTTGTTCAAGGTGAGTGCCCATGTTCCCCTACAGGGCAGTACAGTACAGTTCATGCAAACAACCGCAGTCTAAGACTTACTTACTAAACCGCATCGCCCTTTCTTTGAGAAAGCATCCCACTAATCCATCTATTCAATTACCCAGGCCTCAAGGTCCTCCAGCCAACCCCAGGCCAAGTAATCAATGCCCTGGACAGCCTACTAGTGCGATGGGATTGCAACTCCTCAACCGACCCCCCAGCAGCAGCTCTCCAAGTCAGCCAAAAAAACAAACGAAACCGCCAATGAGGCAAAGGTCCAACTCAGCAGCAGCTCCGTGACCTTAGGCCCTGAATACCTCACAGACTACTTAGGTCCGTCGGCGTATGTCCAGTTCTGGAACACCGACTGGCAGCAGGTCTCGTCCCCCACACTGCTCGCCGCACTCTCCTATTTCACCGTGACCTCGGAATTGCCCACCAGTACTACTACTGAAAGGTCGGAGACTGGCACAAGTGCTTCGCTCTCGACTGAAGCGTCTAGGATAACTGTCACTGTTACAGCGAAACCAACTCCCACGGCCCCTGAGCCCACGGGGCCCCCGGTGTCCACGGAGCGCACGGGGCAGGAAAACGGGGGTGGGTTGTCTACGGGTGCGAAGGCGGGTATTGGCGTTGGGGTGGCGGTTGGGTCGATTGTGGTTATTGCGGCTGCTGGGTTTCTTTGGTGGTGAAGGAGGAGGAGGAGGAGTAAAAAGGGGGTTGGTGAGGAGGTTCGGGCTGAGCTGCCAGGTGTGTCTGCTCCTGGTCCGAAGAAGGAGGCTGCGACTGGACCTGCGGTTGGGGACACCACTGGGCCTCCCGTAGAGCTTCCAGGTACGACGAATCATGGGTCTTATGAATTATCTGCTTGATGGGTTGGTGCGCTTGGTGCATGGTTGAGGTGCTGTGATGGGTCTGGATGCCAATCGAGACTGGTGACTTGGATAGTGCGAGAGAGGGTATTTTCTAGTATGATTCGATTCTCTGGGACGACCCGTTCTGTTCTCTTCGTTGGATGTCTGATGGCATGGAACTAATACGATCTTATACCCTTCTGTTTTGGATATTAACTCGACAACATTTTAATTGCACTGCGATTATCTCGGAGCCTTCTACTACAATACTGATTAGTCGAATGGAACATCCACTTTAAATATCAAAGTTATGAGATAGATGTGACAATTTAATGCGCATTGATCATAACCCCACAGCATCTAGTAAGATGAGTTTCCATATCCACTAGAGCGCTCGTTCGATCCGTACGAGTCATCCCGGGTGTTGTTCGAGCCATAAGAGCCAGACCCAGAGGATCCATAGCTGTTATCATTTTTCGAACCGTAGGCGTTACCAGAGGAACCATAAGAGCTGCTATCGTTGTCACGACGACTAGAACCATAGCTATCATTCTTGGAGCCATAGGTGCTCTCGTTATTGGATCCATACGAGTTGTTGCTATCGTTCTTAGAACCGTAGCTACTCTCGTTCTTGGATCCATAGGAGTCATTGGAAGAACCATAGCTGCTCTCCTTCTTCGAATTGGAGTTACCGGAAAACCCATAGCTGTTGTCGTTGTCATTGTCACGACGGCTAGAGCCAAGGGGACCAGAGGATCCATAAGAGTTGCTGTTCTCGTTCTTGGATCTGTAAGAATCATTAGAAGAGCCATAGCGGTCATTCTTCTTGGAGCCATAGGAGTTATCATTATCGTTATCGCGACGGTTAGAGTTAGAGCTGTGAGAGCCACTGGAAGAACCGTAGCTGTCGTTCTTGGAGCCGTAGGAGTCGCTAGAGGACCCATACGATTTGCTGTTGTCATTGTTGCCGTACGAGCCGGATGATCCATAGGACTTGTCGTTATCGTTATCACGGCGGTTAGAGCTGTGGTTCTCCTTCTTTGAGCCGTACGAATCGCTGGAGGATCCGTAGCTGTTATCATTCTTCGAACCGGAGTTGCCCGATGATCCGTAGGTGTTGTCGTTCTTGGAGCCGTACAAGCCGCTGGTAGAGCCATAGCTGTCCTTCTTCGAGCCGAAGGAGTTATCATTGTCATTATCATTATCACGGCGGCTGGAGCCGGATCCGTAGCTATCGTTCTTCGATCCTGATCCGTAGGAATCGCTGGAAGAACCATAGGTATCCTTCTTTGAGTTGTATGAATCGTTGTTGTGGTGCTTAGTGCTGGAGTTATTGCCCGAGCCGTAGGAGTCGTTCTTGGATCCGTAACTGTCATTGGATCCGTAGGAGTCATTATCCTTGCGGCTGTTGGAGCCGAATGGATCATTGGAGGAACCGTAGTTGTTGTCCCGGTTGGAGGACTATGCGGGCGTTAGTGGTTGCGGGTGTTTGTTTGGACTTTGTCTCTTACGCCGTAGCTATCATTCTTGGACTGTGAATGCAGTGTTTAGTCAGAGTGAAATGTATCAATTAGAGTGAAGAGTAGCCTTACACCGTAGGAGTCGCCGCCTAGGCCGGAGGACTAAGGGGGTGTTAGTACTGTGTCAAAGAAGACTCGGTGTAGATGTCAATGGCGTAGCATACCCCGTAGGAGTCATTGCCTTGGCGAGACTAAAGAGCGTTAGGACAAGTGGTAGCAAGTAGTAGGAACGGGCAAGACATACACCATAGCTATCATTTCCGCTGGAGCGGTTGGAGCTCTGTACGACAGTCCATGTCAGTATCTACTATTCCAATTGGAAGAAGTGTGCATACGTAGTCATTGTCACGGTTGTTGTAAGACATTGTTTATGACTTGTATTGAGGAATTTGCAGGACGAAGAAGAAGAAGAAGAAGAAGAAGAAGAAGAAGAATTGGAATGCAACTGAGAGAATGTTCAGATGTAGGGCAGGGATATCGAGACAAGGTGAACACAAACAGACCAGGGGCTCCATTATTTATACCACAATCAGGGGGTCATGAGGGCATGAGGGGCAGGTCCATGTCGCTACCGTTCTTGCTCGTACAGGCAGCGATTTCCGGAGAACCCGCTTATACCTTTCAGCTCATGAGGGGCAGAAACACGCTATGGAAGCGTCCGCAAATGAACAGATCTGGAGTGGGCACGATCCCATCCCAGCAGATCGAACGATGTGGCAACGTACGGCTGAGATGGCGGAATTGGACGATATGATTGGCCCTTTTGGTACGGATCAGGGGTCTAGGTCTCTTCTTCTAGACTAGTAGTCCAGCGACCCAGAGATAAACAAAGAGGTCAGCCACACTCCTCCCGCGTGGATTTGTGGCGCAGCATCAAATTTAGGGTTCAAGGAGAGAGTCATAGACTCCCTCCATGTTCCCTCTTGGGTTTCTTGCAGGAAAAGATGGACTTACTTCCCTTCGAACCCCTTTAGTATCTAGGTCATACGATGCTCAGCAATTCATTAGCGTGCAGCGTAGTTCATTCTCCACTTGGTCTGATAAGGCAGCAGAAATCTAGATTAATCCCGTTGGAGGGGTACCTCAACTGACTTTGGCTAACACGCCCGCGCTCTAGCATTAAGTTGGTAGATTTGGCGAATTACGGAGTACTACAGCCCTCTTTTGTCTATTTCGCTTCAAGGTCATGCGGGGAATAAATACAGAAATCCAGGAGATATAACTCGTATCGATTAGTATGTCATTACCAGGATTTCAAGCAGCCAGAGTCCAGTAGTATAGTAATGCGCTAACAAAAAGCCAAGCGTTCATGGAGGGGACATCAATTGGACAATTGCAACCGAGCTGAGACATGCAGATAGAGATCATCTCTCAACGTTTTCATCCATGTGGGTGATTTCTCGCAGGGGCTTGGTGGCGAGCCCCACAGCTAGAGAGCTGAGCAGTACTGTTGTTCTTGACTAGCGTCCAGCACCTCTAGTCCATTGGCCTTCGGAAAGTACGGCTGATTATTGGCCTGGTTCATAATATCTCTTGAAGACGTTCAAAACACGTTATAGATCTCACAGAGAACAGCAAACCATATCTCTCGGTCAACTCGTGAATGGCGATAAAACTCAGGTTTGGACGAAATTTTCTAAGATCAACCATGACTTCTGAGGCAATAAGATACAGAAAAGAAGTCTCTTGTCACCATGTCCGTGAAGAAGGTTAGGTAGTGAAGATAGGGAGTGGGTATCAATTTTGCTTGAGGATTCAATTTTGTCATCATATAAATGAAAGTCGTGCCAAACCGCGTTAGATTTTCCTTCTGATTTAGATAGGATATCAGAACACAGTATTTTCTCCTTAATACCCCGATGAGTGAATTACGAGGATGAAAAGGTTCATTTTACTATTAAGAGAAATAGCGAAGCCTCCCCTCCGATTCAAAAATATACCACCAGAGGCGACATGGACACATGCTTGATAGGCTTAAGGTCCCCTAGCAAGAAGACGAACAAAAACCAGTATCACGGAACCAGGTACAACGAGTCCTTCTATATTAAACTGGCACATCATCAGTGGCTTGGCCTATTGGCTCCAGTATAATATGCAACGGCCATGACCTGGACATGCAACTCGAGAGAAAGCCGCTAACGTTTGTCGCAGCTATTTATCCACATACCTTATTCCTAAGGCTGTCTACTCCTGGGCGGACAAGAAGTGAACAGGATTTACACTAATGTACAGCAGATTGAGGGTCAAATATTAGAAGATGTAAGATTATGTTCACCTACTGTAGAACTACAGCTAGTACTGCTGCGATGAGCGCTGGAATCAAGCTACATATCTCCAACTGGGATAATTTTGCCTGGGTATTATCTTCTCAGAAACAGGCTTTTAGTTGAAATTTAGCCATGATTTAATGTTCGGAAGTTTCTGGCCGCTAAACGACAGACGATGCGAAAGATGTCGACGCACGTTCTCAGAGTTGTTGTACTAAGGGAAGTGAGATACTTTAAAGAGAAAAAGCCGTTTCTCTAACCTTGAGCTTAATGGCTCGGCATTTATTTAGGTGTTTACTCGGAGATCTATCGTCAATAGCTATAGCGAATGGCAATTTCCCCTGAAAGTCCACAAAGTGAAATGCTTTATCTACTCGACTATTGGCTCTTCTTGTAAGAGTCATAATATCCATCAAACTATAAGGCTCAAAATTCTAAGATCTAGACTTACTACGTATGTAGAAAAACCCCAAGATGCAATGCCGGTCAATAATGACACCATACATTATCAAAGAGTATTATAGGGTCAACACCAACAGCCATTCCTCCCTGCTATCGTGCATTCCATGGTGGGGTTCGTATAGATACAATTGCATAATCACTATGGGGATTGCACCATCAATGATAAGAAATACGATCATTCAGAAAACTACATACAAAAGCTGCGGGTTTAAGTTGATATGTACGCAAGGGATACCAATGACTTGTCAGACAGACAGTACATTTTTATTGAGAAAAAGCAAAATTCTCTTAGCATTTCGACATCATTTTCACCATAACTTGAATAAAGCTCAGACTGAGTCATGAGTAACAAGAAAGAAACGAAGGCTACGACTCGAAGCGTGGGAAAGACCGTCGATGAGAAATATGCAGATGTTACACTACGCATTATCGAACACCATGGGGATGAGTTTGGACCGTTAAGTCCTGAGAAGGAGAAGGCGCTACGACGGAAACTGTACAGACACATTATGGTCTTGCTTTCTGCTGTTAATATTATACTGTTTGTAAGTTTTCTTTCAATCGAGCCGTTCAGTCTAGTTATTTAACAGAGTTCTAGATTGACAAATCTACACTTGGTTACGCAGCGATTCTGGGGCTCTTTGAGGAGACGGGCATTTCTAAAAAGCAATACAATGACCTGAATACTGTATTTTACATCGGTGCGAACTCCCTTTGACGACTATCTCAAAGCAATCGCTGATGAAGCATTCAAGGCTACCTTGCCGCGCAATGGCCCGGACACTATCTACTGCAGCGTCTGCCATTCGGAAAGTTCGTGGGCATCGTCGTGTTTCTATGGGCAGCTGTTATCTTCCTTCATTGCGTAGCGACCAAGTTCGCTGGCTTAGTAGTCCTCCGACTTGCCCTCGGCGCGGTGGAAGCGGTCATTGTACCAGCGATGGAAATGACAATCGGCATGTTTTTCAATCGTCAAGAGCAATCCTTCCTCCAGCCGATTCTCTGGGTCACCTGCCAAGGAGCTCCCGTCGCTGCAGGTTTTATCTCATACGGGTTGCTCTACAGTGAAGGCGTCATTCGTCCTTGGAAACTATTTATGATCATCACCGGCGGGATCACCTTCCTTCTCTCCATCTGGGTCTGGTTCTGCTACCCCAACAACCCTGCTGAAGCCCGGTTCCTGACGCTAGAAGAGAAAGTCCACGTTATCCGACGGGTACACCACTCCAGCCAGAGCTCGATTGAACAGAAGCGGTTTAAGAGATCTCAGTTCATTGAAACTCTGCGCGACCCTGTATCCTGGCTTTTCGCACTGCAGGCCTTCACTCTGATGTACTCGAACAATCTCACCTATGGCCAGCAGAATCTTCTCACGACTTCTCTTGGTGTTTCCCAACTTGGTTCTACGCTCGTTGCTGTCGCAGGAGGCAGTTTTGGCGTCGTGCTCTGTATCATCGCCACCTTCATATTGAAGTGGTTTCCGAAGTATCTGGCCATCCACGGTCTTTTCTGGTGTCTGCCATCTATCGCAGGTGGAATCGGTATGGTGGCAATCCCCTGGGACAATAAACTATCCCTTTTAGCCTGTCTGCTTCTGGCAGGACATACGTACGGTATCACGTATATCATTGCGCTCGGCTGGACGACCTCATCTGCAGCCGGATACACTAAGAAACTCACGCGCAACGTGATGTTTATGCTCGGCTACAGTGTTGGCAATCTTGTTTCACCGCAGATCTGGGTACCCAGTGCCGCACCCAGATACTATGGTGCATGGGTTTCCATGATAGTGGTTAGTTGGGCGGGGACGCCGGCCATTTTGTTCATCATTTGGTTCATTCTGGCACGGCGGAACGAGGAACGGAAGAAATGGATTGCTGGGTTGAGCGAAAGTGAGCGCGAGGAGGGCTGTGTGGAGCAGCTGGACGAGAACGGGCAGATTGTCCGCAGGAAAGTCGACCTAGCAATGCTGGACTTGACTGATTTGGAGAATAAGTTCTTTATTTACCCGCTTTAGGTGTCACAGAAATGCAATCCAGAGGCTTTAGGTATACCAACAGCTGCTCAATAAGTCTAAGTAGTTCATTGCTGGGATTGGTTGATGATCAGCGATGGAAAAATACGGAGAAGTCCACCATTCCCGGTCTTCCACCTCTGAATTAACATAGTCCACGTCATTCTGGGCTCAGGTGAGATTTCCCTTGAGATCGAAAGAGACATATTACATTCACAAGTCAGAGCAGAACGATCTATGGCTCTTCTAATTTGTTGTACATGATTCGTGAGCATAAAGCACCTCCTACATTGGGATGAGTGCATATATGAATCTCTCATTCTCATCGCTAATACCTGCTTTGACCGTACACCCTTCAACATACTATATATAGGCCCTCTCACATCTCAGCGCCCTCCTCGACGAGATATTCACCTACACCGGCGGATACTACATAGCCAAGACCCCATTCCAGCGACTCTTCCTCCCCTTCCTCAAGAAATTTCCTAGGGCACGATCCCCTTCGCGGCATACCCGTCCTAAACGCCTTTCGTGACTGGTTCCAGAACGCAGAGAAGCCCTCCTAGGACGAATTTCACACCATCGACTCTTCTGTGCAATACCGCGTGCCAAACGTCGCATTCCAATACGCCTCTCCCCCACCCCAACTGAGCTATATCTTCTAACGTAGTTGCTTGCATAGTTCATCATCATACCTGACAATCCACACCATGGAACTAGGCATTTCCACTCAGGGGATGGACTCAATCCACCACTTCGTGGAAGCAGCTGGTAAATAAGTTTGTCTGATGAACGACTACTGGAGCTCGCGTAAGGAGAAAAGAGCTGTCAGGGACGGCAATGCGCGGATGCTCAACGTAGTCTCGGTTCTGGTGAAGCAGGAACCTGGTTTATCGGAGGCAGAGACCCTTGAGGCGGTTAGGCAGTTGATAAGGGAGCTTGAAGTGGAGTTGCTTGCTTTTTATCATGCTGTTTCCTCGTCCGGGGATTGTTCTCTGGATTTGAAGAGGTATGTTGAAGCTATTCTTTGGTGGGTTCGGGGTAATTGTCTTTGGAGAGTTACCTGCCCGAGATATAATGCTTGTGATGTGATTTGATAATGGTTGTCTTCTACTTGAGGCATAATTTGAGTGCTGGTTGGAACTTTGCGCTGTGTTTGTAAAGACGAGTGGCCTGCTTTTGTTTTGCCCTTTTCTGACTTCTGATTCTTTTTTATTCTAGTTGTTTGGACATAAGGTAAAACTTGAATATCCCACATTGTTGCTTTCCTGATACTACAGCGGTCTTCCTGTGTCTACCTACGTTTTGGTAATCTCTTCAACCCATATGGGAGTGAATGATCTGCTTCATCCTATTAGCAAGATGCCTCCTTTTGTCTTCACTGTACTCTACTTTATTCATGCTTGGCTTGTCTGCTACATGAGCGTATGTTCAAGTCTGATTCGAGATAATGCTACAAAGCCCACAAGGAATGAACATGAGGCCTGAGTATGCTATTGACAGGATAAATCCATACAGTTCAAAGGAAATATCTAGCGTAGAGATGGGGGCTGTCTCATGGCTATAAGAGTCAATCTGGAACTCGTAAGCCAATCTCTCCCCAAATGGAACTTCAAATTGTCATCCCAATGCCAATCTGTGGTCGCAAAAATCATATGCTCAAGAAACTGTTGATAGCCCTTCGCTGGAACCAATACTCCAAAATAATGCAATTACCACTCCCAGTAACCCAAAATATAGAGGTAGACTCCGAGCAAGAGAACAAGAAGAGGTTAGATGGGAACTACATAACAGTCATAAGTCGTAGAATCTGTGATGAGAGTATTCATCAAACTTAGCAAAATGTCAAGAGAGATAAATGCGGAGCTATGCACAGTTAGCATAAGTTTCATTTTTGAGTGAGGGGAAATAAAAAGGGTTCAATAACATACCTTTTGCTTCACAGGAGCGCGGCAAAGCGGACAAACCACCGACGCCTTCGGTCGCATTCGATCTGACCGCGAATGCTGTTCAGCACACCAACGACAAAGAATCGCATGCCCGCAAGGAATGAGAACTGTATCCACAAGCTGGCTCATGCAGATTTTACACTCGAGGTTGACATTCAGTTCCTCATCGTCCTTTGGCTCTGGGCGCCCATCTTTTTGATCATCTAAGCCTTTACAGTGCGAGGCCGCTTCCTCTTGCTGCCGACGATGATGTCGAAGGTAGTCTTCCTCGTATAAATGCAGCCGATGATGTTCACTGGATCGTGCGGAACGCAGCATCTCTCTCATGTGGAGTCTCCGAGCGAGTTCTATTTGCTCCTGCTGAGTGAGTGGCGGTGGGTAGTGAGCCTCACCCCCCGCAGTAGGTAAAACCTGCGGCACTGCAGTCACCGCAGAGTGGCTTCTCTGAATCTGTGGGGAAGGCACATTCAAAGAATTGGAGTCTCTCATAGGTCGAGCTCGCACGTACAGATTCTGCGAATTGGACCGTGTATGTTGCTGCTGGACAGGAGGGGCGCTTGAAGTAATACTATGGTTACGATGCTGCCGCCTATGATGGATAGATGTTGATGTGGGCGACACCCCCGCTTGCGGAAATTGACCATATTGGCGAGGCCGAAATGAAGTCTGTCGATTAAGCGAAGGAACTGCAGGGGCATCTAGTCTCGTTGGGCCTGCTGTCGCCGGCTGAGTGTTGCTAATTTGAGGGACCTGTACCATATTTTGATATGGAACATAGTGCTGCAAGCCCTGAACCTGATGGGGGAAAACAGATTGATAGTAAATATTTGGAGATATGACTGGCGGCAAGGCTTGTCCGGTAGCAGCGGAGGGGTTTTGGAAGCCCACGTGCGAGTTCTCGGACCACCGATGGCCATTATTCCCGTACTGATTCTGTTCAAGGTTGGTCACATTGGCTGACCCAGTAAATTGATACTGTGTACTCGGGGAGATGTCATTGCCGTTGAGATATTGTGAGGGTAGTGTAGTAAATTGTTCATAGGCCCGAGAGAGGGAGGGGCTGCTGTCCGTCGTAGATGCTCCAAACATCTGTGAACCGGGGATGTCTAATCATCGGTTAGCGATCCCACGAGATAGGAGAAGAAATTACTCACACAAACCACTGGCCGCATCAGGGAGGCCGTGCGGGATGTGCGGGCTAGGATTAGCGGCCTGCGCGCTCAGGACGTTATGGTTTGTAGCATTCTGCATGTTTAGCGATCCAGAAGAATCCACGTTCCCATGATCATTTGTGACCAAATGCGAAAAACTGGGGTTTATACTGGGGATCTCGGGTATAACGCTCGAGTCCCAAGAGTTCGATACAGCAGGCTGCGCCATCGGGTGCGCTTCCGATAGCAATTGCAAGTTATTAAGGATTGTTAACGTCCCGTGATAGATGGCCCGGAGCTCCTCTCGGAGAGTTTCGATGTTATTAGACTGGGCTAAGCGACGATGTTGAGGTGCTGTGGCAAAGGATGTTCGAGAGGTATGGGAGATGCGGTTGGCTTCGAACACGATAGAAGTACCAGAAGGCACCTCAGATAACGGGCGATTGGTACGGGAAAGTAGCGGCGGATGGGGATTACAAGTACCCCAATATTCTAAATCACAAGACTCGGACCGGTGAGCGATCTAGACAGTGAAGGGTGAAAACCAGAAATGCACTAAATACACATGAAAGAATCATGGATAAGCAAAACCGCATAGAAAAGCAATGGAACACGAAATTTGTGCAAGGGTAGGTACTATAATAACGGAAAGACGGACCCTCACACTTCCAGCAGTATCTGGGACGAGTTATAACTGCACTATTCTGTAAGATGTTGTCATCTACAGCCGATCGATTTCTTTCAGAAGGATCCGAACAACACAACGCACACAAGCAACAAATCGAGCTCAGATGACGACAGCCAATAGCATGCTTGTGAATACAACTAGAACTGGTAGATGAAGGAAACCAGGTATTCATGTTTCACTGCCAGTTGACACCAAAGCTATTCGGTGGGCGGACGAAGCAGGTATTTAAATTCGCTGCTTATGACTTATGACCATGTCGTAATCATATCCAACTGATGACAAGGCGACAGGTTAACCAGAATATATGATCATGCGAAGCCTGAGTTCAAGGCTGGAGCGTCGAAGATAATGAGATAATAACAGGCGGCAAACTCAAAATTTGGTCCAAGTAGTTATACGGCGACTAATGGCGACACAGAGAAGGCATGATCTTGCCTAGGCCCACACTCTCCAGTGAGATAGCGATTCGGATGACAAGAATAACCACGAAAGTCGAACTGGAGCGGCAACGAGAAGCTACCAACAAGCAACCCTATCGCTCAGGAGATTTTAGAAGACGTCGATTAGGCGCCTTGGTTTGACTGTTGTCTGTCCGTCTTTTTTCCCCCTGACTTTCTTTTTACTGTCTTCTTCTTATTTTTTTTTTCTTTCTCAAAGTTCTTCAATCGGGTCCAACTGCGGGGAGACGAACGGAACGCAACCTTGAAAAGAAGCTGACAGTCTGATGTCTGGACAACGTTGACAGCTCTAGACCTTAGCCCGGGCGATTCGGGAGGACAACATCAAGCGCCTAACACCAGACTGCACCTAAGGGGCGAAAAAATAAAATAAAAAAGAATCACCAGGAATGGGCAAGGGTCATTAGCCTCGGCGCCTAGAAGCCCACCATGGAAGGTCTGCCCTGTTCTATCCAATTAGTAAGGTCTCCCAACCGAGTCTAGTTGCAGGGGTGGGGGGTAAGGTCGTTGGTAAAGAAAAAGCAAAAGAGGGAGAGAAAGCTGAAACTCTGAGTGCTGAATCGAGAAAGTAAGAAAAGGCTCGAGCCTATATCAGTGTTAAGCCCCGCTCAGGACTATCCAAGAAATATGATAAATCAAGCTACGGATATATTATCATATAAGGGTCCGTTCGACGTATATGGATGGTCGCAAGGGAAAAATAAATAAAAAGCAAAGGAGGGGAACGGGAGGACGAGAAATACAACTCACAAAGACCACAAGGAGCGTCAGCGAGCCGAGCGATCCACCACTGCAAGACCAGGGAGTTCAGCCGACCAGAGTTGCATGAGCAATGAGAATAAGGATGTCATGATGATAAGAGTAGGACTAGACCGAGATTGGCACGAGGTCCCGAATCAACCGATCGGCGACTACAACGGGTAGTAGTGGGGAAAAGGATGGAGTGCTAGTACTGTGAGTGGAATTCCGAATGTTTGTCCTTCGTAAGTTGGGTTTACTGATTACAGATACTATTATTTAACCTCGATTAGGAAGTTAAGTTTGGATCGTTTGCTTTCAGTATGTTGAAATAGGTTTGTCTGGTTTGGTTGTATTGGTTCTTCCGACGTCATCAGTTCGCTTCTCTATTTACCGTGACTCCACTTTTTCTCCCTTTAACTCCGCCAATTCTCCAACTCCACTTCAAAGCTCGGGAGGTGCTACTCTGTCGGTAGTACTGCTGGGTTAGTAAATGTTTTCAAACTTCCTAGAATTTTCAGTTTCAAGCCTGATCCTCTCCTTCTAACCTGTTCACCATGACTAGGGAATCAATCAATCCATGAGACTTGGCCGGTGGCTGTCTGTGCGGCCAACCCTTATATCGGTTCCAACCAACCTAACCAGAATCTCAATGTCCACTTTCACTATTCCTTGTGACCATGGCCAGCAATCCCTGTTGGTGGATTGTACACCTGATCTCAACAAGGATACCCTCTTACGGTTCCCGGCTTTCCAGATCTGGCTATCTACCCTGCAACAATCGTTAAAGCAGCAACAACACCCCTCACATGAGTTTCACAAAGACCCTTATGTCCTACGCAAAATTGATATCCAAGCCGTGGACTTTTTCAAGGGCGGACGGTTAGGTTTCGTGAAATTGAAGGCAGATGTGTCAAACAAGAGCGGCGAGTCACTCCCAGGGAGCGTTTTTCTACGCGGAGGTAGTGTAGGAATGCTGGTAGGTGCTTTCAAATTATTCACCCTTTTTCGCTGCTACGAAAATGGCTAATGACCACCTTGGTTGGTATTTCAATAGCTCCTTCTCCAACCAGATGACGTACATCCATCAGTGGAAGATGAGAAGCGAGCGATCCTGACTATCCAACCCCGCATTCCTGCCGGCTCCCTTGCTTTCGCCGAAATCCCTGCTGGAATGCTTGACGATAGCGGGTCTTTTGCCGGAGGCGCAGCAAAGGAAATACAAGAAGAAACTGGTTTAACTATTCCCCAAGACGAGCTTATTGATATGACCTCGCTCGCATTGCAATCAGTTGCGGAAGCCAATGATGTAGAGAGTTTACGAAAGGCCGTATACTCATCGCCCGGTGGAAGCGACGAATTTATTCCCTTGTTCTTGTGTCAGAAGCGCATGCCGCGTAAGGATATCGAAAGCCTGCAGGGGAGGTTGACCGGTCTACGCCAGGATGGGGAGAAGATCACGTTGAAAGTGGTCCCTCTCAAGGAGTTGTGGAAAGCGGGTTTGCGGGACGGAAAGACACTCGCATCGTGGGCGTTGTATAAAGGACTCAAAGAGGAGGGGAGAATATGACTTAGATTGGGGCCTTCCCCTCGTGTCCGAGTCATCGCGTCATCATAGGGCTTTCAGCAGAATATTGAATGGATACCAGCATGCGCTTCAAATTAACCTGTCTAACGGCGCTAAACTTTATCTAGAAACGAGGCATGAAAGACGCTTGGGATCTCAGCTGCTCAAACCTACAGTTTCCACTTCTGTGCAATTTCGATACCTTCCGCTATTGTTCCTACACGGGCATCAATAGCGTAGCCTTCAGCCTCCAGATTCTTCATTTCTTTGAATAGCGAGGCTAGCGGCACTGTGAAGCATTCGATGAATTCATTTTCTTCGAGCTCTGGCTTCGGGTTTTGGTTCTCCGGCAGGGACATATCTACCCGGACATGAACCATGTTGAGACTAGTGTTACAAAATCCGGGATCTGCGATCGCATCCGTCAGCAATCCCCACTCATACTCTGTGGAATGCACCTAGACACCCCACGTGCAGTCAGATGCGAAAGGACCATCGTACCATTGTACATCACAGTACTTGTTTGTTCAGCCACTCCCACATAGCCGGTTTCCTCTTTGAGTTCGCGCACGGCACATTCTTCCACCGTCTCACCTGCATCAATGAGACCGGCCGGAACTTCAATTACCACTTTATCGATGGGAGGACGATACTGTTTCTGGAGAAGAAGCTCTGGTCCTGTCGATTTGTTGAGAATAGTCACGATTCCAACGCCGTCGATTTCGCAATTTGCCGGACGTGTCTAAAATTGCAATTACATGTCAGCCTAGATCTGGTTAAAGTATCTCTGTCGTAGCCCTGCATACGCATTCCTTCGCGTATAAGCAAGGGGGTGGCAGCCTTGTCGCGTATCGAGCTCTGGGTTTGGAGCCCAGCAATGAGGAGACAAAGGACTGGAAGAATCTCACCTGCCGCTCCGCTGACTCCCATGTTCGTTCTACACCGGTAGGATCACGGTAGGTAGTTTTGACTAGTCTTGTCCATCTAGCTTCGTTAGGGTCCTATAGGTAAAAACACCAACATCAGTATCGCGCTGCAACTGCTATACGCCCAAAGCTCGTAACAACAAACAACAACCCAATAACCAAACAAAGCCCACTAATATCCGGAAACCCCTCAAAAAGATACATACCAACGGCCCCCTAGTAAGGATTTCCGACTTCAAAGATTTTGGATCTGACATTATAGCTTGACGACAAGCTCTATGACGAAATAACGGGCAAATACGTTTAATCTAAATCTATCCCCAATTAATACAATTAACATGTCAACCCCCGTATAAGGGTAATCCAAAGGAAACTCACCTATCGAAGCCAAGTACAAGTACCCGGGGTTACCTATGAAGTCACTTCGGGTGAGTAGTTAGTAGCGGAGTACGTATATAGCTCAGGGACGATGTTAAGCTAGAGGGACCCCTCTTTTGGCGCCTCTTATCCGGCAAAGGGCTAGCCCTAATCTTATCTAGTACTTAGCGTATGTAGAGCCAGGCTGTGAGTTACTATCTATAAACCCCATACTTTGAGTAGAATGGGGCTTATGGATATGGTTCGGGATATGATAAATTTTGCTTTCGGGTATCTACTGAGAGGTGATCCCATTACTCTTTAGGAAGCGTAAGCGCGCACCGTAAGGGTGACGTGTTATGTTCTATACCTGACAGTCCATCTAGTACGCGCTGTTGATTCTATACTAGCGCATATTGCTACAGGAAGACAGGGGTTTAGAAAAAGGTTCGTTAGCAAAATGCAGGCTGTAGCACACGCTAGTGAATAGACCAAGTACGCACCCGTCTAGTATCTTGTCGGCTCCTGGCGTCGATCTGTAGCGTAAAGGGATAAATCGGGGAATAAGACCCTTTAGGTTAAGCCCACAATCTAGCTTAGACTAGGTAGTGACGGTTGACCTGACGCGATATGGAACATGTGAAAGATGTGGGTTTGCGCTTTCTCCCAGATTTCCTTGGTTAGGTGCATTTGGCGATGCCTCGGTGGTGTTGGCCGTGTTCGTTGACGTACATATCGTGGGCTGCCGCTACCGTTTTATCCCGTCTACTAGGAAGATAATTGAGGCATCGGGAAGAAATTGTTGGGAATATTTTATATTGTTTGTCTATGGCTTGTAGACGTGCTAACTATGTATCTTGTCCATGGAACCTGTCTATGGATGAAGTTGAATAGTGTCTGATACATGGATCTGACTATTGAGTAGAAGGGATCGTGGTAAAGGAAAGCGGTCGAGATTAGGAAAGAAAAAGGGACGGTCACGTCTTTGCGCCAATCTGCAAACGCGAACACCGTGCAGAAGGGAAAGCGGGCAGTAAGAATTGAAGGAAATAGTCGGAGTGAGAAATTAAGTTGGATCGAAGAAAACCGCGCATGCTTAAATGATCAACGCGCTTGCTATCATAACTTCGTGTCGAAACTCGGAAAAGAGCTAACAACTGGTGAGATTACTAGCCTACTCGGCCGATTCGATTTGTTCGAGACAGTTTTGGAATTCGGACCAGTCCTTCATGATGACTTTGGCGCCGAGATCCTGAAGGAGTTTAGTCATTTCGATCTTCTTTTCATCGCCGGGATAGCTGCCAACATAGCCGATAACGTGGATGCCGGCACGGATGGCGCTCTGAGCACCAGACTTGCTGTCTTCAACAGCGACAGTCTCTTTAGGCTTCTTGTTGCACTTTTCAAGGGCGTGGAGGTAGATAGCCGGGTCGGGCTTAGAGGTGGGCTTGGGGAGCGAGGTCGCAGCACTGAAAACCATGTCTTCATCAAAGAATTTGTCCTGTCCGACTTTCTTGATGGAAGCCTGGACACGACGCAAAGCAGATGAGGAGACGACTGCGAGATGGTACTTCTTTGACTTGAACAGCTTCTCAAGTTCCTCATTGGCACCAACACAAGGCTGAGCTTTAGCTTCAAGCTTGGCAATGACCTTGTCCTCCTCCTTCTTGACAAATGCTTCGAGCTCCTCGGCGGGCATCTCAAAGTTGTACTTGGCTTGAAGGGAGATCATCATCCCGCGGAAGTTCTGACCAACGAAGTCCTGGATCAGCTGCTCCCCCGTGTAGCGATCCGAAATGCCACGCTTTTCCAGAATCTCATTTGTAAGATCGGCGCACGCCTCAAAGGCCAACTCTTCGGAGAGGACCAAAGTGTTGTCGCAATCAAAGAAGATTTCAGTGATCTGCAGGAGTATAGTAGTTAGTCTGCTGTGGTTGTGCGGCATAAGGTATTAAAGAAGCTTGTGGTTATCTAACCTGAGGCATGATGACAGTAGTGTACTCTTTAAGTAAAAGAGCAGTAAGAACGGATTGGAGATGTAGGGAGAGATATATTGAAGTGGTGGTCTATGATAGATTGGTAGGGGAGTGGATGTGAGGAAGGGGGAGGGATGGTAAAAAAAAAAAAAAAAAAGTTGAGGGGGTGGAAGCTAAGAGAAGTCGTTCTATGGGGTGAATACAAAGAGACAAACAAGGGACTGTTGTACGCCTTAAGTAGAATCGTGAAAAAGGGGAAATGACCAAGGTTCCGACAATGTCAAGGAACCAAGACCTCGATGCTACACATGGAAGCCCACCGGTGATCCAAAGGGGCCTATCCATACAAATTGAATCCAACAGCCCCTCCGAGCAGGAACGGGAATGGCGGGGCCTGAGGTCATATCGTGACGTTTGCGAGTGCGCAGACGCCTATAATGGCGGCCGAGAGGCGGCGGCCATCGGGTCTGCACAAACGCTACAACCATTCACTAAACTTGAAATAGAAAGTACCCGCTGCCATTACCCTTTCTGGTAATGCGAGTGCCCCTCTTGCTAGCTTTTCTAGGTATGGCTTCGTACCCTGATGGAAATGTAAAGAAACCGAATTGCAAGGCTGCGAATCGCCTGGAATGTTTGCTTAGCATTCTTTCTCTTCCCAACTCTGGTCCAATGGGAGTCAGCACTCTTACTACGCCGGGGGACTTGTTATTTCTTACTTCCTCTGTGTTAGCACTACTGTGTGCGTATGTGCGTACATGTGGGACGGGACAGATCCTGGTGTGCAAAATCTGATACTCGGATCCGGAGCGATAAGCAAGGCTGGAGTAGGGTACTAACGCGGAGGTCTGCATATTGACCACTATACAGTCATTCGGAATGCTCATGCGAGGAAGGAGATAGAGAGCCAATGTAAATGTCCGGAAGACCATGTTCCATCTTTGTTGGATGCCATGTTTTGGTGGTCATTCAGTCAGGAGAGCTCAGCCACGCATCAGCTGATAACGCTTCATTTAGTAATATTATCGTGATGTTTACTTGAAGCCTTTCTTGGTCATCCCAAACAGGACAGTTGAATGACTAAGATTGATAATCCATTATATCCAGCCGACAGCACAATTTACTGGTAGATATCCGGAGAAAGTCTGTTCAAAGCTAGGCAACCGATGCCCTATATCAGCATACATGGTGCATACTAGGTCATCCTGTGCTGTAGGAACGAATCCTGCTATTCTCCACCTGCCCATCTTGAAATCGATCTTTGACCTTCGTGGGGCTTGAGAGCCGAGCCATCATTGGTCAGTTTTGGTGCCCCTCTTTTTTCCACATATGATTCTGGGGGAAGTCAAATAACTGAATCCAAGGGGACATAGCGAGATTAAACGTTCTCATATCTGTTTGCTTTCCCCTCTTGTGACCAACATGGGCGGTGACTCTGACCCTTTCCCCGTATCCGTATCCTCCCTCCTTTTCCCCTCCAAGGAGCAAACCCTCTCCCAAACCCTGTCTTCCCTGCGGCGATCCGCTCTCTCCATTGCAAACCGACTTCATTCGATTGAAACCGACGCCACCTTTGTCCGTGAAGTCGCTGAGTACTACAATCTCCCTCTAGTCGCCAACGAAAGATGTGGCAGCTGGTATATCCCGCCGGACGCCAAAACCGGCAGCGCTTACTTCAAAAGCACGGATGGTCATACGGGCCAATGGGACTTTAGCTTTCGTAGACTAAACCTGCAGATTCTGCCCATTGCTCGGAAGCATGGAGGGTGAGTGAGCGTATCACATTCCTTTCGTGGTCCCTGCTCAGTCCGCTTTTCCTTTGACTAACGCTGACCACCAATGATGTATGCAGCTGCGTCATTGTTGACTCGACTCGTCGGGGAAAATGTAAGTGCTGACTGCCGCTTCATTGAAATTCGGCTTCTCGTGTCACCCTGTCTCACAAGCTTCCAGTGATGCCTGATTCCTTATCCAAGACAGTCCCGATATGGTGTGCGGTGATCAATCGAGCGCTATTTCCTTCCGACACCGCATACCATCCGGTGCAATTCCCGCCGAACTTTTTGGGTGCCTCTGAGGAGTCGCAAATCGAGCACAGGATCGACGGCTTTGTGGAATCTCTCAAGGTAGCCTTATTCCTGTTTTCGGAAAGAGAATGGCCATGCCTCGTTTGATCAGATGCTGATTCGTCTCTAGAGTCTCAAGCTCGATCTAGATGATCTCAGGCAGCAATTGGGACGGCCCATTCGGGTCGCATGGGCGAATCGCTCATATTTCCATCCAAGTGACTTGCAAAAAGGGGATGCATACAATCTCTTTGTTCTCTGCTCCGCCTCTAGACGTGTTCATGGCGCGGAAATGTCCGAGGGTGGTTACATCCAAGGAGCCGGCGACGATAGTGAGGGTTGGGCACACGGGTTGACGCCGCCAGTGTTCTGGGCGCATAAATCCACCCTTGCCACAACGGGAGAGGAAGATCTACCGGAGCTGATTGAGAAGTTGGTAGAGGGACATCGAAAGCTGGACGGCGGCCAGCAAGCTACTTTAATAGCGCCAACTGGAAACTTATACATCAGCCCCACAGACCCTCGATTGAACGAGGGTGGTGCTTACGATTTGGTCATTGATTGCAACGGAAAGCCCGAGGCTTCAGAGGGAAACGCGAAGAGATTAAATCTTGGTTGTGGAGTCTCCAAACTAGGAAGTCGCGACCTACGGAAGCATCTGCACAAGGTCCTGGCCTTCGTCGGTTCTCAGTTGGACTCAAACCCGTCGTTGTCACTACTCATAACATGCGAGTCTGGGAAAGATCTTTCCGCTGGCGCTTTGCTCGCCATATTGTGCCTATGCTATGATGACGAGGGCAAGCATATCCTTTTTCCACATCCAGCTTCGTGCTAACCATGCTACAGGAAAGTTTGCTGGATCGCACACAAAGAACAAGATTGACAAACAATTCATTCGACAGCGACTTGCCTGGATTGTGTCATCAAAACATGACGTTAACCCTTCAAGGTCTACACTTCAATCTGTCAATGCGTTTCTTATGGAACGACCAGATTATTAATAAGTTAAAATTATCTAACACCTGACCTATGATCTGAGTGCAACATTATTCATCATACATGGTTGCATTGATCTATTCGTTTTCAACGGCCTCTACAATGGCTCCAGCACTTCCCTGATCCAAAGCATTTAGCACAGCCATGTCCTCCTCGCTGATTTCAAAGTCAAATACATTGGCATTGGCCACAATCCGCTCGGGGTTATCGGACTTGGGCAGTGGTACCCATCCCTTCTGCAGTGCGTAGCGTACCAAGACCTGTTGGGTTGTCTTTCCATACTTCTTCGCCAGGTCGACAAGCGTAGGATCGCTGGCTTTATAGTTGCGCACGATCGGGGAATAAGCCTCAATGACAATACCATGCTTCTTACAATACGCACAGATAACCCGCTGTTGAGACCAGGGATGAAGCTAGTTAATCCCGATTATCAGCACGATCCCGAGGTCAAGATTTGCCCATAAATCATCACCAGGGCAAACTCACCTCAATCTGATTCACATGCGGCGGCCAAACCTTCGCATATGACTTCATCTCCTCGATATGCTTCACTCCCCAATTACTGACACCGATGCTCTTTGTTTTCCCTTCCTCCAGGAGTCTTTCCAGGGCCTGCCACATTTCCTTCCGACCAGACGCGCCTGAATTGGCGCTATGGATCAGGAACAAATCGACATACCCATCCTGACCCCCTATCTTCTCAACGCTGGCTAACAGCTTATCATAAGTCGCCTCAGGGGAGCCGCCCGGGACAAGGATCTTGGTGGTTACAAAGAGGTCGCTGCGTGGAATGCCCGAGGAGCGGATGGCGTCGCCAACCTCCTTCTCATTTGCGTAGAATTGAGCGGTATCAACATGCCGATATCCTGCCTTCAAGGCATTGAGGGTAGACTGCACGCATTGGCTCGTGGGCGAGCGATAGACACCAAAGCCGAGGCGGGGGATTTTCACCGGCGAGTTGGGGAGGGGTAACAAGTCCGTGATCGCGAGTTTCGTAGCCATCGTGAATAACCAGCTGTGTTCACTATATACACCTAGGAGAGAAAGATTCAGATCCGGATCCAGAAAAAAAGTAAAACAAAGAAAAGGAACCCAAGCCTCAGCAAACCTTACAAACTGAGTCGGTCGCACAGATAGAGCCCTAGAGCTCGAGACTGGGAGCGGAGAGAAGAATGATTCGGCTGTGGTTTGGCGACAGTGCCCCGCCCTGAACCATGATATCATACCGAAACCCCCTCCCGACATTGGACTGCTACTAGTCTTACTCTATCGAGTAAGCAACCTAACTTACCTAAGATGGCGTAATTTACTAACTCATAGTCCTGGAATCTTCTCGGGCTCGGTTACCATCGCTCTGAACTCTCATAGTCTCATCCCATCTGGAGATCGTCGCCCTGGCCTTAACAGAAGTGCCGAATCCGTCCACCTCAACTTTTTGCCCTTGCTTAAACACGGACGCCACGCGGAACGGATTCTACTGCACCACGTGTACATAGTTCCTCTGTACTACTTCCACGTAAGGGATGAGGTTGCCTTGCGATTAACTTTTCTTAAGCTTTACTGTAAATAATATCTAGGGTCCGTTATCTCACTAGAAACAAACGGCATACTCGGGCGGAATATACGTTGTTTGAAAAAGAAAAAGAAGAGAGAAGAGGAAACACCTCATGCATGATCCTTGTAGCGTAGTATTATGCGCGTTATAAACATATGATCATTTAATCCCGCAATGATAACCAATCCAAGATTAAATAGTACTAATCAAGAAAAGAAAAAAAAAAAAGGAAATAATAGTCAATCGATTATACTTCCGGAGATGCCGCCCAGGCTAGCCCTGCAGCAAAGAAGCTTCCATCCACGATCGTACTCTAGACACTGTAGGGGTTTTATACGTACTCAAGACGTGTTATCAAAAGAACTCATAAGTTTTACTTTGAAAAAGAAAAAGTAAATTTGGAATGAGAATTCCTCATAATATATATGTTCTATCATAAATATACATAGGCACATGATGCTAAAAAACTACGACATGACTATAAACAAAAGGCGGGTATCTGTACAGGGTGTATGTGCTTTGTCCACCGGCAGGTATAGGCATCGGCTAATCGAACGCGGCATTGGGGCAGAATAACACCCGACTTATGCCCCTGTGTCTCAAAGGCCATAAGAGGGGGAGAGGAAGCGGTATTGGAAGCTATTACGTAAATTTAATCACGCACCTTTCGCCAACCCCTTCAGATCCCTCTATGTCATGATGATCCTGCTGACAGGCAGAAGGATTCAAGGATCCACCGCGCCACAGGTAAGTGCCAAGTTACTGGTCTTATCCTTGGATTTGGCCATATTGCCAACCTGCCGCTGAACCGCAAGGGGTAACAGCTAGCGGAAAGTCAAAATGTTTAGTTCGGCGGAGAGCAGGAGAAAACACCTCTAACGGAGCCTTCGCGGTAATTGATGATCTGGTAAAATAATGTAAGCAAGTGAACTGCGTAGGAAGGTTGGACAGGTAAATTGAGGCTTACAATATCATCGATACTAGAGTAGGTGCCACCAACAAGGGTGATAAGACCGATAAGCAAAACGACGAGGTTGACGGCCCCCAGGGCCAAGTTCTTGGGCTCATTCCACTTGCCCTCACGGATGAGAATGAACCACATCAGGGCCGGGAAGTAGAAAGTGAAGCCAGAGACGAAGAGCGCAGAGCAGATCGACAAAAGGTCATTGAAGAAGGGGATAACCTCAGCAACGACGAAAGCGACAAGGGTAGCCACAGTGATAACGGCCAACCAGGTGATCCATCCCATCTTAGTGTTAATGAACCGGATGGGAGAGTTCTTAAAGATGCGGCCGTGAACCAAGCGGCCCAGCACGACAGTGTTGATGGAACCACTGATGAAGATGACGGGCAAGGCGATACCGAATGCCACCTTGCTCAAGGTATGGCCAGCAGAAAGCAGGGCGGGGCTTCCCACGTCAACGCCGACGAAGGCATAGACGAGCGAACCGGTCAAGGTGTAGATAACAATCTCAGTGGCACCCAAAGCCCAGATGGACTTGACATAGTCCTTAGGTGTGTGCATTTCGTCCATGAAGGAGAACTGGCAGAGGGCGAAACTGTAAGCGAAGATGATGTTGGAGATTGCGATGAAGCCGTCGGTGAAAGTGAGGTCCTCCTGCGGCCAGGCGGACCATTCAACGTTCGAGAGTCCAATTTCCTTGTTGCTCTTAATACCGGTGCCGATAATGGTGATGCCGATTGCGGCAATGATAGAGACAAAGTCAATGTAGCCCAGGATAGCCATTTCGGTGAAACTCGGCGGCACTGCGAGGAGCAGGAGGATGATAGCAGATATGACTCCCCAAACAACGGAGCAGACGCCACTGCTGGTGATATTAACGAATGCGATCGTACCCGTCAGACAATGAGAGGCGGTAAGGAAGAGGAGTTCCAAGATGAGCATGATATTGATCAGTTCTTTACCGAAGCGACCAAACATCAGCTGGCCAGCGTCGGGGTAGTGAGCAACATGTGGGAACTTCAACTTCACCAAACCGATAATGTAACTAGTATAGACGGCGACAAGACCTAGGCCAACGGTACAGATGACACCAGCTACCATACCAAGCTTAGCGTAACTGGAAGGAATGGACAAACTTCCCAGAGCAATGGCCTCGACAATAAGAACGACAGTGAGACGCTTCCAGCCGAGACGGCTGAACTTATGGATACCATCTTCGACGATGTCCCGTTCCCTCTCATCCATCTCACCAACCAAGTCCCCGTCATAGTTAGGGGGTACACTGAACTTCTCGCTGGCCTCCATGGCTTTATTATTGGCCTTGGTGGCCTCCATGTCCGAGACGTTTTCTGAGGAGTAGCCCATTTTGGAAGTTGGGAAGAGATAGAATAGAAATACTCGAGAAAGTGAGAGGGTGAGGAAGGGGCGAGAGGGGAAGAAGGGTGGGCTGTTTCCCTGTCGGACCACGTTCCTGAGAATCTGGGAAGAGAGCAAATTTTGAAGGGCGCCCGGCCACGGCAGTTATAAGGTAACCTCAGTACCAGACTTGGACTAAATTGGAACCAAGCGGAAAAGAAGGGCATCGTATACTTTGCCACTAACCCGCCGCGCCCGCCGTGTCCGCCCAGGAGGCTGCATGAAACTCTCCCGACGTGATTGGACTTGGAATTTCGAAAGAATAATTGATAGTGCGTTTTCTTTTACTAATAAGATTTTGTGGCGTTACCTTTATCTTGAATGGTCGAACCATATGGAGAACAAGCTCACTCCATAGCCTGGTTTGACCAACCAGATCGGAAATCTGGCCCGTCCTGGATTCCGGATCTAGCCTAGAGTGAAACTCTCGGCCTTCCGGTCGATAGCCTAAGCCACCGACGATAACGGTGTGACGGTGGAAAAAACTATACTGCGGCTAATTTGTGACACGATTGCAACTGGTAAAACGTGGGGATGTTGGGGACGAAGTGAAACACCATTCAATAGGCATCCTTGCTGCATCTTGGACTGACCAATTGGTCCTCTGGAGGCGAACGACAACTTGATTCAAGCCATCCCGGTCAGTAGTCAGGCAATATCTAAAATTCATCCCAACTCCTCGCACACCACCGTCGTCAGCGGGACACTGGACTTTGCCCATCTTACCGCCCGGCACATACGACGACAGTTATGGTTCGCCAGAAACTCTCTATTCCGTATTACCTAACATCTCTACCACCATCATTTTGTGGGGATCAATTTTCCACCATTGAGCGAACATACTCCAGACTAATAAGTTTAGGATTTGGAGTCTCACGCACGCTCTTCTCCAGGGCGGGCCATTTGGAGAACTGACAGGGATGTTCGGTGGGTAAGGCCGTGAGGAGAGCATTCCGGAGTAAAGATGGGGTCAGATGGTGATGTGATTACTGATGACTCGGACGACAATGGTGTCTCTTACTATGCCAGGCACGGGACATACATGGCAATTCTATGACAAACCGCCAAGTTTTCTATAGTTCTAATATCGCCCTAACTTGTATTGCTACCAATATATTTGCTCACCCAGTCTCACCAAGACTTCTTGGAAGTTCTGGGCATTTGCGATTCTTTTACTCTAATGCATTTGTCAGAGAGCTTAGTGGATTGCCTGATGAATGCCTGAATCCGGGAGCGGTATGCCGCATTGGTCGTAGCAACGTGGACCCGTACGGCTTTTTAGGGCGCAAGTTCACTTTCCTGAATATTCCGAAGGATCGGCACATTCTGCTGTTAATTTTGGTCTCATCTATTAGGATTCTATCTGTCGAGGGGAATTAATATAATTGCAGATCCGGACAGACTCTCCGTATTTCAAGCTTACTTGCTTCATCTAAAAGATGCCCTAACCTACTTTTGTTTAATTGTGAGGAAGTTTCTTATTATGAGGCATTATGACACCAAGGTTTCACCGTAGATACCCCGTTATCAATTACTTTATTCCCTCAGTACTGATGTATCATTATCTATTTAGTATCTATGTTTTTTAGCTGATCATTACGTCCTCCCCTTTTTACAGGGCAACTCTTATCGCGATTCTATAGTCTAGCGGTGAACTGTCTTCAAAATCATCATTATTCTCGGGACGTGAGCCAGGCGGGTGAACTTCGGGTCGGGAGATTAGTAAGGTAGGAGCATAAGGAGCATACCTAAGCGGGCATTTAAACGAAGCTATGTTGGAGAGCATACTCTCGAAGGTGAAGTTTATACAGAACGATCTTCATTTACAAACTCAAAAATAAAATAAAATAAATAATGGGGTACGTATTCTAGTGGGTGTTTGTTGAAACCTGGGGTTGGAGTATGGAGAATTTGTTACTCTTTTTTCCCTCCCTCGCTCTCTCACACACAAACATACACACAGTCCCTCTTTCTCTCAAGTCTCTCGTCTTCATCTTGGTCCCCTTTAGTAAAAGTCTTAGGCCATTTCGTTCGCATCAAGTCGCCATCAATCCTCATTCGCCTTTTGTCATGGTCACTTCTTCTGAAGGTTCGTTTCGCCCGTTTGGTGAGATTGATATCAATTCATGGTTCGAAGTAGTGTTTAGTGGTTGCTCTACAAAAAAGAATGGTCTCAATATTTGATTTTAGTTCCCCCGCGTCCCTTGGATCTTCTGATGGTTCGTGACTTAATGTGCGTCTAAGCTATAAAAGAAATCGGAATGTGTGGAGAGAGTTTCCAGAGATTTGACATGCCAGAGTGAGTATGGGTTTGGTTGCTGTGGGGGCGGCGGAGGGTTTGTTGACATTGCCGACCACGGGATAGCGGTGCTTACTCTTTGTTTGAAGTACGAACCTCCCTAATCTTAGCTCACTAATTATCGCCTCTCCGCTCTTCGAGCTACCAGCCACTAAAACTGGCTGAGCATTGCATCTTTTACCGCTTTGTTCTCTTTCTAATTAGTCCCCGTGTGAAGATCCTACCATTTCCATTCAAGGATTACCCCTCTATCAAATTGTATCACTTCGTCAGTGCTTTATCCTAGTGAACTGCGGCCTTCACCAACCTCCCTTTGGACCAGCCCTGAATGTCCTAAACCATTCCCGTAATTCACCATGTTGACGGTTGAGAAGTCATGGGTCAATGTGCAGCAGAAAACCTTTACAAAATGGTCAGTTTCCTCATGCCACCCTGACTTCCTCGATCGGGGTCGGCCCTATGCGTTATCGGCTCTTTGTTGGCCTTTTAACCTGCCTCATCCAATTTGGGTCCCACCTGGCTGACATTATTGATCTTCCAGGCTCAATGATAAATTGAAGGTCCGAAGTCTCTTCATTGAAGATTTAGTATCTGACCTCTCCAACGGTGTGAGTTAAAGCCCCGCTTCCCACTAACTCGATAGCTGCCTATACTGAGGGGTTGGGGAAAAAAAAAAAAAAAAGGGGGGAGAGCGTTCGAGTCATCATGGACAGCGACTTACATAGTACCCCTAGGTTATCCTCATCCACCTTCTCGAAATTCTCGGCGGCGAGAACCTCGGTAAATATGCCCTGAATCCCAAACTACGTGTGCAAAGGTTCGAAAATGTCAACAAGAGTCTCGACTTTATCAAGGGGAGGGGAATTCAGATGACAAACATTGGAGCAGAGGATGTCGTCGATGGCAACAGGAAGATCATATTAGGGTTGATATGGACTCTCATTCTGAGATTCACCATCAGCGATATCAACGAGGAAGGTATGACCGCAAAGGAGGGTCTGTTGCTGTGGTGCCAAAGGAAAACAGCTTGTTATGAGGAAGTGGAGGTCCGTGACTTTTCCTCTAGCTGGAACGACGGCCTGGCGTTCTGTGCCCTTTTGGATATCCATCGTCCGGACTTGATTGACTTCGACGCACTTGATAAAAAGGACCACCGTGGAAACATGAAACTGGCGTTTGATATCGCCGCCAACGAAATAGGTATCCCCGACCTGCTTGACGTGGACGACGTTTGCGATGTACCGAGACCTGATGAGCGATCCCTGATGACTTACATCGCGTATTGGTTCCATGCCTTCTCGCAGCTGGAAAGAGTCGAGAATGCCGGTAGGAGAGTGGAGAAGTTCATCAACAACATGCATGGAGCTTGGGAAATGCAGAACTCATACGAAAGAAGAATGAAGGAACTTCTGCGCCTCATCAGAGCCCAACGCGAGCAATGGAAGAACGCTTCTTTCCAGGGAACATACAAGGATGCCAAGGACCAGGCGTATAAGTTCTCTTTGTACAAGAGGAAGCAGAAACGGCAATGGGTTGCTGAAAAATCAGACCTTGCGGCTCTTTTAGGCAACATAAAGACAAAGCTCAGCACCTACCGTCTTCGTCCCTATGACCCGCCTGAGGAGCTGCGACTTGAAGTTTGCGATCAAGAGTGGGAGTATCTTACACGTGACGAGCATGAACGTAGTCAGCTCATTAACGAGACGATTCGTGATATCAAGAATGCCCTGCGACGTTCCTTCGCGGATAAAGCAAATGATTTCGCACTAACTCTGAAGACCCTATCTCTTGCAATATCCGGTCTTGATGGCGATGTAGAAGACCAGTTAGCCCATGTTAAGAGACTCAATGATAACCTGCCTCCTCTTGATGCGTTCTTAGATACTATTGCGGGTATAGACGAGCAGTGCATGGAAGCGAACATTGAAGAGAACGACTACACAACCTATACACTAGATGAGCTCTCTTACGAGTTGAGCCTGGTCAAGTCAAGCATCTCCAAGAAACTAGCCTTCCTTGACAATCAGCTTGTGGCCCGAAACATGACAAATCTGACCCCGATTCAGTTGGAGGAGTTCGAATCAGTATTCAGACATTTCGATCGCGACTCCTCGAACACCCTTCACGAGCTAGAGTTCTCTGCGGCCCTTGCCAGTCTTGGACTTGTATATGACGAGGATGAGATGCACGATGTGTATGTGACGACATGTGGCCCAGCTAGACTAGCACAGAATGCCGGTGTTAGCTTCGAGCAGTTCATTCGCTTTATGGTCAGTGTGACCGAGGATCAAAACACCGCCGAACAGGTGTTGCAGAGTTTCCGCGAGGTTGCAGATGGCAAGGTAAGTTCCACTTACGACACCGTTTTGCATCCTTCTGCGCATTGACTAACCTTCCATAGCCATATGTCACCGAACTTGATCTCCGGCACTCACTTATTCCCGATGAAGTGATTGACCATCTCGTTCAGACCATGCCCAGGCATGAGGTGTTTGATCGCGGTGAAGACAATAATGACCCCAAGTATGACTACTATAGCTTCATGGAAAAGATGATGGAGAGTGGCAATGGTGAACATAGTGATGCTGCTTCCAATGGGGAGGCTTGATGAGGTTTCGTATCGCACCGCAGGCGTTTAGTCTTTTCTTTCCCATTCTCTCTAATTGTTTTGCTATTGGAAGCTGCTGCTGGTGTTCTCTGGAGCTATAGGGAGGGCTATGTCTTGATCGGCGACCACATGGAACACGCATACCGGACTATGACGAGACTTTTCTTAGTGTTCTTGCATCGCGTCCTTGATTATTTTCTTTACTCCTTCACGATGACTGCCGGGAATTGCTTACATGTACACCACATTGGCCAGGAGCATAAGTAGTTATCAAAAATTACATAGTATCGATAAACATAATTATATTGACAAGAAGATCCCATCTTTAAAAATGCTTCATTACGAGTTTAATTGCTTCGATTGTAAGCCTCACTTCGAACACAGTCTCTTTACACTATGCATCACGTGATGGTCCGCTCCGCCTTTGTAGACTGTGTCCCGGGCCCAGGTGTTTCCTCTTTCTCCGGCTCACCTTATTTCCATACTTTCAACCGTCATCCATTTATTTCCGGTGTACATCTCTACTCCGACTACCGAGAATCGCCTTTGTCTTACAGTGACTTATCTCGTTTCTTTACTGTAGCGATATCTTCCGCGTCCAACATGGACCGCAGCTTGGATGAGATCATTGCGGAGCGTCCTGTAAGTCTTCCAGCTCGCCAATTCCCCTTAATCCATCCCTTATTGTCGCCTTTGCCTCAATAGCAGGTTTGTTTGCTGAACTTTGGGTTTTAGCAGAAGCAGAATCAAGGGCAGAATCGTGGCCGCCGTCCTCCTCAGGCTCAAGGTCGTCGCCGTGATGGCGTAAGAAAGGTACCTATATAACTCGTGTGGATCATAATCACCGGATGTTTCTTTTCTTGGACCCATATTAATCAGCTTGCATTTCGAATTAGGTCCTCCCTCCCAACTCTTTTTCGAACCCTCTACGCGCATCGTGTCAAGCATACTTCGCTGGCCTCGTAGTTGTCTTGGGATAGACATTGGCCGCGAAATCCGCAAATGATGGAGCACTTTCCATGATACTTGATTATGATTTCGAGCTGACCTTGTCCTATTTTTACGACCACAACAGTCTTATAGAGAAGAACGTCCCGACTTAGATTTGTAAAATACCCCTTCATGACCTAGAATCAACATTGAGAAGGTTACTAATATATTTTAGGGATTGGGTACATGACAAATATGAAGACGACAGAGATAGTGCGTTTTGAACCTTACCTGGGCGCTTGCCGTGGAACCTCTAGTTTCCCATTCTCACACAATCTATTCAGCACGCCCATCTCGTGCCCCTCGACGACCACGCGGTGATCGTTATTCTCCTTCGCCGGACCGGTATGTTGAGATAATCCGAACAGGGCTCTTGCATCGCTTGGACTAACTTTCAATAGCGCCCCTACAGGAGGTAAGCTTCGTGTTGAGAATCTTCACTACGATATCACGGAGAGTGATCTCGAGGTAAGGCTATTAACTGCATCGCTTTACCATCCCAGCTATCTAATGGAGTCTCTTTCCAGGATTTGTTCACTCGGATTGGCCCCGTTAGCAACATGTCTCTCGTCTATGACCGGGCAGGGCGCTCCGAGGGTCTTGCCTTTGTTACCTACACACGTGTCAGCGATGCGAGAACAGCTATAAGCGAGTTTGACGGTGCGAATGCTAAAGGACAGCCCATTCGCGTGACTCTTGTTTCCACAGGCGGTGGTCGGCGAGACCGGAATCCATTTGATAATGTTGAAAGACCAAAGGGTAGTTTGTTCGACCGTGTGGAGCGTCCGCGCGATCGTAACACTCGCAGTTTGAGTCCCGGAAGTGGGAATGAAAGCGCTGATGATGGTGCACGGCGCCGCCGTGGTCGTCGGGGTGGTAGCGGACGCTACCGACGTAGCGATGTCTCGAAGCCGGCTCCCGAGCATATTGATCGGTATGTTCCAGGACAACGATCGCCGGCACGCCGACCCGCCAACGGAGGAAGACGACAGGGGGGTGAGAACCGTCGCGCCCCCAATGCAAGGCCCAAGAAGACCCAGGAGGAGTTGGACCAAGAGATGGACGATTACTGGGGTACCGCAAATCCCGGTGCTGGCACTGTTGACAAAGAAACCGTTCCGGATGAGCCACAGCAGATCGCACCTGCGACTACAGCTACTGCTGGCGACGACGATGTTGACATGATTGAGTGAAGCCGCCAGTTATCCGCACTTGTATGTAACTAGATGATACTTGGGTCTAGAAAGGTTCATGCCAAATTGGAAGGATATTTGTTGATCGTTATTGTGACATTAACGCAAAAATTCGACTCTCGTTCGGTCATGATAGTGCGTACTCACTGACTACTCAATTCAGCTCATATACAGATATATAAGAGACAAAACCCTTGTCTAATCTGTCTCTCTGTTTCATTACAAATACTACCGATGAGAAACTTTCACAAGCCAACACCTCCCACTAGGTACAAACCAGGTATAGCGTCATAGCTAAGCATCAAATTCAATATTTTCAAATAGTCTCCGAGATCCATATCTCCGTATTTGCAGAATACTTAAAGTATGAGAGATTCAAAGGAGTACTTCACAGATATCTAGCGTTGCGTTCAACGCCATAAACCATATGGTTCTCTGCATGCCTTCCACAATTTGATCGTGCCGTCCTCACTTCCAGTACCGTAGATTTTGCCATCGGGCGAGAAACTGACAGACCAGACTGGGCCGTGATGTCCCTTCTGGACTTCTAGTATTTCAGTTAGTTCAGTCCATGTGCGCAATCTGAAGGGTATAAATCATGTTAACGAGGAAGGACATACCCAGCTCTTCATCCGTCCGGAGGTCATAAAGTCGCACCCAAGTATCGTCCGCACTTCCGGTGACTAGTCGGCCTGTCTCGTTGTTGACAGCTGCACTAGCGACCTCGTACCTGAACTCAGACTTTTTAAGCAAACGACCGGGACTCGACCCATCGAATAGATACACGGATTTACCCGCCGCGACGGTAAGGATACCGGGATCATTTGGACGGCCGGCAAGAGTATTCAACTCGCAGCTACCGATGGATCCCTCGACGGTGTATTCCATGACGGGGTGGCGAGAGCGGAGATCCCACCATCTAACCTTCCGGTCTTCAGCTGCTGTCGTGAGGATATTATAATCCTGGTTCCAGACGATAGACTTGATGGTACCGCCGTGGACACCCGGGCCGATCTCATAGCTAGTTACCGATTGTGCCCCGGCGCCGTTGTCCCCCGTTGTAGAGGAGAGCGTCGGCGAGGACGAGTTGCTTCCGCTGTTACTGCGGCTTAGGTCGAAAATGCGGAGCTTCTTTTCGAACCCACCTGTAGCTAGCACCTGGGGAGATGGCTGGATAGGAAATGCAACCGCCCGGACGATGTGCGAGTGTTGCAGGGTGTGCAGGCATTCGCCCGTGTGGGTGTCCCAGACTTTGCTAAATGGTGTATTAGTGGGTTTTTGCTACAACGGGGTCTAGTCTTGGCTTTCGGAACTTACGCGGAGAAATCGGCCGCAGCCGTTGCTGCTATGGTGGCGTCTGTGGAGAGTCTGGCTTGCCAGACTGCGCCCTTGTGGCCGAGGAAGGTTCCGATCCTGTGCTATCTTAGTGACATTTACCATCAAGTGGGATAGGTGGTACGGTATGAAACGTACCAGTCACCAGTGATACCATCTCGGAGCATAGGGTTGTTGTCTGTGAAGCGTTAGTGGATCTATCCTCACTCTGGGTCATGGGCTAGAGAGCGATGTACCCTTGCAAGCGGATATGAGGTAGTACTGGTCATCTTCTACTGTGGAAGAAAAGTTGATATGCGGCACGGGACGGGAATGTCCGTGGCAGGTCAATGGGACCACTTTTGGGAGGTCTGTAGATTATGAGCAATCGCCGATGATGAGAATTTTTAACGACTATAAGAATACCTGACGCCATTTCAGCTTTCAAATTGGGGGGTGTAAAAAGCCAATTCTTCGATATTTAGTGTGATTTCATTCAATTCTGTGCGGCCGTTATGTAATGATTTTGATGTTCAAACACGGAGACGAAGGACCCGTCCAAGATCAGTAAGAAAGGCTAAGTGAGAAGAGCCTGAAAAGCCGTGGATATGAATTTACGTAGAAGTACAGAAGAAAATTCGTCAGTCTCGTTAAGTCATGAGCTCAAGTGCGGCGGGGTTGGAGTAATAAAGATTGAGAAGTGTTGAGTGTTGAAAATAAAGTAACGAGAGGGAAGGAGAAGGGGAATCAAGCAACAGATTATTCCACCGCAGCAAACCCACTCACGAACAAGGAGTCCACAACCCTTCAAGAGAAAAAAAAAATAAAGAAAAGGGGAGGCCCCGACCCAAAAGGAGGAGAGCTTGAAGTCGAGAGGTGAACTTCATTTTTGATATTCGTTCAACCCACCGGCATTTGTTCCAATTGTCCGGCACACCGCGCTAGGCCTGAGGGGGACTAGCCCTTTCTCACGTGAGTCGTGTAGTTGGACCTCTTATTCAAGTGTTTCAACAAAAACGCCAATGGCGTCCGATGTTCAAATCCTCCATCGCGGCTCATGACACTAGACAGCAAGCCAGGACCATACAGCTCGGTCCCAGCCACCGACCGCGCTGCATTCAATCTCTGTTGATTAATGCACACAGCAATTTGAGGAAAGATAGACTCACCGCCAATTCCTTCAGTAAATCATTGTACTATTTTGATTAAGAGCAGACGCAGGTTATTACTGAGCATGTCCAAAATGGCATATTATGGGAGAGGTATCGTTCGTTATGGGTTACCATACGGTGTGGACTCTAGCACGACCCTCTGTTTTATGGTGCTCATTAGACTATATTAATTCCCCGTCCTCTCATTGGAGCGATGACGATATAGCTGGTTGACAAGTTCTAGTAAGCACAGTTCGTTGAGGATCAAGGGTACAATGCAAATACAGTCAACTCAAGGCGCTGGTGAGCTTAGCAACTATGCTAGCTCATTGAATCAAGCGGCAAGCCCACAGAACTGCATTTACATGGACTCCCGCAGGCAACCATATGTATGAATGCCTGCCGGTCCTTTGTCGCCTCCAGCTCCCTTTTTCTTTGTGCTCAAGAATGATGCCCATAGCTCCCACTCATCACTCGCCATTCGCCCCTGCTATCCCTGCTGTCTCGTCTCTGTTGACTCGTATAGATGCTAGGCGCCATATGTCTCTTACTACCGTAAAAAGCTGTCACGAGAAGCAGGGCGTTGGAGTGGCTATAGCTTTTTGCCAAGGACATTGCGGGCCACACATTCATGAGCTTGAATTACATTGTTTCTGTCGAGATTATCAACACATCAAAATAAATCCGGTAGTACTGGTGTCTTCGACGAATCTCTTTCAGCTGAGTAGTGCGTGCATAAAGATAATGAATTTAGCACGCCATACGAACCTGGATACTGACTTGTGCTCACTTCTGTATTTTCAACTTGCTGACCCATGAGTATCACGGGCCTGCCCTTCTTTCATTACGAGCGCGGTCGGCTCATCAAGATTCGGAGCAAGGTATATGTGAAAAGAAAAAAGCAATGTGGACGACACGGTATTAGAAGTCACATTTGAGTAAAGCGGGAAAGGGATTCCATCATGGCGGAGCATTGATTAATGCCAACAAAGAACTCGCCGGAATGTAGCCAAGTGGTCCCTGTCATTCCACGTGATGGAAGGTATCAGTATATTACGAGAATATGCACTCTAACAACAGTAATTCAAATTGATTTCTATAGTCTGTGTTCGAAGATGCAAGGCTGAGTACGTGCATCGACTTTTGGTTTTACCACTCCACTGATGACTATGATATACAACACAAGTGCTTTCTTTTAAAATAGTATTTGTTGCGCATTACTTTCCGCTAACCCATATTCACCAAGCCTCGCCAGGATCCTCTTTTAAACTCTAGGCCAATACACTAGGCAATGGTGCAACTGTTCACCTTGTTGGCAGAGTGAAGTGCCGTCCTCCCCTCCGCTTCTAGCGTGTACCCCAACATTGTTCGTCTTGTCTCCCGATGTAGGGCTGTCCTTGGCACGTTTGCTCGAATCAGCAGGCGTATCATTTTTAGGGATCTATATACTTGATCAGCAATCATATGGAATACAGCGCCACCAAGATGTCTCACGTTTAGGGTTGGTGCAGCTAAGGCCGGGGTAGCAAGGAGCAAGCCAGCAATAACAGTTGACTTTGTTGTTTTATGATCTATTGTCAAGGAAACAGAGAAGCCTTGATGCAGTGACGCTTTGATATACTTCAACCGTCCACTTTATCGATGTTCGATAGCGTGTGTCTAAGCTAGAAATAAAGTAAGTTCAGTAAGGCGACATCTCGGGCCTTTATAATGCCAGTAATATTTCCTAGAGCAGTGCAACCCTTTAAAATCTACAAGACAGCTACAAGCCAATGCTTTTATCGAAATAGTATGTTGTCCAAAAGTCTACATCTAGAGACCAAGAGATGATCTCATTCTACCCAGGACAATTTCGTTTCGTCGGCCTTTCCATCGCATATCTGGGCTGAAGCATGTGTACCATTCGTAACTAAAGTAGACAGACTATTGTATCCGGAGAAAATATATGATAAACCTGGGTCCTTCTAAAGGATCTATCTAGAGCTATCAACTAATAGTTCCTAAACATTGCATGAGATCCACCCATCTACATGGTCTACGTACGGCCGTAGCATGCTCCAGGGAGGCTGCTGGGCTTATTTTCTCTTCGAGAAATTAATGGTTTAAATATGGTTCTAACGCTAGTTATTAGTAGTCCGTTGAGTACCGTATACGTAGTGTGCTCGCACCAATAAATATACCACCATAGGTTCCATATTTCATCTATGCAGTAGGCTTTTGGACCTGCTTTTCTTATTAAATAGACCTAGACATTTGAAAAGAATGTAGCACTAGAAAGATTCAAGAATAATATGGTATGGTATTGGGTAGATAAATTGCTTGCAAAGGATAGATAAAGATGTCGATATATATTGTCCAAGTTAGCTGGTTTACCACTCACTCCAAGTCTTCAGTTCACAGCACAGGACTCAACTAACCGATTGACGCTCTTCTCCTTCTAGATCCCTATCGTCTAAATGATTCCTCAACGTTGTTTAGAGATACATACAATATCTTTAGTTTATACAGGGTGGCAACAGCGAACGGCTTCTGGTAATTTAAAGGCATAGCAATACAGCGCTATATCTTACATCCTCTAGGACCGCGAGCTCATCCCAAATCTGGAATCAAATATAAAAATCACTGATATGAAATCTTCGAGTAAAACCATATATACTTCCCCTCTTCTGTACTTGCTCTCTGTGATCTTTCTTTCTTGCTATTACTTTCGCATTTCTTAATATTTCCCACCCCTATTTTCTCTTCCCTTTCCCCCGCTGAGAATAACTTGAGTAGGGCTGAGCAGACGGGAAGCCCATTCTCCTACACCCTGTGGATACATGTGCTTGTTCAGGCTATATATTAGAACTTAGCTTAAAGCCATGCTTCTTATTATAACTCCCAAGACGAGACTTATAGATCTTCTCCATCATCTGTATTCCTATTCCTGCCTACTTCTTGGCCTAACCTATCTAGAGCACCCTTTCCCAGCCATCCACGGGTCTTTAAAACCACCCATTCGCCTCAGTAATCAACTGTCTCGGCGAACCCTCTTCCACCAGCCGGCCAGCGTCCATGACCAACACCTTATCGAACTCCAACACCAGGTCTAGCCGGTGGCCCACCATGACGACCGTGTACCCTTCGAACTCGCCCCAGATCAAATCCCGTACGGCCGCCTGCGTCTCCTAATCCCCACCGCTGTCGATCTCATCGAGCAGCAACCCCCACCACCCCCGGGTCATCACGCAAGGAGGAGGGGCGCGATCCCCCGACGTCTTTGCGTAAGCATAATGTGTATCCCCTACCTCGGCGGCCTGTTGCTTCGCACGCACGTGGCGGCGAACGGCCCGGGCCAGGCTCCACAGCTGCCTCTGAACATGGCTCAGCTCATCGGCCGTTAGCGCAGCCCTTAAGCCGGTGCGCGCAGACACCAGGGACTAGAGCGCCGTACGCTCCAGGACCGCCTGGTACTCGGCGTCTGCTGTCTCAGCGAATGGGTCGAGGTTCGTCCGGAAGGAGGTGCCGTCGGGGAAGAAGGTGGCATCTTCCGGGACTGCAATGATGCGCCGGCGCAAGGTGCCGCGATCGATCGTCCGCAGAGAGACATCATCTATCATCAAGTTCCCGTTCTCGGTGCATGTTGACGGTAACCGGGTCCAAGTGGCGTAGCAGGAGCAGAATCACCGATGTTTTACCGCTTTATATTATATAAGTTATCTTCGAAAGTCTCTTAAAGCCCATTATGACCCGGGTAGGTTTGCTTTTCTTTTTACCTTTTGACACCAAAACTTTCAGGCAATGAAGAAGGTGGGCAGCAAGAAAAAAACTAATCTTCCTGTTCTTCCTCAAATTGCTACTTTCTGTCCAGCTTCAATTGTAAATGCAAGGTCTCGAAGGACAAGATTCTCAGACTTGTGCAAGGTTTCGGCTGTTGCTACACAACTGAGTGAGAGAGTAAGTCAAAAACCAAATCAAGGTTTTTCGAAAAGGGGGAAAAAAAAGACCTGAGGACCGGCTATAGAAGAAACATTAAACGTTACCTGTATGATGTAGAAACATGCTGGACAGTGATCCTGCCCCTTCGACCGCGATCCAGAGCTGGAGCGGGGTATTGATCAAAGCTTGGGCAAGCTCCCTGTCGATAAGGGACATATCCTGCGAGAAAAGGTTTGTAATTATAGCCGTATCGGCCTGGGGTAAGAAAGACAATGGGGTAGAAATGACTGTTCGCAACGCTGCACCGTACAAATGTGATCCGGAGCTGCGGATAATCGATAACATGCCGATGGCTGCCTCACTAAGGACTGTGCCCATGGCCAGGCATTGGAGGAGGGCGTATATCTCACTGTAGAAAGACTTGGAATGACTGAAGGCGCCTGTGCTCCAATAGCTTACCCAAATCGTGGGAAGTTGAAGAGAAACCCACAAAGCATACCAAACATGGCAAAACTAACTAGTAAGAAAGGGCCAATGCTTCAACTGTAATACACGAAGACGGTAGTATCACCCATGGTTCTGCTCGATTCGTTGACTTTAAGCTTGGAATTGAATGCTTTGTGGTCAGCAGCGCTTGAATTCCATTAGTGGCAGCCTGCAATCCGAGACCACGGAAATAATGGTGATTCGGGACAAGTTCGCGGAAATGGCCCTTCTCCACGATTGTACTGTCACTTCCCAGAGCGATGATATAGTCAGCGGATGGGAGATGTCGAATGGTATTTATGCAGAGTATCACGACCTCTCCTCTTGCCTTGAGAATACCCGAAGGGCCGAAAACAGTGAGAAGTATGTGCTCTTCGGTGACTGTGTCCAGTCCACTGAGAAACATCATCGAGAATCAGCAGGCCTCACTGAAGATATAATACTCTGGCATGCACAATTCGCCGCTTCTGACTGCCGCTGAGGGCGAGTCTGTCGCTACCTATCTTGGTCTGGTCTCCTTGGGGAATAAGAAGCAGGCCCTGATAAATCATTGTTGCCTCGATAACACTCGTATATCTTTCAGCATCAAAGGTTGAGAAGCCTATAATGGTATCCCTGATGCTTGCGATGGGGAGGAAAGGAATTTGCTCACAGCATCCAACTTTACGAAACTTGGTCCTTATAAAGACTTCTCCGCATGCAATTGGAGTCTCTCCTAGCAATGCTTTGCACAGTGTTGATTTCTCTCAAGCAACGGGACCAACAATAATTTTCAAGCCTTGAGACATTGACACATTGATGGCCTTCAGAGTCAACGTATTCATTTCCTAGCCAAAGCCTGCAGCCGTGATTTCCATAATTGATGGCAATTTCTCCCCGGAACCCGTTTCCTTTAAGAATGTGGCGGTCACGGCGAGTCGGCGAAAAGTCATGCCTAGGGTCTCTTTCTGAAAACAGCAGTATTCTCCAGTGACATGAAAAAGCCGAAAGCTGCTGAGGAGCAACTTGGAAGAGTGTAGAAAATGGTCCGGAGAGGAGTTGAAGATAGGCGAGGGATGTAATAATGATGGTGGGATTCAAGTCGCGGAATGTAAGAGCAAAAACAAAGACAGGTCTCATAAGCACTGGCATGAATTCAATGCCCACCGAGGCCACGAGAAAAGTTCAAAATTTGCCCCAGAGTTCAGCTCGTCCATATGCAGCCCTTGAATTGAATCTTCGACAGACTCAGTCAGTCCTGCTATCCTCAAGTGTTTCATGGTTCCAATCTCAGTTGAAGTATGGCCGATTCGCTTTTGAATTGCTTCCATCCAAGCTGTTTGCTTAGGGCCAACAAAACGCATCACGCCACTCGACGTGATGTGCCAAGGATGACAACAATCAGAGGTGCCACAAAGGCTGTGCCAACCTAACGCTGGAGTAGCCAACAGGCAATGGCCACTTAGACGGGATTTGCCCCGAATTCGTGCAGCTGCATGAGACCCATCCTGACTCTTTCGACTTCCGTGCTCATCAGCGTGACAGCTGCTTTGTCATCCCCAGCGGAAATTGGTGTATGGGTCGTCTTCTGGTATATCGCTGATACCAAGCATGCCCGTATCATAAATAAGGTGCGTCCATGTAGATACCAATACAGGGCAGTGGTAATTGGCATCCCTATGTACACCAGTATTGTCGCACCAATCAGGCCATATCCCTTGTTGGCTGTCAAGTTGGTGTTAGGCTCGTCAATCCATTTCAATATCGTATCAATGAGAAAGGACTGGCAGAGTGTGAATCTTACCAGGGCGATGCGAGGCGCGATTGGCAGTAAGAAGGGGACTGATAATGCGCGAGCAATTGATTTTGTCAAGCGATTCATGTCTCCGTGGAAACTGGTACTTTGGGTATTCTTGGTGAAGGATTTCTGTAGGGTTTCCACAGACACTCTTTTGTCTAGAGGAAAGAGATCTGTTAAATCAAGCACCTTCTTATACCTGACATGGAAAGTGGAACAAGCCAGAGGAAGATGCCCAGGCCATACAGCCCAGAGGTTTCTTCGCGGCTTTGTGCTTTCTGGTTGCATCTGGACCGGCTATGGTGGTGTTCCAACAAAAGCAGAAATGCCTTCCAGACAATGGCTGTTGTGAAAAGTCTCACACAGGTTAACTTGAAGTGGCTGTGGTGTAACAGCCAGAGTGTTCGCACTTGAGCAATATCAAAGAGGATAGTCAGCGAGAGAAACACGCTGAGTAGAACTGAAGGCCGAAGCGAGCGAGAGTGCTCTAGAAAACTCAGGGCGAAGATGGTTTTCGCCACAACAAGATCTCATGAGTTGGCTGTGATGAACAAGGTAGGTAATCCGAATGGCTCGATACTGATGAGAGTAAGAAGTGCAAGCTGAAAGTTCGGGAGAATTAGTGCTGCTGCCTTCCAGCCTGTTCGTCTAGACGCTTCATTGCTCAAGAGGGGCTCTGTAAGACATACAAATTTAGTGGTCTGGAGAAATGCGCCGCCCACAATTGCCGGTTTGCGAGCGAGTATAATGCCTCTAGGGACCGAGAGGGCAATAAATGCAGCTGATGGCAGTATCGAGAGAATGATCTTTTCAAACTTGAGCGTAAATTCGAAGTCTTCACGACAACCATGGACAGCAGGGCCAAAGTGTCGCCCACACAACTGGGTGATTCCATACCGAGACACCACAAATCCGTGAAGAGGGTATCGGTCACAATAATTCGAAGAGTTGGCAATGCGTTGTATTATTATTATAAAGGTAGGTGGTGATAAGGTGGGAGACAGTAAGATGTAACCTTAGCAAGGATTCCACTATTAAGCATTCATCTAATATGATAACACCCTAAACTGAAAGAAAGAGGCATTTCCTTCTTCAGAAGAGTCACCCTGGTATAGCTTATCTTATGGCGTAGATACTTAAGTCCAGAAAAAAGGGCAGCCACCTATCTTAGCAGCCAGGACTTCCTCGGGTTTCCCTATCTTCTCCAGCCTCAAATCCAAACATTGAACAACGGAAAGGATTATAAGCGAATGAAAAATGGCGACGACTCGAATGAAGAGGGTACAACCTCGGACTTTACAGACGATCATGCCACTTATTCGGCACTCGCTGTCTCCAAATGGTATAGGACCTGACCTGCGTGCTAATATTTCTCGCTGGAGGTGTGATAATATTAGCTGCTCAGAGATCGAAGCTATGCGCGCGCATTTGGTGTACGTTTCGTGACATTTGCTCTCAGCCACATACACATATTTCTCTTTGATGCTGAATTTCCATTATGAAGCACTGTTGCTCGAAGCAGTCGAGTATGAAGAACGGGGCTGGGTCAGCATATTCGCAACTCAGCACTCAGGGATTACGGGGGTTGGAGGCTGGGGGTTACTCCCATCTGAAGTTGGAGGGCTCCTTATCAACCGTCTATCCGCCAATAAATTAAGTACTTGGATTATTGAACAAGCCGAGGCTCTGCAGTATCGAGTTTGAGAACATCAAGGCATATCTGTTGTCCGGTAGCTCGATATTGTCCGCCGTACAGAATAAAGATATCAATCCCTGTAGAATATCTGGTAAGGTATTCGATCAGATTTATGATCACTATCAATCTATCAAGGAGGTCTACCTAGGTGGGTTATGAGGCCTTTTATATGTAGCCTGATTACCATAGTATTCAACAATCCACATAATTCCGCAGGTGGTCAATTCACCAGGCATATATCAGGCGTCTGCGATGCAGGGTAATCTCATGGGCGTATTCAGTAATCCCCGGTTGGTCTAATCATTCGAAGAGCAGCACGATACTGTCGTAGTCTACCAGCAGTGGTCTGTGCGCGTGGTTGGTAGGGAAGATGAGATTTGGGTTACTTACTAGTAGATAGACGTGTATATATATATTTACATCACTCGGCTTTGTTCTCCAACAGGGGTCTTATATGGCTAGGATCGGTAAGAATCATACAGGCTAAGGTAGCTAAAACTTATTCATAATACAAGCTTTCTTCCCCCTCTGGTGATCTCAGTCAGGTACTGTAGAGGATACGAATACTTCCTCGAGATTGACAGCTTCCCGAATGGATACCTTTGATGGTGCCTGACCCACCAGGTCTAGGCTTCTAGCAGCTTCTACTCCACCGCCCACGTGATTGGACCTCCGCGGATTGTTATTGTCATCAGTAACTAAGTCCCTTAGTAAGTACTAGTATGGGCGACTAGTTAGTTCCCTGGTACCAAGACACCAACACAGCAACTCTCACTTCGAGTCAATCCCTCCGCCTCATTATACGACATAGCCTCTCTTCCGACTCGAATCTCTCGACCTGGGGTCTCTCACTTTGCATTCTCCTAGCCCTCTGGGTGTAACCTTTATGTATGCCTGACTTCAGGATCTCCGCTTCTTTGGAGGGCCACGGCGATGATGTAAGAACATCCCCGGCTGTTGACGCAGTCCTCAACAACTGGATTCTCGGTTATTTTCTGACAACTGACCGTGTTGTGTCGATGATTACAGGTCCGTGCTGTGGCCTTCCCTAATTCAAATGCAGTGTTTTCGGCCTCTCGCGATGCGACTGTTCGGCTCTGGAAGCTTGTATCTACCCCGCCCCCAACATACGACTACACTATCACATCCCACGGCTCCGGGTTTATCAACACCATAGCCTATTATCCACCAACCCCTGAATTCCCCGAGGGCCTCGTTTTTTCCGGAGGTCAGGACACTATCATTGAGGCAAGACAGCCTGGTAAGGCGTCGGATGACAATGCGGATGCTATGCTTCTAGGTCATGCTCACAATATCTGCGCCCTGGATGTGTCACCCGAAGGGGGCTGGGTCGTCAGCGGTAGTTGGGACTCTACAGCTAAGCTATGGAGAGTTGGAAAATGGGAGTGCGATGCCACCTTTGAAGGCCATCAGGGGAGTGTGTGGGCAGTGCTGGCGTATGACAAGGATACGATCATCACCGGTATGAGTAATACTATTGGTTAGGCAACACTCTCATACTAATACTTCTATAGGCTGTGCGGATAAAGCTATCAGGATCTTCAATACCTCCGGAACTCTTTTAAAGACTATCAAGGACTCTCGGGATGTTGTCAGAGCACTCTGCAAGGTCCCCACATCTAACCCTACTGGTGCGCAATTCGCTTCGGCTGGCAACGACGGAGTAATCCGCCTATACACCATACAGGGCCAGATAGTTGCAGAGCTCCATGGCCATGAAAGTTTTATCTACTCATTAGATGCTCTGCCGTCGGGTGAGTTGGTAAGTTCCGGAGAGGACCGCACAGTGAGAATCTGGAACGGCACGCAGTGTGTGCAAACCATCACTCATCCTGCAATCTCAGTATGGGGGGTTGCTGCATGCAAAGAGAACGGCGATATTGTCACGGGTGCTAGCGACCGGATCACTCGAGTTTTCAGTCGGAGCGAAGGACGGGTAGCAAGCGCTGAGGTGGTGGAACAGTTCGAGACGTCTGTTAAAGAATCATCGATCCCTGAGCAGCAGGTAGGCAAAATCAACAAGGAGAAGTTGCCGGGACCCGAGTTCCTTCAGCAGAAATCCGGAACAAAAGATGGTCAGGTGCAAATGATCCGACAGAATGATGGCAGCGTAACCGCACACACATGGTCGGTAGCATCAAGGGAGTGGGTGGCAGTGGGTACGGTTGTTGATTCTGCTGCCAGCAGTGGAAGAAAGACGGATTATCTGGGCCAGGATTATGATTATGTTTTTGATGTTGACGTTGAAGATGGCAAACCGCCCCTCAAGCTGCCGTTCAATGTCTCTCAGAACCCGTACGAAGCTGCGACGAAATTTATCCAGGACAATGAGTTGCCCATGAGCTATCTCGACCAAGTGGCACAATTTATTGTCCAGAATACACAGGGTGCGACTCTTGGCCAGTCCACTCAGGAGTCGACTCCTGCTGGCGCTGACCCATGGGGCCAGGAGAATCGTTACCGTCCTGGAGAAGCCTCCACTCCAACTTCGGTTCCTGAACCCCGCCCGAAGGTTCTCCCTCAGAAGTCATACCTTTCTATCAAGACCGCCAACTTGAAAGTGATTGCCAAGAAACTACAAGAAATTAATGAACGGCTTGTGTCATCCGGATCGAAGGAGCTATCCCTAAGTCCTCCAGAGGTGGACACAGTGGTCTCATTGTGTAATCACCTGGAGTCGCCGGAGAGACTCAAGCAATTCTCAACTTTGGAGACCGGCCTTGGATTACTGTTTAAGGTTGCGACGGGCTGGCCTGTGGCACATAGACTACCAGGTCTGGATCTCCTTCGTTTAGCTGCGGCTGCAACCCCGGTGACGGCTACCACAAAATACAACGGCCAAGATCTCGTAACTGGGGTCCTATCAAGTGGCACATTTGATGCTTCATCGAATGTTAACAATGCAATGCTTTCAGTTCGAATGCTGGCCAATCTCTTTGAAACCGAGCCTGGCCGACAGCTGGCCATGAGTAGGTTTGATCAGATCATAGCCGCTGTTAAATCGGCATTGAACCATAGTGGTGCTGCACCGAACCGCAATCTTGCCATTGCAGTTGCAACCCTTTACATCAACGCCGCTGTTTACCTGACGTCTGAAGGTAGAGGGACTGCTCCCGAATCTTCCGAACGGGGTCTGGTGCTTCTTGGAGAATTAGTACAGATAATTGCTGGAGACAAAGACTCTGAAGCAGTATATCGGAGCCTTGTCGCGTTAGGCACACTGGTCATGGGCCTTAGCGAGGAAGTCAAGAGCGCTGCTACAGATGTGTACGACATTGGCCAAGTGATTGGGAACGTGTTGGGCTCTGGTCCAGGGAAGGAACCTAGAATCAAGGGTGTCATTGGCGAGATTAGGGATTCGTTGCGGTAAGGCAAAGGCGTAGACGGCTCCTTTTTGGAGCATATAATGCGCTTAAGGATTAGACACAATCATCTTTAATGATAGCCATGCATTCTACGTTATTAGACTCAACTGGTTTTGACAATCCACATATGTTGTACAAATGAAATAGTCTTAAGAGTCCTGCCTACCTTTGTCTAGACTGAAGTACATTAGATTAATCGTCAGATATATTCTTAGAGCTTTCCTTCAGCATCGACCCCAATTTCCACAATCTGGTCAATTCCCGGGTAATTGGGTAGATCTAGCCCATACTTCTCCGTGATACTCTTCGTCAAAAACCGGCCACCAAGGAAATGCCTTCCCTGGTAATATTTCACACATGGCTTCGGCGCAGTCAAGCTGATCAGATACTCCGGCATGAATTTCGACCCAGGGCCTTCCTTAGGTGGGCCACTCTCTATATCCCATGAGCTGGGCGCATCAACGCTCAGAACAGGTACTAACGCCGACTCGATTTGAGAGATGATGGTTGGGAAAGGGTCTCGGAGGGGCCCACCAAAGGAGAACCCAAAGATTGCATCCACCAGGAGATCTGCAGATTTAATGGCTACGGGGAAGTCCTCAATGAATGGCACGGAGAGATTATCAAGCTGGGTTCTAAGACGCTGTTGATAGGTTTTAGCTTACTGGGTTGCGATGAGGTAAGGAGAATCGGTCCGGTCGATGAACGTACCTGGTAAAGTTCATTCTTGCCCTGTTTGGGATAATAGATGGACGGTTTATAGCCATACTGAGCGAGATGACGAGCGGCTACTAGACCGTCTCCTCCTGTTATTGTTGTTAGTTTGTCCGTCGCTCGTTGCTTTGTGCCTTGATGTTGACTTGCCGTTATTGCCTGGGCCGCAGACCAAGAGGATGTTCTTTCCAGCGCTTGGGGGATGTACACGGTAGACTAAGACAATATACAGTCAGTGAGGTCTATCACTTGACTATTTGCATCTAATTCGCATCTTACCTGCTTGCGAGACAGACAACCCGGCAAGTTCCATCAGTTGGTCCAGAGACCACCCTCCGATCTCCATTAGGTCCTTGTCAAGGGATGCGGCATCTTTAGAAGAGATAGCCTGGTAATACAACTTAGTTAAGATATACGACGGCTGGAAAGCAAGCACACCTTCAACGACATCCTGGCGGTTCTACAGTAGTATCGAATAGAAGCGGGGAACGGATACCGTTTGGTGAAGGCCAATGTAGAACGAAACATATATCACTTGCTTAGGAAGGGCAAGGCAGTTGGTGACAGATCTCAGTATCCATAAACTATCTAATAATATGGAAAATTTGCTTTCCAAATCATACGAATTGGAGCGAATAAATAATTCAAAGAAGCTGTGATGGGGTTGTGATTACATCATACCTTATCATCCTATACACCGCCCAGCACTAATCCGCATTCGTAGCCCTCGGATGAACAGATTATCCGTCAATCTGCGAATCTGCCGCGGGAGTCCTGATGTCCAGCTTCAGAACCCAGCAAACAGACATCCCCTCGGACACCCATTGTTGCTGGTCAATTCCGATCTATCTTCAAAATGGTTGTCCGTATTCGTCTGGCCCGATTCGGGAACAAACATCAGCCATTCTACAACATCATCGTTGCGCAGGCCCGGTACGGTTGTCTACGGTTTATTTTATTTTTTTTTTTTCCCTTTCTCTTCTCGAGTCGAGACTTCTCTCCATGGGAGCAGGCGATATCTTCAACAAAAAAGAGTGACCTATGAAGCTAATGTAACTTGAAACGTACAGGAGTGCTCGAAACTCGAAACCCTTGGAGGTCATTGGCACTTACAACCCAGTCCCGCAACGCCCTACAAACCTCTCCGACGAGGAAGCCCGCAGCGCAAGACCATACAAGGAGGTATCACTCGATCGGTCCCGGGCTAAGTACTGGCTTGGTGTTGGAGCGCAGCCTAGCGATGGTGTATGGCGGTTACTGAGCCTGGTACGTGAACGATGAGTCGAACAATACGAGGTCGGACGGTGGGATTGATAACTGACGGGATACAGGCCGGCCTCGCCGAGGGCTCGTCAAAGGCACGGAATTAAAATCTGTCTCGTTCATACCCGAATTTTTGTATTGATGCATCGGTAACCGATCTTTGTGTGTCGAGGATTGAAGGAGACGGCTTATTTGACTCGGCGAATCTTCGAGTGCTAGGTTTTGGCATTTTCCGTGGCGTTATCGAGTGTCCTTTTTTTTCTGGAATATATTGGGTCGATGATCAGACCCTTGGCATGTACATTATGTGAGCTGATTGTGGTTAATTGCAGTATGAGAGAATCGCATTCGTCGATTACGGATTGATAACAATAGATTATGGAGGGCAATGCTGCATTATGAACGGCATATTCCCTGTCTGTACGCAGGCTAAGCCCGGGGCTCCCTGTTCGTTTCACAGATTGCCAGTATTTGTCTTACGTCTATCGGAGAATTGCACCAGCATTGCTAGATTGAAACGCAGAAATTGGAGTGAGGCGCACGGTGGTAAAAGGACTCTCAGGTAGCCTCTTAATGAACCTCATTTTGGGTATGCTTAGGCTAAATGTTTGGTTTTTACCTGGATAATCTTGTACGCTCTAGAACATAAGCCCTACGATCTACGGATATGGTAGTCCTTTGCACACGCTCAATTCTTCTAGTTGAAAGTATATTACGTATATACAATCTGTATCCCCAGATCTTTGTGTTTAGTAGGCAGATGTCCTGTCCTCTTTACATCTACTGTGTATTGAACTGAAATATGCCTTTGATGACATGACGCTATTTCATAACCTCATTGGGTAAAATCATCGCCGCATAGTAATGCAGTATGCATGGGCAATGTCCACTACGCGTGCCGCGTTGAGAATGAAGCCTCCGATTTGATGATCACTACTAGTGTGTAGGTGATCGAAGGCAGTCCCTATCAGTGTCATTACAGATGAGACTAGGATTCACAACATCTTAACTCAACTGTCTCCCGGCATAGCCTTTGTCATGATCACACTGATATACGTGTCCAATAGTAAAAGTAGGCAGCAGGGTCAATATCTGACATCATCCTCATGATGGTAGGCAGAAAGGGGATGACGGCTTTCAACCATAGGAACCACGTCCACCTAATAGGCAGAGAAATGCTTCTTGTCAGTCGACCCAGACTTAGGTAGTCCACCCCCTAGATCCACAGAAGGATTTCGGCTCCTCTTCCCCCCTCCTCTGCTTTCACAGACCAGGTTGAAAGTGTTGGGAATGAACCAATCCTCGCGGGAGACAGGCTTCCAGACACGGCGGAGGCCATGGTGATTGGTCATCGCTTGAAATTCCAGATGGCAGATCAGCGGTGGAGATTGAGCTTTCCCACGGATCCATGGCAGCCACTAAGATCCGCTGATTGGCATAGATATCCCTTATAATCCGTAAGACGGTCACTTCAGTATGTTTATTCGGTAGGTGCGAGACGGGGAGGCCTTAGACTTTCTTCCGTCTACTTTTACAGTTGTAGTTTATTCTCTAAGAGGAACTTACCATTTTTGCTTTTAGCTGGCCATGGTCATGATGAGGGATTGACAAGGTTTCTACTTTTTTTTCCCCCTTATTTTCCCTTTCCGGGTTCTTCTGCAAATTTTCTCATCACATGAGAAATCCATCCATAGACGAGATGCGATGACATGGCATTGACTGATGCACAATGTCGACTTAGGGTACTTGTTGCATGGGGCCCGACTGATAACAGAATATTCCTAGCCTAGACTCTTCGCATGACTAAATGCCGCCAATCAAACCAGATAAAGGGAACTTGTTCCTGGTCAAGACTAGGCTGTCAACAGGCCGAGGAATTTTGGCGCTATCCAGGGAGCTACCTAACCGCGATGTAGAGATCATGGTCATATGGATGTATGTAGAGCAACCATTTTTTTGCAGGTCAGCTGAAAGACTCTTTTTTCCCTTTCTTTTTCTCTCTGATGTACTCTGTATTGGCTGACCCGATCATTATTTTTCGGAGAGTATTCGTCGGGGACAAGTCCAAGGGGCTGGCTGACTACTCATTGGTATTTGATAGGAAAGGAGAATGACTCCGGTTGGAATCCATCAATGTAGTTTGGATTGAATATCAGTGCATATGGTGCCGTAGTTACGTACCTGAGTCAAAATAATCAAAGTAAATAATAGAAAGAAAACCTTAAAACCAGACAAAGAATGTTGAAATGCAAGATGAAAAGAATAGGCCAATGTAAATTCGGATTAATATATGATATATATGATTGAGGAATTCGTCCAATCCAAGATACGGTATGAGTAGGTAACTTATCAAGAAAACGCCTTGTGACTTTCTCCACGCCCGGCCCCTTAAAGCACACGCACTTCCACGTTCGCATCCGGATGCTCGTCCATTGTTTGCGTAGATGTAGGTGGCCTCAGGCTCGCTGCACTCGGTAAGTCGCGTTGCAAAAATCAGGATATGACAGGGTCCCTAGGGATTGACCAGGCCAGACACTTTGGATCTATTCGAAGAGGGCTTTCTGGGTCGAACGACTCATACCAGTGGTCATAATAGCGCGTCGTGCCAACTGGATTGTCGGGTCGCGCATCTGGTGATTGACGCTTCCATTGGACAGTGCGCTGTTAGCGTTCTTACAGTTAGTGATTAATTACTTACTTTCTTGGGTTTAGGTCGAACAGTGTACTTTACGAGTCCCTTCCTGTCCTGGAACGGAGTCAGACTCGATCCGTGGACCCAAAGGACGCACTGCCGCCCTCTTGGGAGCAGTACCGTACCTCAGGCTTTTTGCCCAGAGGGACTTTGACACCATCATTCCCAAACGCCCCCCCCCCCCCCCCCCATTTTTCCCTATTATTCATTCATCCCATTCATTGTTATTTGGGAAAGACCGTTCCGGACTTCGCGACGGGGTACCTTCACTCATTTCATTTCATTTCATGGTCTTCTCTTCCCTTCCCTTTCCTTTCTCTCTATCGCAAATCCCTGTCATCATTCGATCTTAATACTTTTGGCATTTACTCTCGTCTGTCATTTATCTTCCTTTCTAATTTTTTACTTTTATCTTATAATTCTCATTATATAATCTTTGAGAGGGAACGACAAAATTACCACTAGGTGACGACGATACCTACTATATTGTACCACTGGACGGAACCTGTTACCAGCATTACTTACTGCCACCCCTCTCCGTGCTTCCCCCCCTCCAAAACCCAATCTAACTTTATCCTTCCCCCGAACTCTCTCTCACTTCTCTCCTGTCCTTTCATTGCTCCATCACCCTCCTCTTCCACCTTTACTCTTTCTTCCAACTCCCCCCCCCCTCCCTTTAGATACTATTCTTCCCTCCCACCATCCACCTTTAATCATCTTTTCCATCTTCTAGCCACTCCCTCTCGTTCCCCATCTTTGGCATTTGTTTCATCCGTGCATTTCCGTCCTGCGATCATTATCTATCTCCTTGTCGGTTGATCGGTCCACTCGGTCCGTTGTCGCATTGCGTCTGCATCGAATATTCACTATCTTCGTACACGAGTCGCCTTGTCGCATCCCACAACGAATAAATGAATTGATCTTGTCACTGTCACTGCGGAACATTACTCAAGGTTAAATAAACTTATTACACTTCACGCACTTTCCCAGCATTAGGCACCTGTCACCTGTTGCCTCCCGTTGCCCACCTATCTCCCTTACCTGAGGAACCTAATTCTACCGTTATCGCTCCTGGGGTTTGTCGATCCATTAAACAACTGGGGTCATCGGTCCGCGAGGCATGAGTGGCAGTTCGAATCAGTCTACCCGTACGAGTCCTGGGTCTTTTAGTACCACTCATCGCACGCCGTCCGTATCTTCGGGCGCGTCGCCTCCTTATCAGTCGCTCCAATCCTCCCAGGCGCCTGCAACGGCCCAGAATGCGATGTCGACTGACGTGTATAATCCATCCACATCGCAAGCATCAACGTCACTAGGTCCCACCTTCTCCTATCCATTCACATCCCTCGGCCCATCCTCTCCCTTCGATAACGTTCCTCCCACCACCATGCGCATAAGCGATACTGATCGCTCGGCGCAGAGCCTCAATGGCTTTATCCGTCCCGGAACCGGCGGCGCGATCTTGATGCGAAAACTTCCAAAAAACACTAGTCTCGAGTTGTTGCGCAGCATGCTCCTCTTTGCCAAAGATCTTGTGGATATTGAGTTTGAGCTGAACATCCCTCCAGAAGACAACGGGTATGTGAGCGCAGTCGCACTATTTAGTACGGTCGCGGCAGCGGAAGAGGCGCGGGCTTTACTCGATGGCAAACCGAATTCGAACAACGATGCCAATATGATCGTGGAAATGTACAACGGCCCTGTTGGCTCAACCCTGGGGCCCAGGCGCAATACCATTGACCACACCGCGGCGCGTAGTCTGCTAGGGGGCGTTACATCTAACGGACACTTGTCGCGGCACTCATCGCGCTTTAACGGTACGTTTCAAAGCCTCGAAAAACTGACAGTGGCAAACGCATCCAATTCATCGGCGAGCGATGCTCTACCGGAATCAAGTTCCCGAATCCACAGCCTTTTCTCCCCCCAGTCACCCATAGGAAATGGCGTCCATGATTTGCCGCGTGTTAGTGGCAAGTCGATGATTGATCAGGATCTCGACGAAGACACCGGCGAACTTCTCAAGGATCCTGTGGGCTATGCAGAGAACGGACACTCCGGCTCCGTTTCCATTCCTCGTCGGTCCACCAATCCCCAGTTCCCCACCAACCAGTTTGCCAACCTGTCGTTGGCGACGAACTTGTCCTCGCCACCGTTACCGAACTATACACCTGGGGGACCGGCACATATGGGGATTCCCACGCCTTCGTCCACCTATCCCCAGTCGATGGCCAACAATATGAGTGGCAACCATGGGCTCCCTTACGGCAATCCGCATACTCCTCGTCACAGCTTGCCTGCCGCGAACCCGAATGACATGAACCCGCCCTGTAACACTCTATATGTGGGCAATCTACCCCCGGACGCGTCGGAAGAAGAGTTGAAAGCTTTGTTCATGAAGCAACGCGGGTACAAGCGCCTGTGCTTCCGCAACAAGCAAAATGGCCCAATGTGTTTCGTTGAATTTGAGGATGTGGGCACGGCCGGCAAGTCCTTGAACGAACTATATGGCTACAAACTTTCGAATAGTATCAAGACCGGTATTCGCCTTAGTTTTTCGAAGAACCCGCTCGGAGTCCGCTCTGGACAGCCGGGTTCCATGAGTGCATCTAATAATATGGCATCGCAAGGCGCGGTCCCCGGAGGCAGCAGCCTTTCTGGCATGCACAATCATATGTTCTCGACGGTTAGCGGACCTCCTCCAGGTCTTTCGGCCCCCCCAGGCCTAGCTCCGCCGCCACTGCCGTTGCGAAATAACGGAGCCGTGCATCCGTCTGGGCATCCCCACGCGCCAGTACCGAACAACGGCTCTTTCCACCCAAATACTGGCCTAGGGATTCGGACAAACCATGTGAATTCCATGATGTCCTCTACCACTCCACTTTCCGGAGGGGTTTCTGGCGGTGGTTCAGGACCAAATATGGGAAGCTTTAATTCTTATTATCCCGATTACATGATGGGTCGGTAGAAAGATGCAGCATATCGTGGAGATAATGTCCGACACGTTTGATGACGATCACTGGGTTTCTGGCGTATTGGGGATTTTAATTGTTACATGAGCTAGATTAGCATTTGGAGGCTCCCCTTCCTCCTGGGAGTAAGGAATATGGGGCTCTGGCTTCTATAGCTTGCTTGCTGTTTTCGCTGCTTCGTTCCCCTTTCTCCTTTCACTTGCTATTGTACTTTGAACAACATAGGATTGTGCGTTTTACGTCTTTATTTTCTTCGTTTTTTGGGGGATTGTTACTTTCTCGTCTTGCGGTTTTACTCCTTTCTTTATACCTTTTCTGACAAGTACCTCCGTGTTTTTTTTTTTTTTTTTTTTTTTTTTTTTTTTTTTTTTTTTTTTTTTTTTTTTTTTTTTGTGATTCGCACACAATCATACCCTGTGCTTTATTGCGATTTCTGAGTTATTGATAATGTGTGTTTCAAGGATTTGTCTCAAGACGAGCTTTGTCTGTGGCAATCAGTGGCAACGAGTCCTTGTTGCATTCATGCATCCGGCGTCACTGTCTGATTCAGAGGGGGTTATCTATGCTTTTCTCTTTTCTCTTCTCACATGGATGGGAGCTTGTCACTTTGCTGTCTATTTGGTTTTGCAACATCATCCCCTCCTCTCATTCTTATCTGCCTTTCTGAACGTCTGCTTGCTTGCTTGCCTGACCCAGGAAGCAAAGCCTGCCCACAACCCCGGAAAAACACGAACCAAAAAAAAGAGTGGCATGATGTTGGGCTTCCACTTGTTATTTCATCCCACGTTATGATAAAGGTCTGCGACGGTTACATGAAAACACCCATTGTGTGAGGCGTTCTTCACGGGCTATACACTTGAGATACATTTCTGGGATTCCTTACTTCCGGCTGTTGTTGGCCAGTTGATTTGTAGCGAATTGCTCTTTGCTCTTTCTTTCACTTGCATTCTTGCGAGCAGCGTGGTGGGTTTGTTATTGTTTTAGGGAGCATATCTGGGTTGTTTATCCTTTTTCACTTCAACCCTGCACTTGCACTGGCAGTTGGGTGGACTGTTAGGGAAGAGGCGTACCTACATCGTTTTTGATTTTCATTTCGCGGGAATTCGCTTTTTCATGTACTTCATACATCCAATGAACTTGTAATCGCTATTGTCAACCAAAGACCATATCGTTTTGGATGTTCTAGGGTCTCGTAGGTCGTAGTTCATGGAGTGGATGGATGTCCTAGAGGAGTTAGTCTTTTCGTCGGTGTCACGTGATAGCACCACGCAAAAAAGTTTCTTCCTCCATCCTCCGCTTCTTTCTGTTGACATCCTCTATAATACATACCCTTCACATTCTCTCGACAAACCTCAATTGGGCCAATTTTCATTGATGCGAGCCCAGCGTGCACCGATACCCCGTCGTGTTTCTTAGGCGTTGTTATATTGCCCACCCCCATCAACATGCCACCTCGTGTGCAGACACAGATAGTCACCAATTCCCTCCCCTGCCTCTCTTCCCCCTCTCCCTCCACCTCCACTATCTCAAAGATCCCTATACACAGCTCATCCTCTTCACAATCAATTCAGCCCAGCTCCCGGCAGACATGCCGTCCCTTCTCCTCGAGTGTGGCCAGCCAAACGAGACTCCGTACCGAGATGTTCGGCTGGTTGAGTGGTCCAGGCGCTGCTCTTAAAAACCATGTCCCTGGGTCAACAAACTATGTCACGGGTATAAAGGAGAGCAGGATAGATCATTATGGTCCACCCCGCCCTTTTCCATTAAACCCACATTTTGCCAGTCAACCTATCCTGAGTGAGGAGCTAAGGAATGAGATCTACGACCGCGTCGTAAATAAAAAGAAGAGTGTCAGGGCTGTTAGTGTTGATCTGGGTGTCGACATGCGCAGAGTCGGTGCTGTCGTCAGGCTAGTCGAGTTGGAGAAACGGCAAAAACAGCAGGTATGTCTTTGTATTTTGTTCTTTTCGCCCCTCTCTGAACCTTGTTCGGGAACCTCGCCCTCAGTGCAATGATGAGACAAATATAAAATCGATTAGTCTTTATGAACCAGTTTAACCTACTGGGAATGGTTACAAAGCCTATTTATCTGATTGTACCCAACTTTACTTGATGATCTGCATATCTATTGTCCGAATAGTCCAGCCAACTCTAACAATTTGATGCATAGGGTAAACCTCTGGCCCTGCCATACTCCCGGGCCGTTCATGAAATGGTCCCAACAACACCCCTTTACAATGACAGTCGGATCAATAGTAGCAGGCCTCACGAGCCAATCAATGATCTCCCCGTTCACCGACTGACCGACCCTCAAATATTCTATCCCGTCTCCGAATCCCGTCAATTCAACCGTGTCGACGCCGGTCGCGTCTTCTCTGCCGCTCCTGCCCTTGAACACAAGCAAGTCGTCAAGAACGCTGCAGACCCCGAAGAAGCCATTAGCAGCATCACACAAAACCCGTCTCGTATCGAGAAGGTCGGTAAAGGCGAGAACGAAGAGCAAGTTCTTCAGCCCGCGGATGCGCGTATCCCTCACCCTCACCTTGTGGCACATGAGCGCTATCAAGAGAGCAAGCCAGATGAGCGACGCGAAGTCTTCAAGGCATACATTGAACGTCTTAATAAGGAAGAAGCCGCAGAGAAGGAGCGCAAGCGCATTGCCAAAGAACGTAAGGAACAGCAATTAACAAAGGTTCAGCCTGAGACCTCGCGCTTCGAGTTCCGCTTCAAGGACGTTGTCGTCAGCAAGGAGACTACCGGCCCAGATGGCCGTGGTGCCCAGGCGCCGGGACGCAGATATGGTGTCCCCAGTTACGAGAGGAAGAAGGGCCAGGTCAAGATTCCCACACGCGTTGAAGTTTAAATTCTGGATATCACTCGGGAAGTCTTCCCGGTCGTCTTTCTCCCTTGTCCTTGTCTATCTATACCTCTTATCCTTTTTACGCTACTGTATTTTTATGTTCTCTTGTACAGATATGGATGTGATGGGTCAGCGATTGCTTGTATTTATAATCGAATTTGAACAGGTCGTAGAGACTGAATATTGGACAATATACCTACATGATCTTCAGTCTTATTTATCGTATAGTAAGAAGTCATATCTCAGACAACAATGGGGGTTCTAAGTCTCCGTTCAATGGCATGTTTGCCCGCACAACCCCTCCTAAATTAATCATATGCCACGGTGCGACAGGCTGAGAAATGGAATTCTAATATTCTAAGCAAATCACAGACTTAGAGATCTACGAGAACGCTACAGGATATATATTAGACAAGGGAACATGGAAAAACTCGATCGTATGCTTGAGCATGCCCTTGAGGGTGGATATATAAACATGAAAATAACCTGTGAAACACCACAAAAGATGAAGCCGCTGCCCCTTAACCAGTAAATGAGTGAAAGCTATAAAAGGAATCGACAAGGGCTATGCTGGGTATCCATAGAAGCCACAAACAGCGGAACAAGTTCACACAACAACTAATCTCGGCCATGCATGTATTGTGACAAAAGAGACCGGCTAACCATGAGAGAGCTTGAAATCGAACGAGAGATGAAGCCTTGCAAACTATACGCCATCTGGAGCCGCATCTTGGCGACTCGAAGTCTCCTCAACAGGGACAGTGGTCAATGGGCTTGCAGGAGAGTCGGGTGCTTCTCCTCCAGAAGAGTCTTCCGGAAGAAGATCCGATGGTTTGGGAATATTCAGGTCTTGTGGTCCCGTGCCTCGAGAAGAAGAGTCTGGCAGGGAGAGGAAGAATTTCTTTGTTACACCTTCACTTTCCAATAGTGCCTGTGTAGGTATCGCTGATGACTGGTTATCGTTTGCAAACCCTCGCCATTTGCGCCAGCCTTCAAAGTCAATCAACGCTTGCATGCACCCCCATTCTGTCACCTTTTGCTCCAGCCATTCAAATCGCACAGGCTGTTGATGTGTTAGCTTCAGCTAAGCTCAAAACAACTACGTTACATACCTTAGTCAAGAAGTCATTGCAGCCTGCGGCCAACGCTTCGTGTCGGTCGCTTTGCAAGCTGCTAGCTGTCAATGCGACAATGATGACAGGACTCTTGAACAGTGAAAGATCATGCAGGACATCCTCCACTTTCAGGAAATCATGGGTTTCGGGGTCTCTCTCCGGCGGGGACATTGCTGCAGCACTCGCAGCACTCGACCGGCCGGAGGCCGTCTTGGGGAAAACACCAACCCCATTCAACCGCTCAAGCCGGCGAATCTCTTTCGTCGCATCCAAACCGTTCATCACGGGCAATTGAATGTCCATCAGGACAAGATGAAAACCGCCTTCTCGCCATTTTTTGACCGCCTCCTCCCCGTTTGCAGCGCATTTCCAACGCACGCTAAGACGTTTCATGAATGCCTCCAACAACCTTTGGTTGATGACATTGTCTTCAACGATGAGAACATTGATGGGAGGTACAGTCCCCTCGATAAGGCCCCCAAAGGCTGCGCTCAATGACTGTGCAGGGCTCTTTTTAGGTTTTGTTGACGGACGAGGACGTGGTGACGCTCCGCGTGCAGGAGGGGTCATAGTCTTGTTTTGGGGCGATTCTGGGGCCGGGAGAGGTGGGGTGGGAACTTGTGGTGCTGGCTGAGGAGGTATGGCAGTTTGCGGGACACCAGAATCTAAAAGCAGTCAGTAGACGTTCCCAGAGCATGTATCAAAAGGAACGGGTCCGTGAGAGACAGCATATTACTAACCCTTCGAGCCAGCTGACTGCGCTAATACTGTGGGCGAGTTCGTAGCGTGTCGAGTAAGAGGAGGCCGGCGGGCATGGCGAGCAGCTCGACTCCCCGGGGAAGGCAACGGCGGCGCCATCCCGGTTGTAAGAATAGATATTGATGGGGCGGGGTGAGCGCTCACACTGCCCGAGGAATTGGATGGGTGGGCCGGTGGGGTTGGGATATTGGGATTGACCGGCATGAGAGGGAAATATTCGCCGTGCTCACCCGGCTCGGTTTGCTCGTAGTAGATAGAATGGCGCGGGGAAGGCTTTGGGGTTCGCCTTGGAGGGATATCGATTATCAGAGCCTCCTCCGCCGTTTGGCCGCCCGGGAAATAAGAGTCCACCACCGTGACCAACGGCTCCTCCGGACTCAACATGCGATCAGGGGTTGCCTGCTTGTTCGAGCCTTCCCGAGGAGCAATGCGAACGACAATGTCGGGGGCATCGAATGTCTTACCTAGGGAGTTGGCGTACTTCAAGATTACTTGGTCTCGCAACTCGTCTACAAGGGCATCGTGCGTGGTTGGTACCAGGGTGGCCGAACCGCCCGGCCGTCTAACCCAGATCTTGCGTTGTAACATCCCAGCAGTGCCGGTGGCAAGGCGACCACCGTCGTTTTCCAAAGACGTCCTCGGCTGCTCTAGCAAATCGCTAATCAAGTGCTGATGAGACGGAGCGAAAAGCGACTGACGACGCGACCCGAGGCTGGGACGTTTTGGGATCGAAACGGTACTGGGGATAGGCGCTTGATTATAGGATGCAGCGAAAGGATTCTCCGCCACGGCAGTCAGGGGTGCAGGTAATTGGGGATCGCCGACTGTAGACGCTGTACGATCCCGCCCTTGATTACACGCGGTCTGAGACGCGACACTGCCCGAAGCTGGTAGGGGAGGGGTCGCTACTGAAGCAAAGGGTAACTGTTGCAGGAACTCGTTCGAACCAAACAAGCGTGGTGGGGACTTGAGAAAGTCCGGGGGCAAGCTGTGACGGTCGGCTACAGCTCGGACACGATCGGGACACGATTCCGAAGGTTGTCGCTCTTGAGACCCTGGGGTGGTGACTGAGGGGTTCTGATTCAAAGGACCCGATGCCCGGTTCTTCTTTCGTAGCCGTGGGGACTCTTCTTCCCGAGGAGATTGTGTTTTTCCCACCGAACCTTCGTCAACGGAGCCGTAGTACCGCCCCCGTTCTGCTGATAGACTCGCAGGGGGAGCGGAGGCGTCGTCGGAGATTGAGCGCTGAACGGTCGATAAGGAGGAGACAGAGTTGTAGGAACGGGGTTGAGCGAAGCCCTTGTCGGATGTGAGGGGAGAGCGCAGTGCCACGGGCGATAAGGAGTTGGTGTTGGCGCTGGAATTTGGCACGAGGAAAGGTTCCGCTCCGGTGGCCGCCCTGACAGTCGACGATCGCCGCAGCACTTTGGCTTTAAACTTGCTCCAGGAATTGGTCGTCGACATTGTTGACCCCAACCACGAAAGCTTTTGACGATCAGGAAACCCAAGTTCAGAAAAAAAAAAAAAAAAAAAAAAAAAAAAAAAAAAAAAAAAAAAAAAAAAAAAAAAAAAAAAAAAAAAAAAAAAAAAAAAAAGAAACTGGAAGATGTAAAAGAGCGTATTCAATGAATGAGAGACACTATAATGTCACCTCCATCATTCCACTTGCTTGTAGTACGAAGAAAGGCGAAGGCCATCACTAGTACCGGCGACGACACGGTGCGGTGACGGATGAATTCAATGGAGGTGCAACGTGGGCGATTGAGCTCATATCTTTTATAGAGGGAAAGAAACAGGTAGGAACGCCAAACGAACTATCAGAAGGTAAGACGTTCCGCTGCTCCCCTTCGAGATGGGAAGGAGCACAAAGACGGGGTGAGGAGGAAGGGGAAAAGAGAAACGAGAACGGAAAGAAACGTCCGGAAAAGTCCAGAAAACGAAGCAAAGAAAAAACGACCGGACAGGGAGTTCAAAAGAGGGACGTTGAGGGGAAGTTGTGTTATTACTGAAGAAGGTAATTGCTTAAGCAGTCACGGGGGTTCACTTCCTACCTTACTTTGGAGATTCTCGGGAATCTCGACCGTGGACTCCCGTACCTTTTAGTAACGATTATAATAACAATAATAATAATAATAACAACAATAATAATGTTGGCTAATAATAGGAGGGAGGAGAAAACCAATCAATCACTTCCTAGCGCTTGGGCCGCAAAGAGTCCCTGGCGAAGGGAAAGTAGTGAGGCTTGTCACTGAGAACAACCCGATTTAACGGTCAAAAGGAACGAGAGACAATTATGAGCATTGGGGAAGAGAAGTCGGCGAGAATCGCCTCATTTCGATGGCGCATGCAGTGTTGACTTGTCAGCGTGTGTTATGCATGTTAACCAACGGAGCTAATTTAAAATCGTAGCTAGTCTCTGACACTATCTATCGTAGGCCAGGCAAGTCTCCGTACCCTCGGAGGAAGTGCACGGACTCTTTCTAGAATCCCAATCGATAGACGGACAAGATGGATATAATTACTCGAAGAATGTGTATATTTGAAGATTTAGAAGGCTAGGGATGGTCCACCCCATCACCGAGTAGTACTACTAGTAACCATGCCTGATGCTCTGCGGTAGGGCAACAATCCCGAACCAATTCCTCGATTCACCTGATCCAACCTTACCAAACTTTGGCTTTCCACGAGTAACATCAGATATGAAAAGTTCATATATATCATAGCAATGACGATAGTAACAATAAATATAAAACCAAGGTAAAGAAATCATTAGATCGATTCAAGCATATTTATATGGGCCGCAAAATGGGCTCGGCCTATGACTGACGGGAGAAGAGAAGCTTCAATTCATATGTAGTGGTATGTCCGTTCCGGAAAGCAGCCCATGCTCATGTTGCGAAAACCAGCTTGCTAGCGGGTGCAAGGCCAACACGAATGAGGATAGCAACACACAAACGGATATATACATGTAGCCCGCAGTTGGCGCACGTGGCAACTAGCGAGATTGCAACTGAATCTCCAAATATTAAACCCTTCTTTACTCCATGTAATGTCGGATTGATTAACCTACATTTACAACTTAGCATTGATGCACAAATCGCAAGAAAGATCCAGAGTCGTGCACTCAAGGAAAAAGCTTAACCATTCTAGTCAAACATGATATAAACATCGAACAGTGTGATGAGTTGTGTCCTAACATGAGACATGAACCCCCCTAGAACATGATAAATCAGCGCGTAGATGCCCGCTCAAAGAAGCTCAGACAGGAGATCAATAGACGAACATGCGCTTTCCAAAACAAAGAGAAAGTACCGACGAAGGAATGTTAAAAACAAGCCAAAAGAAAAAGCCATCAAGACGTAACGTGACTTAGGAAACCAGACTCGCGCCGAGTGATACTACTCGAAGGGTATCAAAGATAATTTTTCTCGCGACAGAAGGGCGAGGAACCATGAAAAACCAAAAAGAGAAGAAAGAAAGCGTTACACAGGAAGGCTCCATCCAGATCACAGTAGGATCAAATAGTTTGATGGAGCAATACCGGTATCTCCATTGGATTTCCTGGCCTGCCACCACCTGCCGCTAACATCCGACACTTCTAATATCTCATGCTTGCTGAAGCTGATCTCGTTGGCGTCCTCCGGATTTGCATCATAAGAATAGATTGCTTTCGCCCGGTATGGGTATTCAGTCGGTTGGGGAACCTCGTCGCCATTGGGATTGGTAGGCAGATTGGCGTTCGACGGGTTGCCGAAGCGTGGTTGTGATGAGCTGCGATTTTCCGAGCCAGGGGCACCGCCTGGGTAACCCGACACGGGTGATGATGTCTCGAAGCCATTGAGTTGTGCCGATGTGTACATTTGGGGTGCTTGGCTGGAAGTGGTCTCTGGTCGATTTCCGAACGCGGTAGACATAGGCCTGCCATTTGCATACGCTCCAGGGTGCTCCTTTTGAAGAGCGAAAGAATCAATGAACCCACGATGTGAGGCTTGCGGCGTCGATCCGAAGTAGAACATCCAGATGACCTAAACAACTCTTAAGTCACGAACGAGCCCCCAGAAGACCAAACCGAGACTTACTATCACCATCGACATGAGGATAAAACCGGCACCTGCAGCTTGTGACGCTGAATCAGGGCGATATACCAACGAATTCACGCCAAGTGTCGTAATTACCATACCCGCGGAAAGATATCCCACAATCTGCGGCTCATCAGCTTTGGTTTTGATATGGACAAAGGGTGCCAATGGAGCCATACCGCCACACCGTAGACAAGGCCAGTGTCCGTGCCAAATACGAATGTCATTCCAATAATAAGGCACAATGAATAGGCGATTCCCCACCATGAATAGGTGGGATAACCCCGGACGTTAATAGCGGAGACGATTGAAGATATGATTGTAATGACCCATGCTAGCTGGAAATGAGGCTCCATTAGCAACATTCATCAGCGGGGGATCACTCCGCGGCCTGAGACACGTACTATCGAGATGGAGATGGTGGCGAGCGCGAACGGGTCGCCGAGGATATTGCTTGCACGGAATCTCGCCATTCTTCGAGTCTCGCGATAAGGGCTCGGTTTATGAAGCGATGGGGAATGTGCAGAGTATGCGACCATGAATGTGGTATGACAAAGGCGAAAGAGGATATATGAGGCGTCGACTTTGGTCGTTTGCTGTTGGTATACCCAACTTCACCATATGACCTAAGATGTATATTCCGCGCTGGCCCGTATGACGGCGGTGAATTTATATAGTTGTTCCTTTCTCGCACTCAGGCAAATCCAAAGGTCGATCCGATAGTTTTTCGAGATACCAGTTGCCGCTTCGGACAATATAAGCCGGTTAACGATCTAGTCAGCGTCGAACTACCAGAGAGTTAGTTGTATTGTTTTGGTCACGGACGCGAAGGACGGAGAACATGTAGACCAATTGGTAGTGGGTCAAGAACATTGTGAATGACAACAACACGAACCATCAACTCGTGTTTAAAAAAGTAAAATAAAATTGGAAAACAGAGGCGGTCAGTCAGCGTAGATGCAGCATACCTTGGGAGGTAAAACAAGAGTATTGACAAGGAGGTTGGTCAAGGTAAAGCTAAAAAATAAAAGATAAAACAAATAAATAATAAAGATAAAAAAAAATTATCTCCAAGGACCACTATATTCTGAGACAGCGATCAAGAGATGAAAAAGCGCGTCCCTTGAGAGGTTGGGGTTGATGGAAGTTTTAGAAACAAGAAGGCCCCTTGCAGGCAACAAATGGTAAACAACAGCACCTGGCTGGAGGAAGGAAAGACCAAGATGAAACGTTAGAAGGATGACAGAAAAGGAGAGAGGGGAAAAAGAGCGGAAACGAGCGAAAAGCCGATGGCGTAAAATCGGCTGAAGAGTGAATGAGTGATAGAAAGGAAACAAAGATGGGGAAAGTGAAGCCCAAAACGTGAACAAGTCGACTTACTTCGTCCAGTCGGGAAAAGGAGAGAAGATGGGCGGGAGGGGAAAGAGTGAGGACTAACTGAGGCAGCAAGGCAGACATAAGAGGACCACTTGGCAGGTTTCACACCCACTGGTGTTGGAACGTCCACGCGAACCCCGTTTCCACAAACACACAGACGTCGGCTTATTGGTTGGATAACCGGGTTTGGCCCCTGGCCTAGAAGATCGAGAACGGGAAGCGACTGGTCCTCGACGTAACTTGAGTTTCTGGTCGTTACTATTCTTATGCAATATTTTGTCGAATTTTTATTTTTATTTTTTTCCGTCTCAAAATTTGTTGATTTTGTACCTTAATACTGTATGTTATGATTCTAGTCACACAGAAAGGGGATTCTTGTTCACTGTTATGAATCTTATGAATATTTTCGGGCAATTAAATGACGCTACCTATCATTCATTATGACTGGAGACCCATGGGACTCCAAGATTGAACGAGAGATCTTTCTAATTAAAACTGCCCGAATGGATCCTCTCTTCTCCGCTCGCGACACGCAACTCGGTCTTTGCTTTAATTACTGCTAGTGCGGATAGTGGATTCTTCTCATTAAATTCTGGCCAGGGCTGAGGCTGAGAGGTGTGGCATGAGTGGCTTGACGGGATCATAAAAGAGTAAAGGATCAACACAGTATCCAATTCTCGTTTCCACACATGGATCCTGATTTACGGAACATTGCTTGTAAACCTGCACGAGTAGATTTTAGAGAAATTACCGTACTAGTACTGATCCCTTTGGTGCAACGTGCGAATTAATGGGGAAAGAAAAAAAATAGGGCTATTCACATGAATATCGAGACTTTGAGGTACATAGAGTAATATCCATGGTTAATAATTGAGCATCCATCAATATCGACGCCCTGGAGCCAAGAAACCCTCTTTCAAATGATCGCCACTTCAGGTTTCATCTTCAACAACGGAGCCAATGGAGTCTATCTTTTTGGTTGTTATCAAGCAACGTTCCGAAAACTGTAATGTGGACGCAGATACACTGCCTTATACTCGATGATAACCTATTTTTCTGTCGAAATCTAGACCCGCAGATCTATAAAGACCCTTTTACACTCTCCTGGCCGGATAGACAATCCATGCAGTCTTCATTTGCGGAGAACCTGGTTAAATTGGCGATAATAATAATGCTGCATGATGCCCATCAGCCAAGGAATTTTACAAATTAGCGCTGAGGCGAAATATATTATTATTATGAAATCCTATTCAATCCATATCTCCCCAGAACGGCATTTTCGGCAACACCCCAACTTCTCGGAGCCCCGGAGGTATGCAAGGGTCTATAAAGAGGTCGTAGACCTTTTTATGTACGTGCCTTGCACCGTCATTTTTGCTTTCTCTCGCTCCGACTGATTATGCATGCTTACTATGGACATGAGTAACTGAGCGGTCATGCACGAACGGACCCCTGTCTTGTTTCGTCGTGAGCCGTCTTTCATTCTAAGTAATTCCTTTAGTCTAGCACGGTGCGCGGATGACTACCCCCGGGATATTGGAATCGTCGCATCTATTACGGAGCACTATGTCTTGTACCTTGCGCTTTCTGCAGGGGTTGCAATCGCCTTCTAGGCCCGAAGAGCTCCATATCGTAATTTCGGTCATAACATGCACATATGTAGGCTGTAATTTTATTGCTCTAAGATCCCGGAGATTATGTGATAACCCACAACAGTATGTACAAGTAAAATGACGCGCTGCATCAGGGCCACAGCGCGAAAAGTCCTAACTCCAATGTATCATAAATCATAATGCACACGTCCAAGAGCCACCCCTCCACTAAGTTGCTCATAATTCCTTCGCCCTTCGTTCCCTCACTACTTCCTTCCTCTTTACTTCCCGCTCCACGTCCTCCAGGCGCCCTTCCCATTCCGCCCAGCATTCACCACCGCCAACCAATGCAATCTCGTACCACCGCTGTAAAGCCCGCGCTGTTCGTACTCGTAGCTCCGAGACCTGCTTTGCCTGTTCCTCTTGTACATGCGCTAATTGGTCCAATCGCGGCTGAAGCTGGATGAGGGAGGCCGATGTCTGCGCATCCGGAATCGGCAGGTCATTTAAGGATGTAAGTCGGGAAGCGGTCTCTGGAAAAGCGGAGGCATACGCTAAGACAATTGAGGCGAGGTTCTGGGTAGTCAGGTTTTCTGGGAGGGTTTGAGATGGTGTTGGGCGAAAGAGGTCAGGGAAGCGGTCATCTGGAACGGCATGTCAGTGGTGTGTGCGTACGATTGTACTCATAAAAAATGTCTCGTACGAAGGAGAAGCACATCCCGCACTGCGGGGATATTTCGACTTAGATTCTCGAGTTCTTGTTCTAACTGAAGAAGACGGCGCGAGACGCTTTCATCTAATGAAGCTGGTTTTGCGGGTGCGGTGGGAACGCCGGTCCAGTTTGCATCTCCTGTGAGAAGATAGGTAAGTCGCCGGAGGCGAGACTCGAGCAATTCAATTGTCGCACCGGCTACTGTGTCATTTTCGAGGGCCATTGTGTAAGTGTAGTGGTTATCAATGAAGAGTGAACTTGGTTTGTTCAATCGAACCCATGTTGGGGGGGTCGGATGCAAACATGACATACAAACATACCGCGTTGATAGAATTGATGACATTGCACCTCACTGCTATCTTGCCAAATAACAGGAGGACATCAGGCTGGAGTTTTCTTATCTACTTAACCAGTTAAACTGAAGCTGTTTACACGACCTATACCTAAGTATGTATTGCTTTGTATGTATACGATCACACGATCACACCCAATATATACATCTGGTTGAAGCAGCCGCATTGTCCGATTCTTTACTGCTCCCATGTGGGATTAGTGCTCGGCGGATATTGCACAGGACCTGCTGTACTACTCTGACCGAGTAAAGTCCGCCCACTCCGTTCTTGCATTTCCAGACCGGATTCCACTGCCTCATCAAAATTGGAAACTTGATAGTCGAATACGTTCACGTTTGAAGCGGCCAAGGTAGCCTTTTGCTGATAATCTGGGGCCAGTTCATTTGTCTCTGTGCCCTCGCTGGGGAGGGCAGCAGAGCTTGAATCCTCATTCTGACTGTCAGACACATTCTCCTTCTGTTCTTGTTCTTTGAACTCGGCAGCAAACGCCATATTGTCTGCATTGACAAATTCCTGTCATGGAGTTAGCACAAGGCGTCACATTTATACATATTGTATATACCTGAAGTGGTGAGGGGGCTGGCTCCTCTCCAAATTCCATAGCATTGCCATTAGCGTAGATAAGCAGAACATTCTTGGATTCTTCACGAGCCGCTTTAAGGACTTCAACTTCTCGAACTTTGCGTGCCGTGTATCCAATTACATCGGCATTCTTGGTAGAAGATGTATCACCCTGCTGCGACTCTGCCGACTCTGCTTGTCGAGCTTTTGCATCGTCCGTCGAAAAGCTGATACGCCACCACTGCCACTCATTGGTGGTCGTAGAGTTGTTGTCCACTATCTCTTCTTTGTGGGCGCGAGGTCGTAGTACATAAATTACATGTGGCTCGGTGCAAACGCCTCGTAGTGTGTATTTATAATGAGGCACTTTCCCTGAGGGGTTCGACGGTTCTGTTAGGATTTTGGTGTAGCTACGGAGAGTTTCAATAGCGTTCTCTCGCCTTTGCACCAGCTCTGATGGAATATTAATGTGGAGATACCATTGCGGATAGAATGAGGGGCTTACCTCGTAGCTTATCCTCAATTTTACTAGAGACTTCTCGCAGCTCATCTGCTAAACGTCTTGCCTCCTCGTTCGCCGCCTCTGGACTCAAAGACATCCCACTGGCGCCATTTGCAAGGCTCTTGGGTAACGTTAAAGAGACGGCAGCAGCGGTCTTATCTAGTGTTTCCTTAAGAGTCATCCCTTTGTGCATGGCCGACTTCGACGCCGAGAAGCGGTTGATTAGGTTTTCTAATTTGGAGATACCGTCATAGTCCTGAAGTCTTTGGGCACGAAAATCACGCGAGAAGTCCCGTGCGTCAGCAAGATAGCGATCGGGGTAAAATACCACAGGGATTTTGACGCCAACGGGCTTTGTACTATCGGTGCTTTCCAATCTGATCGTAAATATTTCACCTACATGCTCCAACCATACGTCGTCGAGCTCCTCACCAGGTCTGTCTGACCAAATGGCGCGATCCAAAACTTCATAGAGCGTTTGACCAGGCTCGGGATCCACGAATGACTCAAGGATGAAGAAATCTTTATGAATCGGCGTGTCATAAACCGCAAGAGGTCGTTTATATGCCTGGGATGAGAAAATAGTCGCCAACTGATTTCCGGGATCCGCTCGGATAGCGGCATCTTGCCACGTTTCTAGAAATCTGCCTATGCTGCCTTCCGAGTCGTACGTAGACATGCTCTTCAAGTTTACAAGAGCATCCACACTACCAAAAGAGCGCTCTGTGTGGTCGAGAAAGGCGACTAGCCTCTGCGTCTCGGATATGATGTCATCCCAGTCTGTGTCACCGTCTTGTGCATCCTTGATCGTTACTATTTTTGGCAGGTTGATGGGCTGTCCGTTCCACCACTGAGGGTCGTGCCCATAGTTCGACAGGATCCTATTCCTCTGTAGGAGAGCTTCCCTTGCTAGGGGTATAGAATGGAGAATAGTCAACAGCCCGCCTAGATATAGGCTGTCTTCTGATGGACGAAGAAATGCGGGTTCACCTTCCACTCTCTTACGGTCTCCCGGGTCAGGACTAATAACGATCTCGCGAGCACTGGAATTGAATAAGGTCATCGCCCATGCACCTTCATCGTAGTAGTCACGAGTGGCCCGGCCGAAGTTTGGCTGCTTTGAAGTTGTAACACCTGTCTCTTGCTGTCCAAGATTTTGATTCAGTGACATAGCTACTGCTTGTTGTAGCTCACGCTCCTCCTGTTCAGCAAGCGACAATCCTTTGTTGGAATCTATCATTGTCCGGAGAGGTCGAAGTTAGCGAGATTGGTACAAGTTCGTAGTGAGGTGGTCTCACCCGCAGTGTTCTGTGAAGGCGGAGGGTTTGTCTGTTGATACTCAGGCGTTTGTGCTCGCTCGCTCAATGTAGTCGGTGGGCGCGAAGGGGGAACTGAGTTGGGAACTGGATCGGAGTGCTCTATATGAAACGCTACGAAGGGACACTGGTCAGTAAGCAGACCTATGTGTTATGGTCAATCGGACATGGACGGACAGGGTATGTTCGGGTCGTTCAAGTAACTGGTAGTCTATAAAAGCACAGAACCTGGTCAGCCAAGAAGCCAAAGTAAGAAGGTGCACAAAAAAGACGCGAGGATATTACCTGTGTCTGCGGACCCGTGGGATCTTCGAAGTAGGCATTGATGGCTTTGTTTGAGTTGAGGTCATTGGCCTAGAGTAGGTGATACGGTACTTAGTACACAAAGTATAGTAAGGATCGAGGCTGTGGTCGGGTGAGGATGGATACGCGACTTATAACTGACTTTAAGAAAGCTGATCGCCTGTTCTCGACTTGTGCTTGTGAAGCTCACAAAGTTCGCAATTGCTTCCTCTGTCGGTTCGGAAGCCATGGCGGAGCTTGACACTATTAACAAGTAGGACAAAGATGACGGCTCACACAGGTGGAAAGTGAGAGTTGTTTGAATTGGTAACGGAGACAGGCACAGCCTTTCTCTTCAAGTACAAGGGGTAACAAGACCGCAAAGCATCCGAGTTATTGTTTGAAAGCGCTGAGCTTCCCCACCACATGACATGCGGCCGCCAAGACCTGAGAACGTCACTTTTCCATTTGCAGATAAACTATCAACAGTAAGGGTTTATTTAGTAAATGACTGGAAAATTGATAACTATACATATGATGAATCAAATCATTACGGAAGATGATTATTAATTATAAAAATGGAAACATATATATGTTATGGGCCTCTTTCTAGAAATGAACCAGACTTTTCTAAATTGGAATTGCAAGTCTCAATCATTCTTAAACTGGTCACGAGGACTGGTGGATTTGTTCTCGAAAAGCCCTAGATGCTAATATTAGCATGATTGATTTACTTGATTATACTCCGTAATCTATCCAGACTAGGTATGAGATCTACTCTTCCGATAAGGTGTTGGTCGATATGTGAGTAATGCGAAATATTAGGAATAACCTAGAAACAAGAAAGAACTACCATGATCCATAAAAAAATAGGGGATTTATGTTGCTCTGGATACAAAGAATTCAAGTACGGCGGTTCTAGACTATAGACTCCATCCGGTACTATTGCTTTTTCTAGGTTCATAGCTTCTCCCAAATTATCCGGCAGATTAATGCCTAATAACCCAGGCTATCCCCATTGTACTCACGACTCCTCATTTCTCGCAATTCCACCAATTCCTTTCGGTTCTCTCTATCCTACTATTGATTTTTTTCCCCTTTGATCCACGAAACGACTGAATTCGAATTCAAATATAATTGTTTACAGCATCCGACTTCGCTCCCGTGTCTATGTCACAGACCTTCCACCCCTCCATCAGCCCCGCCAGAGGTCAGGTTCTTTCTGCGTTGTCGGCTCTCTCCAGCGCGCTCCACTCTCACCAACCCTGAGCTCTGCTGTGGGGGAGAAACTGCTCTCTGTCCGTTCCGTTTCGATTTTGTTTCTAATTGGCGTCTATCGAACCTGACTTAATTGTACCTGGGCCCCGCGGCGAATCATTTGACAATTTTGAATTTTCTGCCATTTCGCTTTCCCTCAAGAATCTCATACGGTCGGAGTTCACCCCCGAGAACCACTCAAAATCCATCACGTCACGTTGTTCTCCCCGACCCTGCCGAACCGCTGCTGTCCGTAAGGATGGCCGCCGCTTTCGACGACGAAGATCTCTCCGTTCCTCTTCCATCATTCGACCGCGATCGCCGTCGTGAACGTGCTCCTGGAACGACTCCCCCGAATTCGACTTTCCCTGGTGTGACCATGCCCCCGCCGTCACGGCCGATCGGAAGGGGCGGCGATCCTTCGATGCAGTCCCCTGCGACCACGAGGGATATGCAGCGCCTCGATCAGTACCAAACCGTGAAGATTTTAGGAGAGGGATCCTTCGGAAAGGTGAAGTTAGCTATTCACCAGCCTAGTGGTCGCCAGGTTGCCCTGAAGATCATATCTCGGCGCAAGCTGCTCTCGAGGGATATGGTTGGACGTGTTGAGCGTGAAATCCAGTACCTTCAACTGCTCCGTCATCCTCACATTATCAAACTGTATGATGCATGACCTCCACCTGCCCTCGCCTCCCTGAATTGACGAGTGCGCATCAAGGACTGACAGACCCATGTCTATGATAGGTACACCGTCATTGCAACTAAAACCGACATTGTTATGGTCCTAGAATATGCCGAACGGGAACTTTTCGATTACCTGGTGAAGAGAGGCAGATGCAACGACGCCGAAGCTCGCAAGTTCTTTCAACAAATAATCTGTGCTGTAGAATACTGTCATCGCCATAAGATTGTCCACCGTGATCTGAAGCCAGAGAACTTGCTTATTGATAGCGAGAAGAACGTCAAAATTGCTGATTTTGGACTGAGTAACATTATGACAGATGGTAACTTCCTCAAAACCAGCTGTGGTAGCCCGAACTATGCAGCACCCGAGGTCATCTCAGGGAAGCTTTACGCGGGGCCTGAGGTGGACGTCTGGAGCTGCGGAGTCATTCTCTATGTGCTTTTAGTGGGTCGGCTGCCTTTTGACGATGACTACATCCCAGCCCTTTTCAAGAAAATCGCCGCTGGCAATTTCCATATGCCTCCTTATATATCTTCCGGAGCCGCTCGGTTAATTAGGTCAATGCTACAGGTGCACCCTGTTCATAGGCTTACAATCCCTGAAATTCGCCAGGACCCATGGTTCCTTCAAGGTCTCCCTAAGTATCTTCAGCCTCCTCCGGAGGAATTTATCGCGCCGGGCGTGGACCCAAATAAGGCCATTGATCCACGCAAGATTGCGCCAGGGAAGCCCATCTCTGTTCAACAAAAGATCCACCAGGTTGCCATTGCAAAGCTAGAAAGGAACATGGGATATGGCCGCGAAGATATTGAAGATGCATTGAGAAATCCCGAACCGAGTGCGATCAAAGATGCCTTCTTTATTATTGTTGAGAATGAGATGATGCAAACAAACTGTGAGTCTCGAGGAACATTACTTATCTCCCTTCTCACTCCTAAAACTCGGACATGATCAGGCCTTTTTTTGCATGAGATTTGTATATTAATCATATGCCTTAGCGCCCACTGATGAGAATCTGATGCCTCCTGCGTCTCCGCCACCTTCGGATCGGAAATCACTCTTGTCAGCAGCAGCTGGCCGGACCGCTGCTGCTCATTCACAAGGAGTTCCTCCTGGGCCTCCTACTAGAACTCGGAGCGGCTCACAACGTCAGCCTTTCCAACTACATCAGCCGAGTGGTTCAGATGACTTAGGAGAGGCACGCGTCAGCCATGTTAGGATCTTGCCCACGAGTTTACCTTATGTTCATGATCAATTGATGGAACAGCGTGAGCGGGAACAAAGGGCTCGCGCTGCGGATCGCTTAGCAGAAGAGCGGGCTCGGTCAGGCTTGGATGCCCATGAAGATCCGCATCGACCTGGTCATGATGGCAGCTCTTTAGATGAACAGGAGGCAACGGCGAAGGCCCTGAAGCCTCATGCTCGTAGCATTGTCGATTTGGATAAACTGCGCCTTGAGCCGCCCGAAGCCCGCAATGCCCCTCACCAGCCTAGGAGAACTCGGAAATGGCAGTTTGGGATCCGATCTCGTAATCAACCTTACGAGGCAATGCTTTATCTTTACAAAGCTATCGCCGCACAGGGAGGGCGATGGGAAATACAACCAGCCGAGTCAGGTAATTGTCTACAGCTAGAGCCCTTGGTTTTTCGAAGTTAACCATTCTGTCTGCTAGGCAATCCAATAGGTGACCAGACTGCAGATGAACCCACACCGCTCCAAAGTAAATATCCTGACCTGCCCTCGGACTACTATATTCCAAAGGATCCGTGGTTTATACGGGCTCGCCTTCTCAAAGAAGGCGTCAAAGCTCCTGGCTCGTCTGCCAGCGTGCAAAGCAGCAGGAGTGATATTAGTGAACTTCGTCGGCGATTCCACTTGAATGCTGGGCCATCCTCAGTAGATGAGAAAAGCCACAGTCCTAACGAATACTCAAGTACATCAGGGCCGTCTTCTGCTTCACAGCATCATTCAATCCAGCGTGTGTCTTACGGTGTCTGGGTTTTTGTTGATATCCAGTTATATCAATTGGAGGTAAATAACTACATGGTGGACTTTAAGTGTGATGGGTACCAAAATGTGATCCGCGCAGAAGGTGATACCGAATGGCACCCGATTAGCAAAAGGTTCCGCGACCAGGAAAAGGACATCACTAGCCCTTACCCATTCCTCGATGTTGCCTCGGACCTTGTGGCACAATTAGCGGTCGCAAGCTAGACTTATGGCGATCTGGTATGAGAATTGATTGATCGGCGTACTGGGGGAAAATCGGTGCATCAGGCTTGGCGTCTTCATTCTTTAGCTTTTTATATTTTCACTACCTTTGCTTGCTATGTTAACGGACGAAAGCGCGCTTCTGTCTTCTCGACCCACAAAAGAAGTTGCAGGTTCTTGGGTATATTAGCAACCAATTTCACTGTTCATAATATTATTATCTATTTGTCATACATGCCTGCCGTTGGAAATCAAACTATCCCCGGACCCTGGGGACCTAGGATATCTCACTTCGTCCACTTGTATTCTCCCACTTTTAGGTGTTGAATTCCTCCAGGGTGTATACGCACCGCCGGCTCCTGATAGGTAAGATTAGGAATTCTCTGGAATAATTTGCGTCTAACAAATTCAGGGGTAAGCAGTAAGCTTAACCCCTAGTTATATACCAAGATCGGCAAAGAAACGAAAACGGCCACTCATCTATCCCGGAAATTGAATAATGCCTACAAGCTTTCCTCTCAAACTGGTAATAATATTAACCTAGTGAGCATCTTCACGATTAGCTCCGATGCTGCGGATAGTATTGACGTCTAACCCGGACTGACGACATAGCTCGAGTGATCTAGGAGAGAGTGAGTGGGCCTTCGGTGCGCCCAGCCTGGTTGGACAGCGTTCGATGATCAATGTCCGAACTACATTAGGAAGGTCAGTCATCCCAAGCCTAGAATGATAGCAGGCACTTACGGGGACATTACCCCCGAGCCGTGCGAGCATGAAAGCGAGCAGTAGGTCGCAAGGACTCCCTCCTATGATCAGAATAGGTACGGTAGGCTTCCCTATGAGCAGATGGATGCCGAGGTTCACAACGCATCTCGGTATCAATTTTCGTTCCATAACGCACGGGTGCTGACCGAGATAGACGATACACAATATTCCCCAACCGGAGGTTTGAAAAACTGATTGCTCGAGAGTTGCCGAATGATGGCCTCGTGGTGGTGCGAAAAAAATCACTCTTTCGTTGGGTTGGTCGATATAAGTATATGAAGATGACCCTCTCCCTGCTCCTCAACTGAGGGAACTGACTTGAAGGCTTGTGGGGTTCAAACACGGTGACTGTGTTCTGGTTAGTATCGAGGATCGCTACACACAGCGGGTATATACGGTGAGACATACTTACTTAGTGGGATGCGACGGTGCTAAGAGTGCCGTTAGAAGGTATTTAGGTATAGAGAGTGAGGGAGAAGTCTACCGAGCAAGGGGAAGGTTGGCAGCGTTCTACCAAAGGGGATCGTCTGAATCCTGCATTTGAAGTCCTCGGTCATGGATCATAGAAGGGACTAGCTCGATAGATGGCTTTAGCAATCTTCCGGCAGCTGCACTATTAGAATACTCAATATATGCTAGAATAGTTCTCCAAGACCGTCAACAGCTCTTTCTCCTTGTTAGTACCCCACGGGGTTAGCGGATCACGACTTACTCCCGCCCAGTGCGGGGGAACTTGTTCTGTTCTCTCGAGTCTCAACCAACATCTCCTTATTATCTCCTAGTACTGCTCCCCAAGGCACTATTGCTCTTCCTTATAATATTGACTGACCATTTACCTTGCCACGAAACCTTGGAGCCGAATGACGCGCATCCTTGAGAGTACGGGATTAGAACCAACTCTCGGTGGCCGACGATGATCGACGCCAGGCGCAAGGCAAAGAAGCGCATGCGTACTTGTACACCAGGGATCGGGCAGCTCGTCGAGACATTGAGAAGGCGAGAAGGGAAGCATTCAAGCATTCAATGACCAGCTTATGGTGTGCTACAAAGCTGAGAGGCCAATTAATCCTCAAGAATTTAATTCAGTAGGCAATGACCTTGCTCTAAGAAACGATATGACATCGTCCGTCAATATTCAACCACAGCTCCCAGAGCAAAAGTTCACTGTCCACAGAAACTGCAACTTATTCTCTCATGGACATTGGTTCAAATGAACGTCGACATCAGCATATACTCAACGAGCCCGGATTTTCCACGCTACGTCCCGTAAATAACAATTCCATATATTGATGCTATATCTCAAAAGTACGGAATAAACAAGTACCTCTCAGAGCAAGGAGCAGAATACTTAAGCCAACTGTGTCAGCACGTTCTCGATTTTGGCTCGACTTCTATTCTCTCCGCCAATGAACAGCTCAAGCGTATCCTTCAAACTTGTGGCAGCAATAGGGTCTGACTTGATGGCGTTTTCCAGTTCCGCCCCATCATTGGCCAGGTAGTCGACCCCGGTCCTAGCTAATTTGCCATCCCATTTTGCGGCGGCGAGTGGATCCGTTGCCGCGAGCCTTTTCAGTCGGACTGGGGTCGGAACTGAGTTCTGATGATTTGGATGTATGGGCTTTGGCACACCTCCACCCGGCTGCTTAGTACATTGTATGGTAGCTTGGAAAGCTCATCTAAAACCTGCGATGAGATAGTGGCTGAATAGCAACCCATTTCGCCCGCAGCCATGGCCTCCTTTGCACTGATAAAGTTGTTTTCACTCCATCATTAGCGGGGAAAGCAACCCCTCTAGGTATGGAAGCTTTGCTTAGCGTTCTTTATCAATGGTTGTTGCTTTCCAGTTTCCTTGGGCAGACGGCGGTACATCTCCAGCATCTGCAAAATACGAGCTGACATGGTGTGCTCGATGGCTGGATCCTCGACATCAGGCCACAGGCTGAGGTCATCGCGTGCACATACCTCTCGGCACATTGCCAGTGAATGAAGGGTGTTTTCTTGCCGTTGTAGTAAGGGCTGATATACAGGCAACTTGTCTGGCTGGCAGCAATAGCTTGTAGCAGACTGAAAAGTGCAGTCCCTAGCGTCGCGATTCCCTCTGTCTTTCAAATAGGGCCCACTCTCAAGGTAGGACCAGTACTGGGAATTTTGATACAGAATCTATCTTTAGGAATGCCGAATTTCTCGAAATCCCTCGCGTATAGGCGGGAGTGTTCTAGCATTTTTGACGATGGTATGCGTTGGATGGAAGGTCTTGCAAAAGAACGCGGCCTTTGGTATTTCCAATATTCCCTTTGCTCATGAGACAAGCCTAAGGGGTTTTGTACTCCTCGAGCTTTTCGAGTCAGGTGGGGATGCTGGTGTCAGCCATGTTTTTCCGTGCTTATCTTCTAAAGTCGACTTCAAGAGATGAGAATAAATTGTGAGCACCAAGGAGCGCAGTCAAGCCATCCTATATAAATGGACGAAGAATGCCCCTCACGGATATTAATCATCTGTTCAACACCTTGGGTGGTACATAGACAGTTCAACGGGTTATTCAGATGTAGAGGCCAGCTGTACTGGTGCACCTGCACAGTACGTTGGTCCCCGAGTCCAAAATGGATCGTGTCTGAGAGTTCCGCCAATTATGTGACTCTTCTCGGAGAAGAGCTGCATCGACTACACAATCGTCATACTAGAAACATACAGGACGTATGATGCCTGTACAGGGCCATATGGAAGCCGCGCCTCAGACATCCCCAGCAGACGCCGTTGAGTCGGCATTATACAACGGGCCATTGGACAGAGCTATTCCCGAAGATGATGTACACGAGGGAGTGACGCACAGGGCATTCTTGGCTCCAATAAGCGTCCATGGTCGGCCTTCTAGCCAAAAATGAGAGACCCAACGTTATTGGCCCTCTACGGTTTCGGCCTACAGAGAACGTAGTAGGCTCAGCCCTGGGAACTTCCCCGGATTCCTGTATCCCGTGGGGAAAGCCCTAATTGGACAATGAACAATGGAACGGAAGGGGAGCCGTGCTCACTGGATAGAAGTTAAACGTTGCAAACGCTGAAATTGAATGTTTCCACAGCCGTTTCGAAATCCTGTATCATTGAAATTTGTAGAGAATGCAGAATTTGCTTAGAATGAATAGAAGCCCTAAGGACATATATCTTAAAGGCTAGGAAACGTCTCTATCAACATATGTGGGAATTCTCTTTTGGGCCGGGGTTTGGGGAGAGGGGGGCGCTACAATTACAAAGGAATGTATCGATCTATACTAGCCTACACTGATTGGCGGAAATCAGAAACTAAATGAGCCTGACTAATTTCCCTACCATGGAACTCGAAATTTTTTATACTCCTGCAGTATTCAGACCTGCATGCATGGCTCACTTGACCCCACAGTCTAGCGGGCTGGTCAGGCCCGGGTTTGAAATCACTGAGCTTTCAGATGGGTGTATAAATACGTGTGACCTTACTACCAAGTGAGAAATACGTCTATGCTCAGACGTCCAACTCGTTGAGCTGAATGTATTGGCGAAGCTGATCTTCTCGTCTGCTCTTATTACCACATTGAAACCAAGAATGACGGGAGGCAATGTAAGTACGACCAAGAAACTATCAAGGCGAAACAGAACACAGACATTGAGGATATCGAGCAAGCAAAAGAGCCTAGAGTCAGATCTGCAAGCCATGGGCGCAACGTTTATGCGAGGTATGTACCTAGCGACCCATACACTTGAATAACGAAGAGGGTTTGACTTAAAACTACACAGAATCTACAACCGCTAGTTGGAATCCCCAAGGAGATATTGTTTCACAATGTAACCAATTACTTGTGAACTGCATGGTCTGGATGACAAGATACCCATCTTCAAGAAGGCGGTCTTAGCGGCCCAAAGACCGCATGAGATTGAGAACATCGAAGAGCTAGATGAGGATGATAAGTACCATCAGGAGGGAGAGCACGCGTATGACCTTCATCTACTTTGCAGGTTGGGCAAACAGTGCTAATATGTCTTTTACCAGACGGATGGCATTTATCGAGAAATCTATATTTCACCATTGCATTACGCTCACTTGGGTCTGCTATTCAAGGATGGGACAGTACCGGCGCCAATGGAGCCCAACCTCTCGCATCTAGAAGAGTTTGGAATTGCTGACAACCAATGGCTGATTGGGGTTATCAGTTCTGGGTAAGTCATTTCCACGTATAGCTTCTGTATCTTGGCTGGCTTTATTTGATTTCGAGGCCAACTCTGTTCGGTCTTCTCACGTATGTCTGTGAAGCAAGTGGTCGACATCATTCTGTGCTAACAGCCCCTAGAGTGCATGGGCCGCTGACCCGCTGAATAACTGGCTCGGCAGACGAGGGACTAACTTCGTAACTGGGTTATTGTACGTTGCGAGCTTTCCAGCTAAGAGACCAAACAGTGCTAACCATGGTGGAAAACCGTGTATTCCCCGTTCTGGCGCAGGCTTTTACCCAGAACAGCTGGGGACGCATGCTATGCCGTTTGTATATGGGCTTTACGTAAGTGTTACCGTACCGGTTCTTTCGATATCACGGCTCTTCACTAAAGGAAATTACCCGGCAATGGGTGCTAAGATCTCGACTACCCCGGTCTTTAGTGCGGAAGTTAGTCCAGCCTCAATTCGTGGAGGTCTTGTCACTGACTTCTAACTGTGGGTGGCGTTTGGTATTTTGTGTAAGGTTTACTTATCTTGTGGCATAAATAGACATATCCTGAAGAGAGAAGTGGGTTTTGTTCCAACCTGATCTTCTACCGTATCGGACGGTTGGCATGGCGTTTTTTAGCTTGTAGCGGCATTTCCTCCCGCAATTCCGATTTTCGTCTTGGTATGGTTCTGTCCTTGTACGTTGTACTTAAGGATGTCTATTGTTATTTAGGACTGGCTAAGGCAAACTATACAGAGACTCCACGATAGTTGATGAAAAAGGCCGCCGCAGAGAGGCATACCGATCCTTTTGCCAGCTGCGAAACAGCGAGCTCATTGCCACGAGAGAACTGGTATAAATTCCTCTCCCAGACGAGAGCACGCACATCAGCAGCTAATACGTCCTACCATAGTATTACGCATATTACCAGGTATTAGAGGAGAAAAATGCGTTTGAGGGAAAGGCCATCTCTACCCGCGCTTGGGGATTGTCACTATACCCCGGCTGCGGCGAGCGATGATCCCCAAGCGCAACCGTTGTAACTAGCCAACAGTTCTCAGGCGTGATGAACACCATGGCCTTCTACTCCTCCACAATTTTCTCGGAAGCCGGATACTCCGCTAAAGTCAGTCTGTTGGCCTTAATGGGATACAGACTCGTCATGTTCATCTTCGCCTTTCCAGCAGTATGGACGATGGACACATATGGTCGATGCAATCTACTCCTATTCACATTCCCATACATGGCGTGGTGCTTACTTGGCGCCGGTCTATCCTTCCTCATCCCCTTTGAGACCAACGCTCGAGTCCCACTCATCACATTTTTTCATTTACCTATTCACTGAATTCTATGGACCCGCTAAATTAACCTCCCACCCCACATTATGAAGCAGAAGTACTGATCTATTGCAGGAATCGGCCCAATCCGTTCAATATAACTTAGCGAAGCGTTCCTCCTATCCCATCGTGAGCTTGGTGCGGCTTTCTCCGTCTGTATCAATAACGCGGTCGAGAGCGCGCCTAGCCTAACATTCCCTCCTCTTCTGAAGGGTTTAAGCCCAACTGGAGGTTTGCCACCGTGACCCACGAACCACCCTTGCAAATGCTAATACGCTCAAATTAGTATTCAGTTTCCGCGTCGGACTGAACGCATTCGCTTTCTTCGTCATCTTCCTCATTGTCCCGGAAACGAAGTATACTACTATATATGCTAGTTCCTGATAGCCTCAACCGCTGAAAAAAACGAAACTAGACAGCGTACTCTGAAAAAGCTAGATTATGTTTTCGGCGTGCCGACCAGGAGACATATCTCGTATCACGTTAGGGCCTGGCTGCCGTAGGTGATCAAGAAGCGGGTGCTATTTCGGAGAAAGGAGAGGTTTACCCGCTCTATCAGCCGGGAAACTGGGGGCGAAAATGGGCGGTGAAGTTGAGGGCGGGTTCTGTTACGGAGGTATATAGGAGTAAATGAATGTTCGGAGCCAGGAAGAGAAAAAGGAGGTATGGCGCGCTGCTACGAGAGGTGAGTTTCTGGGATGAGGTCTTGTTTGAGTTATGTGCTATAGGTAGTATGCGGCAAGGATTATATCGATGCATGTATGTACGTGCTAGGTGTATGCATAGACCCTGCAGCGCGATTGTGGAGAAATATGATGTATCACTGTTACCTTGCAAGGATGTTCGTGGTGGAGATCTTAGTCCATGGTTGTTCTAGAATGAACATCAGTGCGCACCTCTCGTTATAGTGCTGGCTAGGTTGTGTCATGGTATCTACGTGGTGCCTCTTTTGTATACTTTTGCCAGGCTCTAAACATGGATGTATCCTTTGCTAGAGAAGGTGGAAGAAGCCCCTGATTATATTGTAATGAACCTTTGTATTTCCTTCTATATATAATGCAAAACCCTATTCAGAGTCCGTTGGTTACATCAAGCGATGTAATACATGCAATAATGGAGAAAGTAGTTGGACTACGACCGTCAAGCAGCCATCCTGAACAATACAAACATTTTAGTTCCGGACAGATCTAGCTTTCGCTCTGATGGGAAGTCCCAGCTGCCTTAGGCAGCATTACTATATGCGACTATTCTGAGAGGAGCCTTTTTAAAGGAGGAGCGCGATACATGTGTACTTACAATTTAATTCCCTCATCGGGCGGCCATCCACAGCTAGGTCTATAGGCGCCTTCTAGACCTTCCGAGCCAGGTATACTGAGACTAGCTGTCGCAGAGTGATCTTTGCAGTTACGTGAACGTGTTTACCAGGGCCGATAACACGGTAAATGGGCGGCAAGCAAGTAAACGCCTGGTTCGATGATGCTTTACTTGATACAGGTAACCGATGTCCAGGTTCCATCCTCAAGGGAGCCTTGGTAGGAGAACGCGACACATCGCAGGATGGATGTGTTCGTACCTCTAGGCCAAGGATGAGTCCCTTGTAGTCACAAAAAGAAAGGTTAGGTGGATACACGCTTCCGGTTAGGGTTGTCAGGATTAGACCTATCTTGGCTTGTACGCTGACCTGGAGTTTCCAAATCACTGGCTGAGGGAGGATAAGCATGAAGAAGTCGAAGGATTACGTTGGGGAGCGTTTCCCATTGGAAGAAGAGTGCTAGGTCAGGGCAGTGTCCTAGGATGCTCTTGTCTTTTTGAGGTTCTCGAGGGCGATGTAGTCGAGAGCGCCGGTAAGCATGTGGACCACATCCAAGGCGGCAATTAGGCCAAGTCAGACGGAACAGACGATTCGGTGAGATATCTTGTGGAAAATACGAGGACATGGGGAGAGAATGATGACCCGAGGGAACAGGCGACCGAGTACAATACGGGGAATACGGGCAAACCTTTCGCCTATGGAACTAGAGGTTGCGCGTCGATCACTCTGACAACTTGAGATGCCACCCGCCGTGTCCTTACTGCACAACTGCACTCCTACTGATCCCTCATCCACCAGCGGAATCCTTTGACCCTCGTGCATGAAAAGTGGACTCACGTAAGACAAACAGTAAGTCTCGGCAACATCAGAAACTCATCATCTATGCCGAAGGATTTCTCACTCAGATACACCTGGGGAGGAAGAGCCATTGAGAACTTTAGGGGGATTGAATCTGTTAAGCCGTATCGGATTTATATATATGGTAGGCCTGACGGCCGTGGCCCCGGCCCTTCTGCAGAAGATTAACATTTGTACACTGCTGTCTTAGCAAGTCCACGAAAATGTCAGAGCCATTGGTGCGTGGTTCAAAGAACGACACTTGGTGGCATTATTTGTCGAAGAACAATAATTCTCCGGGGAGTCCACTAAATCTGCATACTAAAGCAAGCTAAGCGGGGATCTTCATGCGCCACCCTAATGTACTGACAGGGAATTTCCTCGGATCATGATGGGGCAAGATTCCTGCAGTCAGCACCAAGTGGGCTTCTACTTTGGATGTAACCTTCCAGATCCCCTCGCCGGACCCGCAGGGTCATGAAGCGTTGAAGCGAAAGCAAATAACTGACGCCGGATAATACACAAGTGACCTAAAATTGCCCCATCCTGCGCAGCAATGGCATCTCTAGTAAGACCACCAATTGCCCCAATGGTGAGCGTCAGGCCAACACGAACCCCCACCTCTCTTATGGGACTTAAAATGGCGATTAGGACGGGGCCTAGACCGGCTCCGCCTCCAGAACCGACACCTAAGGTAACCGCGAAAGTCAAGATTGCACCGTTGCATGAGCTGGGGAGCCATGGCGCCAGGACGAGGGCGGCAGTGAAGATTGTCATAACTGTCATGATATTAAATGCACCAACCCGATCAGCGATGTACTTTGGGGACTACGCATCCCACGAAACTAACGGATATTAGCTGAGGACTTTAAAATGATCCCACGGATAATACAGGTCTCGTTACCTAGCGCCATTCAGTATTGGAATGAGACTTAGCGCGAGGCTCGGAGACATGCCGTGGTGAATAGACGCTACTGCCATATAGTTGAGAGGAACGAACATAACCCTTGCATATACGTCAACATATATGCAAGGGGTACGTGGAAGGTCCACTTATAGTAGAGGAAATAACAGGCTGCGGCTAAGACACAAAAGTTTTACCTCACATAGAGGTCGGACATAATCCTCAATTTCGAAAGGCCACGGCCGATGCACGCAGTGACGAGGAGATTGTTAGATTAGCGAAGATTAACACGGCTAGTATGAGAAATACGCAGATTCTCATGCTCTAGTTAAAGCTTATTTGGGGAATAAGGTGCTCGACCATGAGAGGGGAAACAACTCAACCAAGACAAGACCCCCTCGCAGTCAGTTCAGAGGCAATGGCTTGCTTTCGCGAACTACGTATAAGACTGCGCGCGGCCCCCGTGAACCAGCTTCTGGTAAGTCTTTCTCCATCGTAAAAGAAAAATCTGGACAGGAGGAGCCGTGCTTACAGCGGCCATCGAAGGGATGAGTGAATATTAAGGTGTAACTGAGGCCCGAGCCGGCCGACCGACCGACTTGACTGAGCATGAATCGGTAGTGTTCGTGTGACAGGCCGCCCATCATGAGGCCAAAACAGCGAACAAAGGGTTACCAAGCGCAATGGGGATGAACAGGTTGGCCATAGTTGCCGAAAGGCTTGCCCGCTATGGGGGACGGTAACATCATAAAGAAAACTATATCGTTAGTACGGATTATTATGAGTTCATAGAGAAAGAGAGAAAAAATGAATGCCAGGGAGCACCAGCCAAAGGAGGCGAAAAGAGCCGCCAATGGCCCTGAAACAACCAGTCATGCTTTTGGCGCTGCGTTCGGGGTTCTGCTCTGTTAGGAGGAGCATCTGAATGTTCGGTTTCCGTAGGAGGGAAGCCGAACGGGATTCCGGACTTCTTGTGGTGGTGGAAGAGGTCTTCGAGAATAACGATAACGATCTCCTAGGCTTTGGACGAAAACAGAGAGATCTTTGTTTATATAAAGCTATATTTCCAACTAACTTACTTAAGGCAAATAGTACATGCTGAAGGTCACATGCTCTCGTATCAGTCAAACTTTTGAGTACAGTCGACCTGCGCGCCCTACGGTTCCTTCAAGTCCCAACCCCTCAAAGTCAGCAAACGATAATAACAATGTCTGTGAATAACTTCCAGGTGATCGAGCATACAGTTCCTGGTTGTCATATCCGAGAATATGCGGGCAGCACAGCTGGTCGGCAGGAAGAAGTACTGCACTTACATGTAAAGCAATATACACCACTCGATCAACCAAAGCCGCCCTCTCCCGATGCGGTTACAATCATTGCTGCACATGGTATTGGTCTTGCCAAAGTATACACCTATATTTTGTCTTCATCCCATGTCGGCTGGGTAGAGTACTGACCCCGATGTAGGAGCTATATGAACCGCTGTGGGACGAGGTCTTGCAACGCTCCAAGCAGAACGGCTTCCAGATTCGCAGCATCTGGGTGGCGGACGTAGCAAATATGGGCATGAGCGGTGTTATCAACGAAGATAAGCTTAGCACTGACTGTACGTCCCACCGCTTCATCTATAACGAACCATTCCCTCAGGAATCCCTCCTTTTATCCTTGTAGGCTCCTGGTTGGACCATCCGCGCGATCTCCTCTTAATGATCAATCATTTCCGGGATCAGATGCCCCGGCCTCTGGTAGGGTTAGGCCACAGCTTTGGCGGAACCATCATGTACGTTTTATCTAGCACCTTGCCCCTCCAATTGACCTTTGAGGTTCTGATATAGTTTTGATTTTCCTAGGACCAATCTTGCCTATTTACATCCGCGTCTCTTTACCACACTCATTCTTCTAGATCCAGCCATCCAGCTGAATCCACCACCCATGGGTTTTGTTTCCGACCCGCCAGGACCTATTAATTTCACTTTATACCGCCCGGATGTCTGGCCAAGCCGCCAAGCGGCCACGGCAGCTTATAGAAAAATGTTCCCTAAGATGGACCGCCGCTGTGTGGATCGCATGGAGAAGTTTGGATTTCGCGATCTCCCCACAGCGTTACATCCCGAGCTTTTGGAAGGCAGCGACCCTTCCAATCCACCTGTGACTCTCACCACCTCTAAATACCAGGATCTGCTAGGACAGGCCCGCGCGAACTTCTCCGCACGCACGCCAGATGGTCGAATCCAGGTCGACCGTTCCACTCATGCGGATATGGATCCTCTTGCCGCTTTTATACCTGTGTATCGCCCGGAACCACGCAGCACATTCCTTCGACTCCCAACCCTCCGACCATCGGTGTTGTGGGTTTTGGGCGAGAAAAGTTACCTGCGGCTTGATGAGATCCGTGAAGGAATCAAGACATGTGGCGACGGCGTTGGAGGCAGCGGCGGAGCCTCGCAAGGGAAGGTAAAGGAAGTAGAGATATTAAGGGGGAGCCACTTTTTCCCATTTGAAAATGTGGCCGAGACCGCCGAGTTTTGTGCTTCATGGCTGGGCCAAGAATTGCTGAAGTTTGTTATCGCGGAGAAGGAATGGGCCAGGCAGAGACATGAAATGAGCAAGCGCGCCCATCTTGTCCTTGGTGAGGATTGGTTCAAGACTATTAAACCTATGAGCGCATTTCGCCCCGCTAACAAGCCAAGAAAAGAGCGACTGTAACTGTATCATCATTGGCTTGAGATGAGGACATTTTCCGTGCGGTGTTTATCGTAAATAGAGATGAATATATAAGTCCCCTCTTCTTTACGTTGCCGTTAATAAATACGTGGCTGATATATTATTATAGCCGATGTATCTCGAGTCATAGTATAGAGTAGGAAGTACTTCATGCATGTACACTGTAGACTGAATTGGATGCATGAAGGATGCGTGATTTTAACACAGTTACATGATACCTTAAACTACTCCTATTTATACATAACCCTTATAGCCTGCTCCGGAATTGTACTACTGGCCCTTCCTTACCTACCATGAAGTCATCTTTAATCTTGTATTCGCCGTGAGGACCAACCCCAATCTGCTCCATTCCTGGTGCAAGCCTGAGATCATAAAGCCACAACGCCCTGGCAAGACCCACCTCAAGTTCCATGAGCGCGACACTTCTCCCGATGCATGCCCGTGGCCCAATGCTAAAAGGTGCAAATGCGTCTCTCTGCCGGGCGAGAACCTCCGCGCAAACACCCTCACCCTCACGGTCTGCACTGCCCCGAAGATACCACCTACTGGGATCATAGACGAAAGGATCATCAAAATAGGCGTCATTGTGGTGTAGAGAGTAAGTGGGTACTCCGACTATGGTCCCAGCGGGGAAATAGTGGTCTATGACACGCAGTCCACCAGGCAAGACCTCTCGTGGAAGGTCCATTGGGACTGGAGGGCATAACCGCATGCTCTCATTGAGACAGGCGCGTAGGTAGGTCATCTTTTGCATCGAGGGTCCGGATACAATGGATTCCACATCTGGGAACGCATCCCGAATTTCAGATGTCAATCGTGCGAGGACCTCTGGGTGTTTACACAGAAAGTAAAATGTGGCCGCTAATGCAGTGTTGGCCGTATCAAATCCTTCGCGGGTTAGCAAATCTACATAGAGAGTATCGTGCACGAATGTCTTTCTATCATACCGGCCCCGAGGAGTAGGTTTGCTTCTCCAAGCATCTCCATCTGCGAGTAACCTTCCCCAGTTTCGGGATCCCGCGCCTGCTGCAAGTAGTATATGATATCCCTGCGTTTGCTAGTTTCTTTATTCACCGCAAGTCTGTCCGTTAATTGTTTGCGGGAAAAGGCAAGCTGCTTCTGGCGATCCGCTGAAGTGCCACGTCTAAGGAACCACTCCACTCCAATGTGTCGCAGCACTGGCATCTGCCCGCAAATATTCAGAGTCCGAACATTCAACCCCATCAACGGAATAAAAAAGTGGTTTTTATCGCTGGAGGAGGCCTCGAAGCTTTTTCCGAAGCAGACCTCTCCCAACACGTCAAAGACCATACATGCGCTCCAGTGCGCCATGTCCTTTGGCGTCGACCAACCGTGAGACTTCTCCTTGGCATTGTCGCCCAGACCTTTGCACCATTCTCGAATCGCTGAAAGGACGTGTGGTTCCATACCGCGCAGGGCTTGGTCGGAGAATGCCTGCGACATGACGCGCTTTTTCCGGGCATGCACTGACTTGTCCACGGCGTTGAAAATACTCACGCTGTAAAAGGAACTGTACCACCTGGTTTTCTGGACGTTGGCCTGATGGCCGTAGATCGCTTCTAGGGCTTGCGCATCGTTGATGGAAATGTGGTTTGGGCCGTATCGGACAATCCGTCCGTGTCGTTTGTGCAGCCTGTATAAATCGGCATGACGGTTGCTCTTAAAGGCTTGATAGATTGTATACAAGTGGGTGAACTTTGCAAGCAGGGGGCCAGGGTATTTAGCTAGTGGATGAAACCATATTTGATGGACTATATAGCCAGCGACCTGGATTGGCTCTATTTAGTACGAAGTTTAGCGGGAGAGGGAACAACTTACCAAGGTGGCTATGATACCAAGGATGCTGGCGCTAGGGTTACTGAAAATTGACATCCTGATATTGGGTTTCAGACCTGGCTTAGGAAATCAGCGCAAAGAGGAAGAATACTAGCAATAATATAAGTAATATTTGTGCTAACGATCGAATAAGGAATATCGGTATTGGACTTTAATATACTTCGCGTGACGATGAGATGCGAACAGGCGCTGGCGTTATTTCCACGGAGCGCCATGCATTAGCACCGTTGACGGATTCTATTTGGTTTGGGGGCCAACTATGACTTTCAGTCTGCTGGAATAGCCCTTCATGAAGAGGATCCACTGACATGCCCGTCATTCCTCACTCCAACTGCTAGGAATTCTAGATTCGCCGAATTATATAGTATCTATAAAGAGAGACGAGAGCATTTGGCTTTCCAAACTTGCTTATTGGATTCATATTCATCTACCCCGTACAACAAACAAAATGCATTTTCTGTGTTTACATGGCCTTGGGACCAACACCCAGGTAGCCCTCCGCCTCTCCGATTGATTAGTGACCAGAACTAACAACTACGATTCCATTCCTTTCTAGATCCTTGAGGCGCAAACTGGTAAGACTCTCTCCTCCCGCGGGATGAAGCTCCTGGCTGAACAGGGCGAACAGCTGCTCTCCGCTATGAACTGGGCGATTCGCACACTTATGATTATGCCGAGGGAACGATTCCACATGCTATGGACCCTGGTAAGGATTCGGCAACGCTAATACTGGATGGCCTATGCTCACGGACCGTTAGAAATTGCAACATATTTCCCCACCCACGATGACTGCTTCGTGTATTTTGATCCGGGCAAGCCTGAGTCTTTCACTGCGGCTCTGAATAACCTCCAAAGTTTTATTCAGCAAGAGGGTCCATTCGATGGCATTCTGGCCTTTTCTCACGGCGCCCAGCTGGCCGCAGCGTGGCTCGCGAGCCAGAATCATGCTGACCACCCTATCCGCTGCGCCATATTTCTCTCAGGTGGGATCCCTTACGAACTCGTCTCCAGTCCGAATAGTGGGACGCCTGTCATGCAGCCCATGGATCCCGATAAGACGGGGACTGTTGTGAATATTCCCACGGCTCACATTTGGGGTCTGAATGATAGGCAGTACCCGGGAATGAGCGAGGTACTCAGCAAGCTGTGCAAATCGGAATGGCGCGAAATCTTCATTCATCCTGGAGGACACGAGGTGCCAGGGGCAAGCGCAAGAGAATCTCTGGTTGGGGCGGCGCAGGCGATACGGAAAACCATTGGATTGGTGGTGACCTTGCAGTAGCTGCAGTAGTGCGGGTAAGCGAGTGATGGATCTGAGGTAATGAAATCTCGTTCGCTTAATTAATATCCGATCCTTTCGAGCACCCAATCAAGGGCGTGCCCCATATGCATGCACATGTAGCTTTATTACTCTGAAATTGAACTTTCCCTTTTCTCTGTCCCTATGGGAACGTTTGCTACGGGGTATATCAACCTCCGACTCGCAAATGAAGCTGGAACCGTGTGGCCTTCGGGCTTGTTTGGTAACTCATGCATATTAGTCTACCTGGGCCCAATAATTCCATCAACGGCATCACGTATAGTCCCCAACTGGCATACGCAGTCCTGACCCACGTCTGCACCAATGTGACCCTCTTGCATTATCTAGCACCTCAAGTTCTCCATAAGACGTGCTCAGCGACTAACCAGGTTGCATCTAGCGATGATAGTCTCACCGGGACCTCTTCTCGACAAGAAGAGTCACTATCATTTGATTGCGGAGTCGTCGTTGGAAGGATTGTGGAGTAAGACAATTTGAATGCCGTAGAGGTCAGCTTGGGGGGTGGGACCCTCAGATGTCATGTATATATGGATAGAAAATCTTTGCCTCGCCTTTGGAATTCAATTACAGTGTGGGTGTGTACTTGTTGCCCCTACAAGGCTTTACTGGAGCCGAAGATATTATCAGCCAGCGCATTACCTACTCTAGGTGTTACCTTGTCACACAATAGCCATGGCACCCGTCCGTCTGGCCATGGGCTTGTCCATGGAAGAAGACATCCTGGATCCCATCGCAATTGTTGGATTATCCCTTCAGTTCCCCGGAGATGCTACGACTCTCGATGACTATTGGGAGTTAATGATGCGAAATCGTTGCGTCTGTCAGGAATTCCCCCCAAACCGGATCAATGGAGAGAGTGTGAGTTACTCTATTTGATTTAGCATGTATGTAGGAGCTTATAATAACGAATTTGGGCCCAAATAGATGCCAGTAAAGAAAGCCCACTTTCTAACAGAGGATGTAACGGCATTTGATGCGTCGTTCTTCTCCGTGTCTGGAACAGAAGCAGCTTCGATGGATCCACAACAACGGCTGCTACTGGAAACAACCTACCGAGCTTTTGAAAACGGTATTACACACCATAGTAAGATCAGCCAGTACGGGCTTCCGAGCTAACCACCTCTGTACCAGCTGGAATTACAATGTCACAAGTCAATGGATCGAACACGTCTGTTTACGTCGGCTGTTTCACAGATGATTATAAGACATTATATGAGAAAGACGTGGGTGACAAAGCCCCATATGCGGCAACCGGCATCATGCCAACTTTGAATGCCAACCGACTAAGCTGGTACTTCAACTTACTCGGACCAAGTGTCAATGTCGATACGGCGTGCTCCAGCAGCCTTGTTGCGCTGGACCTTGCCTGCCAAAGTATCTGGTCCGGTACTTGCGATACGGTACGTATAATGTACCATATGTGCGCTGATGTGAGATGGGAAGAGAGAAGCTGATATCCTGCAGAGCGTTGTTGGTGGCGTGAACCTTCTTCTTGCCCCTGATCTCTTCCACACTCTTTCGGGGATGAATATGTTGTCCCCGGAAGGTCGCTGTAGGAGCTTTGATGTGCGTGGAAACGGGTATGGTAGAGGGGAAGGAGCCGGGGTGCTAATAATCAAGCGCCTTCAGACTGCCATCCAGGACGGAGATACTATCCGAGCTGTCATTCGATCTACAGCTTCTAATCAGGATGGACATACTCTCGGGTTGACCCAGCCGAGTCAATCCTCGCAAGAGCAGCTGATTAATTACTGTTACAGCAAAGCAGGATTGGAAAAGAGTCGGACAGGATATGTCGAAGCACACGGCACAGGGACTCCGGTAGGAGACCCAATTGAGGCCAGAGCGCTGGGGTCTGCATTCCGTGAGGGTCGAGACCCACGCAACCCACTCTACGTGTATGTGATTCATGCATTACTATTGACTAGATCATTCCTGACTGTGTGTAGAGGATCGGTCAAGTCAAATATTGGTCACTTAGAAGGCGCTAGCGGCATAGCTGGAGTCATCAAAGCAATTGCGATGCTTGAGAGGGGTATTATTCCTGCTATCGCAGACCTCGATACAGTGAATCCGCAGATTGATGAAGAATACCTCAGAATTCGGGTAAAGAACCAATCGCCACATTGAGTCATTGGACGCTTCATTAATAATGATCAGTTTCCTAGAACGGCTACAGTGTGGCCTAAGGATGGCCTGCGCCGTATATCAGTGAATTCATTTGGATTCGGCGGATCCAATGCTCATGTTATTCTAGATGATGCTTATAACTTTCTGGCTGAACGCGGGCTTGAAGGAATCGCGTATTCCTCACCAGCAGAGCCACCACCACTGCAGCCACCGGGTCTTCGGGCACCCTTGGTTGCCCGGAAATTACTGCTATATCGACAGTGGGGCAATAACAACGACAATGCAACCCCCTCTAACACACCTGTAATCCTCCCAATTTCAGCAGCGAACCAAGCCGCTGTTCGTCGCACTGCCTTGTCCTATAGTGAGTACTTTGAGAAAAGGGAAACTGAAAATTTAGATTCGAATGAGCTCCTGAAAGTCTTAGCGAGTACGCTCGTTCGGAGGAGAAGCAATCTACCCTGGAGAGCATTTGCTGTTCTTAATTCCGTGGAGAAGCTCAAAGACTTCAAATCGCACCTGTCCACGCCTTCTATAGCTACCACAAAGCCAAAGATTGCCTTTGTTTTTACCGGCCAAGGAGCACAATGGATTGGAATGGGGAGGGAGCTCATGCAATACAGCGTCTTTCGCAGGAGCTTACAGCAAGCAGAGGCCTATCTAGAATACCTAGGCTGCGAATGGAGGCTTCTAGGTTAGTGTGCTCATGGTTAAGGAGACATTACCATGCTCATACCATTTATAGAGGAACTGCTGGAAAAGTCGACAAGTAGCCGAATCAACGAGCCACAAATCAGTCAGGCACTATGCACAGCCGTCCAGGTTGCCCTTGTTGAACTTCTGTCCCATTTCAATGTCCGCCCTAATGCTGTTATTGGGCATTCGTCGGGAGAGATTGCCGCAGCGTGAGATAATATACGTCTAGAGAGTGGATGATACCAAGGTCTGCTGACATTTGTATAGATATTGCTGTGGGGCTATTTCTCGGGAATCGGCTTGGAAGATCGCTTACATGCGTGGTGTCCAGGTATCCAATCTGTATGAAGGTAAAGCCACGATTCACGGCGCAATGATGGCTGTTGGGCTCCCTCCGGACCACGTATCCAGGCTATTAGAGGACAATGGCCATGAATATAGCTCGTTGAAAATTGCCTGCTACAACAGCCCATCGAATGTAACCATTTCAGGTGATGAGCGAATGATCGACTCGTTCAAGCTTGAGCTGGATAAACTTGGAACATTCGCTCGCAAGCTTAAAACGAACGCCGCGTATCATTCATCTCATATGAATGTAGTTTCTGAAGCCTACAATGATTCCATTGGTTTTATTAGCAGTGGAGAATCTCGCTTTCAAGGCCCTACCATGGTCTCTACCGTTTCCGGGAAAGGGGTGACATCGCACGAGCTACGAGAACCATCGTACTGGGTGAATAACATGGTCAGCCCTGTGAAATTCTCCCAGGGGTTTGAACGGCTCTGTGCGAAAAGGATTGTGAAGAAAATTGACGGAAGCCACCGGGGTATGTTAAAAATCGACGCATGTGTGGAAATAGGACCTCATGCGGCCCTGCAGGGGCCAATCATGGAGATCCTCGCGTCGAAAGGAACACAGATGGCTTACCTATCAGCGCTCCAGCGGAATGCTTCTGCCACGACGACTCTTCTTGGGACACTGGGCCAACTTTGGTGCCTCGGATGTGGTCCTGATCTAGCACGGGCCAATCAATATTCAGATTGCACCGCTTCGATTTGTGACCTCCCACAATATCCATTCGACCACTCGCAGACGTACTTTCATGAGAGTCGAATAGGCAAGGCTCATCGCCTCCAGAAACAGCCCAAATATCACCTTCTAGGGGAGCGTGTCACGGATTGGAATCCTCTCGAACCACGTTGGCGTAATTTCCTGAGCGCGTGGGATCTCCCGTGGATCCAGGATCATAAGGTATGGCCGTCATGCACTATGCAATGACTGCAGCTGATTTATATGCAGATAAACGAAGTGACACTTTTCCCGGCAGCCGGTATGATGGCCATGGCAGTTGAAGCCATATCGGACATTACCGCCCTCCCACGAGGCGCTTGTGGCTATGAACTTCGTGATGTGACGTTCTATACCGCTCTTGCTGTCCCAGACAGTGGAACAGGAGTGGAAGTGCAATTCACCATGCATTCCCAAAACCAAAGTGGGACAAGTAGAGGGCAAGGCTGGTCCAACTTCCGGCTATGTGCCTACATAAACGATAGATGGGAAGATATATGCCTTGGGCGTGTCCGTATTGAATATGAAATGGAGGCTTCGGAGGTTGACGAAGGGCTGTCGACAGAATCTTACCTCAGAAATACCCAACAACACTATACCTCTCTAACTAACAGCAGCGAGCCTGTTCACATGAAAGACTTCTATTCTCTCCTACAGAGCTGCGGTATCAATTATGGGGATTGCTTTAGAAATCTGAAGAAGGCTCGATTTTCTGGCTTCGAGTCAGTCGGTGACGTCTCGAACTTCCCATGGAGTGTGAAGGGGAAGGGAGAGGCACAAGGGTACACCGTCGTTCATCCATGTGCGCTGGATGCGTTCTTTCATCTAGCCTTGGTGAACTACACACAGGGAGGAAAGGTGAAGAAGCCTACCATGATCCCTTCGCGGATCCGCAGGGCCTGGTTATCTAGTTCGGGAATAGATTGGTCAACTGAAGAGCCCCTGAGGACTATGTCTAACATCGTCTCGCAGGATAGCCGTGGTACTGAATGCGAGCTAACTGCTTTGCGATGTGATTTCTCTAAAGTTATCGCCCAGCTTGAAGGCGTCAATATGACCGTTGTGGACCAAATTTCAGATGAGGCAGACACCCCAGCGGAAGAGCTGCAATTCTTGAGCCCTGTCTGGCTGCCGGACATCGACGCGATGGAACCCAAGGAAATACTTGATTACTGTGAGGCTGAATTGCAAGATAATGCGGAGCCCACGGAGTTTTATCGTCGACTGTCCTCTCTGCACCTTAATTGTCTCCATCAGGCTTTGCAGGCTATCCCGGGAATGGGAAGGTCTGACAGTTCCTCCCACATGTTGCAATATTTCAACTGGGCCAAGCACTATTTTCAAGACAAGGGTAATCATGAAGCAGGTGGAGCAGAGCTATACCTAGAATATGATAACGTGTACAGTGATGAGGATGTAAGCTGGCTTGAAAGTGTCAATGCTCAAGGAAAGGTCCACGCTCTCGTTGCACGCCATCTGCAAGAGATTTGGCTATCGGAATTGGATCCGCTAGAACTGTTGTTCAGTAACAACTCAATTCTTGATGATTTCTATGCCGAGCTGAGCAACAGCACAAACAGTTTCAAGCTACTGGGGAGATACCTGCAACTCTACTCACACAAATATCCTAACGCAAGCTATCTTGAAATCGGAGCGGGAACTGGGGGCTCAACAGGCCCAGTACTCAATTCCCTTGTGCATAAAAGGAACCGACTGACTCCTTGTGAGATGTATAAGAAGTATACATTCACTGATGTCTCAGAGGCATTCTTTGAATCTGCAAAGGAAAAGTTTTATGAGTTTTCGAACATGAACTTCAAGCGTTTGGACATCGAAAAATCCCCACTGGGCCAGGGCTTCGTGTCCGAATCATACGACGTAATTATAGCGGCAAACGTCCTCCATGCGACAGAGGACCTGTCAGCAACTCTGAAGAACGTCTCGGAGATGCTGCGCCCGGGAGGAAAGCTTATTTTATATGAAATAACAAACCCAGAGCTAGGAAGGACTGCCTTCGTTATGGGCCTTCTTCCTGGCTGGTGGCTCAGCAGAGAGTCATTCCGGTCCCAAGGGCCATGCATCAAAACTCAGGACTGGCACGACCTCCTCCAAAAGAATGGCTTTTCCGGGGTGGACCACGAGTTCCGCGACTACAAGAGTGATGAATGCCATGAACTGAGTGTTCTCATTACCACCAAGGCTCAACAAGAGGATGTGCCTGAGATGCTGAGGGTGGACATCGTCCCTCACCCCAGGCCCTCAAACAAATCGGCTTTCCCTATCTCACTTTACCGAGGCCTCGTGAATCAGATAAACGTTGAAAGCAGGCTCGTTGATATCCAAAAGATCCAAAACATTCCCATCCATCCAGATTCTGTTGCGATAATTCCAGACAGTCCCAGCCAGTCATACCTTAATGATATGGATAGTCAAGCGCTTTCTCAGCTTCAGCAGCTTCTTAGGTTGTACAAAAACATCGTATGGGTATCATGTACGGTCGGCGACGGTTCGGCAGATCCTAAGTACGGCATGGCTAGCGGTCTGGTCCGGTCCTGGCACACGGAGATTGAGGGAGCAAGGTCGGTGCGAGTCGGGCTACAAGGCAATGAAACCCCCAGTTCAAAGCAAATTCAATACATCTTGACAGCGACACGGCACATGATGAGAAGCAGCGCTGAAACCTGCGAAATGGAGTATGAAGAGCAAAGCGGCCTTCTTCAAATTTGCAGGCTCCGGAGTGATGAGCAATGCCACGAAGCGTTTGTGGACAGTTTATCGGATATGGTTCCCTGCACACTTCCCTGGAAGGATGCGCCCCCCTTAAGGCTTATTGCAGGAACACCCGGGCTTCTCGATAGCTTGCACTTCGTCGAGGATATTGCTGCCGTCGAGCCACTTGCTGATGATGAAATCGAGATCGAAGTACGCGCCATGGGCGTGAACTTCAAGGACTGTTTGATTGCACTTGGACGAGTCCCGGGAGACAAACTAGGAAATGAATGTGCGGGAATTATCAGCAAGGTCGGATCAGCTTGCCAATCGCAGTTTCAACCGGGAGATAGAGTATGCATGTCCACCACCGAAGCGTTCAAAACGTACGCACGCAGCAAGGTACAGTGTGTCTGTCGTCTACCATCGACGATCAGCTTTGTAGAGGCCGCAGCAATCCCCACCCAGTTTGTGACGGCATGGACATGCCTCAACGATATTGCCCGATTGGCGAAGGGAGAGGCCGTTCTGATCCATGCGGGGGCGGGAGGCACCGGTCAAGCAGGAATTCAAATCAGTCTGTACCTCGGCGCGCAAGTCTTTGCAACGGTTGGTTCGAAGCGCAAGAAGGAGTTCCTGATCTCACAGTATGGAATACCCGCCAGTCATATATTCTACAGCAGGGACACCTCTTTTGCGAAAGGACTCAAGAGTATCACCAGTGGCCGTGGAGTGGACGTTGTGCTGAATTCGCTTGCGGGTGACAGCCTCATGGCTTCTTGGGAGTGCCTGGCACCTTACGGACGCTTTGTAGAAATTGGGAAGAAGGACATCTTGGCCAATTCGACCCTCCCCATGCAGCCATTCAGTAAGAGCGTCACATTCTCGGCATTTGATGGTTCGATATGGATGGTTGAGCGGCCACTGGAGGCCCAACGGAACATAGAGATAATTATGGGACTCTTTGAGCAAGGTAAGTTGAGTACTACGAAGCCGCTGACAGTCTACGACGTTGCGAATATTGGTACGGCCTTCTCCAATCTTGTGGAAGGCAAGAGTATCGGAAAGGCTGTCGTAGAAGTTTCACCCTCAGCACCTGCACCGGTAAGTTCACTTCCTTAAGGCTAGCAGTACCAAGTCTAAGAGATTATAGAACGCCATAATCCGAAAGCCAACATATTCCTTTCAGGAAAAGGCCACGTATGTTATCGCAGGTGGATTTGGTGGTCTTGGTCGTACCATAGCAAGGTGGATGGTAGACAAGGGCGCCCGCCACTTGATCATTCTATCGCGCTCTGGTCTTCGAAATCCGACATCTGTGAGCCTGGTGGAGACGCTCCGGAGTATGGGGGCTACGGTTGCGGCGCCTGCATGCGACATCGGCAACGAGGATGAGCTCCGCAATGCCCTGGCGGAATGCAGTAGAGCCCTGCCCCCCGTTCGTGGTTGCATACAGGCATCCATGGTTCTAAGAGTGAGTATACTTGATCTCATTCCTGTATTTTCCACATCTCTGCAGTACTGACCGTCCTCCTTTAGGACATGCTTTTTGACCAGATGCAACTTCCCGACTGGAAGGCATCCACTGCACCTAAAGTCTCTGGATCCTGGAACCTTCACACCCTTCTCCCCAATGACCTTGACTTCTTCATTCTCCTCTCTTCCGTGTCAGGGATCATTGGCCATCGGGGACAATCAAATTACGCAGCGGGAAATACATACCAAGATGCCTTAGCCCACTATCGTGTCTCGCGTGGGCAAAAAGCAATTAGCATCAACCTAGGCGCTATGATCGACGACGGATACCTTGCCGAGAACATAAATAAAAACATAAAGGACAGGCTTCTAGGGACAGGGGCTATGCTGCCAGTGACCCGTGAGATATTTCTGACGCTTCTAGAAACCTACTGTAACCCGTCACTGGGCGTGCTCGGGCTCGGTGGCTGCCAGGTCGCATGCGGAATCAACACACCGCAAAATATTCATGCCCAGGGGGTGGATGAGCCAGGTTGGCTTCAACGACCATTGTTCGGTGCGCTGTATGGCATCCGCAGCCAATCAAATAAATCCGGAAGTGATGGAGACGGTTCAGGAAAAGAGAAGCTGCGCGATTTCAGACAGGAATTTATCGACTGCTCAACCATACCCGAGGCTAGCCTCATCGTTACCGAAGCTCTTATCTCCAAACTATCTCGCAACCGATCCCTCGTTAACTCTACGGATGCCGAGATCGACATCCATAAGCCCATCGCCAGTTATGGTGTGGACTCTTTGTTAGCTGTGGACATCCGGAGCTGGTTCAGAAAGGTCTTCCAGGCGAACGTACCAACATTCGAGATCTTGGGCGGCACCAGTTTTGTGTCTATGGGCGCGACGGTGGCGGGGCGGAGCGCGCTGAAGAGGAAAGAGGAAATGACTACCTACTGATGTGTAGGTGCATGTACTTCGGACATCCACCTGTGGTCGTGGCCTTTAGCATTATTCATTGATCTGCCTCCCTCGACTGCGGATAGTGTTATGTTGCTTTCCTTTGATTACCTAGGAGGATACGTGGCATTCACTAACAGCACTGCCACTGACGGGAACAACAATCTGGGGTTTGCTGAGTCCAATTACCTGTTAATGGGATCCCGGTATGTGAAGTATATCAATTTCCTATCATTGCCATGTTCATTCGTTGTTCGTTTTTCCATTAACTATCCATATTTTGCCCCTGCTTTCACATTACAACTAACCCAAATATAGTCTCGACATCGGCCAGCAAACCCGATACCTTCCATTGAAGGGCATCCTCGATAATCATGAGGAATACTGCATCAACGGCTGTATTCTGATCGGGCATGGTAATCCGGCATTATTTGCTGCCATATCTTACCCACCTAATAGGGGTGGATTTGATAGCGGCGGCATGATCTACCATCTTCAAGATGAAGTCTTGAGAAACTCAGGTGCTCCCCATACTGAGGTAAAATGAACTCTTTACGGGCTCTGTATTGGCATGAATGAGCAGATAGACTTTTCTTTCATAGATACTGGGGTGTACTAAGTCTTGATCCTTGTAATATAAGATCATACTGCTTCGATATCTAATTAACCTCATATACTTGCCATTAACGGTATCAACAATTCATCAATTTCCTTTCACATCCCTTATGCCTTTGACATAGCCACCTAACTCCATCCCATCTGCCATTCCACCTTGCCTTCATTGAACTATTAGCATCCTTCACTAGTATATAGGCCTTCATCGAGTTCTCACTATCCCTCTAGTAGGTGAATTGGCCAACTCCCGTCTATTTAAGCGCTCGTTTCACCCCTCATCTTTCCATCCATCGTTCTACTTCTACATCCTTACCATATGCCCATCGGGTATCCCAGTATTCCTTAGTTGTGAGTAGCCTTCCACTACTTTCATATCTCACAATCTCATTTCCATGGCCCCCTGGAAATGGATTTCTCAAACTAGTTTACGTTACAGATATCGTTTGATCGGGTGTGGTAAGTAGCCATATTATTCTCCTGAGAGTGATGTGGAGTGTGATGCTCAGGATTTCATGTAATACGGACGTCCGATCATAATGTGTTATGCCATTTGTGCCCCGATGCGGCTTTCTTGCCGTGGCGTGATTGCTAGGATGTAGAGCACGATGACTTCGTAGCTAAAATTGTTATCGACCTTAATGCATGAAGACATATTTCCTCAACTACGGCAGCAGATCAAAGAGTAGATTTATCCTCTTAATATAGGAGTAAGTCATCGCAGGGCATATTCTATATTATCGGCCAACACTATAGAATACCAGGGAATCAGGAATCCGCAAATGGCATCCACGGATAAGCAGTTTGCCGCTCTCCACAGCGCGGTGTGGGGAACGTGTGGGGAGAACGCCACTGGGGGAATCATCCGATATGGGGAAGTATAATATGGTACAGCATTTTAAAGACTAAGACTTTTCCCCTCTTCCGACGCTTCTCATTCAATTACAACTCCTACAATTGATACGCAACATGACGCGCTTTCAACTAGAACAGCCGGCCGGCGAGTACCGTCAATACCTGCCGGATCTGAGCTTGAAACGGTTCCAGGTGATGCGCACTCAGGATGCCCATGAATATGCCCATGATTTCAAGACATTGCGCAATCCACCATGGCTGCATGCTTTATATATGCATTGGTTGGACTTACTGCAGGAACCATTTAAGGGGGTTACAACCGACGGTATAGTGCGTTCCTACAGTTGCTGTTCCCTAGCTGATAGTTGGTAAAGGAAATGTACGGCCTGGTCTCTTCGCATTGCAAGATGAAGAGGTACCCATCGATCACATTGTAGAATCAGTTGAGTCTTTACTATCTATAGTAGATGACAAACAATACCAGGCACTATCATATCACATTGACTCGCCCGATTGGCGCACATGGTCAAACCCCGAATTCCTCCTTAGCAACAAAGGCCTCCGTCTCGACGAAGTCAACACCGCAACCCGCGACGCAATTCTCAACGTGTTAAAGGCCACACTGTCGTTGGAAGGCTATGAAAAAGCCATCAAAGCCATGCGCGTCAACCATTTCTTAGGCGAGCTCGTTGAATCAACGAAGGTGATGAACGAGTTTTCCTACAATTTCGTCCTCTTCGGGCGCCCCTCTACTACTAGACCTTGGGGCTGGTCATTCTACGGCCACCACCTCTGTTTGAATGTGTTCCTATACAAGGGACAGATCGTCGCCTCTCCGTGGTTCACCGGCGCAGAGCCCAACGAGATCGACGCTGGTCCGTATGCAGGCACCCGCATCATGCAGGTCGAGGAGGAGCTCGGTCTCCGACTCATGCAGTCGCTAAGCCCGGACCTCCAGAACAAGGCCCGCGTGTATGACCAAATGCACGACCCCGACATGCCGCCCGGACGCTGGAACCGCGATGACCAGCGGCACGTGTGCGGGGCGTATCGGGATAACCGAGAGGTTCCATATGAGGGGATCCTCGCTTCGTCACTCAACGATGAGCAGAAGAAGTTGCTTTACGGGGCCTTGGAACAGTACCTACTGTACCTGCCGGCACAGTCTCGGAAGATGAAATTGGACCATGTGCGGCAATTCGAGTCGGAGACTTATTTCTCCTGGATTGGTGGATCTCGGGATGAGGATCCGTTTTATTATCGGATCCAGAGTCCCGTTATTCTGGTTGAGTTTGATCATCACTCGGGTGTATTCCTGAACAACGAAGAGCCGAAGAAGTTCCATATCCATACTTTGCTCCGCACACCAAACGGTGGTGATTATGGTTATGCGCTCCGGCCGTTGATTCCGGCTGTGGAAGGATTAGTGGGGAAGGAGATTACGTGGAAGCCGGCTCTTTAGATATTGCTGGTATATGATGTGATGCAATAGATGTATATATGTTTCAGCGAAAAGCAGAGTCAACCCTCCTAGTCTCAGCATCAATGATGGACTTTCATCTTGCCGAAAGGCCCACTCTATACAACTGCCGTTATACCCGAGTGATGTAGGTCCACCTGGCATTGGCCAGACCATGAATTGCGTGTAGAGGATTTGCCACAGGAACGTACGATCAATGCATACTATTATCCAACCCGTGATATTGTCCGCCGCCTACAAAATCTGAGCTCGGATTTCCCGAGCGACTTGGAGCATTTTGCGTAATACGGCCCTACTGTCGGGCTCAGACTACGACCGAACTTTGGTCTGGCCCTGTCCTCTTGTCCCTCGCCGTTACAAAGAGAAATAGCTGTGAAGCGTCGCCATAGCCATCTATCGTCCCATGATCAATATCCCAATGCATCCTCAAAGATACCATGAATCACAACTGCACAGTAATATCTTTTTCAAAACCCAATTGTCTCATTCAACGCACCCTGAACCAAGCGAACAATACCCAAAAGCTGTGTACCAGCCGCCTGGAGCTATCAGCCATGGAATACCCGATATAGTCGGCAATTCCGACCCCAGCACGTCGGCAAGGCATTCACTACCATATAATCTGGCACGGACAGCTACTATGTAGAAGCTCGTAATCAGGGTTATTTGAGCTTCATTAAACCCACAGCACCGCCCTCCAAAAGCACCCTTAGTGTAAATCGAGTGAATGCCCTTTTAACTCAAACACCAAAACATCTCCTCAATGTTCGATTACATCTACCGTCTACTCAGCAAGCTATCAGGAGGACAGGGAAACAAAGATCAGGAACCAGCAATGGTAAGACCACCTTCACCAAAAACTAATCCCCCCCAGGTCCCCACCGCAGCCCACCTCGACATCACAATCGTGGGCGCAGGCCTCTCCGGCCTCGCAACAGCCATATCCTGCGCCTCATCCGGTCACACAGTCCAAGTGATCGAGCAAGCGAAGGAACTAGCTGAGGTACGTTACGCATACGTATTCCAAATCCAGTCCGATAGATAGTAATTAACATCAACATTTACAGATTGGAGCAGGCCTCCAAATCACTCCCAACGCCTCCCGCCTCTTCACCCACTGGCGTCTCCCCGAGAAGCTCTGGACCTCAGCCGCCGAACCAACATCCCTAACAGTCCACAAATACACAGGCGAGGTACTCGCGCACGAAGACTCCTTCCACACGCACATCCGGGCGAAGTACAACGCGCCGTTCATCGATCTCCACCGCGTGGATCTCCAGCAAGCATTATACGCCCGCGCAAAGGATCTAGGCGTAAGATTTTATCTGAACGAACGGGCTGACTGGGTTGATTTTGAGACTGCAACTGTGTTCACCGTTTCCGGGGGGGAGTATAGGGGGGATTTGATTGTTGCGGCGGATGGGCTTTGGTCGCGGTGTCGGGAGTGCTATTTGGGGCGGAAGGATGATCCGCTGCCGACGGGGGATCTGGCGTACCGGATTGTGCTGAGAGCGGAGGAGATAGGGGATGCTGAGCTAAGGGCTTGGGTTGAGAATCCGCAGTGCCATTTTTGGGTTGGACCGGGGGCGCATGTGGTGGCTTATTCGTTGCGAGGTGGGGAGATGTTTAATATTGTGCTTTTGGTGCCGGATAATTTGCCAAGGGGCGTGTCGAGGCAGGTTGGGTCTGTGGGGGAAATGAGGGGGCTTTTTGAGGGGTGGGATCCTGTGTATGTTTTGTTTCATTTTCATTTTTATTTTATTTTTTGTTTTTACTTATTCTATTCCCCTTGGAATGGACGGTCACTGACGTGGGCTGGATTTACTAGGTTGAATCGGTTTCTTGGATATGTGGATACAGTTGATAAGTGGAAGCTTATGCATCGTATGTCCTGTGTTGATCTTGGTTTTGTTGAGGATACGGTTCCTAACCTGGTTTGCGAGTAGATGGCGAGATGGAGTCGTGGATCAATGACAAGTCGAATCTTGTGTTCACGTATGATGTCCTCTGCTTCCCCTTTCTAATTGACTCTATGTGTGTTCTGACCATGTCAGTGGTGATTCTTGTCATCCGATGCTCCCTTATCTGGCCCAGGGTGCCAATTCCTCTCTCGAGGACGGTGCCGTTCTCGGCGGTCTTTTGGGCCGCATGAAGAGTAAATCGCATCTCCCGGAGATTCTCCGGTTATACGAGAGCTTGAGGAAGTCGAGGGGTGAGGCGATTGTTAAGGAGACATTCAAGCAGGTGCGTTCATCGTGCATCCCTCTCTGTATCTGTGCTCTGTGGAAGGAGAGGGAAAGGATCTCCGCCTAGTTTAACATCGAAGCTAATTGACACGCCAGAGAGACGATTTCCATATGTATAACGGACCCGAGCAGGAAAGGCGAGATGAGATATTCCTGTCACAGTTAGGGAAGGATATCAAGGGGGCGTTTCCTAGTCGATGGTGCGTACTCTTGCCATGTTATCCTACCTCTTTTGGTTGATTTTGGGGCAATAAATCTGAGGCTAAAGTATCGTGCGAGCAGGACATGTCCTAATGTCCAGCCTTGGTTGTATGGGTATGATGCGCTGCAGGAGGTGGAGAAGGCTGTTGTGCGGAATCCGGAGTTATTTTAGAAGAAGAGGTCGAATCTGCAGCTTTCTTTATATGTTTGCATGTATAATTTGCTAGTGGGTCTAACGAATTTCTTGATACAGTGAGATCTAACTGTAGGACTATGTAATGGCGGCTTGGGGTGATGTACGTACAAGAAAATACGACTACAGATCATATCACGCCCGATATCGTACACTCAATTGTCTAGCATAGGCAATCCTCCTATATCATCAAAGAGCCGGGCGATTCCTTCGACCGAACAATCCGGGAACCCGAAACCATGGGCCCATTCCTAGTATCCGTCAGACTTAGAATCCCAAACTAGAGTAAGAATAGAAGCCACATACCGGTATATCAAATGTGCCCTGGCTAGGTGTCTCCGCCGCTAACGCTGCAACACTTCCCTCGCCGTTCCCCATGCTTGATTGGGTATCTGACAAGCTAAATTCCCTAAGATAACGCTTGATAATCTCCACGGACTTCCGCGCCACGACGGATTCGTCCATTGCTTCCAGGATCTCCAGCGCCATCTCCACAGAACGTCGCAAAGGAATTGTTTCAGAGCACATGCCGAGCTTGGACATGGGAAGTAGGAGGGTCGATGTGGCAAACATCACATATGTTGTATTGTACCACCTATCAAACGAGGTTAGGCAGGAAAAACACCACAAAGATACGATAACAGAACATACCAGCACCGGAAGAACGTGTGTATACGGAAGATATCATATATTACCTCGATCGTTTTCATCGCAGCGTCAAGGCACTTTCCAATAGTTTGTTCCAGTTCAATTGGTGTATGTCTTAATTTGCGGGTGAAATGGCCCAGGAATGGACGAAACAATAGCACTTTGACATTGTAGTACCCTGTTCCAGTGAGTGAAAATTCCATATAACTCGTAGGGGACGGCTCACGAATGCCTAAAACTAAGCGCTGCCTCCGTGCCCACTTTGGATCTCGCAACGCATTTCCTGACCCTCGTTGTCTCAGGACATCCGGCTTGATTCTCTCCGGAAGCCTTAACATCCACCTGTCCAGTTCACCCTCGATTTGAAGCGCTATCTGTAACTTGTCCTGCAAGGTGATACGCGAGTGATAGATCTGCACAGACACTTTCCGAATAATTTGTGCAAAATCAACCATCCATGGGATGATGGCGTATTCGGAATCGTCTCTTTCTGGAAGAGCCCGGTTGTGGTATTCATCCATTCCCAAGGTATCAGGGCGGCCAACAGAAAAGCTCATCTCACTTAACTCATAAGTATATGCCACAAAAGGGAGTGCAAAATAGTAGCAAACTCACATTTCTAGAGAGAATAGGCCCCTATGAATGATTAGTACTTATGCCTAAGAGCAATACAGGCGTACCTACCACCAGGTTTTTGAGATCCAACCAGATCGCTGCTCCGTAGAATTACGCACTTCCCTGTTGAAACCAGCAGCTAGGCATGTGCGTATGGCAAGACCCAAGTACATATAAGCCACTAGCAGACATTAGTAATACGATACCACCACCGGAAGGAATACTCACAGTTCGGATTAAGCTCATTCTGACAGATTTTGGCCTGTGCAGAGTTAGTCAGGCCAGGTACACGGGTTAGGGCTATCAGCCACGGTTACCATAAGGTACAAGCATTGGACTGTGTCCAAATTATTCGAAAACTGTAAATAATTTAGATAGGCTTGAGTCTCGCCAAATAACTTCCGGCTCCACTCGAAACGCGTTAGTCCTCCAAGTCTCTCTTCGTCCCAAACACGAACCAGGGCGCCAAATGAGAGAACACTCAGGTACAACGCGACAAAGCTCGGCTCTGGTTGTTTATTCCGGGTGAACCATAGATCATGGGCCCGCAGGCAAAAGTCCTCTTTGTCGATCAGAGGATGTATAAAATGGATATTCTCAAAATAACCGTTCATGAACGCATGCGCCTGCTCAAAATAGTAATTATGCTCATGAAGTGCCGCAGGTTGTGCCGGACCAGCCGCGCATGAGGTCGAAAAACTTGGATTATGTAGCGTCGAGACTATAGAGTACTCCGGCACACTTGTGAGAATACGTCGCTCTTGCACTTGTCGGGGCTCATGTTGCCTCTGAAGATGGCCTATCAAGGCCGCCGACGATGTGCTTCCGTGATATTCGATGCCGTTGGTATGGTGGTTGAGCTCACTGATTTCATCCTCGACGGAGTCCCCCGCCTCGTCGTGATGGTCGTAAGATAGCGGCGCCTCTTCTCTTGGGGTGGAACCATGCCGAGGCATAGAACATGGGGTTGCACCTATAATGGAATGGGGCACTGGCCTGGTTTCAGGATTTGCCACTACTTTCTGAGACTGGGGAGAGCGCTGGGAAGAAATTTCGGATTCCGCCATGCGAAGCTTCGCAGTGAGCTCATCTACCTTCTTTTCCAGATCGGTAACATAGCTGTTCAGTAATTACTAAACGCCTGGTCATCATACGTCAAAAGCTTAGACTTACGTGACCGACCGATCATTTTCACGTTGTCGGTAATTCCCTTGATATACGCAAGGGATGTCGCTTTCTGCGCGGGTTAGATGTATTCGCTCACGATGCGTCGGCAAGCCACTTACTCTTACAGTGCGAGCAAGGGTATGATTCATCGCATTTATACTTCTTTAGTCTACACCTGTCGCAGGCTTGAGCAGCACGCGGCCGCTTCGCCCGAGGTGGAACAGATTCATCCACAGAGGTACGAGTTGATGGCGATCGCTGAGTCTGACGGTGCATCATCCATTTATAGTCATATCCATAGCATTACTATATGGTGTGTATGTATGTATGTATTTATTGTATGGCGGAGGGAGTATATGTATGCTAGGATGTGCTTTCTGGGGAAAAGATACAATTACAGAGAGTGTGAAAAAGGTGGCCGGAATTGCCGAATTCCGACACAAAACACCCGTCACATGACCCCCTCCCCGCGGGGTGCCTAGCGGGGATCTTTTATTAAATATGGATCAATTTAATATAGTTTGAGTGATCCAGTTGCTATTCGGTATAATGACTAGCGAAAGTAGGCCTAGGTGTTGTTAGTCAAATTATTGAGGGTCAATACCTACATTGAGCTCCTTTGTAACGGATCCGATCTTCGTCGAATCCCATTCCAATTCCCACTCAGGCAGAACAACGCCTTCAAATGGCCTTTCCAGCCTATGCACTAGGCTTTCAACACCATTGCCGTTTGTAATTGGCCAAAGGCGTACGTACCTGCTATAAAAAAGAGGACAAACGCTTGACCTGCTGGGATAACCACACTTTCGCCTTCACGGAAGATGGCATCCATCGAGCCCTTGAGACGGATGATCAGGGTTCCCTCTTAAAACACACAGGTAGTGATCCTCGTCATGGAACGTCGTATATCTCGACTGTATCGAGGTAGTATATTCATTGGATGATTCAATGCTCGAAATTTGCACAGATCCCATTGCCCTGGGTGGTCGTGATGAACGGTCGAGCCATAACACCTCCCAACATCCACCGGGGGCCCGTGTTGGCACGTAGATTAAAGGGCTGTGAGGACTCCGGAAGCCTTGCATCATTTTTTGTCCAGTCGCCCAATCCTGGGGGTTGATAATTTAACAGGAAATTAATATCAAACCTTTCCTTCGCAGCCATGACCTTAGGTATCAACAGGGACTTGAGATTGCGGCTGTCGCCCTGGGGAACCAGCAATCCTCCTTCATAGGGCTCGGAAATGTATCGGAAGAAATCAACCCAGTCACCTGGGGTGATCAGGCTGTAGATTTCTGTATGTGGCCCTAACATTTCGGGATCATGAACAACGGTCTAGAATTGGGTCATATATTGTCCTCATTTCATGAAAGGATCGACCAGAATTAAGTACTGGTGGCACATAAGCGAAGTCTCTCCTGGTCCCATGATGCGACATTTATCACCATTCCATAATTTCAGATAGCCCTTGGCTACTAAAAAGACGTCACCGAACGTGGTTATGGCAGTGAAATCCCGGAGCATCGGACAACACCGCACCACTTTGAAAAACAACCACCAAGCCATTGATCTGCTTTGAGGATGCCAAAATGCGAAAAACACCCTTACTGCCCGGGATTGTGATACGTTCTCCTTCCAATTGAGGAATTGCGTAAGGAACGCTGGACCCAGGGGGGAGTTTCGTCCACGGCAGAGACACAAGGGGGTCTAACGACGATGATAATGAGAGAGTTCCCAAACCCAACTGTCAGGTGAGGTGGAAAGCCACCAGTTGCGAAAGAAGGGTTTCACATATATTGATCGGTTCATGTAGATCATTGAGTGGGGATTCATCATCGCTGGTCCATCCGCTTGTTCCCCGAGCTCGGAGAAGCCGTGGACCAACCTGCCGGAATATCCGATGCCCGAATTTGTTTGGCAGTTCGTAAGTTTACTATGTGCAGATATCAAAGGTAAAGTAAGGCTTAAAAAGTCGTATGACAATCTGAATTCGGATTCTACTCAGGGATAACTCGCAGAACACAACCTCTCCTTCCCTCAACTATACTCCCTTTGTTGCCAGTATGAGGCGAGTGCAAATGTCGAGAAAACATTGGCATATATGAACACTGCATAATGGCTGGTGCAGCAGCAGGAAGGAAAGGCTGGATAAAGGGCAAAACAAACAAATGGAAGGAGAAGTGAGGGGAAAACGCGGGAGTTAGAGGGGGGCAAAATGAAAAGAAAGAAATAAAATAATGAAACGAAAGCACAAAAGGACATATATTCGAGTGATATGCTTGGCCGAAGTGCCCCCTTTCCCCCCAAGAGAAGTAGCCCTCCAAAAGTTACTCCTATTCAGTCTCAACTACGGCAACGGTATTCTTAAACACCAATCAGCAAAGGCAAAGGCAATGTCTGCCTCCCAGTCATGATCCCACAATATGAGTGGCTTTGCGTGTTTGTGTATTGCTCACTCTTTCATCGCCATTTCCAAAACATCTCTATTTTCTGCTTTACTGAGCGCCATGTTGGGAAGAGATTGATGTCGAGGAGCTTCTGCTCAGCGAACTAGGAGAACTGGTAGGAGACGATCTGGGGGTGGAATGCTGGAGCGATACTGTACTTTGAACTGCCGCTTCCGCTGCATCCGGGAGGCAGTGCGCGCATGGGAATGTCTCGATACCAGTCCCCTTGCAGTCACTGCATATTGATGCAGTTCTAGGGAGACTTAGTCTAGTATCAAAAGGGTATGTCTGGTAGGGGAGCAAACCTTGGGCTATGGCCTGCACAATTCCTGCAACATATAACCATGCGCCCGCCCCCTGTACAATAAATGTGTTTGGGATCCAGATTAATGCCTGGGACATTTTGGTGGGCCATATTTGAAAGAAAGTAATACTGGGACCCTGCCACCGCAAAAGCAGAAGAGAAACAGACGGGGCATACGAATACTCTGGGGAATCGCTGGAGTCATTTTGCGTGAAAGGTCTTACTTAAATACTCGACCAACCGCTCCTTTTCGACTGGGGGGTATACTTTATGATCGACAAATCGTCGGCTTAGGCATTCGTAAAAGGCCAAGCACTAGAAACGTAAAAGGAAAAACAGAAGGATAATGCCAGTAATGAAGCCAGGCTGTTCCTTGCACGGGATTATTGTCATTTGCTCTTATATTGGAGCCGTGGTACTATGCCAGACAGATTGTACTACCACGTTTCGAGTCAACGGATGCTGATGGAATGCGTACTTGCAATGTCAAATCGTTGTCCAACATTCTTTGTCGGAGAATACTAGAAAGGGATCAGCAGGACATCAACTCCTGTAACAGGCAGTGTTGTTGCTCGGCAAAGTCGGTATTCTTGATTTTCACCTTATATGAATGACACGGATACGGGCAATGTGGCATGGTCCAGGGTTATCAAATGACCGCATCATCGGCTCCAGGTGCAATAATAAGCAAATATTAATGCCGGTTAGCTATACTCACACCCAACAGATCTTTTAGTCCATGCCGGACAGTGGGAAGTTTGAAGCACCATTAACCCATAGATTCGGATCAAGATCATAGTTAGTATTCCGAACATTACCAACCGGACCGAGGGCGTATCTGCAAGCTGCGCCTAGGGCGGGTCGGGATAAATGCGGCACCTTGGAAACGATATTTGGTTTTATTAAACGAAAGAATGCGTTACTTGTCATGGATGTACAAGACGGGGATTAAGACTAGAGGCATGGCAGCCACCGAGAGCTGTGTTACTCAGTTTGTGAGCAAGTATGTACATAAATACTGACCGCTTCATGTGTCCGGTTCACTGCTGCCCACCAATGAGCACAGGGATATGCGCGCTTGATGTTCATTTGTATATGGGTGGAAATCCTCGAGTAACTCTAGACTTGATCGTAACACTAAACAATTATGGGCATAAAATGGCGCTTGCGGTGGATGTGATCAGTCGTCCATGTTCAGGATTTGCAGGGTCTGATCAGGCGCAAAGTTGAATAATTGTTGACAAATCTTTCAGTCGATGGATTAGAAAGCCACTGAGAGTAGAACTGCCTAATTCTGTCTTCTTGGCGAGGGGGTCACGAATCCTTTCATATCCAACGTGTATTAATGCATGACCTCGCAACGTAGTCGCGCTGCATTCCTAGTCGGGCTGTGACGGAAGGTCAACGGCTAATACTGCAATGTCAGACGTAGTGTTATTTCCGATTGGGTTAGATGGAAAGTGTGTGGTTTGAAAATAACAAAGTCTGAAACAGAAGAAGGCTGGGCACTGTAGGGATCAGCATTCGACCGACTTCGATCTGAGAAACCGTCATAACATCAGGCAATAGACTAAAGCCAGGAGCAGTTCCCAAGATAGAGAGACATCGGGTACGTTTATCTCGTCTTCGGCGCCGAATCATCCGCACTCTATCTTGATACGGGATGCGTCGGCATGCAAGTTGCCGCCTACCATAAAAGCCAGAAAGAATCGATCGGAGTATAGCATGCTGATCGTCTTAAACGGCTCGGTGATCTTTGTGCTGACTTTGACATTGTGGCAAGAAAGAAGCCCCTGAACTAAACCAATCAGAAGCATGTAAGATGCTCCCGAAATTGGATGAGGTTGTTTATTGGCCGCATGTAAAAGGGTATTCCTGGGCATATTATGAAACCAAGCCTTCGAAAGGTTGCTCTCAATTTCTCTGTACGATGCCGTGTGAAGAGCCTTGTCACCTCGCAGCCGTCCGGCGTAAGGGCTTTGCCCTGTTGACGACGGGATTTGGTTGCTATTTGGAACCTTAGATCCACTTGTCCACGATAAAAAGAGAAAATAAAAGGCCGAAATGCTACAGCCGCCCATGTGGTATTTCGTATCCCTTAGAGGGAAGCAGGACCGATCGCTCGATTGCTTTTATTGGACAGCCGAGAGTGCGTGGCTTAGTGACAAGGCATACCAAACAGCAATCAGATAGGGTAGGACCTCATGTGTATACAAGGCTAAAGACCGATGTCTGCAAGTACCCGTGGAAATCACTCGTATGCAACCTGGAAACTGGCCCGGAGCGTGCGCCATCCTGGGTACTGTGTGCCTTCGAGTTGCCTGCGAGCCAGCACAGATCGGCCGACGCGTGCTGCGGCTGAACTGAATCCGAAAAGGCATCGCAAAAGCAACTGCTTTGTAGGGTGGAACTGGGGGTAATCATACATGTTATATCACCTGACGAAGACTTCTGGCCGATGTCACACAGAAAAATAAGGAACAGAGACTCGAGATGCACACCGATCACCTGAACCCTCTTAGAGAGAAAGATGGAGAGATATTTTGAGACAAAATGATATAGGTTGTCGATTAACGGGGGAGTATAAAGTTCCAAGTTTAAACCGGACCTAAGAATAGCCGGGTTTTGCATAAATGGATCCAATCCGCTTTCCGCATGAGTCGAGGTATGACCGGGGGCTTGGGTCTAAAACCCAAGGGCAAGGCTACTACTACACGGCCAGCAGCCGGTCAAAGGTACGGTGCATCCAACCCCCTGAAACTAGCAGATGAAGAGCAAGGTACTCCGTGCTAGCGGTGATTGCTATTATCGGCCTAAAGGAGATACATATCAAAATATCATATAGACGAATGGCCTGGCCAGCGATTATCTCCGATCCTAACCCCGATCGATAATTCCGAAGAACAAATAGCACATTCCCCTCCAATAAAAGCCATGAACAAAAGAAAACCCCCAGTTGAGTGATAGTGTATCATTATCGTAAAAAGTCATATCAGTCGCCAAGAAAAAGCCCAATTCATATCAACGAAAGCCACTTGAGTGTTTAGGAAAAGTAATCGGCAGGAAGCGAGGCGAGGACAGCAATAGTGCCAATTGCACCTACCACCGCGCCCACAACAGCAGTAGCAGCATGGCTTCGGAAATTCGCTATTCCGGAAGCCTTCAACCGTTTCGATGGTCTTCCACTTTCCGGGACAGGAGGGGTGCTGCTATCGGCCTTTTCAGATTCGTGCGTGGCACATAACTCAGTGAGCTGTGATGGCATATTTCCAAGGTCAGGTACAGTGGTTTGTGGCTGGGCATCAGGGAGGCTCAATTCCACCTCAGAGGCAGGCTCTTCATCGACCGAGTAACTAACTTCAGCACAGGGGCAGACATCCTGCATGGCAACGGCATCATCCATCTGTGAATCGAGACCCGCATCCTCTGCTTTCCTCTTTAACCGCTGTCCTTGGGTAGCGGTGATTTCTAATGCCGATGGGTCAACAGCATCAAACGTGGATGCCTGGATGCTGGATTCTTGTCGACGTTGGATGTCCAAGAGCGAGGCGAATGACAACCCTGTCTGGTCATAGCTGGGGACATCGCCCGCTTCCATTTGGGAACTCTCAACACCAGTAGCACGGGTCTCTGTGACTCTGTTTCCGGTAGCAGTAGCGGTAGGGACAGCACCGTCGGCCCGGCCAATACCATTTATACCATTGATGGAGCAGGGTGGCGAGTTGACAAAGGGGCCATCTTTGTAAGGAATACGTGGGCTGCGGTGTTCTGGGAAAAGGTATACCGGGCTCTGTGCAGTGAGCGATTTCCATTTCTCTGACGCCTGTGCCATTGCATTATTGATCATTTCATTGTTGAAGCCAGTCAGTGAATGATCAAATAATTTTCCGGTTGGCTGTATAGGGAGACTGGGGTCCGCCTCGTTTTTAGCGGCGACCGGCCTGGAAGCATTCTGCTCATCAACGTTCGAAGAGGGAGCGTTAAAAGGGGAGATTCCAACTTCGGGATGAGCGTCGGAGTGCCTGGTGACATCTGGTGAGTATGCTTCTCTTTTGCCTGTCAAATAAGATTCCCTATCCGACACATCATAGACGCCACAAGTTGTGTTTGCTTGGAGAGCCTGGTGAGCGGTCAGATATGGAGTAGCGCTCAATCTCACAGAAATTCTATCTGAATCAGACTCATCGCCATCAGAGTCGGATTCAGAATGTAAATTGGGCATGGAGCCGTCTGCGGAATCAGCATGGCCGCCGTCCTCGCCCTCCCAGTCACTAGACTCGGCAACCGACTGTTCCTCAGAGTCTAGGGTTAACGCATTATCTGAATGAATTACGTGGTAACTTTCGTCTTCGAACTTATTGCTTGCCTCCTCTAGGGCATTAACACCTGGGGGGGGTGTCATTCTTGGAGTTGCAAGAGGTTGTTCGGCTTGCTTGTCATCCACATCAATCGGGCTTTGCTGTGATCCGATGAAGTCGACACCCTTAGGTGGAGAAGTGATAGGGGATGAGATTTCCATAACCGAGTTGTCATCTGATTCTGAGCCAGGATCTGAGCCCTCTGACTCAGAGATACTCTCAGCAGCCGTTATTACTGGGTCGTACATCATCTCATCATCATAATCATCGTCATCGTCGGGAACACAGAATGTATTAGTTGTCTGTTTTTCGAAGTGGCCATCGCTATTATTTAAGGCAAACTCGGGACTATCTATCATGTCAGTGGGATCAATAATAGTTATTCGCGCACAGCATACCCAGATTCTAGCCACCGCTGCTCACAGCGAACTTTCAGTGGAGGAAAGGTCTCTTTAAAAACCGGTCAGTATGCCTCCAGAGTTTCCTCAAATAACAGACTTACCATGACCACGGACAACCTCTGTTCCAAAAACTACTTCATCGCCGCTTTCAACTATAATATCCTTGCCAACAGGCACCCTTTCGCCATTCACCCAGGTACCGTGCATAGAGTTGCCATCACTGAGGTACAATATCTAAGCCCCACATTTTTAGCATAGTTCGAGGATCAAGACCCAGAAAAGAATATATTCCTATTACAGAGACTCTTGGCTATCATACCTTCTTATCCAGACACACACGCAATCGTGCATGATTCCGTGACATCACGCGAGAGTCAAACAGTCCATTATTACCCGTAGGAATGAGGTTCTTTTTCTCGCGTTTAGATGCACGGCCAATTTCAACACGATCAGAGTTGGACGTGAAGATTAGGGAACGATATGGCAGGATATCCGATCCGTTGAGCGGGAAAAGGGTGACGATAGCTGGAATGTGGGACGTATGAGCGTATTAGCCAGGAGAGATTCACTAGTTAGTGAACTTGGATTGAAGGAAGATTTACATACCCTTTGCGTCAGACATCGCGGCTTTATCCGGCAGGGGTAGCAGGTATAGTTGAGGCCAGTGTCCAGGAAAACAAATATCCCCCGACTCGAACTACAGCACCATAGTATTTTAGTAGCTGGTGTAGCAGGTACTCTACTCTGGAGCCAGACAGTGACGGGGGTGTTGCTGGAAGTAAAATAGGAAGACAGGGCGCCGTCGAAGGTGGAGAGGTAAGAGGGAGGGGCAGGAACGGGGAAGGCTGCGTACCTTACGCAATCAGGCCGGCCTGAGGCTAAGGGACGGTCGCTGTCAGGCAGAGAAACGCGATAACCTCTGGCTTATACTATTTTGCTACGTAGCAAGTGCAGGCATCTGAAAAATGACTCAAGTGAGGGCGTTCGTTTGATAGGCGGAATGTTGAGTAGATCAGGCCGTAGGCAGGGAAGTATGAGCCAGCGATAAGAGGAAACGAGGGGGAAGGAAGCCCCCCGTGTCAGATGATAGTGCAGTTTAGAAAGCAACTGCAGGAAGAGGTATTTATGATCTTCACTCGAATACAAGACTCGGTGAGTCACGAACAAAGAAGATGGGGTTTGAGGTTGATGAGTTGGTGAAAGGGCTGCCTTGATGATGACGCTGATACGCAAACCACTGATAGGCGGAAGAGTGGGGTTTCCGTCCGCCCCGTCAGGTGGACACCCCATGACCATATCATGAGCTGTTTACCTTAGGGTGGAACGCTGTAACCATATATAAACCTCAGACCGAGTGTTCTTGGCCCATGGTTGCGAAGCATCAGATTCATTCACAACTACAAGAGTATCAATGTGGCTTTCCAACAAACGCAGGTCTAGACCATTAAATACCTACTAATCTGGAGAAGGGATTCAGCGTAAACTCTTTTTAACATGCTTCCAACTCTTCCATTGGCTATGATACATAATTCCGTCCCGCCTTCTCAGTGAAACTTGACACCGCAGGCGTAGGACATGCCTTCACTGCTCTCCTGCTCATTTCAGTCGTTCTTCCTCCACAAGAAAGCCCGACGCTGCGTCAAAAAGAAAGTGAAATATAACTAGGGGGAAAGAACAAGAACGAAGGCGATCCCCGTTGTATTACCTGAACAAGGGGGCCGAGAATATATGAAAAACGGGGGAAACAAAGATAGTAAGTACATGCGCAGGTGAAAAGGCTCCGGCGCCCTAAATGTATCAGAAGAGACTCAAAAGAAAAGGATTATAGCCAGACATGAACCCTGGGCCTGTTCGTTCCAGCTGAGGTATGGAGGTGGGAGAAAGGAAAAATAACAAACACTATTAACCCAACATGTACGTCTTGGTCACTTCAAATCCAGAAATTAAAGGAAACATGTCTCAATTTACAGACCCGGGGGGCCACCGAAGCCAGCGCTCATGGTCTGCAGGCGTGCAGCGAGCTGGGGATATTTCTCTTGCACTTCGAGCTGTGTTCGAGTTGCCTCTGCGTATGAGATAGCGTTAATGATCTCGGCTTCCGTACGGGCCAATTCCGCGGCCCTTTCAAAATACTTCAGGGCCTGGGAGATCTTGCCCTGTTGCAGAAGAAGCTGGGCCATGGTTCCCACGGCGATGTCACACTCGGGGTCAACTGTGGCAGGGTTAGACAATAAGGCTAATTTGCGCATAATCATAGCAGCAGTGACTTACTGATCAAAGCTTTCTGGCACAAGTTTTCGGCTTCTTGGAAGTCGTGCTTCCACTGGAACAAAGCAAGCGCCTTGTTGATGAGAGGCAGAACGTTAATTCCCATTGGCTTGCTCTGTTTCTCCATCTCCACGGCCTTGTCGAACTTCTCGATGGCCTCGGAGAAATTCTGTTGGTCGAGAAGAAGTTCACCATAGTAGTTATAGACATCTGGAACGTCCTCAAAGTTCTTCACCGACCTCCTGAACGTGGCCATAGCGGATGCGACAGATCCCATCTTGTATTGTGTTACACCGAGCTGGATATGGGAGTAGATGAAGGTACGGTCAAGATCGATTGACTTCTGGTAGTCCTTAGCGGCTTCTGCGAACTCGCCAAGGATGAAGTGAAGCTGAGCGCGGTGGTAGTAGATGTCAGCGTCGTCCTTGTTGTGGGAGATGGCGAGCTCAAAGTCGTCCAGGGCGGCATCCTTGTTTCCTATTCATTCCCCGTTAGAGTGACATCCGTGACCATCTTTACTAAAATTACTGGATACCTACCAAGTTCAAGGTTCAAGCTAGCACGCTTTATATAGCTCTGAACCAACGATGGCTGAAGTTCAACGCTCTTGTTGAGATCAGTCAGGGCAGCTTGGGCATTGCCTTCGAGGTAAGTGAATGTAGCTCTCAAGTTAAGGGCCAGAGCCTCGAATTCACCGAGGTCGCCAAGTTCCAAAGCCTTTTCAAAGGCTCCAGCAGCCGCCTCATAGCCATCGCCGGTTTTCTTGACCATTTCAAGGAGACCCTTGCGCAGCTGGCCCTTGCCAGAATCCTCGCTCAGTTCGACAGATTCGGCAAGGCCTTCTGGGAGGGGCTTAGGACGGAAGCTTTGGAGGTAGTTGGACACAAAGGTCGGGCTAGGGAGCTTCTTTCCCTTGGCTTCCAGAATGGCTTTACCCTTCTGTTCCGCAACCTTCTTCAAAAGTCTCTCAAGGGCAACACGGCTCACTTCGTTGGAGAAGCCGTCGATGATACAGCTCGCAGTGAAGTCGAGAAGAGCCTCGCTGAACTTCTCAAGGTGTTCATATGCAATAGCCCTCCGGTTCAGGGCCTTGACATACTCACTATCCATTGAAAGGGCAGCGGTGGTGTCCTCAACGACCTTCTCCCATTCCGACAGGACGTTGTAGCAGGCAGCACGGTTGGAGTAGAAGACGGGGTCAGGTTTGCAAATAATAGCCTTTCCGTAAAGTTCGATCGCTTTATTGTAGTCTTTAGAGCCGTAAGCCTTGTTGCCGGCAGCCTTCAGCTTTGCGGCATAAGCTTTCCGTGTCTACAGTTCGGTGTCAGAGCCAGTCTCCATCTATCACCACAACACTATTAACCCACCTCTTCCGACAGCTGTTCAACAGTAGCTTCATCGACTTCGGGAAGTTCTTCAGGGGATTCTTCGGCCTTCTTCTTCTCTGTGAGATCATTAGTTCAAACGCCTATGTTTGACGGTCGGAGACACGGAATGGTCAGACATACCATCCTGGGCAGCAGCAGCCTTGGCCTTCTCCTTCTCTTCAGCCCTCTTCTTCTCCTTCTCCTTCTCCTTGCGTCGCTGGTTCTTGCTCTTCTTCTTCTCTGTAGGCTGAGGAGCTTGAGCAGGCTTGCTCGAGTCGGAAAGATAATAGACAACACCCGCACTGGTCACGACGACGGCGACACCAGCAATGGTATAAACAAGAGCCTTATTTTCCGACACCCATTTCGAGACACGGTCCCAGATCGATGCTGAGGAAGATGGTGGAAGAGAAGCAGTGTCAAGAACCACGTTCTTCACCGGTTGAGGTAATGGTGATTCACTCGACATGATGAACCAGCTACTAGTAGGAACCCGTAATTCTCGATCCTATCAAGTTCTGCATCGATTAGCCAGCGTTCCATTTGGTAAGACGGAACCAATAAACGAAAGAAATATGATTGAAAGAATTGAGGAATACGAACTGGTCCTTAATGCACGGCAAGAGCCTGTCGGCAGAAGGGCTGCTTTTTCAGGGTTGGAAGATGGAAGGAGTCGCGGCTTTGAAAAGTTATGCGTTTCTGGTGGTCCGGCGACGCAGCGGCTTTCCGCCCGAGCAGCTCCTCATGCAACGCAAGCCAATCACACCCACCACAAAGGGCTGCTCAGTGCCTTGTTTTCTCCACACTATCACCGTCGAAGACGAACGTTAGGAAGCCGGATTCAATGGCCGATACCGAATGAGGTTCTACCACGTTTAAACGTCTCCAATGTTTTCCATCTTTGTTCCAGTATGACCGGTCGCGTGCTCTGATGGATCAAATCTGGCACTACTGAGGCTCTCGTCCATGGATGGCCTGTTGAGCCATCCTAATATCACCCCCTACAATCTGCGATTTTAATAGAAACATCGCAATGACGTCCACTCCAGCGACAACGTACGCAAGTACATTTGAAATCATATCTTCTCTTCGTTATGACCCTGCGATTCCGAATGCGATCGGCGAAAGTGCTTCAGACTCCCATCTCCTAACTACGCCCTACTACCTTTTACCTTTCCACCAGGATCGGCTTCTTAACGCGGCAAAATGTTTCAAATGGAAAAAGGCGACTGAATTTTTAGAGCAGGATCTGGCTCAGTTCGCTCAATTCCTGGATACATTCATACCGAACAAAGCGGAAGCATGGCGTCTTCGTATTGTTATTGACAGCAGCGGAGCTTGCAAGGTCGAGGCTCATAAAGCAGCAACAATTAACCCCCTGACCCTTCTCATCCCTTCCAAGGAGATCTCGCACCCAAATATATGGCATGTACGTGTTGATTCGGAGGTTACAACACCTTCGGCCTTTACTACGCATAAGACTACGGCACGTGGGGACTATACAGCGGCGCGGCATCGGGCGGGGATCCTTTCGCCACAGGAGCAAGTAGAGGTACTTGTTGTGAATCCGAACGACGAAATCATGGAAGGGAGTATTACAACCCCATATTTCAGGCGGCGCAAACCTGGGTTCGAGAAGGACAGCGCTAGCAAAGGGGCCGGGCCAGAATGGATCACACCACCACTTTCAAGTGGCGGCAACGCAGGCACAACAAGAAGATACGCCCTGGCACAAGGGTTCTGTACGGAGGAGGTGGTCACAGTGGCAGATTTAAAGGATGGTGAGGAATGCTGGCTCAGTAACGGTGTCAGAGGCTTTATCCCTGGTAGAATTGAACTGGCTGGCCCGAAGGAGTCGAAAAGCGTCCCATTACCGCGGTAATATGGGGAACCATATCATCCCAAACCCGAGCAAAGTTTCAAATTTCCTTTGAAGTTGGCACTTAGTGTTCCTTTACAGGGTCTATAATGAGGAAAATGCGAAAGGATATTGTTAGGTGGTCATTGGTCGTGTAGCTGCACTATAAAGCATCTCTAAACAGAATCGTCTAACGCCACGGTGGCTCGCAAAAATGGCTTGCCTTATTTCTTCTTCTCAACAACGATTGGGTTGGGGTTACCTACCCACTCGAGTGGGCGAGGGCGCATGTATTCCTTCATAATTTCCTCTGTTACCTGAGCCCTGCGCTCCTGGAAACCTTGAACATAAGTCTGCAACTCAGCAATGCACCTCTGCTTCATCTCGCCAGTTAGCATTTCTCCCTTCTCGTATGCGACACGAATGCGCTCGAGTTCTTCATCATCCTCCAGGAAGAAAGTAAGGTACTGAAATGGAACGTCGACCTTGCTGTTTCCGCCAAGCTGACGCTGCAGTTCGGCTGTGTCCTGGCCACCCGAGAAGGCATATTTATTGATCTTATTCTTAATACGGCTGGGGGTGTCACTCATGTAAATAGCCGACGTATCCACGCTAGCAGACATTTTTGAGCCGGGGCCTTGAAGGGCAGGGAGGAAGATTGCGTGAATCAGCGACGGCTTCTTGTACTTCATCTTCTCAGCGTTCTCACGGCATTGGCGGAAATAGGGGTCCTGGTCGATAGCGCAAGGGATCAGACATGGGATAGACGAGACTTTCTTCCTGTCCGTGCCAAAGATATGGGGGAAGCTGGTGGCAAAGGCCGAGGCGGATTGAGTAGCACAGAAGTGGAACTCGCCGATGTTGTTGCTGTCGTTGAATCCAAATGTTCCCTTTATGGAGTTAATGGTAATTCGCTTGGCCATCCTGCACATGTTCTCGTAGAAAGCACCGCCAACATAGTCAAAATCGCTGAAGATGAATGTCTTCTTCATGTCAAAGCCAACAGCGATAATATCCATAGCGTTTGCCTTTGTATACCTCTTCGCGTCATCGACATCAATTTTCTGCGAGTGCATGAATTTCTAAAAGCTGGTTAGAATACGAAAGAGGACCGTTCAGAGTTACGTAGGATATAACATGCCTCGTCGTCAGTAAGCATGATAACCAACGGACAATCAAAAACGTCTTGTAACCATCTATAAAATACAGCATAATTAGTTATCAATTGCCGAACACTATTAATGGATTCTCAGATACACACTTGGTGAATTCGAAGGGGATCGTGTGTCCCACGTGCATGCTGTCGCTGCTAGGTCCCCGTCCAGTATAGAGGTAAAACGGCTGTCCCTTTTCATAACGATCAAGGATTGTAGTTAATTCACGATGGCTGAAAACGATCCCCCTGCGCATAAATCGGTGAGGACGATGGCCAGTGACTTTCTCGAAACGTTCAAGCAAAGCCGGTGTAATAGGAGTGGCACCGAATTCTCGCACCAGCTTGTCATAGTCAACTGGTAAAAGCTTGCCGGACTCATCAACACCGCCAGAGACATCAAATGGTGTAATTATCTGTCCGACTGCCTGGGGCTGAGGCGCCTTCTCGGCAAGGCTCAAGGTCGTGAGCGCGGGGGGCTGGCCAGGTTCGTCCGCCATCTTTAAGAATTGTGTCTATGGAGCGGCAAAAGAGACACTATGAAAGAGGACCTAGTAGCTAGAGCTCAGTGGCACTCTAAAATATAGGAAGGAGATAAAGACCGAGGTCTTGTAATGACGTTGCTGCCGCTCACAATCTTAACACCGATATATTTTGTCCCTTCCCCTCCAAAAGAACAACTGATGAGTCATCATACCTGAATGCAAAGGTGTGCCATCATTGGCCTATTATTTTAGATCACGTGAAATCAAACGGCTGACACCCCGCGTCACGGATCAGGCTAGCGCCAGAGCTCTAGAAGCTATCAGAAATTCTTCCACTGCTGAAAGGAGCCCTGGTCCGAGCAGAATTGTCCGACCACTGAGAAAGGCGATTGAGCAGACGAGCACCCAACAGCCCAGCGAGCATCATCTCATCGCCACAGCCCCTCCATTGTTCCTCCCATCATTCACACTGTCTATATGCATCTGTAAAAATGAAATTCTTCGAAAACGTATTTACTTACGACTACTCCTTCCCTGCTGTCTCTCTTGCCTATTTCCTGCGCTATCCTAACCCATACTCTCGCCATGTCTTGACGACCGACGTTATCGATCGTTATGTCGACCCCAAGACACAACGTCTTCATACAATTCGTCTTCATTTGAAGAAATCGAAAGTCCCGTCCGGCATACTCAAATTGCTTCCTAAGGGCATGGGAGGATCCGACAATTCTGGCCAAAGCTACATTCTAGAGACCACAATCGTTGATCCCAAAGAGGGCTGGATGGAAAGTGAATCTCGCAACATGGAGTGGACCGGTATTCTCAGTGTCGTTGAAAAACAAGTTTACCAGAGACTACCAATTGAAGGAACTCTTGATAGTCTCGAAGGACTTGCCCTTGACGACAAGAGAGGCGAGCAGACTACCGTCAAGACAACAGTCACGTTCCGTTCTCGGTTCGGACAAGGAAAGCTACTCGGAAGAAGAAAGGCAGAGTCAATCGGTGATCATAATGCCGAGGTAGAGGAGGAAGCGCCCAAGAGAGGCTTCTTCTCTTCGCTATCAACCGCAGGTATTCAGCGGACAATTGAACTCATTGGCGTGAAACGAACTCGAGACGCCGTTCTCAAGAGCAAGCAAGGAATGAATGTCGTCTTGGAACGTTTGCGACACGGCGGGATAGTTGGCGTTCTCGAGGGAATGCGTCAGGATCGGGAGGCGGCCTTTGGACACGAAGGCCCTTGGAAGCGCGCTTGGGTCAGGGGACATGCACATATTGAAGACGATGACAACTAGTCTTCGTTGACTATTCGGGAAGCGGCGAACAATTTGGGAAACTTATATCCAGCATTCAAGCATGGAGCTCTGGCGTTTGGGATTTTAGTATTTGACACTCTCCTACAGATTCGACCTTGCATTTGACTCTCAATTTTTTTTTTTTTTTTTTCATTCTCCTTTCTATCAACACTATCAGCACACCACAGACATGTTTTGCCGGCCATGTATTCCACGAGGATGTTTTACGAACAAAATGTCGATTGTATATTAGGATATGGACAGGCAGCCGATCGGTGATTTCACTCATTTTGTGGACACCTATTGTACTATACACTATGTATGATTTTTTTATTTACTGTGGCTACTTTTCTCTCAAATATACTTGATATTGGTGCTTTTATTTAGTAACTGTGAGACAAAATAGATTTCGTAGCTTAATTCATACCCATATTGAACAAACGATCACAGGGGTTGCTAAACGAAAATTTGTGTCAACTTAGTAATACCAAGAAAATGCTTGGTGTACAGCATTCAGAGTGGTTTTCCACCCAATTTGCACCTCCATTCTACAACCCCTTGAATCAATGTCTATTATGAAAGGAAAAACTGCAACTCAAAAATAAAGTGAATACTAGAGGGAATGAATAAATAGACTTGACACATGACAATCGTTACTGGATCTCCAACACCTTCCCACAGCTAGACCACTGGGGCCTCTTGACTAGCATCCAAGAGCGGTTTATTCTAGCCTATTCTGAGGCCAAAGTGAGTCCACTTGACAAATTGGACAACGGGTATTTTTACACCACTTATCTACGTATAACTAGAACAAGAGAGAGGCAGGATATTGGCGAGCACTGCCACGTGATACGTCTCACGCGAGACCTTGTTTACTCCCCACGCGTATTACAAATCTTGTGCTGTTCTGGTCAGTTCGGTCCTATACATAAATAGTCAAGCTGAGATGGAGAGCCGACTACCTACGCGCGATACGCGCAAGCGGGAAAGCGACAGCCATGAGCCGAGTTCTACCTCCAAACGACCATACGGAGCGACGATGGATCCTCAAGCGCTCAGGGGTCTGGGCGAGGCCTTGAAGATCCTACCCGTGCCCACTGATACCGATGACCTTGAAACAACATCAAGAAAGATGCAGGATCTCGCGAGGGTTGTCATGGAAGGCAATAGCCTGGCGCTCTGGACGGGGTTGAGAATGGCACCCAAAACATCGTCCAGGGATCCAGAGGCTTCGGCGAAAGCGCAGATGGCTTTGTCTGAACAGGAGTTGTATGAGCGCTGGGAAGAGATGCAGAAGACCCGCAATGGCAGGAATGAAAACGATACCCACCCCGATAAGCATAAGCCACTGGTAATCCCAGAGTTCGATTGGGACAAGAACAAAACATCTGTGCCTACAGGGGCACACAGTGTTAGGAAATTTACACAGCGGGCAGCAGCTATGGACATTGTCTGGGGCCACCAAGGCGCCACTCCCGAGCATGCATCGTGGCTGACTTTTAATATGCCTTCCATGCTACCCCTCATCAAAGCAATCACCAAAATCTCTAATATTCAGAAACACATTCAGGACGCCGATCCTCTAGCCGGCAAACTGACAGACATGGAGGCAGCAGAGATTGAAACAGTACGCAGGGCAGTAGCGATCGCAGAGGGAAACAGAATACGGGAGCTTGAGAGGATCCGCAAGCTGGCGAAGTCCATCTGTGAGTCAGCTGCAGTCCTCAAGTCTCGCGCACAAGAACTCGAGAAGTTTGAAAGATAGCGTGACCCCCTTGGCTATAGTTAAGGGATGAAGCCTGTCTTAATTGCTTAGGGAATACAGACACGCGCGCGCAGAAGTAGGAAAAGTGAGAAGATTTCCCAAACCCTTCGTGTCATCCCTTATCATTAACCCAGTAGACAAGGGTAGATACCGGAAGGAAATGAGAATCCGAGATATGAGGTCTCCAATCCTACTTCTCCATCCGGATAGCCAGCGCCACAGGCAATTACTGGATCGAGCAATTCCATATCGATGACTGGAGGGAATCACCCGACCGGCAATGACGCAAGGGTAAAGTGACCTGAAAAGTCCAACGCATCCATTATTGGCCGTCGGGCTTGTCGGATATTAATCTGGGTCTTATCCACTCACATCCGAGGACGCCAAACCCTAAGGGAAACAAATCTCCATTCTGTCTGCTGTTCCGTCGTTCTATCGAAGAAATGGCAGAATTGCGGTGACCTCGGTTTCTGTAGTTAGGCTCAAGTCTGATCTTGGCGTACATTCCCATCACCTAAGAAGGCAATTTTAGTAGAACTAACTAGCTTGTCGGATTCCTCCTAACCATGACGGCATTTTTCAAGGAGGTTGAAATCCCAACCGCGGATGACCTCATGGCTAAAACCGTTTACGGAGTAAACATGCTCGGTATTTCTGTACGTCGAGATAGAAAGTCAGGAGATGGCCATAGCGTACCTACATACTTACAGAGTATGTACTGCACACCCCTTAGAACGTACACCGTGGTGCATGGCAGATGAGTGAAGCCAGGTCGTCGCTGCATAGCAGTACTTTTGGCCAGGATAATGATAATCCCCATGCAGCTGAGATATGTAAGAACAAGTCAGGAATGTCGGTCGTCGTCGAGGTTCTTCTAACCCTCAGAGGAGTAATACTATCGGTATTGAGCGATTTTGGCTATTTTCCAGAGAGCTTTGGAAGCTATTTCCGAGAATCATCATCAATATCTTGTTGGGATGATAAAAAACCATGGCAGCTTGGCGCTGATCAGGGTTGTACAGTAGTATCTCGGCAATCATGAGGTCGTATTATTACTCTATCGTTATTATCATCACAATCGTTCAGGTGTTGCTAGGGCCTCTCGATCCAGGGATGGTAATAAACGCTAAGGGGAACCCCGTTGGATGCCCGAAGAACTACTAGAGATAGGAACCATAGGAACCATAGGGAACTATGGTCGCTTGGAATTCTCAACGGAGATTAGTCTTGAAAATTCGGATACCCCATCGGTTGAAGTCCCAAAAGCTGGATGGAAAGCTGGTTCTGTGACTTTATTTTCAATTTTTATTTGTTGGTTTAAAGATTAAAAGAGAAAAGAAAAGAAAAGAAAATTTCCCTCTCCTTGCTCGGAAGGTATAGAAATCTGCTTTGTATTTTGCTTTATTCTTTTGGGGCAGTCAAGTGCTCTCTATCCGATATTCTTGCTTGTAGGAAAGCGGCTGTGCAGTAACAAGCAACTAACTAAATCTCGTGATGTTTGCAGAGATCCAAAAAGGTGGGAGGAATGCAGAAAGTTCAGGTCAATACTACACTAATTGTGATGGGTGGCAATAAATGAAGTACAGCACTACCGATAGCACTCCAACAGTGTTCAACCTGGAACACTGGTATGAATTGTACAGTAGCACGGCCGTTAGTGTGATCGGTGGGATTACTTACAGCACTACCTAAATAGTTGGGTCACGGTCTATCCCCCAAACCAAGTTAGTTAAACCACTCCTTCCGTCGTTAATCAGGTAATACTAGAGATTTAATTAGACATCGACCCATCAGTAAGTATTATTGGCTTACTATTGTTTACGATTGCCTCTAGGGTTCTTTTATTTATAATTTTTGTTTTTTTTTTACTAATCTCTTCTTCCATCTGCAAAAGTGAGTCTCCGCGAGATATGCACGATGCTTTTTCTTTTCTTTTTCTTTTTCTTTTTCTTTCTTGCACGCCTCTCCCCTGTTTACTGTGAACCGCGCACTGTAAGGCCTAGTAAATAAGAACAAAGGGATTATTTGTTATCTCATCTATAGGAAACCTAGGTATTTAGCATTACACCGAGAGCTGCCTTAGTAACCGAGCTCGAAGGATTACCACCTTCGTACTTCTCCGAATACCGAGTTCGGGCGTCCCGTCGGTATATGACTACGACTTAGGTAAGTTGCGCGCGTAATGATACAGTAAGGTAGTTTACTAGCTCAAATCTCAAGGGTACCTTCAATCAGCTGGTGGCTGGCAGCAGACGATGTAGAGAACCCATTGGTCCCTCAGGACCCTCCGAACCCTTGGAAGACCGAAATATGTGAGGATGCGGCGTTTTCAGTGGACGCCTCCTGGCACCCTGGTCGGATCAACCACCGGAACTGCCGCATTCGGAGAGGAATATGCGGGGACTGTCTGTTAGCGTCAGTGACCAAGAAGGGCCAAGAATGCCTCCTAAAACGCCAGGGAGCCAGCGAAAGATGAGGTCTCCTCTAGCCAATCCGGGATCCACACTCCCTGTTTCACAGGCAAGACAATAATAAGTTGCTGGTCACAGAAGGAGTGAGAATGAGACACAGAGAAAGAGAGACAGCATCGACACTGATTTGCCTTCTATGATTGTACCGCTTGATTTTATTTTTATTTTTTTATTTTGCCTTTTGCAACCCTTCATCTATCTGACATTAGTTTCCTGTGGCCCCCCTCCCCTCCCCGGGTTACAGCCTCTCTTTCTCTGCTACACACCGTCATCAGTTAGGCCTCTTATTCTTCCCCCGTTACTCCCGTCGTGAGGATCTGTCGTGTTTCCCAACTGGCGGAGGTTCCCGACCCGGACCTAATTACTCTATTCCCCCGATTCTGACAGCAGGGAAATTTTCCCCTCCCTCCTAATTCTCAGTACGACGGTCGCCTGGTTTAGCGTTCTTTCACATTCCTTGGCTTTTGGACTCTGGGCGAAAAGCGTTTCTTGAGGAGTCTGTTCTTGCTTCCACGACGAACGGGAACCTGCCGAACGGGCAAATCAACTAATCAGATTCGGAGTCAGGACGAGTGATGAACCGCTGAGGATAGACTCTCTTGACATTTATTTCGATTCTGTGGACACGGTTTGGTATGCTCTAGAAATTATTGAACGCTATTACCGTGCAAAACCACCCTGGTGTTCGTCCCATCCCTTCGGCCACCCTCCGAGCTTCCTCCTATCAACATCTCGGCTATGAGCATGCCAGTCGTACTGGCCGCTGCTCCTCTGATATCGTTGCGCTTCTGAGGCTACTCGGTCATCCTCGTGGAAACGTCCTCGCTCCAATAGTCGGCAGGTTTCAAATGGCGGACCCTTCGGGAAAGAGGTCGACATTCCGACCATGTTTGGCTCTCCTGGCGATGTTGGCAACAACCCTGCAACCAGGCCTCGCCCAAGTCTGTTCTTTCTGGGACGGCGGGTGCGTTGATCCCTACGCTCAGACGGCGGTGACCTTCGACTTTTCTCCTCTACTCCTAGACGATCTTACACTCTATTATGCATATGATGCCAACTCTCGGGGGAAAGGCAATGAGCCAATGACAAAGGCTAGTTTCTGGATGGGAACTGAGGCACACCATATGAATAGTGCCGTTATCGATTCGAATCGCACATTGGAGGTCGGTCTGCGTGTGGGGAACCTAACAGGCACGCCTTCGGGCGGAACTAATGGATGTGATGGCGTTTGGGGGCCGCAGTGCTCGATGAACCTGAAGGAGACATTGAAGGAGGCAATATTTCAGCTCTCTGTCAAGGGGGAGTACTACACTTACCCTCTAGAGACTGTCCTACACGAAATGCTTGTTAATCCGCCCGGCCTTCCTAACTGCCCACCACCATTCTTCGATGTCCAAAGGATTCCTGTTCAGCGTACGTGGAAGGTTCCTTGCTTATATGACACTGGTCTGCTTTGCTCTATTACTAACACTTGCTAGCGTTTGCTTCGGAAACGGTGAGCGACAAGCTCGCTAGGATCAAAACATCCGGGTCCAGCGACAACCCCTGGAAGACGTGGTATATCGACAATATGACTGCAAAACAGCAAGCAGATCAAGTGGCTGTCGCGATTATCAGCCGAAGTCCCTCCTACGACAGCCCGCCTCTGAAGAGTAAGAATGATGTTCAGATTGAGCTGGTTTGCCTTCAGGCTCCTTCAAGCGGGGGCTCGTCATCAAACGAAGATGCCACGTAGTTTTCTTTTGATGTTAGGTCTAAATAACCTAACACCTTCATTACGAAACCATGAAACGGGCCACCATTCTAGACAACATGCTGGATAGCCTTGCATAGCGGTGCTACTGCAGTCCGTTGCTCTTCGATCGCATATCTAGCGTTTTGACACACCTGCCAGCAAATTGCCCTTATCAGGGAAGACATGGCCAGATATGCTCACGATCTATACCCGTCCGCAGCAGGCTCTAAATCACTGGGACCGCGTCCATCATCGCAACAAGCGTATAGTCCAAAGCGATATTGCTAGCGGGTTAACCAGTCCTTGGCCCGTTATACAAGCAGTACCCATGCCATAGGTCATCGTTGGCAGCCTCTGTCATAGGCTATCAATTTTAGTCCTACAGGACATAGTCGACTCTCGGTTCCAATTACATCAGAACCTAATGTACACCTCCGGGGTACTACTATCGTGGCCCGAAATCCGGTCACCGCCCGAGGATCTCTGTGACCAAATCATGGAAGGGTTATTTAGTTGCCCATAGGAACCGGTTTATATAAGTCACACCTTCTCCACTTGTCGAGAGTTGTCGTCCTTCGCAACCCTGATCGACTTATACACATTTGTCAAGATCAGATCAAAGCCATCGAATGCTACCAACTTCTAATCACAAAGTCAGCCAATCCGTCTTTATTGGTTTCAACTTCCCCGGTACCGCGAAATGTCGAAAACCAATGAACAGATGGTTCCAGTTTCCTCAAGCCAGTTCCAGTGCCATCGCTTTTTAGGCCAGGTACATTGAATTGATATGTGGCTGATTGGAAGACACATTCATCCCGACATGAACCCTCCATGAATGGCGTAATTTACTCGGTCATCGCTGTAAAACCCTATTGCATACCCCCATTTATATGGGTTTCCATCCGCATCTTGTGCTGCATAGTCATAGACCTAGTGACGATCGCCAATTTCCTCATCAAAGGCGGATCCTTGCGGGGAAGAAAGAGCAGGCATTATGGGAGCAACATAGGGGTTCTCCTCGACATAGGGGCACAATCAAACAATTAACAAGGCGCAGTTTCCTGAAGTAGACCACAATAATATAATCATTCCATAATATTTTCGTTTTTTCTCTCGTCTCGGGGCAGTAAAGTAGATCTATATAATAAAGTTTCACAGTCGATGCGAATACGTCGGCAGCCAAAACCTTCTATACCCAAGTCTCCAGAACCCTCGTCTAGTACAAACCGGAGGCTTTCGACGTCTCATGACATCATGATCTAACTCTTGGCTCCATGAGGTGATAATCACTTGCGTCGATCATGAGCTTGACCGTACCCGAGACAATAGATCTACGCCTGGATGGGTCTCTGACTAATGTGATATTCGAATCAAGATTTGAGCGACGACTATGACAGCCGCGTCTGGACCTGATACTGATGGTTTTCAACGTTGTAGATGATAATGTGTCGCCGACTTTGAGGGAGGATTAGAGTGGTTATTCTTGTCGTTTGTGTAGATCATTGATCATTATGTAATTGTGCTATACATCGTTAAGTTAGTTACATAGTAGAGTAGAGATATATATTTCCGTAGTCGGTCTACGCAGAACAAAGTCTCAGGCTTCAGGGGATAATTTTTCAATGTAGAATGTAGTATATATTGGCATAGCTTCATCCATATTTATTAAAATTATCATGCCCATATTTACCTTTTGAAAGTCTTGCGATTGCTTTTTGACCTACTGAAGGGAAGTATTGTATGTATTATGTACTACACCGCGATATCGTTAACTGGGCAAGGTTGTCCAATATAGTCGAATGAGTCCAGGGATACAAGGCCAATATTTTCTACAGAGTACTAGTAGTATTTGAACATGATCGTTTTCGAGTGATGCCAACTGGTGGCTATATAAATAACAAGCAAACGCTCATTGCATACTAGGTAAGTATTAGGTACTATAGTCGTATTGTCGGGATCGCCAGCTTTCAAACATAACGAGGCTATCGAGAGTGGAAGGAAAACAAACTATCAGAAAAGGAAAGGAAAGGAAAGCAAAACAGCCTGGGGTAGTATAAATCATTCCTATTCGGTTACCTACTAAGTATAGTGTCAGGTACAAAGTGATCGTTGGTTGGTGGATGCTAAATAAACGGAATCTGACCAATAGAGTCCTAACTGTCAACCGTGGATGCGAAACCCGCTCCATGTTTACAACTCCATTTTCACGTCTATCCCTCTCGTGTCCAACACCACGCTGATTATCCATTGTCTTATGATTGACTATGGATTGTATTACGCCATTTTTTATCCTTGTAATATGTACGTATTAGCCGTGACGCCTGCTCCACAGAAAATGATTTCCTAAGCTCACAGTGTCCAGTCGATCTAAAGATCAGCGCCACGTGCGTCCCTTTTTCCAGATATGGAAATTTCAGTATTGGCTCACCTGCTAGGGATAGAAGCCCACCGCCAGCCCAGTATTAAATTTTGAATATCCCCGCAAATTGGGCAGTCATGTTGGTATTCGCTCGTTCATCCGCTGCGACTACCTTGTCAAGGGCCGTGGGCGTCTCAATTGCACCAATTGTATCCGATATAGCGAGTACACTGTGCCTGTCGGACTGATGGTTTGCACGTCCCGTCTCATCACAATGCAGGCCGTTCTGGCTGGTATCAGCTCAAACCTGGCTGATGCTTTTGCTGCCTCGTCACTTCCTGGGGTTCCATCCTATGTAGCTCCGGCTGGTTTTCCGACCAGCGCTTTCTCGTGGGTTTTTAATCAAATGCTGTCCCGGTCTGGAAAAGATTCTCACAAGCTTGAAACTTAGGTCTTACTATTATCTTCCAGCGAAGCCAACTCAAGAACCACAGCCAATCATTCATGATCCTATATTGAATATCACATTTCCGTACAACCTGACGAATCCTGATACTATCCCGAAGGAGAATAACGACCCCATCTTCTTCCCGGAGCCGTCTATGGATCTATCGGAGCGTGAACAGCATGCATTGATTGAGGCAGTGGTGGCCAATGTCACCCAAATTATCACCGCAAATAATACAAGCAGCAACTGCACCATCTGCAAGGCAGCTTTGGCCGCGGCAAAGCCGGCTGCTTGGTCTGCGCCAATACTAGTACCCGAGACTATGATATCTCTGTGTAAAAGGTTCAGGTTCCAGTCGGATGATACGTGTGAGGAGAAGTACACTGCGGCTGCTTTTGGGGCCATCTGGACTCAGGTTCTCGCTTATGCAGATGTTCAGGGTCTAGACGGAGACTATATCTGCAATTCCCTGAGCAGCACTTTCTGCAGTCAGCCTCAAACGAGTCCGTTGGATGTGGCAGATCTGTTCCCAAAGCCAAAACCGGCAAACCCACGCGTTCCTAGACCTAGTGGTGAGCGAATCAAGGTCCTGCACTTGTCGGACTTTCACCTGGATCCGCGCTACTCTGTGAATTCTGAGGCAAACTGCTCGTCGGGAATGTGCTGCCGGAGTAACCTCTTCAATTCCAACTCAGAGGATCAAGTTATTCTTCCAGCTTCCGCATACGGGTCGTACAAATGCGATACACCGTATAACCTTGGCCTTGCCGCCCTGGAAGCTGTTGGTCCTCTGACTGGAACCGACAAAGTCAAGAATCCATTGGCTTTCACTTTATATACAGGAGATCTCGTTTCACATGACAATCCTGCTACACAAGTTGATAGGGCCTACACAGAGTATACAGAAACCAGTATATACGGTATGTTTAAGTCGTATCTCTCAGGCCCCGTCTTCGCAGCTTTGGGCAACCATGACACGAGCCCTGAGAACATTGAATCCCCCCATGGTCTTCCAGGGCCATTGGGTCAGCAGCAAAGTTGGAACTATGATCACGTTGCAGGGCTATGGCGGCATGAGGGGTGGATTGACGAAGCTGCTGTCCAGGACGCAAAGCTTCATTATGGAGCATACAGTATCAAGTCTCATCATGGGCTGCGCATTATTACCTTCAACACGGGTAAGCGAAGATTCTAGTTAATTTGGGCAATGTGATACACTGCTGACACATGACGTCTAGATTTCTGGTACAAGTCTAATTATCTGAACTTCATCAACACGACGAATCCAGACAATTCCGGTATCTTTGCCTGGATGATTTCTGAGCTTCAGGAAGCAGAGGACCGTGGTGAGCGTGTTTGGCTTGTTGGCCACGTTCTATCTGGATGGGATGGTTCCAATCCTCTCCCCAACCCCACAAACCTCTTTTACCAGATTATAGACCGCTACTCCCCTCACGTGATTGCAAACATCTTCTTTGGCCACACGCATGAAGACCAGTTTATGGTATACTACGCAAACAATGGCACCGTGCGAAATGCTGGAACCGCCTTGACCACTGGCTGGATTGGACCCAGTGTAACACCCCTAACAAATCTCAACAGTGGTTTTAGGTTGTACGAAGTGGATACGGGAGACTTCAACATTTACGAAGCGTACACATTCTTTAGCAACGTTTCTGACTTCAGCTCTCTTACGAAAACTGGCCCTGTCTATCAGTTTGAATACTCCACACGGGACACATACGGCCCTGCGGCTGGATGGGACCAGGAGGCTCCCCTGAATGCAACTTTCTGGCACCGGGTTACCGAAGCCATGGAAAGGGAGGGGGATCTAGTCACCTTACAGAATGAATTGCAGGGCAGAATGAGTGTCAAGAGTCCCGCGTGTACGACTCCGGAATGCCACAAAGCCAAGATATGCTACATGAGGAGTGGGAGTGTCGCGCTCGGCCGGCAATGCACTCAAGGGTGAGTTTACCGGGTCGATTTACGTTGAATAGCATGCTGACAGAAGATACAGGTATGGGTCTGTGCAGAGCGCGTTTAAGCCATCTAAGAAGTGAAAGGCTTATGTATGTACAGTGTATGTGACCATACTATGATATGGATTTTCATGAAAAACTACGGTATGGTCGACTACTACAGACATGCTCAGTGATAAGACAATGCCAATGGTCAGAAATGGTCAGAAAGACCATCCGTACGTCATCCCTTTCGAACTAGGGAGCTCGATGTAACGGTTTGAGCCGTCGCAAGTTAGCGCTGCATTATCCAGTAATCGTGGAGGCTTCGTAAGTCAGCCAGGGAATCCTATACTATGTCGTTCGGGTTGGTCTAGGAACAACTTGATTTTTCAATATTGAACTGGCTAGACCCTGGTAGGCGAGTCACGCCACTGGCGCTAATAGGGAGAACGGTGAGGGCTTGTTTGACCACACCGTTCGTGAACATATCCTTAAATTCGGTAGTCCGATACCCTGTGTGAACATGTGGAATTTTGCTACTTTTCTCAACTGCGTGCCTTTTCTTCGAAGAGCTAATAAACCGGCATTGGTCATTCTGGAGACTTGGGGTAACTAAAGAAAATTGATGAGAATCATATATCTCGAACGAATCTGACCGTATGCGTCGAAATTCGAAGCGCCAATGACTGGTCAAAGGATAGAGGATGTGTGAGGAACCCTGGATCTATAGCTGATGTATAGGGTTTCATTGGCCGTCTGTTTCGAACGGATCGTCATCAGAGCGGACTTAGGGTTCAAGGAAATGGTGACGGCATTTACGTTTCATATCGGATGGAGGCGGATGATCCATAGGTTGATGGGCTGAGTTGCACGGAGTATGGTGTTGCCTGCATTAGGCGCTCTGGGTCGATATGGTTGGGCTTTTTTTTATATATGCATTCTATAGCGTATAGCGCTAAAAATTAGTATTATTTGCTGCAGAAATGCCTGACAACTGTTTCTTCAGGAGGCACTGCTGGATGGGAAGTCATAGAATATAAATACACATACAATGATCAAGCTCCATCTGTAGCACCTTTTGGCCATGTTCTTTTTTTTCTCAAGAGTGGTTCATTGCCCACACCTGTCCATTGGGGGAAAATTTTCTTGTGGTGGTGATTTCATGATTCGCATGACGTCGCAGCCATCCCGCCGCATATCGTCATCGGTTTCCCGGACATTCCGCAACATACTTTCCATAACAATATCAACCCCCATCGTCGCCATCCCTACATCTCTCTCCTCGGTTCACGACTCCGTCAAATAATCTCACTACAGCTTCCCATATCATCGCGCTTCTTCAGCGATCGAGATTATCTCACTTTCGCCGGGTATACGATACACCCCGACGCGCCTCCACGCGACTGCCCGAAACCCATAGCAGCACATACAGAGCCTAAGCTATCGAAATGGCTATGAACGGGATTCAGCTCGGCCTGCGGGTGTGGGAGGTATGTCGCCCTTGACGAATCTACCCGCATCAGATGGTGTGAGATCAGCTAACAAGATATGTCTCGGAACAGTTCCTTTGGACCCTACTCATCATGGCCCTCGTCGGTAACATGATCGCCGATTCTTTTAGCGGAAACCCTGCAACCGTCAACTATACCATGTTCGTTTCGGCATTTTCGATGTTTTCACTGTTCTACTTGGTGCCAGCATCCTTCAACATTGACTGGGCCATCCACCCAATCTTCATGATCATCCTCGATATTCTCAATGCAATCTTCTTCCTCACTGCCGGTATCGCCTTGGCCGCCAAGCTTGAGTGCCACAGCTGCAGCAATGATGTACGTGCGATCCACAAACTACGTGATGGGGAGAAGCGCATCGTGGGATTCGTGTTATCGGCAGACCCACTCACTATGGGAGATCCACCCGCTAATCGTCGATCATTTAGGAATACACCCTCCACAATGAGATCACCAACGGCTCTGTGCACCGGGAGAAGCGTTGCCGTGAGGCGCAGGCATCAACTGCTTTCCTCTGGCTCGGCTGGGCTGGATACACAGTGTCCGTTGTGCTCTCATTCTTGATCTCTCGCCGGAATGTTAACCTCCGGCCCCGCACGGGCCCTGCCCGTGGAGCCCGCCCCAGCATGGCTCAGGTCTAAGGACGATATATCTCAAGGAAGAGAGATTATCATGGAAAAAGCTGTGAGATGGTTGTTCTCAAGGATTTGGTACATAAACGCTGACTGAATTGCTTCCGACAGGGTCTACAGTGCAAACTGTGTGGCATCCCCATGATTCTCTAATTCTACAATATGTGCGAATGGACGCGAGTCCTATACATCACATTCAAGTCAATAACTGCACACGATATGTATACGCTGTCAACGCTTTGGAAACGTCATCGAAAAAGAGAGGAATGGCCATCTCTCCAAAAATTACCATGCTAGCAAATTCATACTAATCACATACAACGCTTAATAATATTCTAGGGTTTGGTGGAGTTGTGGACCTATATTTTGGTTATCTCGTCGAGCTGTGGGAGAGAAGCGGAGAGTGGGATATGGAGTATATTGGGTCTTGGATAGGATGTGGTGGTCGGAGGATAAAGTTTGGAGTTTTATATTTTGTTCTGTTATATCTTCGATATCGTAATGTTAAATGAAGCTTGGCTTAATGATTCTAAATTATCCATTGCAGTTGCAAGTCGTAAATTGAGATGTGTGCAAAAGTGGAGGGCAGGGTTGCTCACTTTACGATTAACATCATGAACAAATCTCCCGACTTCAGCTGTCTTGCCTTTTTCCTTTCCCCTTTCTCTGGCGCCCGCCAGCTATATTATCTAGCCTTTTGAGGTATCAACCTGCCATTCGAAAATGCAATAAATAATGAAAGCACTAACAAATACGATAACTAGGAAATCAATCATGAGAATATCCTCATAGGATTGACAGCTCAACATCGGCACTCTGTCGCTGTACAGTCACAATGCCACTCTTTCGGACCTCTTCATTTGCCTCTCCAAAGTATCTTCCTGAGCGGAAGCTGCACTCTAGTGTTAGATCACTATCGTCCCATAATATTAACCGTCACTCACCTCCAGTGGAGATTAGCCCGGACAACATTCTGGACTCCACGGATGTACTGCTGAACCTCCGAGTCGATCCCCTCACCCCAACTGGGCAGGTCTGCGAGTGCAAGGTACCAGTCACGGTAACGGGTGAGGAGCATGTCACCAATGTGGTCAAATGCCATCTGTGCCGGCATACCCGCACGTCGACAAATGGCGATCATATTGTGCGCTACGCCCTCCTTCTACAGTTTCCAGTAGGTTAGTGGGGTATATCTCCAGATAACTAAATTTTTCAAATGTTCAATGGGAAACTGACCTCCTCTTTGCAATAAGAGAGAATATCGTTTTGCCTATTGTTTCTGAGCGCCTGGTCTACCTATCTTTCAGATCAGTACTTACAGCAGGACCAGGTCGATGCCGATTCTTTCGATCTCTTGGACGCTCCTCGTCTTGAAGACTGAGTCTGGGATGTCAAGTTTGTGGGCATATCTGTCCATCGACAATCGTTATTACACCGATGTTTCTACGCTAGCTGGGCTGACTTACTCAACTAGGGCAAAGAGAGGTAAAACTCCGGAAGACCGTCTGCGTAAAGCAAGCATCTCGTCGAGTGTCGGGTATTCGTCCCTAGAACAATTGTGAACTTGCTCAATGGCTCCACTGCAGTAGTCCCTCATCGCTTTTGCAAACCTGCGCTGGACACCTTGAATATCTTTAGTCACAGCCCAAGGGTGTTCTGATGTTGGAGGGTCGTACCAATTGGGGAAGCCTATGATGCCTTACATGTTAGCATGCTTCTCCTGGTAAGGCAATAACGAACAAAAATTCTGGGGGCTACCCTGGTAAGGCGATGCCACACGGAATTATGGACATGAACTAAAGGGTTATCCTCATTATTGTCTGATGCAGCGCCATCATTTCGCATGCCCGCTAGCAGACTGTTGACCAACTGTTGAGCTTGTACGGGGTCATCTTTGAGGCCTCCATTGTCAAACACTGGAGAGAACTAACTTAATCTCCTGCGCACAAGGACATTAGAGTGAAGGGAATACTTACTATCATCGAACGGAAAGACCTATACGCGACATCGAGCAGTTTCAGTCGGTTGACGTCTTCGAAGGGCATGGGCAACTAAAAACCGTTACACATACCCAGTTCCCCCAATCAAACACCGTCCGAAGCTCTGAGGGCAAAGCATCTGGTACAACAATTGAACAGAAATACGAGAAATCGGTTTCGGTTATAACTCTCCGTTTTCTGTCGCCGAATGCGCATATCCTGCAATGTGCTCTCAGCTAGTGCTGCATGTTACGTCTTCTGCAGGACACACTGACCTTGATATCCACGACTCTGATTCTACTTTTACCGTTTCATAATGAACATTGGTCACCGGTTTTTCCGACAAGAAGAGCACAAACATTTTGGGAAGGCGTACGGAGATGTGGTCATCTCTGCGTGCTACTTTTCGCCGAGGCAGGATCAATTGCTGGGGGATTTGCGTGATATCCATGGGATGATCTAATGGACACTCTGGTTTACAACTTCTGAAGAATAGGAGTAGGGAACAAGGAAGTACCCTGTCCATTGCTAGCGCCCTTTAAGTACTGTGACTGTGATGCAAGCATCTCATCTAGCTTACTTCTCTTGTCACCAAATTCACACTTTCGTCCAAAAAGAGGGCCAATTTAGCCTCGGGTTACTTCAGCGATGAGCTTTACGAAGTGCTTGTTACCTAATTCTGATGCCTGCAGACGAGATAAAGAAACTGAATTAGTCCGTGATCACTGATCGTCACAAGATAGCCGCCGATATTCTTCGCCACGGGGGCTGGGAGCCACAAGCTATTGATCTTTGAATCGGCACCATCTTACCTATGCTGATCATGGTTCGTCATTCGAACTGTATCTGGAATTCTATTCGTTGCCCAGAACTGAGTATTCGATGTATCGAAACATAGGTCTCACGGATATGAAGTCCGATGGGCCGATCCCTGGCCAATTGGGGATGGCTCCAGAATTAATGGATTTAGCGCGCCTGAAAGAACGAGGCATGGTCTGCATCCGTTCCGAGGGAATGGCACCAGCCACGTATTCTTGCATATAGATATACTTTCTTTTTTTGGGATCTCTATCACATAGCCCATCCTTCAATCCAAGATACTCACCATCATCCCCACCGTGCTCCATGATGTAGCAATATCACACCTGATCCGTGCTCACAGTTCCACATCATTCATTGGGCTTCAAGGTCCTTGCCACCAATATCTCTCTTGTATAATTTCCCTCTAAGGCCTAGAACAGCCTCGGAATGACAATCTTGCATCCGTCACACGATGCAATTCAGACACCGAAGGCCTGACAAATGTGGAGGCAGGCCAGATACTCTCTGTTCTCCTGGGGAAAGGGGAGGACGGACTGGGTAAACTCAGCTGAAGATTGTCTGAACCTTGCCATCTGTGCTAGTCGTAGCGGCTGTCGTGATTCTGTAGCAGGGTAGAAACATATAAGATGATGGATCTTGCCTTCAACTTCGCATCAAGAACTAACTTGATTTACGGACGAAATGAACATTGCTCCTCCCTCTTACTTGAACTCCAGTGATCATATCAGCAAATGGGGCTACTCGTTTGCTTTTACGAGCGACCATCTCTCTATGGAAAAGACAGAGTCACTGCGTCAGCAATATGACACTTTGGGCGCTGCTGCTCTGGAGAGACTTCAATCCATACGATCTTCTTTGGTTGATCAGAGCAAAGCAAACGGGACGAGTCCACCCTCAGGAGATCTCTACACTATCCTCCGAGATCGCCACGGGGAGGACGAGGTTCTAACACGGTTCTGGAATGAAACCCACACAGTCCCGGACTGGGTTGATTGGGAGCAGCTCGAGCGAGGTCAACGGTTCTTCCATCGATATATGATTGCCAACCTTGTTGGTTTCGCATTACAGGGATTCGTAGCGGAAAACTCCGTGAGACTTCTTCCCTGTTCAACGTGATTTATGCTTAGGTCTGTGAGACTAACTCTGAACTTCTAGGCAGCCTCCGGCGTAGTGGAAGTCCTTGTCCGAACCGGTAGTTTCTCGACCCGTATGTTGCTGAAGCGATTACTAGAGACCTTCCAATGGTTGATTCAAGTGACCTCTGACCTTGCTGCCATCCAACCGGGAGGCGAAGGACATGTTGCAACTGTTCGAGTCCGACTCCTCCATTCGTCTGTCAGACAACGCATCTTACATCTATGTCGAACAAAGCCCGATTACTTCGACATCGACCGGCACGGTGTCCCCGTGAATGCCCTAGATAGCATTCACTCCATTAGTACCTTCTCCTGCAACCCGATGTGGCTCCAATTGCCGAGGCTTGGAATTTCCCCATCCCCCGATGAGCTCAAAGATTACATCGCCCTATTCCGATACCTTGGTTACCTTCTCGGGACGCCAACATCATACTTCGAGTCGGTAGAGAAGGGCAAGTGTACAATGGAGAGTATGATAGCGCACGAGCTACACACCACGGAGACATCGCGCGTGGTCGCTTATAACTTTGTCGAATGCGTAGCGAACCTTCCTGCGCCGTTCCATGTCTCAAGGAAGTTCATCGAAGCTGGTAGTCGGTGGATCAACGGAGACGAGATCTGCGATGAACTTGAGCTCGGGAAGCCCGGGGCTCTACATCAATTGATGTTCGCAGGCTATTGTGCTCTTGTCCGGGGGCTTGCCTGGTTGCAACGGATGGTTCCTCGCTTCGATGAGTACATGATTCAGGTATGTTACACTTATCCAGATCTGACCAAGTGAAACAACTCACTTAAGGTATACTAATTTGTACGCATAGCTCTCCCGAGATCTCTTGTATCAGGGAATAGTACTACGAGAACGCACCCGTTTCGACTTTAAGCATATCCCTCGAATGGGCAAGACCACCGGAAGGGAAAGGTGCTGCTCGGACAAAGGAGACAGGGCTTGGAAGACGGGCCAGTATCCCCTGTATCTTCAATCCACTTTGTACGATCTTACAGATATGGGGTATTTTGAAATATTGTGTGTCGTTATTGTTACTCTAGTGGGGGCACTAATGGCTGGGTGTGTGATCAAAAGTGGATTGTGGGTGCATGAAAGAACGCGAGGCTTGGCTATCTAGGCAGACATGAGGGGCTTTACATGACTCGGTGGTTGAGTAGGGGGGGGGGGTTAGGGTACAGCGTACAGGGATGTATAGTAAAGGAGTGTTGGTTGTCTTTTATACTGTATGTTATAAAACCCTGGTGATGAAATATAATTCTCGACCAGGCGGTGATACAAGGATAACCCCTCCACCCCACTTACCACTAGTAATTGCTATCACCCTGCACCAAATAGCCAACTCTAGAGAACACGCCTCAAAATACATTTCTAGCGTTGGCATATACTCGGCATCTGTGCGGGCTTTGACCTTTTGAGTTCAATAGCTGGAGTATGTGAACTTGGATAGGTATACTGTTTTGAAAGTCTCGGACCAATAGAAGCATGGAATTCTGTTGGATTGCGTCTGGTGATGACAAAGTACTTCAAGTCAAAACGCTGCACACCGAATTTAGAAGAATGATTAAAATGAGGCGCAAGTTTCAGTTGTTTGTTGAACCAATCGTTGCGACAGGGTTTTTGCACTTGCTGGAAAGCTTGGCGGGAAACTACCGGGAATGTATCGCTTGGCGGAGAAAAAAAGGTATGATTCAAGTTTTGAGTATAATTCGAAGGATACTATGGAGGACGAATGTAGTAGCGTATTATGTATGATTAGTATATTATTTTATTGTTGTTGTGGTAGGGTTGAGCCGAGGTCAGGAATTGTGAGTGTGGGAAGCACCAGTTCTCAATTATTCTCCGAAGAACCCATTTAATAGGATTAGAAAAAAAAATTAACTAAATTAAAAGTGTCTTAAAAGGCCAGGTGGAAAATTACTATCAGAGGGAGGGTGAAGTTGTTCCTGACAGAGCGGGGCAGACAGAGAGAAAAATGGGAGGGAGGGAGAGAGAAACAGCACCGTCAAAAAACCCCCTCCGCGCGGCCCGTGCAAAACAATTCCTCCAGAAGCTCTGCGAGTTGTTGCTTTCCCTCCACAACTCCTTATCGTGGCCTCTTCTCTTCCCATCACCATCCAGATCACACCGCACACAATGGCAATTAAGTGAGCTTGACTCGCCACTTACTGGCACAGCGAATGCGCTAATATTCCCCATCTAGCTACTTGATTCTCCTCTCCCGTCAGGGCAAAGTGGTTCGTGTACCCTCGTGGCCCACCTAACTTTTTTTTTTTCCTTGACCGGTCCGGAAGTTCGGCTGGGGACTGACTAAATTCTTTCTTCCAGCGCCTGGCCAAATGGTTCACAACTCTTTCCCCAAAGGAGAAGGCCAAAATCATCAAGGATGTGACTCAACTCGTCCTGTCCCGTCGGACAAGGATGTGCAACTTTCTCGAGTATAAGGGTACGGAACCAGCTACAGACCTGCCATCTCACAGCCCCCCCTAACCCGATATATCTATCTTTCAGACTCCAAGGTCGTCTACCGCCGTTATGCCTCCCTGTTCTTCATCGCCGGATGCGCATCTACCGATAACGAGCTGATCTCCCTTGAAATCGTGCACCGTTACGTCGAGCAGATGGATAAGTACTACGGCAATGTCTGCGAGCTGGACATCATATTCAACTTCCAGAAGGCATACTTCATCCTAGATGAGTTGCTGTTGGCGGGAGAGATGCAGGAGAGCAGCAAGAAGAATGTTCTCCGATGCATCAGTCAACAGGACAGTCTCGAAGATATGGAGGTGAGTTACTGACCGCTGTATACTGCTTGGAAGTTCCGCATAAATGAGGACAGGGGGTCTGAGGGGACTGCGATCGGATACGATTCGTACTTATCCTCAGGGCACTGTCTATGCTACTTTAAAGTGTGACCATTCTTATGCTTGGTTCTGTTTGCTGCCCCCCTCCTGGTTTCTTGGGCTTGTGGTATATATTCTCGCGCGTTGCTGTCTCGCTCCACGTTTACTATATAACCCAATTGTTTTCCTGCAATCCCTTTTTGCCACCGCGGTCGTTTACTCATCTCGTGCGTTCCGATCCTCCTTTGACCGGTTCGTCCATCGAGGCTAATATGGTTTGCCCCCTTCTAGGTTGAGGAAGATGTGGTTACGAAGATTATGTAGCGGCTTTTCCCGTTCGGCAACTGGAGCGTTCCTGTGTTACTATATTTGGATTTCCGCTTTAGGGACTTTTGGGAGGACATATTGGCGTTGGACGTACATAGGCGTTGTTTTCTACCCTGTTGACGACAGACTAATTAATTATACCACATGGATTCTTTTCAATTGCCGCAACCAAGGAAAGGATTCCCAATGTTTGGGTGTCCCAAGACCCGAGTTCCCCCCCCCCCCCCGTGAGGTAGGTGGATGATATCACTGGCCGACGGGGCTCACACGTGACCCCCACCCGGCGCAACGCGCAACTCACCCAAAAGGCAAGGCCCCCAATTGCCGTATGATAAACTCCATCCCCCAGTTTCCCTCCCTGGGCCTCTTCCCATCGCTACTTTCATATCACCTGCTGTGCCATGGCTATTAGGCCGTGAATTATTCAAACCACTCACTTGTTGTCTATTGAATATCCGCCAAACGAGTCACTACGCCAGTGGCCAACTCACAACCTCTTATCTCCGATCGGCTACGTTGCAACCGACGTGGACGCTGCCTTATCATCGCCAAGGATACCGCTGATCCCTAGTCCTGCTGGTTGACGCAAGAAGCACCCCTTCTGCCTTTTCCAGAGTGTTGATCGTCTGCGTTCCCTACTTGCGCTTTCGATATATCGGTCGCGATCTTGACCGTTATTGTCAAAGATGAAGGTTGGAATTCCATATCTCTACCGGGATCCTATGATCTTCACAAGTAATTTCAGTCATACTAACATATAACTTTCGCTAGTTTCTTCCCCTTCCCGAGATCGAGGACGTTACGAGTTCCCTGAACTTCGATACCGCCGATTGCCATATCCTTGGAGGTTGCGACCTTTACACGACAAAGGCCGCACGCGCCGACCGTAAATTGTACAAGAACATCGAACAATCACTCGAGGCACAGTATGAGTCTGTTCTTCGCCTGTCCGCATCCCTGTCACCACCGAATGCGTCGGACGCTGCTGCCTCGCTCAACCTATCGCGGTCTAGTCCCTTCGGGCCCCTGAGCGACCATTCGAGCCGGAGGACATTTGCCTACTTGATCGCAACGCTCAATGCAAGCCACCCGGACTACGACTTCTCTCATGTGCTGCGCCCGTCCGACTTCCATCGTGAAAGGAATCTCAAAAGGGTGATGAATACGATCGATACTACATTATTCAATCTTCGGCCGCGAGAAGCCATCGATCTTGCGCCTCCGTCCCCGGTTACAATCTCCGGGTCCTACAACGCTGGGGCTTCCGCTACGTGGGGTCCAAGAATGTGGCGGATCATTGATGAGCAGCTATCGCTGAAGGAGTGTTCTATCTACACTTATTCCCCGGAAGAAGATCCGTCCGATGCAGACGACGGAGCGATCTGGAGTCTACATTACTTCTTTTTTAACCGTATTCGGAAGCGTGTTTGCTACCTCTACCTTCGAGCAATCCCGATCCTGAGTCATACACCCAGTGAAGGACTCGCCACACCGACAGCAAAGAGGACATACGACGACGGTTATCTGACACCGGATCTCGGATCAAGCAAGCGAGCTCGCTACTGGCTCGGCGAAGGTATCCAACTGGAAGACGAGAGCGATTCCGACCAAGACCACGCCGGCAAGCCAACCCGACCTGTTGTCGATGAATACGACAACTACGTGCTCAGCGACGAGGAGTTCCGATCCAGATCCGGCAGCAAGGGCACGGTTCGTGCCATGAGTGAGGAGATAGCCGACTCGATGGAGGTTTAAATTACGATTCAACTTGTTACGACTTGCTATTGGCTTCCCTGCCTTACCTTTTAATCTTCGGCTGTCACTCCCTTTTTCTTCTTCAGTTCCATATGAATAGTTTCCAAGTCTTGCTTTGTTCTTTTATAACTTCTTTTACCGCATCTACTTAGGGTTGGAGGCGTTCGGTGACCGGCAGGGATGATAATAGGCCGCTCCTGCTGAAGTCGTTGTTGTGTTGGTTTTGTTGATTTTGCGCTGCATACCCAATTCGTTGTGGCGCGCCGAGGGCGTTGACATTGCGTGCTATACTTGCCGTTCTTGTACTTATGAATCTTAACCCAATGGACTGATAATGTGATTTGGAAGCATATCTACCTAGCGACTGAGTCGTGGTCCTATTGTGGAGCAAATCTCATGGTAAACCCACAATGATAACAACAGAAGTCCAAGAAAGGCTAAAGATAAAGGCGAAGAAAGGGAGCAATCCAGTACATCCCCCCATTTCCTCAAAAAGCACACCATAAATTTCTAAAATTAAAACACATACCCACAATAGGAAAACCCAATAGACATACACATTGTCTTGAGGCTGCAAAGTAGGGACCATAAGCAAGGTGGCCCGTGCTCCATCGGGGAAAGCTGTCCGTTCCCATACTGTACAATCAAGCAAATACAACAAACAGCACCAACCCACACACCTACTTACCTGCCTACCTTACTTACCCTCCTACGCATCCCATCCACTATACAGCAAACAAAATGACCGACGAAGAGGAGCGCACAAAGGCCGAGAAGCTGGCCGCCGCCAAAAAAAGAGTACGTCCAGCCCAGCCCAATACTTAGCAAGCCAACCCGGACTCAAAAGAAAAACGACAACTAACGAAAATACCAGGTCGCCCAACTCCAAAAGCAGAAGAAAAAAGCAAACAAGAAAGCCTCCGTCTCTGAAACACCTACCACCAGCAAAGGAGATTCCCCGAAAGAACCCACCCCCGAAACTGAAACTGCGACCGAAAACCAACAACAACAACACGAAGAAGAGCCAACACCAACACCAGCAAGGGTAGAAGACACAAAGGACACAAAAGACACCGACACCGACACCGCCAAGTCACAACCTACACCTCCCACCCAAGAACAGGATGAGAACACAACACCTACACCCGCATCGCTCGACGCAGGTGTCTCGCCGCAGCCTGCGAAACACGGCCACGGCCGGCAGCCTTCGCTGTCGATCCAGTCGAAGATGAGGTCGTCTTCGTTTCGGAAGGGGTCTGTTTCGCAGGGGAGTGCGTCGCCTTCGCCTTCTGCGATGCTTAAGTCGCCTGCTCTGCCGCCGTTGACGGCGGATGGGGAGTCCGTGCATGAGGTTTATCGGAAGCAGGCGGGGCGGATTGAGGAGGTGGAGAGGGAGAATCGGCGGTTGGAGAAGGAGCTTGAGGAGGTGATGGGACGGTGGAAGAAGACGGAGGAGCAGTTGGAGGATATGCGGGAGGCGAGTGTTGATGTTGTGGAGTTGAGGGGGAAGTTGGAGAAGGCTGAGGTGGTGGTGGGGGAGGTTGAGGGGTTGGTGAGTTTCTTCTTTCCTTTCCTTTCCTTTATTTTTTATATCTTTTTTTTTTTTTAAATTTGGGGTTTGGTGGTGTTGGTACTGATGGTTATGTTATTAGAAAGCGGAGATTGCGTCGCTGCAGAGGCAGAACTCGCATTTGCAGAAGACGCATCGGAGTGCTGCTTCGCCGGCTTCGGCGGAGTCGCCCCCTGCCGATCTTGTGCAGCAGCTTGAGTCGAAGTCTGCGACTATTGAGGCGATGGAGCTGGAGATTTCAAATTTGCGTGCTCAGCTTACGGATCAGGCTACGGCTGGGAGTGCTCATGAGGAGCAGATTAAGGCACTGGAGGAGAAGTTGTCTGGCAGTGAAGCTGTGCTTGAGAGCACGCAGCGTGAACTTGCTGATACTAAGAGTGCCTTGACTCGTGCGTCGGAGAAGGCCGTCAAAGAAGGGGTGGATAAGACCTCTACGGAAACCCATATCAAGAACCTGGAACGGGAACTCGCGGAGGCGAAGCAGGGCAAGACGGAATCAGAGAAGAAGATTGAAACTCTAGAGAAGAAGATTGAAGCAATGGGCAACCTCCACAAAGAGTCTGAGACACGACACCAAGCGCGACTGCGTGAGAGCGAGAAGACCGAACAAGAAGTAGCCCTGCTACGAGGTCGACTAGCGAGCGCTGAAAATGAAAATCTCCGACTGAAGGAGGAGCAGGAGACCCTTCGCAAGCGCCATGCTGAGGGTGCCGATGATGACGGCATCGACGAGCTCGAGGATGAAGAACGGTCCCGGCTCGAGCGCCGGATTCGTGACCTGGAAGGCGAGATTTTTGACCTCCGTCGAGGAGTCTGGAAGGAAAGACGTCAGGAACTTACCGGCGACCACGAATCGACTCTCTCTTACTCGTCGAACGCCAACCAGGCTGCTAACACATTCGATGATGTCGACCTCGTCGGCGGAGCCCCCGAACACGCTCGCCGACGCAGCATGCGACAACACTCCTCCTTCTCGACCGTCTTGTCTAGTGGCTTCGCGGCATTCACCGGAGGTAACAGCTATGGCAACAAAGGGCACGCGGTCTCGAACAAGCCGCACCCCGCTGCTGCACGGGGAAGTCTTGAGCTCCTATCTGAGGAGAACTTGGACGACGAATTCGACGAGGCAGAATTCGCACGTGCCCAGGCCGAGGAAGAAGCACGCAAGCGTGTCGAGTGGGTCCGCGAGATCAAGAAAAAGCTCAAGGACTGGCATGGCTGGCGATTGGATCTGGTCGACAGCCGGGCTGGAGCGGAGGGAGCCGGCGTGGGAATGGGCGAGATTTTCGAGATTTAGAGCTACATCTCATTGCTAAACTGCTATCTTTCCATCTATTGTTCATGTGAAGGCTCAAGGTTATGTTCATGTTCGCGGGAATGTGGTTGGCTGGAGTACGGCGGGTGCGTAGATATGATATCCCAATTGATGATTCTTTATCCTTCATATCTTTCTTTCATCTTATCTTTTCCTCGATGGCTGTACTGATATCTACTATTTAATAAAGTAAAACCACAACAATATACATAAAACAGCCCAGCTATCTAAGCTACCAAAAACCAACGTTTACTAAATAAACACCCCATAACCCTAATCAACGAACGCAAAACACCAATTAAATTCAAATCTAAAACCATAACCAAAACCAAAACCAAAAAAGAAACCATCTACTCCTCCGCCAACTTCCCATCCAGCACTCCCTCCGACCGTCCCCTCCTCTTCCTCCTAACAAGCTCCCCAGCCCACCCCGCAATCTGATAAACCCACCCCCCAGTAACCATCACCCCAGAAACGGTGTTAACGAGGCGTATCAACAGCGACAAGAAACTACCCCGCTCCTCACTGATCATCAGCAGGATCGGCTCGATGTTATACTTGAAGAAGATGCCGGGTATGTAGTAGGGAGATTCGGGGAGCTCGGCGGCTTGGCTAGTGGCCGCGTACTGGTTTGTGAAGATGACGTTTTTGGAGTGCAAGGGCTTGGAGCTGAGGGTGCTGTCTAGGGCGGCTTGGTGGCCCTTGGAGTAGATGGTGGGGACGACGGAGAGGAAGTATTGGTACTTGTAGTAGTGGGATTCGGTGGTTGCGATTGTTTTGTCAAGGGGGTTGAGGAGGGTTGGGTAGTGAGGGCCGAAGGAGAGTTCGGTGATCATGTGGGAGAAGTTGAAGGCTGAGGGAATATCGAGGTTAGCATATCATACCATACCATGCTATTGCAGCACAAATCGAAAACACGATAATACCAAAAAAAAAGCAATCAATAAAAGAAGGAAAGCAAAGAAAGAAGAAAACATACTCCCATGGTCCAAATGTCCCCCCATATCCCTATACCCATGTCCACGGGCCGTAATATGAAAATCCCCCTGCACCTTATTCCCCTCCAGACTCCCATAAATCCGACAAGAATCGGCCTTCTCCCCCCACCTCAGCTTCGGGCCCTTGGGGAACTTCCTCCTCGGATTCCTCCGCACCTCACCAAGCACATGTCCGACTTGGGCGTCCTCCTCCTGCGCCTCGAGTCTACTCGCATCCTCCTGACTAAGCGTTTGATACTCATGATCGGAATTGCGCTTGTCCATCCAGAGCTTCCAGCTCGTGGGATCCTTCTTCAGAAGCTCACCGGCCAGAATCCGGTCGCCGGAAGCATCTTGGATGTTGACGTGGAGCGCGTCGCAGGGCATCTGGACGACGACGTCGAGGTTCAGCTGGAGGTCATGTGAGACGCCCTTTTCGACGCTGAAGTGGTGGTTTTCGGAGCCCTTGAACCAGGTTTTGAATTCGGAGAGGGAGAAGACGGTGCAGATGAGGAGGATTAGGACGGTCCATTGGCCGCCTCGCCGGGAGGGAGCTGTGTAGGAGGGTTTGGTTTTGGCTAGAATGTGCGTGTTTACGTTAGGAGGGCTTTTCTAGTAAATTTTTTTTTTATGATTCTCTTTGGGATTCTTTGGTTTCATTCAGACGTACGAAATGCATCGAATGTCTTCAGGCCAGCCTGCAGCCCGGACTTCTCTCCGAACGCATCCTCGTCGAGGCCACGCGTTGCGAAGCCATTCATGACGAATCTGTATGGGGGGCTTGATAAATCTAGTAGATCAAGGCATGAACGAAAAAGGAAGAGAATGGTAGATGAATGGGCGCCAATTTGGGCCGGGATCGGGGTGTTGAAGAAAGGAAATTGAATTGAATGGTCGGCGGAAAACAATGGAGGCGGAGCGCTTGAGGCCAAGTATTTCAATTCGTTGCTTAACCGGAGATCTTATCTGATCTACCTTTTATCACGGACAACCTTATATAAATTGTTTTTATGTAGTTCTGTATAGTAGGAAATTGCGATGGCTCCTGTCCATTCCCTTGAATATCCAATTATATGGTTTTTTACGCACCGGAATTTGTACTTTTCGTAGATTACGTGTTTACATTTTGTATTCAAACTCATCTGCTAGTATAAGAAGTATTCAACTGTAACTGGGCTGCTACATCTCGAGTGGCCTTGATTGGACTGGCGGCTACAACGTGTCTTCGAAATAAGACGAGATAAACATTGAATATGGTAAAGGAAAAACAACCCGGAAGAGCCCAAAAGCCTGACGCCTGCTTGAGAATGCGAAAAGCAAGACCTTTGCGAGAGTAGTTTATGGGGAACCTGACTTCATCAAATACGCACACTCCCGGAAAGCCACAGTCGAGTGGCCATAAACAACACACCTGAGAGGGCCAAGGAGATACCTGTGAACAATTGCATCGTCAAGTAATCAGCCCCTCCAGTATTTTCAAGCAGTTTTCCCGCAATTGGGCCTGTTGCTAGGACTGCGAACGAGGCAATGGTGATGCAAATTCCTTTTGTGAAAGAAAGTGGCTCATGCGTCAGTGTTGTATATCAAAAGGCACCGGCAGCAGGAGTACTCACCGTTCCAAGAGCCAATGGCTTCTGGTGTCGGCGCCAACGCGGAGATACAGGGCGAAAAGATTGCTTGAAGCGCACCAGAGGCAATTCCATACACTATTGCCCATACTATCACACCTGCACTACTTTGGCAACCAATCCACGCAAAGGCAACAGTGGCACAGGCAAGAGTGGCCACTACAAGGGAATTTAAAAAGCCTAGACCAGAGTCGGCAATTATGCCTAAGGCGTAGCAGCCTAAAAAGCCGCCACCATTCAAGATCGCTGCGTCATAAAATCCTAGGCTTGGCGATGCTTCCAGCTGGATAGCATATGGACTAATGTAAAACTTGAGGATACTATTAGTCAATGATCATGATTACTAGCTTGTGGCTAGCTACTAACCCATGGGACGTAAAGACCTAAATCCATAACGAAAATTGCAATGGTGAGCAGTATCGTTCGACGATCAGTAAAGTATCGTCGTATAGGTAGGGTTTCATGTTCCTGTGTGTGGTGAGTGAATCGATGCTGAACAAGTACTGTAGCAGCACCCATTATAGCTAACTGCATGAAGCCGATAATGCGCAGAGTCCAGCCGAATGACACGCCCTCAAAATTAAGAAGTCTGTTCGCTAGAACCGGCCAAATTATACCTGGAATTTAGAAAAGAATTAAGTCACAAGTGGTTCCATAGTTCAGTGATAGAATGACATACCTCCAACCATCTGGCCAGACATAACGAGGCCAACGACAAACCCACGGCGTTTTAAGAACCATTGGGACTGAGCAGCCAATGCTGGAGTAAATATAAGACCCATCCCAAGCGAGACGCAAAATCCCTGGGAGAGTAAGAATTGATAGTACTTGGTTGAGATAGAGGACATGATATTGCCGAAAACCAAGAAGAATGTTCCTCCTGCGAGAGGCAGAGCGGGTCCATATCTATCAGACAGCCTCCCAGACCACATTCCGAAGAAGAAACAGCCCCAGATCTGGACGCTGCCGATCCAGGCAATATCAGATGAGCTAGAATTAGGCAAGACAGTAGTCTTGAAGTAGCTCTGGAAAACAGAGGCTCCACTCAGAAAGCCGATACTAGCAATGAAAGACAAGAATCCTCCTAGGACAGTGCGCCAGGCTTGGATACCACCATCCGGGAAGTTTTCAACGTTCTCAGTAGCTGCCTCATCGAAAGCACCTTCTTCCTCATCCCTGGGGACGAATTCAAGGTGATGGTGGTTTGCTTGAGGTTCTACCTTTTCACCTCTCTTGCTCTCTGTGGACATCGTATAAGTAAGTATATAGGAGATGAACAGATCAAGGATAGTTTGCTGCCCAGCTCTTGATAAAACAACGCGAAGGTAACTCACTTTTTTCACGAATATAGTAGACCCTAAGAGCCCATCTTATAGCTGGGGAGGATACGAGAGAGAGGAATAGATTAGTTTGACTACCCCCACAATTCCAGAGGTACTACCGATCCGGATCCGCGGCTTATTTGACTTTAACTCAAACCCCGCGTTATGGTTTTGGCAGAAGTATCTGGGGTAGCTGTTCATCATCAGTCTTCCGGCCAGTAATCTAGTATTGAGTTCGGAGGACACAAGCGCTCAAGCCCCTCAACCATAATAGTTGTGTCTCTTGTCCCATCATACATTGGTATGTTCACCTGGGCATTCAGTAGGTCTTTAAAAAAAATGCGAGCTCTCTACCAAAGGATGGTCGTCGAGTTCAGATTTTCAGCCCAAGTACATTCCTATAAGATACCAAAACAATTTCGAAGGAAACTAATTATTAGAAAGACCCAGCGGGATAGAACGATGTAGACGGCAACCTCATTTGGGCACAGTATGTACACAGGAGAATGGTACATGAATGTGAGACAAGATTGGGAAGTCTGACAACTGGTTAAGACAATATGGAAAGCATTGTACATATGACCCCAGAATTTGAGAAGCTTGCGTTTTTCTGACCAAAATCAAGATAATATACTGTTTGGCAGCTGCGCTAGGTGCTTCACAACTGGAGAGAGGACGGTCGAGTTAGGCCTTTTCCTTGGCCAGTGCGGCAGCAACCTCACGAGCGGCGACAACCGCCGTCTGCATGGCACCCTCGATGAAGCCGGCGCCGAGGGAAGCGATATCACTGCCTGCAAAATAAATCCGGCCGTGGGGCTGCCGCATCAGAGGTGCAGCCTCTGTTAACATACCGGGCCGATACCATCCCCAGCCACCCTGGGAAAACTCATCGGCTGCCCAGTCATAGCTAGCTGTGTCGACGACCTTGATGTCCGGAACAAAAGCCCGCAGGGCCGCTTCCACTGCATCATGATCATCCGCTTTAATAGCGGCGGCATCCGAACAGATACACATGATAAGTGTGTCGCCATCGTGGCGCTTCTCAACTCGCGCCGAATTGATCGGGTGCTTTCCAGCGGGAGCAAAAGCTATGAATGGCTCTATTTCGCCTTTCACTCGTACATAGATCTTGCTTGCCACCACAGGATTCTTTTCCTCGATCATGATCCGCGCTGCTTCGGGCAGTTCCGGGGTAATAGTCACGTCTCCAAGAGTATTTATCGGTAGTGCGGTAATAACAAACCGGGCATTAATCTTCTCACCGGAGCGTGTTGTTACTGTTGGGTGAGATCCGTTGTCTGAAATCGATTGGATTGGTGTCGATAGGCGTACTGTAGCTGAGGACTCGGCCATAATCGCGTCAGCCAGGCGTTTAGTACCCCCCACTAAATGCCAGAAGCTGGCCGTCTCGAAGAAGCCACTATAATCTCCAAAGGTTCCAGAAACACCCTGTAGGAGCTGCGCAATACCCTGTTCACTATAAGAGTGAACGAGACCTGACATGGTACCTTTCAAGACATCGGATTCATAAGTGGATAGCTTCATCGATTGGATACGATCCTGAATCGACTGTTCGTCGGATTCAGTGGTATTGGTGACTTGGAATGGAGCCGGGAATTTTTCGCGGGCATCGCCAACCAGTTGCATCATAAGCGGATTGACCGTCTCGAAGTACTCAGCAGCAGTACCAGAGTGTACGGAGCCATCTGCCAACCAGTAGGTCTTTTCTGAATTGAGAGGCGGCAAAATTGAAATGTCATGGCGCTGTAACTCATGCCAGATGGTAGGATGCGTCCAGTGTACATAGGTACCTCCGAGCTCTACCTGATCACCGAAGGCCTCAGTCGTATAGGTTCTCCCGCCGATTCGGTCACGTCCCTCAAGGAGAACCACGGAATGGCCTTTCTGGCTCAGATCGCGGGCAGCAAGGATGCCAGCCAAGCCGGCCCCAATAACAGCAACATCAAAGAGTTCCTTCATGATTGCAATGTTCGGCGCGGGGATTGAATTGAAGTCTTGGATTCAAGAATAATGCATCTTCCAGTACGGTTGCCCCCAGAGCTTTTATAAGTGTGTTCTCCTAGTATCAGCTTAATCCCCTTCGGGGCCTGATCGACTGAGGAGACTAATATCATGGATTTAGAGTGCGGAAAGCAACATCACTGTGATTCCGTGTTGTGTGGCTCCCTGGGCAACTTTCTTTCACACTAGCCTTCGTACTACTGGAAAGCATAATGCGAATAATTGAAGTTTCCGGTGGAGCACCAGCATGGTCCCACTATCTAAAGATATATGATGATACTACGGTGTTTACTAGAGCTATAGCGCGGTCTTTCGCACATCTTTTCATCCCGGGAGCTTTAGCTCTGAGAAGCACGAGGTCCACCTAGTGAAATCCAGTGGCCCGGTGCCCCCTGAAGATCAGCGTTTCATTCCATTAGTTGCTATTCTTGCATATACTAGTACTAAATAGAAGTAGCCCCTTATCTTATCTGAATACCATGGTATATCGGATGGGTTTCGACGATCCTTAACCCTCCCATCCTGTGGATCAATATCGAAGCTATGGGAAACCGGTATTCTAGTTTAAGAGATTAGAGTTTTTTTGGTTTATGCAGAATTAGGCACGATTAATTTCGGAGCATAGCACGCCTCTATCACAAAAACGCGAATGGACACAGTATACTATTAGGAGGTGGAAACATGCATACTTTCTCAAAATCTCTTTTTAGAGCCGAACGTCGAAATTACAGACTGGGCAAACTGTACGTTGTACTGAGTACAAGGCTAGCTGATCCAAATTCCCTCCTGGTACACACTCGTAGATCCATTCCTCTCGTAGGTGTCGATTTGCTCCTTTCTAGCTCTGCTGCCTGATGGGCTTCGTTGGAACAGGCTAAGACAGAATCCCTGGCTGATTTCTAGATCCCATTGGCTATTTGCAGTGTATTTCTCGTTTACCTTGCCGAATTCTAAACAAGATCTTCAGGCCAAGATTAGCTCACAGATTGTTCTACGGATCTGCCGATCATAGTGGTAGTTCCCAAAAACAGAATTAACGTTCTGGGGACTTTCGACCTAATGGCGCATCCTCTAACTGGATAGGGAGTTGGTAAGCTGCCAATCATGTGCCCGGAACATAGAAAATCACTGGGCCCACTTCGGGCCGAGACGTTCGGATGTCTGAGATATTATAACCAGGTGGGACTTGACCCTCCAGAACGGTTAAAGATAATTACAGTTAGCGAGTTCGGTACCGAAGAAAGTGGCTGCACCGGACACCAGAATATTCTACGGAGTCCGAGGATGGCTCGAAGATCAACGAGGCCAGAGGTCTCGAAATGTGTAAGCAAGGTCGAAGGGATCCGACGCGCAACCTGTTTTTCTTTCTTTTTTTTTTTTTTTTTTTTAGCACTTTTTTCGTAGTGCAATGTTGCCTCGGTTTTAACTAAGATTAAAAGCACTCTACACATGAGACACACAAAGCTTTACCTAATATGATACATGGCTGGCCAAAAGCAGGTGAGAACGCCGGTCATTATCCCAACATGCGGCCTAGTATCAAAAGTCGCATGATTAGTCACTTCAAGAAATGGTGGTGGGCACATTGCATCGCACTTGTCGCAGTCGTACTTGTCGTTGCCCTTCCTTTGTACGCTTGGCCATGGTACATTATGATTGTCAAAGTTAACTGATCGACTGTGATTGCCCTAACAGAATCTACGTCCTTTATCCGAAAATCGCACGGGCTGGTATCAATGATTCCACACTTGATATCACATCAATGGTCATAAGCAATCCCACACCGGGCTCGTTTCACCTAAAGGCAAAACAGATTATTGGAACGAAGAGTTCCTTTCACCCAACCATTCATGGATTCAAAGCTCAGGTGAGCCGTCCAGAAGCGGCAAGCGCCTTCGCAGCTCTGCAAATACCGGGGCTCAAGGCGCGAGATAATGCGACGGTGTCCGTAGACCAGCGCCTCTATCCGACTGATCAAGAAGAGTTTGAGACATTGGTAACGGATTTCATGATCAAGAATGTGGTTCCGTTACATGTCCATGGCAAACCTGCCTTGAGGGAGGGAGGCCTCCCTAAGATAACCGTGACATATGATAAGACAGTCCATCTGAAGGGTACACACGCAGCTGATTATCCTGGCCTTTCCTTACCGAAACATACTGATAGGATACAGGCTTTAACAGGCTCCGTGGATTCAAGCTGTTAGACTTACATATGACCAAGTTCGAGGCCCGCAGAATAAACGTTGAAGGAGAGGTTCTGATCCCCAACGCATCTGTAATAACAATTTCATTAGTACGTAGCTCTGCAAGACGCAACCCTACTCGCTAACTTTCAACTCTAGGGGAACATAACAATGGACCTATCCGCCTATGGGACCGCAATTGGCAAGTGTTACCTGTCCAACTTGATGCTCCGCCCGGGCCAGAATACTATCCCTATAGAAGCCAACGTGGATGCCACTGTCTTGGCGGAAATTATTCTGAAGAACGGGGAGAGGTGGATCTTGCCAGTCGACATCGCGGCTTCAGAGGGGTCGAGCGTCTATGACGGTCAGGTTATCCCATATTTTTCGAAGGCTATAGCGGCCAATAACCTCACCGTACAGGTGGATTTAAAAAAGACTTTGGGCGATACATTTTGGGATCTTGTTAAAGGAGTGCTTTGAGGTATAATACTGATATTGTACACCCTGAGTTCAAAACAATGCGATGCTTTCCTTGCATGCCTGGTAATACGCGAATGAGTATCATGAGAAACTTTATATGCACAAAAAGCGTGTTTACATGATTACTAAGGCCGCATGGCTGTTTTCCACTTCCTGCCGTATATAGATGAACAACTTGAATGTTTCTTAGCGAAGGCCGGATCCAAACCAGAAATCCCATATCGAAAATCTCCTATTTCCACTTCTGCCTTTCGGGGACTGTGTTCTCATATAGAATACAGCACGAACTTGTGCGAAAACATCAGCAGAGCACTGATATTTACAGAAATTTCTTCTCACTGCAACGCCGTAGCTTCACCTTCGCCTTTGTCCTGCGTAAAGATTTACGCTGTAGTGTTGTTAACCCCTGCTCCGACAGCACCGGAGCCGCGGATGTATAGCTGAGCTGCCTTCACTTCTTGGCGATTAATCCAGATAAATGGATAAATCACTAGAGCGTGGTAAATGGTCGAACTAAACAGCATCATGGCGGATTATTAATAGTGATGCAATAGTTAGTGGACATCTGAAGTATCTTGGCAGGTGGCGCATGGGAAACAGTTGAAAATGCATCCGAGGAGTCCGGCTAGGGCTTGGCTCCTCAAGCATTATGGTGCCATGAAGTCTGAGACGTAGCACCTTTTGTTATAATTGCGTATGGAGAGCCGCCGTATGGAGAGCCAAAATTCTCCAAGATGCTCAATATCTTGATTTTTGGCTTTACTTCCCTTTTGATAGCAACAACTGCTGTTGTGGTCGGTTGCAGTAGGATATTATTTATCTTTTGTCTTATGATTTTTGGTGTATTGAGTATGGCAAGGACAACAAAGGGAAAAGAAAGAAGAAGAAGAAGAAAGGCTAAAAGAATGAACGAGTCGGCAACTGTCCGCAGAAGTACTACGGGAAGTGAGCTAAAGGGGAGACATTCATCACAGAGGCATAAAGTCGACAGTCATACAGACTTTCGAGTCTCTGGGCTGGAAACCGATGTGGCTGTGACGGGTATGTATCGGGCTATTGCCTCGAGGAACTCGGCGCGGGGGCACTTAGACGGCGGACGACTCGATATCAATGTCTGTAGACATACCTTCCGACCGCGAGACATTGTGAGACGAAAATATCGCAGGGCGGAGCCTATACCAACTCATGACGGTGCTCCGAAAGCAGTACTGGTGGACCCCGAGAGGTTCTCACTACATCTGAACATCGTAATCCAGGCAATCGGATCGCGTGGTGACATCCAGCCGTTTATTGCGCTTGGCAACGAGCTTCGGCGACACGGCCACAGGGTTAGACTGGCCACTCATGAAACATTTCGTGACAGTGTCAGTAATGCAGGGTTGGAGTTCTTCAATATTGGTGGCGATCCGACAGAACTCATGGCGTTTATGGTCAAGAACCCGGGCATTCGGGACACACTCCGTAGTGGCGTGATTCAGAGACGTCGCCGAGAGATGAGGGCCATATTCTCTGGATGCTGGAGATCATGTTTTGAGACAGGTGATGAAAGGGGTCCGTTTGTTGCCGATGCAATTATAGCAAATCCCCCAAGCTTTGCGCATCTTAGCTGCGCAGAGAGAATGGGGGTTCCGCTAAACATGATGTTCACGTGTGTCCTACATGGCAGCCCTTATGAATCCGATATTGACTAGGTGTAGGATGCCTTGGTCTGCGACCCGATCGTTCGCCCATCCCCTTGTAAAAGTTCGTGCGCAGAATGCCGAGCCGTCCAACACAAACCTGGTTTCCTACACGGCCGCCGAGGTGTGGTTGTGGGAAGGGATTGGTGATCTCATAAACCGCCTACGCAAGGAGGAGTTGGGGCTAGACCCATTAGACTCCGTCAACGCGCCTGGGCTGCTGGATCGGTTGCAAATTCCATACACCTACCTCTGGTATGCCTATACTTGTCCCGCGTTATACCTGACTATCCTTTTGACGGCAATAGGTCTCCAGAATTGCTTCCAAAACCTCGAGACTGGTCTGACAATATCGATATCTGTGGATTCCAATTCCTAGCGGGAGCCTCAGACTACACCCCTCCGGAGGATCTAGTTGCTTTCCTGGAGGATGACGATCCCCCAATTTATATTGGATTTGGCTCCATAGTTGCTGAAAACCCATCTAAGTTGACAAATATACTATTCGATGCCGTTTGTGAAACAGGGCAACGGGCATTGATATCAACCGGCTGGGCTGGACTTGGGAGTGAAGTGCTTGAGATCCCGCGAAACATCTTCCTTCTGGATCAGTGCCCGCATGACTGGCTTTTTCCGCGTGTTTCCTGCGTTATACACCATGGTGGAGCTGGCACCACTGCCACCGGGCTGCTCTTTGGACGCCCAACGATCATAGTTCCTTTCTTTGGTGACCAGGCATTTTGGGGTTCGATTGTTGCGCGTGCCGGTGCTGGGCCAGACCCGATCCCGTACGGACAATTGAGCAGTGAGGGCTTGGCTAACGCGATCGGAAAAGCGCTGGATCCTCGAACCAAATCAGTATGTGAGGAAATAGGCCGAGCCATTTCCCGGGAAGATAGGGTGAAGAATGCGGTTCGCAGCTTTTATAGGCACCTTGATCCTGCAAAGTTACGTTGCGCAATATGTCCGAACCGTCCTGCGGTATGGTGGGTGCGTGATTGTGGCTTCCAACTGAGTGCATTTGCAGCGTCAGTGTTACGAGACGAAGGCCACATTGGCCCAGGCCGTTTGGAATTGTAAGCCCACCGTTTCCCATTACGTGCCTCAGTTTTTACTTACAGTCCAAGGTATCGGTCACAAGAATACGACACCGGTCGTGATCCAAGAGAGCCTCTCTCTGCATTGGTGGATGTATTCTACGCGCTGGTTATCGATATTATCAATCTCATTGCAGTCACTCCTGTGCAGATGATTGAAGGCACTCGACGGAACCCTCCCAAGCAGAATCACAGCCTGTCGCAACGTGTAAGAAAGTCAACGAAATCACCAGGGCAATCTGCTGGTAACGAGAAGACTGGCCGTCTGGCCGATATCAAAGCCTTCTGTACGGAAAAGAATTCCATGAAACTCATTCCCAAAGCTGAAAGGCGTGTCACCAGACTTACAAAACACGCGCTAAATTTTGTCATTGTTCTTCCTGCTGATCTGACGCTGAGTCTAACCAAGGGTTACCATAATGCGCCTAGATTGTACCATGACACTACGGTGCGTGAGCCTCACAGGGTCACCGGCCTCAAGTCTGGGTTTCGAGCGGCGCGAAAGGTACTTTAAATGAGCCCACAACTTATGTCCAACTGTTCCAATGTTAATTTGCTTAGGAATTCACACAAGGCTTCTATGATGGAGTGTCCGGGCTTATCAGACAACCAGCCGAAGGATTCCGGTCTTCCGGTAGCAGTGGCTTGATTAAGGGAATCGGGAAGGGGTTGGGCGGTGCGGTTTTAAAGCCAGCTGCAGGTACGCATGCTATAAACAGGCCGTTGCCTCTCCATGATCATATTTGCTTCATATCTGACCATGTTCTTTACGCAGGCGTCATGGGCTTGCTGGGATTTCCGTTAGATGGACTCCATAAAAGCATTCGCAAATCATTCTCCGAGTGCAAGTCAAAGGAAATTGTCCTACTGCGCATACAGCAAGGGGACAAAGAAGCCCGTCAGGCATCAACGGAGGACCGAGAAAGGGTGATTCGTACTTGGCAAGAACTCGAGCGGCACTCTCCACGGAACAGAAGGGTTAAATGGAAATAGTGTCATCGCGTGTACATAGCACATAAAACAGAAAACAGTAAGCGTATTTTGGAGTTCGCTCTCTGTGTTTAAGCGCCGTGCGTATATATCAGTTAGTCAACTCTGTCCAGCAGACCAGGTCGATAGCCTTCTTGACCATATCTCCGTGCACGATTCAGACAATTGTGACAAATCATGGCTGGTGATAATGCTCAATGCTTGGTGCGATTCTTCTCTACTAAGCTAGCCGTGTATCCCGAAGAGAAGACGCCTGAAGCTGTCTAGATGTGGAGACCCTTGTATGCCGCGTCCCAGAAATTCTTTGACATCCCGTCTATCAGGAAACATATATACAAATGAACTGAAACTATGCCATTGCTGGTTGAACTACTTTGTGAGGAATTCTCTGCTTTCTCCGCTCGACCAAAAACCAACGTTGGCTGAAGATCTAACCTTGCAACTTCAATATATTCAACTGCTACTTTGGCCCAATTACTCGATTTGGTCCCGTAATCTTTGAAGTTTTCAAATTTTTCAACATATGTGTAATCGAGGGCACATATTAAACCTCAAGTCACCATTTCCTAAAGCTTAGACTCGTTGAATTGCCTCCTGAAATCGGAATGCGCGGAGACCGACTTGGCGTTTGCCATGAACTATCGCGAAAGTTTAAAGCACCGTCCTTTCCACCACAGCGTTGGTTCACTGAATAGATAGTACTCAATTCCATTAGTCCCGCAGAGACTGCTGTCGATTTGACTCCGAATGGGCACTGAATAATGTTCACTCCAAAACTTAACCCGCTGGCTGTACGTAGTCTGTTTTTCTTTTGAAACTCCGGCAGCCATTTGCTAACAAGGGTGCTCCAGTGCAGGAGGTGTCAGATGAAAAAGGTAGAGCATTAAGAGACATGACTGTGGCTTGGACTTTTCTTATATGGACAGGTTCGTTGTAGTAGGCAGGAACCAAGGTGTTCACGCTGCTGTGCTGTGGGGTTCCCTTGCGTCTATAATAAACCACGTCGGCGTGGGGCAAAATTACGAACTCCTGGATCTGATGAATGGTAAGATAGACTCGCAACCTTGAGAATTATTCAAACATTGACAGAAGCTACTATTGTATAGGGCTAGTGGCGAGATTGCTGATCTCCCAGAGTCTCTACGACGGTTTACACAGCTAGTAGCCGAGGCGGAGACCAATCCCTCACGTACTGCCAGTGACCCAAAGCCCGTTATTCCGCAAGGAATCGCTTTTTTAAACCAGGATGGAGAGAGCCACTGTCGTTGGGATGGTGATCGGTCCATCCATTTGAACCCTATCATACACTCGTGGCCTTGCGATGATATTCTCCGTCCGCTCACCAAAGCCATCTACGAATTTCGAAAGCTGACCCTCAAGGATGCCGAAAAGGTCACCCCAGCTGATCCTGTTACTATACCTGTGGAGCAAGCGAGAGCATTGATCGAGTGTAAGTGAGCCCTAGGTGTTCGCTAATCAGGTTTCCGTCGCTAACTGTAGCCAAGTGTCCTTGGAGCAGTTAAAAGGTGAAATGTTCGTGGGTCTCGTGGATCCTGACCTAATGAAATCTCTTCCTGCTGTTGTGGATACGATGCATAATAATTATGATCCGTCTATTCTCCTTGTTTACTACCTACTTCTCTACAAAGGCTGTTTATTGCAAAGTGATACATCATGGATGCCGACTCATCTACCTGACCGACTTTATCTGAAATGCGTCAGTATGCTTCCGGCATGGCGTCGCGGAGCTGTCACGACCCCAGCCTACTTCATGGGAGCCCTGGCAATGGTACGTCTCTCCAAACCACGAACTCATTTGAACTGGTGAATCGATCGACCATAACTTGTTTTAGTCTTTCGTCGCAGGTGAAAACCAGGATTACGAACTAAGCTGGTCTCTACACCGCCAGGCATGCCGATTTGCTCTATTGCTTGGTCTGAACAACCTTGATAAGAGTCAAGACCAGATTGTCCATGGACTGGGCTCTGAGTGCATGAGACAGGGTTTTTGGCAACTAATCCAGAGTGACATTAATTTCCGCCTGTTTCATAACGTCCGCCCCACAATATCCGGGTCCGAATGGGCGGTCGACATGCCTTGGCTGAGGGCGAATTCAGACCACGAGAGTGAAGGCTTTCACCCCGTCAGTAGGGTATCATTCATTGTTAACTCTCGTCTCACATTCATTGGCATGGAGTACTTCCGTGCCGTTGAATCTTCCGCTTCAGATCCTCTCTTCGATTTGAAAGGTTGCATAGAGAGAATTTGCGACCAAATTGATGATACAATAGAGGAATGGCAACTTGTTCGTCAACCATGCATAGCATAGTCACCCTGTATGAGCATAAAGTCTAACCTGGAAGGCTGCAGAGAAAGAAGCTTGAACACAGCTCCACCCCGCTTGAAAGGATACTTCTGGCGGATGTGCTCCTCTCCGGGTACAACATGGCCATCATCGTGAACAGCAAGCTCCCTTGTTTCTTCCCGACGGCCTCATGTAACCATTGGTCTCGTGCTGTGGAGGCAGCACGTTCTGCCCTCCAGGTAATGCTGGCTGTCACAGTTCCGGCACCGTCATATTTGACTATCGGGAGACTTTTCTTGCTTCGCCCTTTTGTGTCTGTGTTGACTCTTTATGAAAATCTCAACAGGGCCTGTGATGGCAGTAGAAGATGCGAGGATATCAACTTACTTGACAAGTTCCGGAGAGTATTGGCCACGGGAGCAGTGCTTCAGAGGAATTTGGAGCCTGTTGTAGAAACCCTGAATGCTTTGATACGGCAGGTATGTGCTAGGGATTACAGCCAGAACTTAGAGAATATGCAAGGTATGGCGCTCGGGAGGAGTTCAGGTTACGTCAAAGTCAATACATAAAACTGTCGCTGCTGGACTGAGTCAGACATCCATTTCTATCTGACAATTTCTACTGGTAAGTGTGGCCCATAATTTTTGCTCTCTGGAGCTGCTGTACATAATTCAGATTGTGTTTGGTTTTTTTCTTCTCTTTTCTTTTCTTTTTGCTCGAACTGATATTCGGTGCATTAATCTACCTATTAGGGAGCTACTCTTCTTCGAAAATGGCCATGCTCCTGTTTCCTTCTCGTATGATATCCACATGGAGCACAGTAAAGGATCTGATGTCCTGACATTTGGAACAGTATTCCTAAGCAACACGTACTGCAATGGCCGTGTACCATAAAATTATATATGTGCATCCGAACAAAAACATGTAATCACTTGCTTCACTAATACACAATGGTTAAGCTCGATAGAGCAATTTTCAAGTCAGGTTACTTGGTATTCATCAGTTTGTGGAATGAGTATCCCACCCATCGGATCAAGACAGCCATCTGAATGGTGAGGTGTGTACGTTTCAGATCCTTCTGCAGGAGGAGTTAAAACGCCATCAAACGTGAATCGGTTCAGTACATGCAACGTTGACATATTGACAAGAGCCACCCCTGGATGTACCTCTTGGAGGCCCATCATCACTTTCTGGCATGACTGAAAGTCCTTCATTGCTTGGTGCCGCTCCAGCCCCGCAGCCCTTTTCGTACTCGAGATGTGGACGATCATGGCAATCAGTATACACGTTATCCCCGTGGCAGGCAGATAGCATTCCAAGCCCAGACCGTGTAGTTCTGATGCTAACTGTGTGATCTGGCTAGCTGCATACTTGGTATCATATTCCGAAGAGGAACACAGGTGAGCTTGGTGTAGCACCGCAAGGATGCTGTAATAGAGCATATGCAAATGACACCTTTGAACAGCAATCTGGGCATTACTGTCACTCACATCTTGACGGATACCCCGACGGAATCGACATTCCGGAGGTAGAGTGTTCTTCCAGAGGGTCAGGATGTCCTCGGCTGCGCAGATTCTCCTGAGATATTCTGGACGGCTCTTGGTTTCTATATCCGCCATTGCTGTCTCCGTCTTGAGGCGTGGATTTCTCTTTCCCTGAATAGCCAATACATGGCCGATACCCTCACAAAGCTGACAAATAGAAATGTAAATGATGGCGGTATTTCGTTGGATTTCCACATCGCACGCAAAAGAGCAGTCAGGGACAAGCTGGCGCCCGACCGAGGAGGCACGTTGCAGATCGAAGTCCTTTTTTATCAGCTCCGGAATATCAAAGTTCTCTTTCCGTAATAAAGGCATGCACCGTGACTGGAATGAAGATAAATGGTCCAGCACGTAGCATGCCCAGGCTATTCTTCTGCGAAGTTTCAGGCGGTCAGGGCTATAAGCCTGGTCTGGCTGGTCTTGCAATAAGTGGAGTGATTGGGCTATGGAAATGGCTTTGTCTATCCGATACCATTCCTGTCCCCCGCCGGGAGCTTCCGAGCTGTGATTCATCATGAGAAGGGACTGGAGGATAACGAAGTTGTCAGTCTCATACCCTGACTCGTAAACAAGCTGTCAATCGTGTTAGCTTAAGGAACTCTCCAGAACTAAGTATGAGTCGAAGCAGACTTTTGCATTGCGCGACATAGCCACATATGCCTCTTGCCGGGTTTGGTAGCCAGCTCGTAGAAGATGGTCGAGCGCAACATATTGAATCGCAGAGGCCATGACTGCATGATAAAGAAGCAAGCTGATCTGACCATTTCCACCTTGTTGATCGGCCACGGTGTCGAGCATCAACTGCCAGTCAACGACCGGTGTGCACGGGAAAACATATTCAATGAACGCTTGTAGCAGCACATTTTGGAGTGGATTGCTCGGCAGTGCTAGTGCTCCACTTGCGAGGAGAGACTCATGCCTCTCCTGAGGCATTGTCTCCGGAATTGGCCTGATAAATCCAGGCAAACCGCCAGCGGCACCTATCGTGTCCGATGGCCGGTGATCTAGAACTATGGGATTGAGGAACATTCTAAAAATTTCATCTCCTGTAGTTTTCAAGGTCGGTTCAGACGGTGAAACTGCGAAACCAAAAGTTCAGTGCCCGAACATGGGATCCGCATCCTGGCTGGGTATGTTCCTCAAGCATACTCTGTGAGACTCACATGGGGTTGACTGCGGCACGTTCAATGTTTCTCCACATGCTTGCCGATCCAGTTTGCTTGGTGACAAATGTTTCTGACTCGGCATCTCTCTAGGTGATGTTTCCAGCAATCTGTTCCAAGGTTCAGAAGAACAACAGTCGCCCCGCGAGACCTGGCAGCTCGTTGACATTTTTCGACGGAACACTAATCGGAAGATATGATAATCAGATATGTATATGAAGCTTATTGTAATAGAAGGCAATGAAGCCTCAGCCATCAGGACTCTGCTTCGGTAACAAGCCATTTCTCATTGATTGTGAGATAGACAATGTCTTACCGATAACCGTGGCATGAGAAGGATATTGCGGCGATGCAACGCCGTGATCGTAGATTCCAACAGCCCAGTGAGAGTAGAGAGAGGTGATATGTGCCTTGTGAACGTAGTGATAACCGATTTAAGATTATAGAAATACTATTGGGGATACAACAGATCTTCTGATCGACTGTGGGTCTGAGAGACACAAGCTATTATAGCATTTTAGCTCAGCAGAACTATGCTTGTTTCTGTCCTTCATGGCTTATTTTTATAAGTACTGAGGTTTCCGACCTCACAGATTTTATTCTCCAATCGAGCGTTTAAGATTATATTCGCCGAGTGTACGACTAATCAATGCCGGATTCAGCACCAGCCCTAGTTTTTCAATATCTACCCAATTTAGCCATCTTGGGCGAAACCAAACGCTTGCATCCCACATCAAACCTTTTGACACGCCGGGAGCCATTTCTGAGAAGCCAGCGAATGGGACAACAACTAGGTACTGCAGAGAACCTTGGAACGAAGGATAGGAATATACCTCGGCCTCCGCGGTATCCGAGAAGAGCCCTAGCATTAGACCTTCAAAGACAGCGGATCCGACAGCTTAATCCGATTTAGATTCATTAGTTCGGAAGATCTGTAAAATAGTCTGAACACTAGACCTTAGTAAACCCTGATAATTCGTCATTCCTACAATGGTAGTAACCGGAACCGCCCTCGGAGCCGCGGGTCAGCTCCATGGTGGAAACCCCCGTGGGGCACACTGATTATCATGCCTTAACTAGATACTGCACAGTGGCCTCCATAGTCTGCCTTAACAGCGGTGATATTCCATAGCTGTTGCATCTTATCCGGCATACGGCATCTGTCATGGAAATAACGAAGAACAGGGGATGGCCCGCCGACATGCCGTCACTCTCAATTGCAGGTAAATTGGACCTGCTTCCAGCCGCAGCTTCTATCCTGATCGCCGGTCTCGCTGCTCTCTTTACGGGTCTGAGGCGAGACCAGACCGGTACACCAACCTTCCACCTGCATGTCGCGTACGCCATTCTGCGCAAGGCGAGCGCTCGCCTCTCTCCATTACAGTTCCAGTCCGTCCCTCTCTCCCCATGTTTGCAACCCCATGCCAAAATGCACAAGACCACAAGGTCCAAAAGCTCATAAGCAAAAGGTGGATATCTCCGTCCACGGACGAAGCGTATAAGCAATATATGCAGTCACGAGGGGCCGCACCGCAAACAGTGACGCTGGATCATGGCGCGAAGGGCCATTGGATTGGCGACAAGAATGCACGGAATGTATTGATCTGGTACCACGGTGGGGACTGCCACAAAATCAAGGTCGATATCCTCAAGGCTCCTATTACTAACGGAATGTAGGAGGGGGGTTTTGTCTGCCTGCCAACATTGGTTACTTCAAGTTCTGGGAACGTCTCATTCAGAGTGCGTCCGCTGCGGGCAAGGACCTTGCTGTGTTCGCGGTCGAATATACACTTGCTCCCAACGCTCAATATCCAACACAGGTTATCCAATCAGTCGAAGCCTTGCGATACATTCTGACCGAAACCAACCGTCCCCCGGCCGATATTCTGCTGGGCGGCGACTCCGCGGGCGGCAACCTGGCCGTTGCTGTTCTCTCGCACCTAACATCACCCCATCAGGCAGTATCCAAACTGGACGTACGGGAACCACTGGCGGGGGTCGCCCTCATTGCACCCTGGACATCCCTTGACGTGGACGTAGACGCTGAATATAACTGTCTCGGAGACGTGATCACGCCGGACGTTGCCAAACCCTGGTCGCATGCGTACCTGGGAAGTGCGAAGCATGATTGGTACACCGATGCCAGTACCGCCCCTTCAAGCTGGTTTGAGAATTTAAAAACGCAGCAGATTTTGGTTCTTGCAGGGCAAAATGAGATAATGCTGCCGTCAATTCGACAGTTCGTGGATAAGGTCAAGGTGAGAGAGGAACTCTTATCCACCGAAGGAGGACACAAGCTGACTAGATAGACCGGCTTTTCGTCAGTGGAATTATTTGCTGGGCATCGAGAGTGCCATGTATCCCCCGTATATAATTTGTATGTGGGAGACCACAAAGAAACACATCAGGGGAAGAAGTTGAAGGACTGGTTGAGAGAGCTCCTCTGAGTTCTGGTTCTGTGACTGAGGTAGGTACTTGGCATCAGGGAAGCCTTTGCTAGTTGTGATACAGCCGTAGGAAAGCAGGAAAGACGCATTGCTATTACTAAAACGACATGTTTACTAGTTATATTTAGTATACTTGTAGTACTTGTAGAAATTTGAGCACACTTGCAATGATTACATTACACGTTGGTGTGAGATAAGGTAAAGACTAGCTTCTACAGCATAGAGTAATAAATACACAAATAAAGGCAGTAGAAGAAGGCCCAACTAAATTCAGCCTTCAGTATGTCGGTGTTCGGGGGAAATCATAGGCTAGATCGGAGGGGCACTTCCGCTGTATACTCCTGTTTGATCATGTCACTCAATTTGAAAGCCATGGCCCCAATCACAGCAGTCGGATGGCCGCTGACTTGCTCAGGAAACACACTCGCATCCATTATACGAAGACGGCCAACTCCATGCACGCGACACTGCGGATCAACGACACTGACAGATGGCGAAGAGCCCATGCGTGCGGTGCCCACAGGGTGGTACAGCGTAAAAGCCTTCTCTTTCATGAAGCGGGACAGTTGCTCCTCTGAGATTGAGTCAATATCAGAACTCGAGTACGGCCACCAGTATGAAGAGGACTCATCGTTCTCCGGTACAGGCTCGAGGAATCTCTGCAAAGCTGGGCTACGCATAATTCGCAGGCAAACTCGAAGTGCAGTCAAAAGGACGGCTTGGTCATTGTTGCCATCATCGCTGAGATAGTTAGGATCGATTAATGCTAGCATCACCAGTCAGCTTCAAGCCACGAACCACATGAAACGCGGGACTTACGGTGATCGAACACCTCCCTACTTCGGAGAGTGATCGTTCCTTCACTTTTCGGGCGAAGGGAAATTGGAACAATAGTAAAGACGCTGGATCCATCCATTGGGCTTTCTTCCCCGTGATGGATGAAACCCAACGGGGCTCCAATAATCTCCACGTCGGGAGCCATCTTGCTGGAGGTGTGATCTTCAGGCGATATCCCCTCAGATTGAGACGAGACATGATCTGATGATCGAATGAAAGCAGCTGCCTCACCCGCATTGCTGGTCAGCGGACCACTTCCAAAGAGAAGCCAGCGGGCCAAGGCAGGGAGACCGGAGCGGACTTTGGACAAGTAGTCCAGCGTGACGCCATGCTTGGCCTTGCATATGATCGGAGTCGTACACAGATGGTCCTTGAGGTGTCGTCCTACTGCGTTGAGCGTCTGCACTATCGGTATCCCGTGTTTCTGGAGCTCATCTAGTGGCCCAATGCCACTCAGCAGTAGCAGTTGCGGTGTGTTAATAGCCCCTGCACAAAGAAGGACCTCCCTTCGTGCATGAACCTGGAACCTCTCTGCCCCTGGAGAGGCCTGGGTTTCAACTCCTATTACTATCGGGTCGCTTTTGCTAAGGCGATCAATGAGCAGCCGAGTGACCTGGGTATTACATGCCACAGTTAAGTTTCGGCGGCTGAGGACACTGGGAGGAAGATATGCTGTTGCAAGTGAGGATCGCTGTCCTTTAGGGTCAATAAACGTAGAAAGCCTTGTTACTCCAAGGGAGCTGTTTGGTGTGTTTATATCAGCGGTGGCTGGGATCCCTACTTCCTGGCATGCTGCCACGAAGCCCTTGTCACCAATGTCAGATAGCCACGAGTGTCCAGTCTGCCAGTCCCCAGTCGTCCCGCGATATCGCGTGTCGACGGTTGGAAGTTGCGGATTAGAGGTAAAGCGCTCCATAGATCGGAAATACGGTGCAAGGTCATTATAGCTCCAACCATTACAGCCGTGGACTTGCTCCCATTCGTCAAAGTCCGATTTAGAGCAATGGTGGTATATCATAGCATTCATTGACGTAGACCCTCCTAGAATTCGACCACGGGGCCAATATAAGCTGCGGTAGGCGAGATTAGGCTGCTCCACCGTATAGTAATTCCAGTCGTGCTGGCTATGAAACAGCTTTGGGAACATCAATGGGACTTTCGTTTCGCGAACTTGGGCATTGTCCCCGCCGGCCTCCAGGAGAAGAACAGATACATTCTGGTCCTCGGAGAGCTTACTAGCCAGGACACATCCCGCTGCACCAGCACCAACGATCACTATATCTAATCAGTTATTTAACATCGGCAGGGCTTGGACTATGTTGCTGGTTCACCATAATCATAGCCTTTAAGCATTCGCTGTGCTGTTGTCTCCGTTGCAGGCGGTCCGGACGGTGGCTGTGGGGTTGCAAAATAATGTGGATCATGGGATGGATTTCGCTGTCTAGGCATTATGACGGACACAATATGGGAAAAAGACTTGGATAACAACCTGTTTGTTAAATGTCAGTATTAGATGGCTGCCAATTACGCCGCTTAAATAGTCGAGTCTCCTTGGATGCTGGATCAGTGATGACCTAGTTCACCCCAAGTTTCCACCATTTCCCCAGGCCTCCCCCGTGTCTCCCCGCATATGGGAAGATCATATCCTACACAGATAAAACAGCTACATGGGTTACTGTGTATTTTCCGAGGCTAGAAGTCGCCGGGTATTGCACTTGGCGATCGTGAAGTGGAACCGCGGTTCCGCGGGACACACTCGGCTTTTGTCATAAATCCAGCCCCTAAAATAATAGTTCAAAACACTCCTTGCTGTTCAAGACGTGTGATATTGTGTCCTCAGTGTGGTGTAGGTGGCGTTGAATTGTCTTCTTAGACTGCACTATTGGTTATTGATCCATGGATCTATATATGAACCACACAAGGGGACAACCCGTAAGCATCTACTATACCAAAGCGGGCAACAGCAAACGGTGCAGTTTACCTGTCGGTTGTTGGGTATTTACCTTAAAGGGGACGTCTATGATGGTGTCGCGTTCCAACCTGTGTGGAAGGATGTACGTACGGACCTTGCCTCTAGTTGTCCAATTTTTCATAAGACCAGGCAAGCATCCGGGGGTCTGGGGGGATGATATGAGGGCATTGAGACTAACTTTCGTTTCGCTTGGTGCCAGCTAGAGGACAAAAGATGGGTTGATCGCACTTCCTACGGGTTTATAGCGCGGTTGTTCAAAACATATCGCACAAGATCCTTGCTCCAGTACGAAGGATCTATCTTGTATAAAGAGCCCAATGAATTTGAGACAGTAGCTGGGCGCAATATCGCCTACACATGGCCCTTCCGCCCCCGAGACCAGACCTACATTTTCTTCAGTGGCAAGAAAGGAGGCAAGCTCCTCGCTCGTGCAAATGCGTCACCCGACTTGAGGCCTGTTGGCACTCGCTGGTACAGGTCAGGAACGAGTTGCAAGGAACATGTGTGTGGATGCTCACTCACGGTTGGGAATCTTACCCGAGTAGGGCTATGCAAGTAATCGTTGCTGTTCCATAAACACCCACAAAAGAAGCAAACACTGCTAAGTACGCATTTCACTGCGCACGATGGCGGTGTTCGCTCTTTAGCGCCTTGGTGATTGCTTTCTGAAAACAAGCAATTTTTGCTGCTGAAAGAGGCTTCGTGTAGAGGCTTCATGTAGCTATGAACTTCCCCTCACAGTCGGATTAAGCCCCTAAGCTGAGACATATTCTTTCACAACTAGAGAGGAGTCCATATCCCAGCCAAGTCCCATTGAAAATGTGTTGCATGGCCCTTAATGGCCTGACCATATCAAAAACGCAATAACCAGGTCAAAGGCGCTCCAGATAAATATCCGCTAAACCTCCTTTGGTACCGTAACATAGTCATCAATCATCTCTTATTTGTCCAAAATGACATAGGCAGGTATGGTCGAGAGGTTTGATATCGGCATGGAGAGGAATGCGAGGATAGAATCTTGGGGAGAGGCAAAATGGGATGAGCTGGGTGAGTTGGCTGCTAAAATAAGTGCTTGTAATAGAGGAAACCCTTGACACATATACATCCGATGAAGACCTCTACCGCCCGTACTCATTGATCGGATTTACTCAGCGAGCGAAAAGTACTAAAACGGAAAGAGAAAACCTCCAAGATGGTTAGAAATCTAGTACGTATATGTATCTATATGTACACTGGCCAGAATCTATGAATATTTATAATAATTGGCTATACCCGTCTTCAATAGTATATGCATCGATGCTCTGATTCTAACATAATCCACGACTCCTAACACTCCCACCATCCAAGAACATGGGTAGAGCTGAAAAGTGAAAAGTAAATATACAATGTACTGTAGGAATGGAAAATACCATCGAGTCCATCGATATGGGTGTAACATCAGGAAGATATGGGAAGGGAATGATAAAGAAAAGAGTAAGATGAAAATATAAGTCAGCGAGCGACAATGGGTGAGACATGCAATGTAGAGCAGTAAGCTGGCTTCTGAGGTCGTAACAGAATTGCAAACAGTATGCTCAAAGGAGACAAAACAAAGGCATCATGTAAAAGCATGCAAATGCTCAAGGGTATAAGATGAACTCTTTTCTCGTCCACCTCTATCGGCTCAGTTTGAATCATGAAAGGGACACAAAACCGCAAACATTCCCGACCTCTTTATGCAACTTGATAATCAAACAATTAATATTACAAATATGCAATGTGAAGAAAAAAAAGAAAAAAAGGAAAAAGGGGCATAGGAAGAACAAAACAAGAAAATAGCGGTCAGCTTTATTTAGTCCTCTAATGCAGGTTAGCGGTCCATTCCCCAAATTAATTGATCATTTCCCTCACCAGGCTTGTAGCAGCTGCCGCTGTTGCGAGGTCTGGCTTTCCACTGATGCTCCTACCGGCAACACGAGGCAGAGCTGACCCAGGGGTATTTGTAGTAGTAGTTGTACTTCGTTTGGCAGGCGTAGATGGTTGGACACCACTCACGGTTGAGTGGCGTTTCCCAGCTATCGGCTTGACGGGAGAGCTTCCTGAGACATCTCGGCTGCGGAGAAAGGTGCCGGTTTTGAGACTCGTCCCAGGCGGTTCAGGAAGAGGTCGACCCGAGGACGGCGTTGAGAGAGTATTCCCCCGCTTGGCCGGGGAATTTAAGGTCGCTGTATATGTCCGGGTCCGCGAGGGCGTCTTGAGCCCAGTGATGAATTCATGCCTGAGGGCATCGTGCGGGCTAAGTCGACGAGCCGGGTCCCAACGAAGGCAGCGTGAAATGAAGTCGAGGAAAGCCTCGTCATCGCATTTCAGGGCTTGCCTGAGCTCCTTCGAACTCGGCCGCCGACGTCGACCTTTTGAAGATACCGTCAATCTCGGCTTGCCTAAGGAATCAAAAAAGAGCTTCTTTCGTGTACTCTTCTCGATCAGATGTTTCTCTGGAGGGCCGAAAACCTCCATGATGCAGGCAAGCTGCTCCTGTTCGTTCTCTCCCGGAAATATGGGGTATCCTGTGAAAAGCTCGGCCAGAATACAGCCCAGACTCCACATATCAATGGGCATGCCGTATGACATGCCAAGAATGACTTCTGGTGAGCGATAAAAGCGACTCTGAATATAGGTATACACCTTCTCGTTCTCGAAACAGCTGGAGCCAAAGTCGATGACTCTAATCTCGGAACTCATTGGGTGTACAAGGAGGATATTCTCCGGCTTGAGATCACAGTGGATGACTTTCTTGGTATGTAAAAGGACCAGTGTGCTTAAGATCTGCTTCGTATAACGGCGAATGAGCTTGAGAGAAAAGCCCTTGAAGTCATGTGCTTTGATGAACTCATATAAATTCATTCCGAGCAGTTCGGTGGATATACAGAGATGACCTCTGAAGTAGAAGCTCTGTGTGAAATTGACGACGCTGTGCCGGCGATGAGGATCCCACTCTTTGAGCTTCTGTAGCAGATTGACCTCGATCAAGGCTTGCTGATGAAACCTCTTCTTGTTGCGGATGATCTTGACAGCAACCAAGCCTCCCGTTTTATGATCAACACATCTTAGGACTTGACCAAAGCTTCCCTTACCCAGAACGTCAATGACTTCGTAGCGGTAGGCTAGGTGGTCCCCAAGGACAATATTGTAATCACCACGATCATCATCGTAGCCGAAGTTTGCGGCCTGCGCATTCAAGTCACCGACACGTTTCTTCGCATGTTGAGTTCCGCAGAAAAAGATATCTTTGAAGTCAATAATTTCACCGCGCTCGAATATATTCAGACTTGCCATTCTGAGTGCCTGAGCTGGGCTAACACGTTCCTTCGGTCCGGCTTTGCGGCGCAACTCATCTAATTCCTTCGCAGCACTTTCAAAGTCCTTTCGCTTGCCATTAAGTTTCCGCATCTCTTCGTCAGCAATTTGAATATCGGGATCGACATTAGGATCAGAGGGAGCCGAGTGAGAGGCAGCATTCGACCTTGCAGAGCTGAGGATTCTGTGAACTGGGGAGAGAATCGATGATGCAGAACGGTGGGGTACGGCATCACTGTGGCGTGACTCATTGGAGATACTGGGCTCCAAGGCAAGACTATGTTCACTGCTGAAACTGGGTTTGCGCAGTGGTGAGTCTGGAGCGTTAGACACAGACACCTGGCGCTTTGACTTTAAGTAGGTTGGCTTAAGCGTAGGACTTGTATTCTTCATCGTTGAGAAGTTATTCCAAGTTGCAGACGCTGGAAGCCTAGGTGGCGGCATGGGATCATGCTTTGCGGGGTCAATAGTTGTGTCCGTTACCTGTTGAGGTCGAGAATTGCTCCGATGGCGGGTTATCGTGATATTGTTTTTGACGGAGGAACCGGAAGTACTGTTGTTATCGGGATCGGATGGTGTCGAGATCTGGCTAATCGTTTCTGCGTTGGAGAATGCAGATGATTGAGTCTGGGGCCGTGGGCCTGTCAACTTGTGTGACTGTGACACTCTGGATGAATAATCCGCACTGGCCTTTTGGCGGAGATTATTCATGTCACTGTTGCTCTTAGGGAGCGAGTAGGAGACGTACGGCGAACCGGTCCTTGCGCCGACTGGAGTGTTCTCAAAAGATGCCAATGCGCTGGAACTGCTAGCTGTCCTCAATGTAGGACCCGATGACGTACTCACAACGAAATGTGCGGTGCTGCTCCTCGCTTGCGTCCGTGGTGCAGAATCATCTTCGACAACAAAGAAGTTTGCCTTTGAAGCGGTCATGGGAGTACTTGGTGTCTTCGACACGACCTGACCAGTTGGTGTGTGTGAATTGGCATCCTCCTCTCGATCTTTCATGGCTTGGATCTTGGTCGCCATGGGTGTACCCAAAGGCAACAAATTCAACGGCGGCAATTTCAATGGCTGGAGGTTCCTTTTCCCTAAACTGGCCGTTGGCTTGTGTTTGGATTCTGGGGTCTTTAACGCCCGCTTCGCGGAGAGACTCGTAGTGTCGTCCTCAGTCGTACTAGCTGTAGGGTTGGTGTCCGAGTCCGTGTCTGACTTGCCTTTCAGAATAGCAATATCCACCGGTAGATGCGATTTACGAGGAGCTGTAGGATTCGGTTGATCAAGTTCCCCTTTCGGAGATTCGTATGCCTTAGGGATAGCCGGCACGGGGGGTACTTCTTCATCAGCAGTAGCGTGCTCCACGCGGGGTTTGGGTGTTGGAAGCCTAGACGATGATGCAGCCTGAGTAAGTCTGGTCTGCAATGACCCTCCTGAGTTTCTTGCCGAGTTATGACTCGCGGTCGATGCTAAAGACAAGCCAGAGCTATAGGATTTACGGGAGGGATCAGGTGTGGTTCTGTTGGACGAAGGAGTCACGCTTTTCCGAGGGATATAAGATGGCGATTGGACGCATGACCGAGGACGGACAGGCAATGAGTCGGTCTGAGTCGGAGGAGTATAAGGCATGGGAGGTGCCTGAGGTGCTGTTGACATGCGCTTCATCCGTCGGGCATCAGTAGGACTTATAGTACGAGCGCCAAGGCCCGTCGCATGTGGAGGCATAACAGAAGCCCTCTTCGACGTGGAAGATGGGGTCGCAGCCTGTGCTTGTGCATTTCTGACTGGTGTTCGGACGGCGTTGGTGGAAGAGGATCGAGAGTGATCCGCAGATCCAGATGCCGTTAGGAAGGCCTCACGAGGTTCCCTCGAGGGAGGTTGCATAGATTTGGCCTTGATATTTCGTGTACTTGTCGGAAGTCTCGTTCCATCACTTTGTATCGGATCATGATTTTGCGTGCGCGGGTTGAGAAAGTTGTGGCCCGTGTCAGCGCTCGCTTTTCTGCTCGACAAGCTTTGTCGTCTCGCAGACTGCACGGGGCCCTGCCCTATTGACTTACGCGAAGACCGTGGAGCAGGATTGCTTGTATTCGACGGCTGGGCGAGGCTTTGGCGACGACTCCGAGCAGCCGTAGCCAATGCTGGCGGGCGACAGGGCGCCGAGTCGGTTGAGGGATTGTGATTGGTCACACTTTTCCTCCTGAAAGAACTGCTCCTCAACCGTCTAGACATCCCATTCTCATCATTCTTATTTGAGGCGGAATTGGGTTGGGGGACGCCCGAAGCGGTACTCCCATGTCTGGGCAAGGGAAACTGATTAAAGCTTGGTCCTGACATTATGCTATTGTGAAAGTCGTCGAAATTGACGGGCGTAAGAAAGTCTGCATTGTCGGGGGGAGTCTGGTTGATTTCGGTTTTCGCGAGATTACTCATGCTCGTAGATCGCAGGCTAACATGAGAATTGTTACTCTCCGTGGAATCATTCGTGGAATCGACCGACGAGTTGACGGAATGAAAGAACGACCCGGAATGATTGCTATAGATCATATACATCAGAATCAGACATTATGCCAACAGCCCAGACCGCGAGGCCCCGTGAGAGGTGGAATTAGGGGTAGCAGGGGGACGACAGAAGCGGAGGGGGAAACATGGCGAGAAAATATTCTATCTACCTTCTTCGTGGTGGCTCCTGCGGTCGCGGGCCTTGCGGCGCCTTTTGATCTCGGATCGAGAACCTCCTCCTGCTTGTTACACTTTGGTTTGAACCCCTAGTCTCGGTCGACGAATAGGATGCTTCTGAAAGAAATGGCGTTGAGGCGTGTTTTTGCAGTCGTCTGCGTGCGGGACCTTCTGCTGCAGTACAACGGAAAGACGTCAGCGGGCAGCTGTATATGGGTTACCACCCCCAATCGCACTGTGTGATCCTTACCTCCTGAGCCCGAGTCTTCATTTCGAGACGGACTGGACGACCTCGATTGAACCTTACGCGACTGCCCCTTCCCTAAATGTAGTTGGGCCGACAGCTTTTCCGGCATCCTCAGACTCTCCGACTGTGTAGACCCCCGAACGTGATACGGTTGCACTTAGGGCAAGAAATTGGTGGCTGTAAAAAATGTGGATAAATTCGACGCGGAATCCCAATCGCAATAGGATTCGGGAGTAAATAACTTCTGTATCTCAAACAAAGGAGTGCCTTGACCAACAATGTCGCGCGACCCATCAACAGTGGTTAGCGGTCCATTGCGGGGGTCAAAAGAACAGCAGTCTCTGTTCCAGGATATCGAGGGGGGAACCGAAGGGAAAAGGCACCCTCGGGGGAAAAAGTCGGTCGCTGTCCAATCTAGTTTCGAATTCCCCTGAAGGAAGAAATATCGGCGCGGCGGTGATGTCGATGGCAGAGAGAGGCTCTGCCTGGGGCAGCAGTTCTTGATGGGCTTTTTGGCGGTAGGGAAAGAAAGTTACGGGTCGTATATAAGCAACCGGTAGAACAAAGCAATGAGGGAGGAAAGAGCCAAGAAAAACAATTTCTTGATCAACAAAATATACTGCTTATTCTCTTCGCTTCGGTCCTTGCAAGACCTGCCAGGGAACAAGAAGAGAGAAAAGAAGAAAGAGACAAGAAAGAACAAAATTAGAATAAGGGAAAAATAGAAGGTGAAAGGCGAACGGCAGGTGGAGTCTGAGAAGAAATTACCTGTAAACACAACAAGCCCAAAGATTAACCTTCTAAACAACCATCACCAGAAAAAAACCCCCCTGCTCCTTTTTTGCTGTGAGTGGCCCAGTTGCATGGCTGCAAACAGCACAAACAACATCTAAATGGAAAGTTATAACTCTTGAGACATATTTTACTGGATTACCTAAGTTATACCTCAAGGTATAAGGCTGTCCACTGTACGGTCTCAGCCTAGCGTTGGTTCCATACGGGGCAATACCAAGGCGGTATGCTGCTGAAATATAACCGGTATTGTGCTTGTCATGATTGATACTGATTGGATAACTTAAACTCTACTACTAACTCGGTTTCTCCGCCTTCTAAGTCATTTATGATGCATGTGCTTCCGCTTGCAAACCACCGAGCAAGCCCCCCCCCCCCCTAAACAATCGACCGCGATTGTCCGCTGTCGGAAATGTCTTTGTTTTCTATTGCTTACTTCCGGTAGCTATTGATGACGATATAAATCATGGATGAATATACCCCGGAGGCCATCGTCAACCGCGACGAACCTGTTCCTGTAGTCTCCGTGGGGAAACAAAGGGATGAATCAGACCCTAAGCCTTCCGCTGCTGGGCATCAGCGATCCGCCTCGGCTGCTGGCCGGTCTTTACAAGATAAATTATTCGCCAAGTATGTCTTCTCTGCTCCCTGTTACGGTCATGATTTCCTGACCGGGTTTTAAAGGCTCTTACAACAAGTCATCCCGACAGAAGATGTTAATGACGATTCGGTGGCCGTGGGCGACAAGCGGCCTGTTGACCCCAAACGGCCGGCCTTCAGTCTGCCTCTGATGGCCAATAACTTCCGCAGGTTCAATGCAAGGTATGTCCCGTTGATTCGGGCCCATGGTCTAGACGCGAGCGTAGACTGAGACCCATCACAGAATCGGAATTGTATTTTCATTCCAAACCCGCGTTGAGCGTCTGCTCACCTGGAGAAAATCCTCTCATACAATCTCGTTCCTCTTCATCTATTCTTTTATCTGTTTAGATCCTCATCTTCTCGTAATCATTCCCATCGCGTCTGTCTTACTATTCGTGATGGTCCCCGCCTTTCTGGCGCGTCATCCTCCACCTCCATCAACGTCAACATCCAGCATCACTCCTTATTATTCATATCAGGGCCCCGCACTTGCCCCTGCTAAGACAATTAAACCAGCCCCAGAGACTTCTAAGGATTTCTTTCGGAATATGCGGGACCTGCAGAACGTTATGGCCGATTTCTCTGACATACACGATGCGACCGTTTCCGCGTTCGCACCGATGACGAACTTCTCCAACGAGAAGCTATCATCCGTTTTCTTTCTGCTCTGTACGATGATTACAGCTTTGCTGTTTCTGACTGCGCACCTCCTTCCCTGGAGATATATTCTCCTCGTAGGTGGCAATGCTGCCATTTTGTCCAGCCACCCCAGCCTTCAAGAGCTCTTCCAAAATATTGCAGGTGACCTCACAAATGAAACGGCTGGGCAGGCGCCGAAAGGATATAGTATTGAGAAGAATGATACGATGGACGTCCTGGGATTATCTCTACCATCGTCTCCCTCCGCAACCATGTCCTCGCTGCGGTCGTTGGCCGACATCTCCTTGGACACATATCCTGAAGAACGTGAGGTAGAGATTTTTGAAATCCAATACCGCTCTCTCGCCCCTTATTCTAACTCTCAATGGGACCACTTCCTGTTCAGCCCCATGCCATACGACCCACTCTCGCCATTACGCATTGCTGGAGACCGTCCTAAGGGGTGTCGATTCTTCGAGGATGTTCAACCACCCCCCGGTTGGGCTTGGAAAAGCAAGAAATGGGAGCTTGACCTGGATTGCCGTGAGTGGGTTGTTGAGCGAATGATTACTGGGGTCGGCTTTGAAGTTTCCGAGGGTGTGTCCGAGGAAAGCGCGGCTAATGATGAAATCGGAGGCTGGGTCTGGGACCTTCCTTCTTCCACATCCAATCGGGATAACAGTGGTGTGACCAATGCATTAGGCTATGAGGATTTTGACTCCGACCTGAAATCGTCCGTCAAAGGGGAAATTAAAAAGGTTAAACGGAAGGGAAAGGGAAGGGCATCACAGGATTTCGAGGAGAAGGGGGGCACCGGATTGTCAGTGATGGGGGAATGGAGGAGGCGGCGGTGGGCACGCATAGTACATCGGACCAGTATGCCAAGTGACAGCGACAAAGGACAAACGGCCGGTGAAGGTCGGGATTGATGTCCATAGATGCTATGTCTTGACGGGAGTTAGTTACTGTAAATACTTTTCCTTTATTTATTTCAATACTTTACCAAGGAGATCCTTTGAATATGATCGCCAACCAATGCAAGAGCCATGTGTATACTCCACACCACACCTTATCATCTCGTGCAGGATATAATGCGAATAATCGGAGTCCCATTCAATGCCATCTTCAACTGGCCCACGGCCATGCAAAGTGGATACGACATTTTCAGACATATCAGTGCGAATAGATGTCTTGAGAAAATCCTCAACACACATGGAATTCCTAGAACAACTCAAAATCTAGAGATGCTCCCCGAGCCCTGGTTTGCTCCCGGGCCACTTGACATCCTCACAGAAACGGTTTCTCCATATTGGCCGAACGCAAGACCAAAATTTTGTGACCAAATCTATTTGGCCGACGCTGGCGATAGTTGTCGCGGCTTTCCTTCATGGGTCGCCTTCTTCGCTCCCAAGTTCAGCTCCTGCATCCGTCCGATTGAGTACCCAGACAAAATTCACGACTGACCAGATAAAATCAAATATAATATCGTAAACGCCAATGAGTCTGTGGCTTACCACTGTGTATCTGATGTGTCGAAGAGAAGAGCGCCCAGTATACTTTGAAAGAGCAGTCATACTCGCTCAAAGATATGCTGATTAGTTTATTCGTTGATGACTTTGTCGGCGGGACGGACTACCAAGCATGGCTGGCCGCCGAGTGCTACCATCGCTGGCACTCTCCAGTGTCTAGAGATCTCGTCGAAGTGGCAAGTGTATCAGGTGCCTACTTTTCTGAGCTCTTAGAAGACGGCTTCCCAGAAGTATGCGGTGATTGTAACATGCCAGTCCCTTCTTCACCGGATCTCTCTCAACGCTACACTACCGCTAATTGCTACCTGAGCGTTGATCTTCATCACGGCTAATAGACTATCTATTGGGCTTATGTGCTTTATGGCAGTTGGTATGGACACGACTGCTTGCTGTCAATTCTTGGTGAAGAAAGGACATAAAGTCATGAAGGGACAGGCACTTGGCTTGTTCCATCTTGGAGGATCTTCTCACTGCCTCGGTTTTGGGTCGCGTGTGAAATTGAGTTGGATAAGGGCAGAGAATAACCGGCTGTGCAGATAAGGAAGGCATGGGGCTGTTGATTGGCAGCGTCCAGCGTAGTATTGCCGTGAAAGCGAATGCTAGTTGCACAATTTGTGTTGTTGATAAGAAATGGTATATTCGGGATAACTATGAATGGAAATATCCACCTGGCCACGGTGTTGGTGAAAGCTTGGTCGGGATATCAACAGGCTGTTGGAGGATAGACGTAGCTATATGTAGCTCGCATCTATGCGACTGCCTGCCCTTGGCATCTGAAAAAGTGTAACGTTCAACATGGTACGAGGGCCTCTATAGACTGCTATTATGATTCATCAGACAAGTTGTACCGAGAGTCTTGGATTGAAAGTGGCATATTCTAATATCACTGCCGTATTATACTATAACCTGTGCTAAACGACTGTTAAGTTTGAACAACTCGTGAGGATTGTTATCCTTCGGCACATCCTCAAACTTCAGGTCAACACCCTTCTCAAAAAGCAGGCAGAAAGCCGAGCCACCCATGTGGAACATGCCTATCTCTTCTCCCTTGGTTACACGGTCACCCTCCTTCACCGTGACCTCGCAACTAGAGATTTCATTCATCCCGATGGCAATAAAGCACACCAGCCCCAAAGGCTTGTACTTGGCCTCGACAAATATAAGCGCTCGAGTAGCCACCGAAGCCAGATAGAGCTGGGAAAGGTTGGGACCAGACGGATCTGGCTCGGGATAATTATGCGACATGACTGTGGAGTAATAAGTACCCGGCACAAGCGCAACTTTCTTGATCGTTCCAGAAATAGGTGCATGCCAACGGTGATAGCATGCAGAGCTAAGCCAGCCCTGATAAACGGTACCGAAAACGAAGCGTCGACTTAGCCCGTCATTATTCAACATATCGAAGATTGAGTACGGCTGGCCTTTCAACCAGAACGTATCACGGGCTTGAACCTTCGTGCGGACATCTTGGGGGTACTTTTTACCCTCTTCCACTTGTGGCCCGGCTTCGCATGGACTAACAATATAAACATCCGGCTCGTCGCTTTCATGGACTGGTCGTCGTCCTGGACGGAACCTGCGGATGAAGAAAGCATCCCAGGAACTGAAACCCCAGTATGGCTTTTCGGGGTCGAGCACATAGAGCTCCTCGATAGGCCCATCCCATTGGGCGTAGTCCTTCATTCGGCTGACATACGCGGGAGAAAACCAGCCTCCGTCAGGACTTGTATTGAGATGCTCTCGGGAGGCGGGGGACTGGAGGAAGGCCCCCCATTGATTAATTATGTCCTTAATCTTCTTGTTGACGTCCTTATTCAAAAAGAACTCATTTCCGCTGGGTGTATTCGCTGGCCAGTTCAAGACTGCGTTAAACGGCACAGTAATGCCACTTAGTCCCGAGTTCAGGGACATCACAGATGGTGACTGAAACAGAATGATGTTGAAAATCATCAAGGCCTCATCAAAACTCCGTACATTATAGAATTTGGTGGGATCGTTTTCGAATCGAGGTATTTCGTCAAACATTTTTATGGATAGTTCTTTGAGACCGGGGTCATTCTCGACGAGGTCCCTGAAGTCAGTGATGACTTTCGGATATTTTTCCTTGAGATCAAGAGAGTGCGGTTGGTCTTTAGGATATGATGTATCCTTGAGACACTCGTCTCGAAGGTTGTTGACGTAGTTGAAGACTCGGCTGAGTGGTGGGAGCCACTCGCCTGGGGCAAAAGGGTAGGGCATGTCGGTCGACATTTTCGAGTTGATGGATTGATAGACTTGTAACAGAACGACGAAGGTATGACTACGAGTTATATATAATCCGAAACCTAAACAGTACGCTGCTAGAAAAGCTGAGCACTTATCCTGAGGGGTTCACACATTAAACCATTGTAATTTCCGATTTCTGCATCTACCGTGACAGGAATGACCCTACTCCTCCTTCGTGGCGTCATATTACCATGGACCGTCCCTGAATACTACGCTTACCAGATAAAATCAGCTTAGCTCAAGAATGCGTATATCACCTGCAGCATGTGTATGCTGTACTCCAATTAGATGTCATATCATTAAATGCGCAGGTGATCACATAAGGATAGCTGATTCCATGGCGTAGTTGGTTGATTTCCTGCACTGCTACGTGGGTAGTGTGCAGTGTGGCTAGCTGAGTTTCAGCTCCCGGGGGGTTCCTCACTGCATAGGCAACGGATCTGTAATTGACAGTTTGATCTCACATGTTACTCTTCAAGCTTATGAGACAAAAGTGGGTCTTATTTTTATCTATTATGAGAAGGAAATCGAGTAGCAGTGTCGCCACAGAAACCGAGTACAGTGGCCCCAGAACCGGTAGGTTGCGCTATGGCTGACATTATGCCATTCAGTGGGCATAAAATATAAACATGGAGAATCAGGTGTGATCGACAAGAGCTGAAGTATGTGCAAAAGTACTCAGCTGAAATTCTATATATGCATGTTTTGGCCATTCATGTAGGATACATGTAAAATATAATGTGAGTAGTCTTATGCTCAGGTAGCCCATATCTGGAGAGCTCACATCTGCCATACTTGCATACTCTAGAAAGCGGATCAAAGTGTATTTCATGGAGCGAATGTGACCTTTCAAGAGTGGGTTGCATTGATGCTAGTAGGCAACCCAGCTGAAAACAAGCTGAAAACAAGCTGCATGACAATCAGAACACCAGATCGTCTTCTTATGTCAAGGGCGGTACAGAACTGAGTGGCGCAACCAAGTCCCTGTTAGAAAAGGTGCAATCATACGAGGTGCCAATGCTATCAGTAAAGAACAAGCGACGCCTATGTAATTGATGGATAAGTGGCGTAGACCTTCGGAAAAGTCGGGAACAAGCTGCAGACGAAGATGATAATGCTGTAACAACGGCAATCAGACAGCGAGAACCAAAATATGGGTGTCATCCTCTTTCTAGTACAGGGGATTCCCTATGCACCCTAAAGCCCCTCAATGCAAATACTTAAGTAGCGCCCCTTCTGTCTCCAACTCTATCGGTGTTATAAATCTAACTAAAACTTTCTCCCCCCCTTATCTTATTATACTGCTTCATAGCCTGGCATCAGAAAGGCGTCTAATATTTTCGTTAAGAACATGATGTACACCACATGCCTGCCGTCCCTGGGGGTCGTTGCTCTCTTAGCGGCATCGGTTGCGGCGAAAACCGTGAGTGTTCTCCTTTGGAGTCAACCATTAGGCCTTTTCCATGTAAGGGACAGAGCTGATGAAAACACAGGCATCGCTTTATTCTCAAAAAGGGTGTAGCGGCGATTCCAAAGCGATCCCATGGTCTCAGTGCACCCCTACGTACGGCTAACGTGCCCGAGGACGACATGTTGTTTGCACATCTATCCGACTGACCCTATCTATAGCTTTGAAAACAAGTCAATCGATGTGCCAAGTAGCGACAAGCCCGATCAAGTATTATTTGATTGCTACTTGTACTCGTGAGTGAGACTATGACTTCCTCAACTGATACTCGAATAACACCTTCTAGGATGAAGTCAGATACGACCTGTGAGGAAGACCGTCAGAAACCACCGACCGGAAAATGTACGGATAACCTATATTATTACTCCAAGTGTGTCTTTGTGCCCGCGCCAGGACTTGTAAGTAACTTGACTTTGAGCCCGCACAAGCCTTGTGTGTTCGTCCCTGGATGGAGGCAAGACCAAATAGATGAGAGAACTAATACATATCCCTGTCATTAGGTTTCTCTATACCAGTATCCCAATTTCGAAGGAGAGTCGGCCAAAATCAACATCACTGAGACCAAAGACTGCAAGCCACTATCATTTTCGTAAGATCACATCACCGATTCCTATGGCCAAGGAATCTAACAATTAGCAGGCCAAGTCAACTTAGCTCCGTTGTAGTAGCGGATGGCTATGTTTGTCAAGCCTGGCGGTCAGTCTATCCTTGTTTTCCTATTTCGTTTTTTTTTTTTTTTTTTTTT